GAAGGAGAGGGTGAAGGAGAGGGTGAAGGAGAGGGTGAAGGAGAGGGTGAAGGAGAGGGTGAAGGAGAGGATAAAGGAGAGGATAGAGGAGTAGGGGAAGGAGAAGGAGAAGAAGAAGAAGAAGAGAACATAGCCCGCCCGAGCTCAGTAGCCTCACCCAAGTAGAACAACTGGCACAGACAGACAGACACTTGGAAAACAATGACACTCTCGTCACCAACTCAATTCCCAACAGCTTGACCCTGGTGATCCAAGCCCATTCCCGCATGGGCGGCATATCTAGCCCTAGCCGCCCCTGCTCTCTATCAAACCGTCAAAGTGTATATTTGAAAACGCCAGGAAACATTCTCACGTGCGGAGCATAATCTCCTGCACTGATCCCCCATAAGCCAAAGCCTGCTCAGAAGGTCCGTTGAATAGAAGTAAAGTGACGACTTCTCGTCGTCAAGGAGAGCAGATGCTTCTGCCAACTGTAGACTCGGAAAAGCGCTGATTTGGTGGGACATCAGGGGTTGTCCGTCTACCACCACCCTTCACTCCAGGCCCTTGATGCTCTTGACAAGATCCGTCGACGGTCTGCCCGATCTCCTCCAAATGGTCTTGCCATCACCGGGATCCTGCATGTCCGGGGCCGGCAAGATCTCCCTCAGCAGATCGTTGATATCCAAGCCTCTCTCCCGTGCAATCTGCCACTGTTTGGGGTACCCGAGACTGACCTCCTCGAACCTCACTCCGTCTCTCCAATCCGTCCTGCGAACGTGCAGGTGCCCCGTCACCACGACTTTGGCGTTGAATCGCGTGTGCCAGTCTTCGGTCTTCTTGGTCCCGCACCATAAGCTGAATCGGGGAATCATGGGGATTGTGATTGTGTCTTGGCGCAGCGGCCAGTGGTTGACCAGCACCAGAGGGATCCCTCTTTGAGAGGTGGCTTCCAGTCTCTCCTCGGCCTTGGAAACCAGCTCCTGACACCACAGATCCCGCGACTCGTACGGGTCCGGGTGAAGGAGTGCCTCATCCGTCGCGACTATGTTCTCCTCCATCGCCCACTCCAAAGCATCTTCTCTCGACACATCATCGGGCCTGAAACTGTAGTCGTAAAGCGTAAACATGGGGCAGATGATACAGGGTCCGCCTTCTCCTTCCCACTTCACGTACTCATCCTCGGGGGTGATGACGCCGTACTCGTTGGCGACCCGAACACATTCCTGGTACTTGAAATCTCCCCGGAGTTCCTCGTCGAGGACTTCCTCTTCGGTTTCCTCGGCGCGGTTGCGACGGCCCGGCAGCGTGTACAGCTCGTGATTACCGGGCACCCAGAAGACTTGCTTGAAGAGCTTCGTGGTGAGCTTGAATGCTTCGTGGAGGTGCTCAATCTTCTCTCCAACATCACCACAGATGATCAGGCTGTCATCCAGGTGAGGTCTCAGGTCGTACAGAGCTTCGCGGTTGTGCTTGTAGCTGAGGTGGAGATCTGAAATAGCATAGAGTTTCATCGTGATAGCTGGTTCGGTCCTTCACAGCGTTGGGTGAACCACGTCCTTATCGGCCAAGCCACGAGAACCTATGATCACAACTCGGGTCTTTCTAGACAGGATGACAGGTAAGATGGCTTATCCAATCACTAGGTGACGGTAGAGGTGACAAGAGGGTCCGAGAAACCTAGGTCGGCAACACGACTCATCGGCAGCCTTGCTGAACTGTCATCACGCACAACACTGAATCAGTCCTCCTGGACTCGCTCGTGCAAAAACTGATGGACGTGAAAGGAGGGAGGTACTGGAGGTATGGGTGATAGCTGTTCTGATACGCTTTGTGGGAATCTCTATGCAGAGCTACGGAGTGCAAGGTGATGACAGCGTGCAGAGCAAGGCTGAATACGTAAATTCGGTGAACGAGGAAGAGGACGAGTTGTTTGCGTGTTTCATCGTGCAAGGTTGGCCGATGCTAGCGCAAATTCAGCGGCCAATCAGAAGTCTGTTTCTGTCCCCAGCGGGTCTCGGAAAATCTTGGTCTCGGCAGAGTCGGTACTGGAAAATCATTGTTCCTTCCACCGCTGTCAACCCGCATTTGCCCTCGAGCCCTGTCGACGCCATCCATCATCAAATGCTCCGTTGCGTGGACTTGACGTGAATCTGCGGCCCATCGCTCGGGTTTCTAAAGGATATGGCAGAAAGTCACAAAGCAGATTCCCCACCTGACGGGGGGCGGCTTAGAATTCTCGCGCAATCGGGGCTGAGGAATCTGGAGGAATCTGTTTTACCCAAAGGCTTGAAGCAACACAGAAAGCTTCCATTAAAGCACAGCAAGCTTATTCTATATACTGCATTGTCTCAATCCAAGCTCAATCACCATCTAGTGCCGCATCGCACTGGACAAACCCAGTAAGATAACACCCACTTCAGTAAAGATGCAACCACATACAGCCTCATTCAGATGGAGACGTAAAAAGCATGCAACAAAGTGGTTCTTGACAGTAACAGCGGCGTGTGCCTGAACTCCCTGAAAGGCGCCGGTACATAGCTCGCTCCACACATAGCAACCGCCGTTTGCGAAAATGAAAAAAACTCCCAATTATGTGCTGGGAAAACCCAACCCAACCCAGTCCAATCCAGTTCCATCCAACTCGGGCCCTCCAGCCCGAGCTTTCGCCGACTCAAAATTTGGTTCTTTGGTTTATCCAGAAAGCCCGTGGTATCATTCGAGGTAGGTATAACTGCATTTTCGTAAATCATAACTTCAGGTGTCTGGTACTTTGATGTTGGTCTGGCTTTGTGCAGGAATGTAAAAAGAGGTCTCTCCAGGAAGCGCTACCGAACCCAGTCCTCATCTTCTCGTTCATCGTCCAAACTCAGTTCCGGGTTGGACATGTCGGGTGCCACTGACCACGCTGGGTCTTCCGTCATATATGACGGCGGCATCGCAGCTCTAGGCTGTTCCGCTGGAACGGTCGATGGCCCATCAGGATGCGCATATCTCTGTGCCTCACTTATGGTGTATGGGTGCTCGCCGTTGCCAGTGCTCCCGGGCGTAGAGATACTAGGCGTCATGCCTCTACTGACACTCGATAATCGCGACGGAGTTTGTGAATCTTGCGGGTTCATCTGCATCTGCGCCAACTGATGCTGCAATTGCATTCTTTTGGTCTCCGCTTCGGCCTGCTTCAGATAATCGTCGATGTCAAGACTCCCAATGTTGTCATTGGCCAACATGTTTGCTTGAGGCGTCCCAAAATAAGACGAGGCTGAACTCAGCCGGAATCGATCAGAGGCGTCGTCTCCGCCAGCGCTGCTGTAATCGTTGAATGCGTCCAAACCGCCCTGTCGATCATTCCCCATGGACCGATCGGCACCCCACTGGTTAGCAACGGGAGGAGGAGACTGATCTTCGACCTCGGAAGGCTCTTCGCTCGAGGACGTAATCCCCACTCTATTAATTTGGCTCGTCAAGTCAGAAGCCTGGAAAGCAGCCTGTTGAGACAACATGTACGGCGAGTTTTCCTGTTTCAAGCTGTAGAGACCATTGCTGCCGTCTTGGTTGAGATTGTTCCAGTCAGCTGAAGAGCCCTCGTTGTATCTTGCCCACGGTGGGGGTTCGTAGTCATGAGCTTGCTCATAAGTCATGAACCAGGTCTCCGGAAAACGTTCTGGGAGTGTCAGGTCCTGCAGACTTGGGTTTTGGCTGTTTGGTAGGCTGTTCGGCTGGGTGGGCGGTGTGTCCGTGCCGAACGGAGAGTATGCATATGCGCGTGGATCGAAATTGGGGATCTTGAAATCCTGCATTGACGACTGTCCTGCCATTCTTGTTGGCCCAAGCACGGGCGAATTGTGTTCTGATTTGACCTTTCGTTCCACAATTTGCATGGCCTCCGTGATCGAGTTATGGAGGGGCGATTCGTGGTAGGGTTTGGCAAACTTGGTCAGCGGAAGGCTGTCGGTGGAACGCTGAGCAATCTCCCTATGGCCATGAAGCGAGTTCGAGCGCGACGGGATCTTATACGGGGTTCCGAGCTGATTATGAGCATCGTTGAACTTGTGAACTGGTTTGTGATGACCGTTGGTAAATATCGTCGTCTTGGGGTCATGAGAATTCATGTTATGGCGGTGTTTAGCATGGTCCTTCGGCTGGAGGAGTTGCGAGATGTCTTCAGGCACCGGGTCGAGGTGGTCTTTCTTGAGAGCGCAGGTACAGCGGGAGCCATGTTGGCAGCAGCAGGTATGCGGATCTGTGGAGATGGTATCAGGACCACGATCTGTTCCTTCATAAGATATCCACATACCGGATTTTCCTTCTTGCTTCTCATGAGGACAGTTCTCCTTTGAATGAGACTTGTCATGGCATTCGCATTTCACATGTTGAGAGCGAGACTTCCGTAAGCCTCGGCAGTGTTGGCATTGCGACACAGGGCGACCTTTCTTGTTGACATGCACCAGAGGCCGGTCTGGGTAAGAATGGAGGGTTAGTTGTGACTTCGATGATCTGGCTAGGAATGTGCGAAGTTGCCCAGCACGACTCACCTTGATGGTGACAAGAACTGACACGATGACCCCTCACGCACGCCTCGCAGGCGAATTTTTCGCCGTTGATGAGCATTTCGAGTACCCTAGCAGTCCGGTGCCACAGTCGCTTTCGACAGGGTTTGGTGCAGAGGTAAGCTGGCCTACCTCAGCGAAAGAGGTAGGGATATGCCGGGTCCGTGGGGAGCGGATAGAGGGCGATTTCTCGAGGCGGCGGGGCAGGCGGACTGGTCGGCCACCACGTCGGGTGCAGAGGGTATAGGAAGATTTGAAGGGCGCGCCTCCAAGGAGGTATGACAAAGGAATTAATCTGATATATTTCAAACGCCAGATGGTGCGAGGGTGGACGTTGTCGGCAAGACTAAGGATGGGTGCGGAAGGGTTCCTGGGATAGGGTCCGAAAGAACTTCGAGAAAGAACCGCCTGACGCCGGAAAGTGTTGACAGGAAAAAAAGAAAAGTATTGGTAGGCGAGCAGGGCAGGCTAATATGGATCGGGATCGGCCATGGTTCGAGGTTGGGAGTTGTTCAGCAAAGGTGATGCTGTTTTGCTGGGTGATGAGGGGGAAAATGTGTGTTGTAGAACAAAGAGTGGGTGAGGATTGTATTTGTGAAGAGGATGAGCGGAAGGACGACAAAATTCGAGAAAAGCGTGGTGGCCGCGAGTTTCCACTATTAGATGGGTTTGGAGTCTCTCTATGGAAACCCTTTGGAGCCCTGGAAGCCCTGGAAGCCCGGAGCCAGTGGGGTGGGATATCTCTACCTACGACAGGTTGATCGGTGGATTGCACGGCTGCGGTGGCTGTTTTCGATTCGAGTTTGGTGGCCTCGAGAATTCGCAGGGGATCGGGAGGTGCTGGCATGCGACGGGCACGGGATGGCCATGCAAGGGAACCTCTTAGTAACCCGTGACTCAGGTAGGTTTCCCTTGGTAAAGGCGTCGCGTTCAAGGAGATGCCGATGCCATGGTCAGTGGAACCTTCCGGTACCTTAGAAAGCAGGAAGGATCCCCAACTGGAGGGCACATCACATTTTACTATAGTTATACACTGTACTAATTGGTAGGCAGAGGCTACCGGAAGAACCGCTTAAAAAGACTTGTTTCCAGGTGCACGCTCCCCTGGACTTCTCTTTCCCTGCCCCTCACTCCCGGCTCCCTTGGCCCTGGTTGGAGATTCCAGGGCAACCTCGGGCCACGACACTGCCACTCCCTTCACCGTTGCCCGCCAAAGCCCACCTAAGCCCACCTTAACCGACGGGCACCCGGTGAGGCTACGTTAGCCCTAGTAGCGACCGCCTTCCCGCCTTTGCCTGCATAGGTATTGCAACGTTCGTCACCCTCCACCCCACGGCTGATTCTCATTCTCACCTATGGACATCTCGGCTTGCAACTTAGCATAGTCGCCTTGCCCCGTGACATATCCTAGACTACTCTGTCTGGGCAGTGTGTTGCGCCCTGGTCCAGTTGTGCTGCTGTTGCTCGCCACGAGGTTGCACGAGACGACTACCCATTTAGGATCGAGGGGAATTGAACGGTCAGAACTCTCCACCAAAAGGAAAAGGACCGATACAGAAGACAAAAACCCGGAGAATTACCTTGATCATCCCTCGTAGGCGACAAACAGGGACAGGGTCACAGGATTCGTTCTTCTGTTGTCCCCATGCAGTCGTAGCGAAATCCCGTCGTTAGGCCCTCAGGGTGCCTTCTGACTGGCGGCTATTTTCCTCAGGTACGTTACTTTGTCCTCATACAGGCATGGATTCACACAGTCATCCCCTGTCCATTGAGCTCACGATTTCCCGTCCAGGTTCCTGACATGCAAGCGAGTCAGTGCTGCGGCAGTGAAGTCATTGTACAACCGTGCCACGTGGTCCCGGGTTGAGGATCGCTAGCATCAAGATGTGCAATTGAAAAAAAAGCTCATTTTATTTTTGGGACGTAAATCAGGGAAAGCTATCAACACATGGTTGCTGTAGGAAAATGATCATCCATCTCTCAGCTATTGTAGCAGGCATAGAATGGAGGCCGGTCGACTCCCTACCCTACATGCCGGCAAAGCCGCAACGGCGGCTGCAACCGCAGAGTGGGAGGATGGCCGTCATAAATCTTGTCCGTTCGTTGAAATCGTGATGCCTCTCGCGTCTCGCGTTCGTATTGTTGTTGTTCCTTGCTCCAAACAATCGAACGCTGCTTATCCAAACGCCCTTTCAATGCCACTTTGTACAGCCAAAGTTTCTCCCAGTGTGAAATCAAAACACAGCACGTCCAGCTCTTTCTAGCTCAACAACAGCTCGCTTCATGGCGCACGACTTTTGCTTCATTTACACAGTGGGGCCGGCTTTGATGACCTCCTCGGTGGCCTCATCCGAGTACTTCTTGAAGTTCTCGTTGAACAACTTCGCGAGCTTGGTCACTTCCTCGCCAAAGTCGGCTGAGCCAGTCCACGATTTCTTGGGGTTCAAGAGCTCATCCGGCACGTTGGGGCATGTCTTGGGGACGCTGAGGTTGAACACATCGTAGGTCTCATACTCGACCTTGGCAAGTTCTCCCGAGTGGATGGCGTCCAGAATAGCGCGTGTGTATTTCAGTGGGCAACGCTTGCCACCAGTGGTAGCACCAGCACCAACCCAACCGGTGTTGAGCAGCCATGCGTTGACATTGTGTTCAGAGATCTTGTCGGCAAGCATCTTAGCATAGCGCATCGGGTGTAGAGCCAGGAAGGGTTGAGCGAAGCAGGATGAGAAAGTCGCTTGAGGCTCCGTCACACCGTCTTCGGTACCGGCCATCTTGGACGTATAGCCAGAGATGAAGTGGAACATAGTCTGTGCGGTATTCAGTTTGGAGATGGGTGGTAACACACCGCGAGCGTCGCAAGTCAGGAGAATGATGTTGCTCGGGTGGTTGTCGCTCATACACGGAATCTTCGCGTTGCCGATGTATTCGATGGGATATGCGCAACGAGTGTTCTCCGTCAAGGTCGCATCATCGTAGTCCACCTCTCGAGTTTCGGGGTCAAAGACGACGTTCTCCAAGACAGAGCCGAATCGAATGGCATTGAAAATATCTGGTTCCTTCTCCGCAGACAGACCAATACACTTGGCGTAGCAACCTCCTTCGATGTTGAAGACACCTTTGTCGGACCAGCAGTGCTCGTCATCACCAATCAGCTTGCGGTGGGGATCGGCAGAGAGGGTGGTCTTGCCAGTGCCAGACAAGCCGAAGAAGACAGTGACATCGCCATTGTCACCCTCGTTGGCCGAGGAGTGTAGGGTCAAGACGTTGTGCTTGACGGGCATCTCATAAAACAGGACGGTGAAGACACCCTTCTTCATCTCACCAGCATATTCAGTACCGAGGATAACCATCTCTTTCTCAGCGAAGTTGATGGCAACGCTGGTGGCGCTGGTCATTCCGGTTGTGTATCTGTTGGCAGGGAAGGACCCAGCATTGTAAATGACATAGTCGGGGTGGAAATGTTGCAGCTCTTCCCGGGAGGGTCTGATGAGCATGTTCCGCATGAACAGGGCATGATAGGCCCGGGCGCAGACAACTCGGACACTGATGCGGTATCGTTCATCCCAGCCAGCGAAGCCATCGACAACGTAGATGCGGTTCCGGGTGTTGAGGTAGTCGACAGCACGTTCTCGGTTGATTTTCCAGACCTAGATGAGCACACTGTATGTTAGCTATCTTTTGCTTCGTGTCGTGGTGGGGCAGAGAGCAACGATAGACGGGACGGAACAATTCCACGGCTATGACTTGGGCCGGCCGAGTCATGGGCCAGCCAAGATTGTTAGCCGCGGCTCATAGCCCATGAAGCCCCAGCTAGCTGCGTCATGAGCTTTTTGGGCTTTTCCGGGCAACGCGGGGCAGAGCCACACTTCAGCTATTCTCTGAAGTGTTTCCTGCCGTCCGTAGCGGCGGCGCACATGCGAACCACTGCATCACCGTGCATTGCGGGGAAGTGCTGGCTGTTGGCAAGTCCAGCTGCTCGCTCCTTGACTGAGATCATACGACTCATGGGCCTGCCAGGGCATGTGCTCGCGCTTTCGGATTGGGTTCGCACAAGTCTTGCAATATAAAATGGGTAGAACAGAAGAAGATGGCAATACTGACCTCTGGAGACATGGGCTTGTTGACGGGTCCCCACCACACATCCTTCTCCGAGCCTTCCTCCTTAACCACGCGCTTATCCAGCGGGGAACGACCGGTCTTGGAGCCCGAGTAGGCTGTCAAAGCTCCTGAGGATGTGATGGCCGTGCCGGTTTCGTAGACCAGGGCATCTTCGTAGAGAGCAGACACTGAGGGATTGGCAACAATGGCAACGCGGTCGTAGTCAATGTGTGCAGTCGTGTGGAGCTCTTCTTCGAGCTCGGTGTGCTCGCGGGTTGGCCTGAAGTTGAAGTGAGTCGAGTGTGATCTCAGAGACTTGGGGCATCAAGATGACGACAAACTTACTCGACACCACCGGGGTGCAGCGCGGTCTTGTTGACAGAGTGAGAGACCATTCTGGCGGAAAAAGCTCGAAGCTGGACTTTGGCTAGATCTGAACGTGCTGTGCCAGTTGCTGGAGAAGGCGAGTGAGGCCTGATCTGGTGAACAGCTTGGAGACGAGCAGAATACTCGGCAGCCATGACTTGGGGATCGACCTGATATTGTATCTTTCTGACGATGGGGCCAAGCCGAACTGCAGTGCTATTCCCGATGAACGCACGGGAGAGATCGGAGGGCGACGAGGTGGTTTTGCCTACAGAGTCAATCCGACTCTGCCCGAAGCCTGCTGATTGGAAGAGGCCCAAGTGCCGTCGATATGCCGTGTGGTACTAATTGGAGATGAATGCCACAGGTGCGGAGCATACGATAATGAACGCAAATACCCTTCTTATTATCGTGCTGGTCGAGGTTTCGAGAAGGGAGGGAAAGGAAGAGGATGGCGGGAGAGTGACGGAAGACGGAGGACAGCTGCAATTGAGGTGGAGGCGAATAGCTGAGTAGCTGAGGTCTGGGCTTAGTTTCTCCTCTCCCCTTGCCTCTTGGGTGCCTCTCTCGCCTCTCGTGCGCTGTTCCCTTGACCCCCGCCAATCTCGCCCCCTTGGAAAAGCTGCTGTTGAATGGCTGTGTGCCTCGCTGTTTTTCTCCCCGGCGAGTTGAGGGGTTCGTGCGCCTGCGTCAGCTTTCCTCTGGTGGCTCTTTGGTTTGGACACCAATCGAATATGAACTTCCGGTGAGTACCGCCCTCCAATAAGACAATTGTCCTGAAAGAGAGGCAAGAAGAGGAGTTGTTAATGACGGCGGTGCATACGTCAAAATGAACAACTTTGGAGTATTTCGGTCGATGGTTCTGACGACAACCGTAGATCAAACCAAACGAGCGGTGTAGTTTGTCGTGCCATGGCCTAGAGAGGGAAAGCACAAACACTTGACAACGAGCAGATCATGTTTCAAACCGTTCATCTGTCACACAATAACACGAATGATGGAAAACCACTACATCATTGCAGGTTTGCCTATGACCAACCTCTGCAGTAGGAAACTCGATCAATGTCTATATTGGGACTCAATCCCCACCTTGCAAGGCCGCAACCCATCTGTCCGAGAGCTGCCAAATCATCCCTCCCCCCAAAAGACACCTGCGGACTTTGCCAGAATCTGCGCAGTAGACAACTTGGATCGCCATGTAAAGAGTCTGCTTCGCCCTCACGTCATAAGACATCAGGCGGTCTTCTGCCATGCCCCATAAGCCCCGAGCAAGCTGCTGGTCACCCCTGCCAGACCAATGATACCATCGTCAAGGTTGGTGTATCCGAGCATTGTGCTCGGCACCGTAAGGTCGCAGAGGTCTGAGATCAGTTGGATATTGACGGCATGTTGTTGTCTAGGTTTCGGGAGTCAGTGTACACTTCTATGAGTGTGAGAGTAGTGGTCTGCGACATACCTGGCAATCTTGACCTTCTCCACCTTGGCTTCGGCGTCCTTCTCATCCACAGTCCTGGCACGCTCCCTCAACTTATAAGTATTGTAGACGCCGGCAAGGGCACTGGCGACCAGGCCGGTGAACCAGAATCGGTATGCCGTGGCCTGAATGCTCTTGGCTCGGGCATCTTTCTTGACTCCCATTGCGTCCAACAGCGTCATCATGTCAAAGAACATATAGCCGGCGTAGCCAACCTGTCTCAGGACCTGCAGGTATTGTACAATCTTATCGCCATTGCCTGACTTGACGGCCGCATCGTAGAGTTCGGACCCGGCCCGAATGTGCTCGACGAATTTCCCAACGCGCAGGATCTTCCTCGTCAATCCAAATTGAGTCTTGATCGTGGCCCAGGGCTGAATGGCACTTGTTGGGTTGTTGGTGCGATACAAGTACCAAGCGTAGAATCTGCTGAAGTATTGGATCGTTCGGAGGACTTTGTCGCGACCGACTGCGAAACAGAGCTCAGCAGAGACACTTTGCAGAAGCCGAGTTGGACCAACTCACCAGTTGTCGCAACATATCGCAGGTAATGGGTCACCGCAGGGTGATAGACAAGCGCGTCTGCAACCATCGTGATGATGCGCCTTGTTCTCTGTAAGCCTTCCGGCAGATAAGAAGGTTGAGGGAGATGAACTCGGGATGAGAATGATGGTCTTAAAGCGCGACGCCGGGTAGCAAGGGAGCAAGGGAGGTCAGCCGCCGAACAACGCTGCCTCGGCTCTTCGGGCAATATCCCCTTCAACGAGGCCCGGCCCTCATGCTTGTGCCTCTGCTCGTGCTTCGTGCTCATGTTAAGTCATTCCTCTATGTCTATTCTATCCTATCAAATTGGCAACCACCTCGCCTCTTCTCACATCATCTGCCCGCCCTCCTCTATATCTGCGTCTGCACTCCAATATCCCAAGGGGAAAAGTGCTCAGGCTTGATTCTGAACCGCCGCTATCAACCTCTGGCTTCTGAAGTCTCGATCGTGCCCTTCCTATCAAATTAGCTTACACCCCGAGACATATCTCTTGATGCCAGCTGTCTAACCAGCTCACTTTTCCCGTGTCATCACCCGGCCTTGAATGAAGATGCTTGGGAGCGAATGTTTCTGTCTCTGTAGTCTTCGAACTCCTTTCTTCTGGTGTATCTGTCGAGCTGCTACTGTTTTGAAAACAGGAATTGACTTTGATGGCCTCTTCAACACTGCCACCCCTCTCCACAGTTGAGCATGAGTGAAAGATACTCGAAGCCGTGGATTGTCTCGTTTGTAGGCAGAACAGCGGCCGATGTGCGCAATGTAAGTTCGCCGGGGTTTCTCATGCTGGATCTCGAGTGTCAGCTTCCTGTGCCTTGGGGCTTATCCTTGCAAGTTGACATGTCAACTTGGGATTGTCATGAACTATTTCACAGATTGTCTGAGATAGCCCGTCGCTGTCATCCCTGAGTCGGTAACGGAAGAAGTAGGATCTGATCTGACCAGACAACTCGAGGAAGCCGATCAGAAGTGCATTGGCTTGGAAAGGCACGTCTCTCTCCACGACCTGAGGAGGACAAACAAGACCCTTAAAGCGAGCTTGCATCAAAGGACGCACGGATTCTTTATCGCGAAGTCAGCATAGAGGAGCTCACGTCCGGAATCGCTGCTTCCGGTAACATGCCCTGCGTGCAAATCGAGAATGTGGAAGGTAGACTCTCACGGGCACCACGAAAGCAGGCATAGGCCCTTGGACAAAACGACCATTTGACCGGCGCAATCCTTGCGTCTGCGAAGCAAATCCGAAAAAAGGAATTGTCTCGAAAGGATGCCCTTTTGTAAGACCATCAGCGAGAGATGGAAAGTCTCACAGAGGATTTGAAAGGGCCTTTGAAGCGACAATCATTTGCATCGACAGCAGCGGCAGCAATACTGGGAGCCCGCATGGCCACCACCAGAAAAGCAAGACCTTGGAGAGCTTCTGTCTGCCATCAACAGGCAGAACCCTTCGGCAGATATCTGCATTCTTAGCCACAAGGAGCTTTTCGGGCCCTTTACCAATGTCAAGAGCGCAACGGAAACCTGTGTGGACGGCGGTCAAGCGCAGTGAGAGCGAACAGTGGATGGAACTGATGGAAAGAGCTTAAGAAATGCTGCGGTGAGAGACAAGAGAGAGAAGCCAAAGGCGACTTGCCGGATCCATATATATTGGTGTTTGGCAGTGTCGTATGAGATGAGTAGCAAGTGGGAAGGGTAGGTAAGAATCTCGTCTACATGGGCTCATTTCCCAGCTGCCCGCCACACGGGATAGTCAAGCCCTTCGTCGTTCGTGTCCACATTCACCGGCAAGCAGGTAATATTCTCGCAGGAGACCGGAGGGATCAATTATACCTCGAGCCATCCAGGCACGTTGGTGGTGGTGGAAAATCCGCCGGGCCGCCGGGTGGAAGTTGAGAGAGCACCAACAGGAATTATGTACCTAGGTATCTAGTACCGAGTAGACCATTGAACTACGCTTGATACGATAGAAAAGCCCATGGGCGGGTCCACGACTGCATACCATTATCTAGCAGAATCAAATGTGATCACCCTGTCTCTATCTGTCTCTCTCCTGTATGTTTGATGGCCATGGGCGATAATTTGGCGGAAGCAATGATTCGTGCATTGGTACGTATTCCGAAAACAGCATTGCTGGCGGATCCGCTTTTCTTTTCATCAAGCCGAGGCTCCGATCAATTTCCGCCGGTTTTTGCGGAGGTGGAGCATCATGGCACCATCCTACGACTCAACATAGCTTCTGATATATCCCTTCCCTTATCATAATCGCGAATCCTTTTTGTCATCTCCCAGATAAAATTCAAGCACAATTGTTTTTGGAGACCCCCGGGTCGACGAGGCGCGTGTTATCCTTTTACCGGCTGGCTGTTTGCGAGGCTGGGAATAGGTGTGCGGGGATATCAACGCACACGAAAACGGGGGGTTCGTTGTGTGTTTTGGACAAAAAAGGTATCTCACGTCAGTGCCAAAGACGGTGCGTGAGAGCAGTAGGAGGGAGAAAGGGAGGAAGAGAAGAATTGAGGTTGACCACGAACGGCGAAGGGTTCATCGGTCGGAGACAGCAATTCAATTTAGCTCCAGCTCCAGCTCCAGCTCCGATTCCGTGCTGTTTGTACGTGATTGTAACGGAAGCACAAGTGCAGAGCAGTGCGAGGGAGGTCACGGAAAGAGATAGAAAGAGAGTCTCAGAGAGAGACAGAGAGCACAATGCCCACCAAGTCGCCGTATCCGGACATTCAGATCCCCAATGTCGACCTTTGGGGATTGATGTTCGAACAACCTCGGGATTTCCCCGACACCCAAGGTTCGTGAAAAGGCAATGTCGCTTGAGGTCTGTTGAGATTGAGATGTTTTTGTTGTTAACTCAAACTTCACAAACGCAGTCATCTACCGTTCTGTGGACTCGTCGCGGCACTACACGTGGGCCGATGTCAAAGAAGCGGCCACAGAGTTTGGAGGCGGCCTCCGCAACCTCTGGGACTGGGAGAAGGGTGACGTGCTGAACATCTACGCGCCCAACGACGTCGACTTTGCACCAATCGTCTATGGCGTCTTTTTCGCCGGCGGCATCGTCTCGCCCGCGAACCCTGCCTACTCGGCCGACGAACTCTCCTTTCAGCTATCCAATTCCGGGTCCAAGGCCATCGTGACGACGACCGATTTCCTGCCCACGGCCCTCAAGGCGGCCAAGATGTCCAACATCCCCGAAGACCGCGTGATATTGCTGGGGAGCAAACGAGATCCATCCCACAGGGTCAAGCACTGGACTAACATCCGCAAGACATCGGGCGCGACTCGCTACAGACGGCGCAAGATGAACCCGGATAAGGAGCTGGCTTTCCTCGTGTACAGCTCCGGGACGACCGGTCTGCCGAAAGGGGTCATGCTGAGTCACCGCAACATCATCGCCGATGTGCTGATGATCAAGGGAGCCATGGGCAAGTGGTACTCGAGCGGCAACGACAAGATCCTCGGAGTCCTGCCATTCTACCACATTTACGGACTCACGGGCCTGGTCCATCAACCTTTGCACCGCGGCATCGAGCTCGTGGTGATGCCCGCGTTCAATCTCGAGGTGTTTTTGAAGGCTATCCAGGAGCACAAGATCACATTCATTTATGTTGCGCCCCCCGTGATCGTGCGGCTGTCTCGGGACGAGATTGTCGACAAGTACGACCTGAGCAGCGTGAGGATGATCACGAGCGGTGCAGCTCCTTTGACTCGGGAACTGGTCGATGCAGTCCACAAAAGACTGAAGATCAAGATCAACCAGGCCTATGGATTGAGCGAGACTTCTCCTATGACGCACACGCAGGTAAGCATGCCACAGACTCAATCGAGATTCGGAAAGGTTTTTCTTTTCTCCGCTGACACCGATGGTTCTAGCCCTGGGATGAATGGTACACGTCCGTGGGAAGTGTTGGTAAGATGTTTCCGAGCATGACGGCCAAGTACATGTCGCCCGACGGCAAAGAACTTGGGCCCGGCGAGGCCGGTGAGTTGTGGCTGTCTGGACCGAACGTTTTCAAGGGGTATTGGAAAAATGAGCAAGCGACCAAAGACGCCATCACGGAAGACGGCTACTTCAAGACTGGAGACGTGGGCTTCCAGGACAAAGACCACAATTTCTACATCACAGATCGAGTCAAGGAGCTCATCAAGTACAAGGGTTTTCAAGTCCCCCCAGCCGAACTCGAAGGCAAACTGATGGACCACCCTGGGATCAACGATGTGGCGGTGATTGGGGTGTACGACGAACACCAACACACCGAAGTGCCTCGGGCTTATGTCGTAGCCAGCGATCGCAGCAAGACCAGTGACAAGGACGCAGACGAAATCGTGCAATGGCTGGCTGGGAAAGTGGCGAATCACAAGAGGTTGCGAGGCGGCGTGAGATTCATTGACGAGATCCCCAAGAGCGCTGCGGGTAAGATCCTGCGGAGATTGCTGAAGGACAAAGCCAAAGAGGAAGATGCAGGGACCAAGGTGAAGGCGAAACTCTAGGGTGGATGGAGGATCGGAGGAGTTCTGGAAGAGTCGAGCGAGGAGGGACACGCGGTTGTGTCTTCCCATTTCCCCGCTCTATTTCTTTTTTTTCGGTCGCAAGAAATCGTCTCATGTACACAGAGGGAGTAGCACGTGTGGTCGACAGGGAGTGTATACGAGTCAGGATGTAGTCAATGCGGCTGATGGCCAAGGCGAGGACGAGTGACAAGCTTTTTGGCGACAGCATCTGATTCGGGACTCTGTGCCGATTAAGCCTCTGCAGCCGGCTGGGCAATGGTCATCTTTTCTTTCTTTTCTTCTCTTCTCGTATCGTACTACGGAGTAGGTAGACAGAAATGGAGATGAGAGACGGGAACGTACCTTGCTCGATGGAGCCACCCATCACAGCCATCAGCCCAAGGATGGAGAAGGATGGAGTCGGTGGGCACAAAAGTTCTTCCGTTCCGTAGCCAATACCTTGGACAGAGCCGATACACGTGCTGTCGCTGTCAGAGGGAATCTCCCACGGCCACGCGGCCCAGTGTCCTGAGATGGGAAGATGCCCCGTGCCAGTTGGATGCCAGTGAGCAAGGTGGGTAGGTGAGCAGGTGAGCAGGTGAGCAGCGCCAAATATTGCCTGAGGACGGTCACTTTCCTGAGAACTGCAAGCAAAGGGTGACGCTAACGGATCGTCGACAACTCACTGCAGCGGCGATCCCGAATCTTCACCCATGACTAAGGGTCCGTCGATGGTCGATGGACTGACGATTAGTGCGATGTTACCGTCGGAGGCTCGCTTATAGGAAATCCGGCCACTCACGCAGCCTGCAGTTGTGAGCTTGGGCCCTGCAATGGGCAAAGTGTCGAGTGCCAGATTTTTTGGGCGTTTGGGCTGAATCCTTCGCAACGGGCCCGAAGCCGCATCGGGACATGATCTCTAGGTGGTAATAGCCTGTAGGTAGGCCGGGGAGTGGGCACCACCCACCCACACCCACACTTGGCAGGGGCCTTTATCAGTAAACCATACCCAGCAAGGAACGCCTAGCCACCTAGCCACTCACCTAGCATCGTACCCATGTAACTAACCTGCCCGCTAACCATCTTACCTAGAATGCTTCCTACCATCGCCGGGCTCATACCTCACACTGTGACGTCCTTGCTTCTCTCGACACCCTCCTCTGTCTCGATCCTTGTGTCTCGCCCCCCACTCTATGCCGTCAAGATGCTTGTTCATCTGCATACAGTTTCTTCTTTCGGCCTCGCCTTTCGATGTGTTGATGCACGATTAGATGCCACCAGCACCTGTGTCGAGAGTGGCCTCGGATCAATTTACTCTCACCGTGTCAACACAGTTATATATGCCACCTCCCTCTGTCCCCTCCTGACTCCGAATCTTGTCCCAGAGCATCCCTTCCAAGCAAAGCCAAACCCCCTCTGCAGCGACAATGGATACTCCTCCAGAGAAGAAGATCATTGAAGAGAGACTCGGCCCTGAGGCTGTCCGCTCATACTCCATTCACGAAGCTCCACTTGACGCCACCCCAAAGTCAAGATGGGAACGAATATGGCCTGTCATGGCCTGCGGTGCAGGATTGTTCTCTGATGGCTATCTCAATGGCGTATGTGCCTTCAACAACTAACACCTCAAACATGGACGTGACTGATGGTTTGAACTTTAGGTCATTGGCTCCGTGAACACCATGCTCAAGACGATCTACAAGGACCAGTACACCAAATCCGATGCCCAGAACAACGTCGCCTCGATCGCCTTCGCTGGCACAGTCCTTGGTCAGCTAGTCTTTGGTTATCTGTCCGACCACTGGTCTCGCCGACACTCTCTCCTGATCTCCACCATCATCCTGATCGTCTTCGCTGCCCTGGGCGCAGGGTCCTACGGCGCCGGTGGCAGCGTTCAAGGCCTCTTCGCCGCATTGGCTGCATATCGCTTCCTTCTCGGTATCGGTATTGGAGGAGAATACCCAGCCGGCTCGGTCGCCTGCGCCGAGAGCACCGGGGAACTCAAGGAAGGACACCGTAACCGATGGTTCATCTGCTTCACCAATCTGGCCATCGACGTTGGTTTTGTGGTCGCAGCCTTCGTGCCCATGATCCTGGCCCTGATCTTTGGCGACAACCACCTCCGCGCTGCCTGGCGTATTTCATTGGGCCTGGGCATCATTCCTCCCTTGTCGCTCCTCTGGCTGCGGATCAAGCTGCAAGAACCTGAAGAATACCACCGCAACAAGATGAACCACTACCCCTACTGGCTGATTCTCAAGTTCTACTGGTTCCGCCTGATCATCGTCGCCCTGATCTGGTTCATCTACGACTTCTCCTCGTACTCCTTCAGCATCTACTCGTCCTCATGGCTGGCCTTCTTGCTCCCAAGCACCGCACCCCTGTGGAAATCTTTTGGGTGGAACACGGTCATCAACTTGTTTTACGTTCCGGGAGCTATCATCGGGGCCTTCCTTTCCGACTGGATCGGCCCCAAGTACTGCCTCATCACCGGTGTCTTGCTACAGGGCATCGTCGGCTTTATCATGACCGCCATCTACAAGCACCTCGACCAGGCTTCCCAGGTCGGCGGCTTCGTCGTCATGTACGGCATTTTCCTGGCACTGGGCGAGGTCGGCCCCGGCGACAACATTGGATTGGTCGCGTCCAAGACCTCGGCCACCCCTGTGCGTGGCATGTACTACGGCATTGCCGCCGCCTGTGGCAAGATCGGCGCCTTCGTCGGCAACTACATCTTCCCGGACATCATCAAGGCCGCGGGCGACAATGTCATCAAGCAGGGCCAATACCCCTTCTACGTATCCAGCGCCCTGTGCATATTCTCCGGTCTTATCGCCTTCGCCTTCCTGCCCAATATCGGCCAGGACACCATCACCAAGGAGGACGAGCGCTTCCGGGAGTATCTGATCAGACATGGTTATGATGTCTCCACCCTTGGCACCAAGAAGTATCATGAGGAGAAGGTCGTGGCTCTCGAAAGGGCCCAAGAGATGTAAAGCGAGCGTCCGTCACACGTATATACGTGAAATCTGTCTGTTAGCGACTTGAGGGACACTGGGGTCAGAGTTGAGCAAGAAGGGTAGTTAGACCTGTGAAGCCCTTTGATAGAAAGACCTACAGAGAGTGGAAATACATTTTTGAAACCCGCCCAGCCCAATCCAGCCCATTACGTTCCGTTCCATTAATGCCATTTTGCCTATCACAATTCTATCGCCGTAGTTTCTTGAAAAAACAATCTCAATACCTCCCTACGTTTCCCACGCATTTTTTGCTGTTCACCGTATTTTTCCCTTCTTCCTCCTTCTCTAACGTCCTGCGAGGATATCCCGCCCCAGCATAGCCCTCGATTTCCACGCGTGCTTGTCACAATGTCTCTCCACCTCCTGCTTGAAGGCGACTTCGTCACGGTAGTAATCCTCCGCGGCCACGGTGTTGGCGAGGTCCTCGAACTCGGGAACCAACAAGAGGCCGAGGATGTTGTCGAGGATTTCTTTATTCGTGGTGTGGACCGTCCAGTCGCGGTCGAGGGTTGGATGGCTTTTAAAGGAGAAATAGAATCAGTTCATCACAATCCCATATCATAATCGACAACGCTGGGTTGGAAAAGGGGGGATCAGAACTTACCAGATTCTTCCGTGTCGATTGACGTTTGGATGCAAGATCGGGGTGACGAAACGCGCGATCGGAGCTTTGCGTGGATAATCCTTCCCCATATCGAGATAAAGGACAAATGCAGCTTTAGCGTATGCCGACCCTCGTGCACCCTCCAGGACGATCTTCCAGAACCCCATGTTTCTCTCAGAGACGAACACGTCGATATCAGGGTGCGGGTTGTAGGCAATGTCGCGGATTTCTGCCAGGAGTCTGCGGGATGGAGTCGTCGGCGAGGTGGGAGTACGGGGCGTTTCCTCGGGCACCATTGACCGCGTCACTCTTTCCAAGTAGCCGACTTGGATGAATGGGTCGTGAAGGTTCTTATGGGTCTTGAGAGCAGGGAATTTATCTCTGGTGAGGGGATCGGGTTCCAACTCTGGAATCTCAGTCGCCCATGGCAAGTCGAATGGTTGAGCCGACATGAATCGCACGTTTCGGGGTCGTTCGTGGATCGAGAGCACCGGCTCCAGTTCACACAGAGCAAGGGCCTGTTCGAGAGACGTGGGCCTGAATTTGTATCCACCTGTAAGATGCGAGATCGTTCGGAGCGCACGAGTATCCTCTCCCGGAAGGGCGATCGAGTCGACCACGATGCGGTGCTGGAATAGTTTTCCACACACTTCCTCTGCTTTGCAGACCGAACCGGTATCTCGGCCATCGGAAATGCAGATGATTCTCTTCTTGATCCCCGGGTAAGATTGACTTTGGGAGATTAGATGGTTCGCCGCCAATACAAGCGCGTCCCATAGCGCAGTGTTGCCTCCTGCGTCGATAGCATCCACGGCCTCTCGCACGTTCTCAACGGCGCCCGTCAGCCACTGCGTGAGTCTCACGTCTGTCCCGAAGGTGACCAGGCCAACGGTCGTGGGGTAACCGTACGCAATCAATCTGTCGAAGAACTGTGAGCAGACCTGTTTAGTCACATCCATCCTGGACAATCTTGAGGCTTTCTGGTCCCGCACTTTGCGTCGCTCGATTTCTTCGGGTCTCTCGTACTGTGACAACGCGACCTTGAACACTCGACAATGGCCATAACGGTGGGCATCCCCAGCGGTCGCGCTTGAAAGTTTGGCTCCGGTGTAAGGTTCGCGACGGGTTGCGTCTGACTTCTTTCCCGCGTCGCGAATGAGTTGATAGAGTGGCTCATGTTCTCGGACCTCTTTAGGACGAACATCCCTCAAATCTTTGGACAGTGACTCCCACGAATTGCGTCGGGTAAATCCGATCCCATCGTCGCCGAGGTCTTTGAAATCAGTCTTTACGGATTGATCGTAGACAAAACAGGTAACGCCACGGTGCTGCACGTCATATCTCCAGTTCCGGAAGATGATCGAACCGTAGGTAAGTTGAGAACCCACTGGTACCCAGTAGTTGAAAGACTCCTTTGAAAAGTGAGCTTTTGAGAAGTCAGTAGTGTTGTACACTCGGATGAGACACATTTGCTCCTGGCTTGTCGAGCCTCTGGGGGGGTTTTCACGTGAGATATAGTTTGGATTGATGGTAATAGTCTCGCCGTCCAACACCCCTTTCTGCAACATGTTCACTTTGGTGCAAGGTAGATAAACATCTCGGACATGAAGCGAGAATTTGGCGTACCGACCTCGCATTCCTCGAAAGGCGACTTTGTAAAGATCCAATAAACGTGTCGATTCTGGCAGCTCTCTGCTGAAGCACGAAAGGCCAACGAAATTTATGATGAGTCCGGACAGGCGTATGGAGAGTTGGCTTTCTGTACGTCTAGCCGTCGACGGCAAAGAATTGATGACATCCTCTGCTTTGACCCAGGCCTTGATCTGATTCGCCTTAACTTCATCATGCCTCAAGGTCGTGTCCGCGATAGGACGTTGCGTCAACGGATTGCTTTTGTGGTCACGGTACCAGAACTCGATTGCCTTTCTGTCGAATCTAAATCCATCAGATGTACACACCGGATCTTGGAAAAGGTCGTGGCTGATCGGACATCGGTACTCCTGAGGAACGACACAAAAGTCGCCCAATTCTATGGTCTCCTCAGTCGCTGAAGGTGGAGGAGGAGGCAGATCATCACCGTAGGTCCACACGCATTGTTTTGATTCAAACCACGGGTCTTTGGCACTGTAGATCAGGATATCGGACAAGGCTCTTTGGTGAAGATTGATCCCGGCAAGAATCCTCTGTAATGAGCGCATCTGTCGCTCATTAGGCCCCATGCCAACATGGGAAAATCTAGCCGACGTCGTGACTGTCTCTCGGCCGGTCGTTAGATGATCGATCTCTCGAATGGTCAGAAATCTCAAGAGTTCGAGAATTTGTTGCACGACTTTCGCGGCACCAGAGGGGCAATAACGAATGATATGAATGATGTCTTCATAGGATTCGTGGCCACGTAGCCAGGATTTAATCTCATCCAGAGACGCATCTTGAACGTCTTCATCACCCGAGATGACATCGGCATTAGCCTTGGCTATGGGTGTGACGCTATCGTTGTTGTTGGTTCCCTCGAGCTCTAAAAACCCTGACGATGTGCACATGCTGTGGCTGCGGTCCACGCAGAAGACAACCAGCTCAGTCGGAGGGGACTCCTTCTGACGGGAGCTCGCGCTGACGACGGCGTATATCGTAAGCACATTGTTGGTGGCGAGCTTGTTCAATCCAGCCTCTTTAAGTGTCAGGCTGAGGTCGTTGGTGCTGATAGGGCCTTGGATGGTGTGGAGGTCGAGCTTTGTAGGGAAAGCATTTCGAGGCCAAACAGCGGGCAGCTGGAGGTATTGTGCAATATCATCTCTTATCTCTTTCAGGGTTGAAGAAGGCGGGTAAGAGTGGCCGGCTTTTAGGAAAGTGATTGACCGCTTTTCGAGAGGTCCCTGGGCTTCTTTCGGAATGATAACTCGAATGCGTAGTGCATCAATTTCAGAAGGTTTCTTGTGATCAATCTGGGCGCCCAATCGCGGAGCGTCGAGAAAGATGATGAAAAGCACATCTGTTGTAGTGATCACATCTTGAATAATAGCTTCGTGGTCTATCAGGGAGCCATCTTCTGAGCCTAGGCAGAGTTGCAGCCAGTCATGTCGGACGTAGTTAGGCAAGGATCGGTACTTGGAAGCACGTTCTATGACAGTGCCAGTAAGGTCTGAAATTGTGCGATTGCCATCGAATTCCACCAGAAGGTCAAGTCTATCACCTTTTCCTTTTGGTGGGAAGAAGGCGATCTTGTATCGGGCCATTGCGACATTCATGGTGGAAGGGACAAGGAATTGGGTTTTGGATGAATCGGGTGCGATTTGGCCTCGAGGAAGACCAATTGAAACGTGGTCAGTGTAAAGGAAACACGTCGAGGACGAAGAAAAGCCGCAGGCGAGTAAGGTAGACTGCTCGTAATGATTACTGCCTCGCAGTGCAGCAGTCTCGAAGCAATATTAAAGCGAAGGGGAACGAGTCTGAAGAGCAGGGGAAGCAGGGTTGCGGCAATGTTTGGAAGCAAATGGGGACGTGTTTCTGGAACGGATTGACTGCCATTCCCGCTTTTGGCTTCTTTGTGAGAACCACCCACTTGGCATGAGAATATCCATAGATACACTACCTTTGAGCGCGGCGGGTGCCCTCAATTGGCACAACACAAGGTGCGAGCGCCTGGAGAGCTGGAACAATGCGCAAGGCTGTCCTGCATCTGAGCAGCCCGCCAACGTACCGACACCAAGGACAAGCAACGGCGATGCATCATTGCGGCAGCTGGATTCAATATATGCAAAGTCCCACTGGTCAGCATCAGTAAAGACAGCACGACCCGCGGCCGCACATCGACCTTCTTGCGAGGTTAGACGCAGCTCATTCTGTTCAGATAGAAAGCTGCGGACGGGGCTTGAGCGCGACAGGTCCCGCGCCGCATTGTCAGCCAGGTCGAAGTCGACATTGCTAGTCGAATAGTAGTGACCGATGCTGCAGCGCAAGATAGACTCCACAAGAACCTCCTGTCTCTGGAATATGGAAAAGTGATCGAGAAAGTTGATAGAGACACAGTCCGTCCGTCATCCTTTTTAACTTTTGTGCAAGCTCTTGTGATCGTCCGTACAAAATACGGTGGTGTATTCAGCCCAGGCTACGGTGGTTCATTTAGGCCAGACAAACACTAGGCTGGCTTCTGCTGCGCGTTCTCCGACTTCGTGGTATTTACCCAAAGCCAACAATCAAATCGCTTGCTCTTGCTTCCTCTCTTTCCTGTCTCATAACCAACATCTCTCAGTCCTGCAGAATGGGTTCAGATCCTCAGTTCGCCAAATATCCGGACCTGACCCTCGCCCAGCACATCTTCTCCCTTGCCAATGCGCCTCGGACAGTTCAACCAGCATCCTTGAATTACCTTCAAAATGCAATCAAAGACCAGAAGATGGCGCCGTTATATCGGCATTTGGCCCATCCTACTGAAGGTGTGCTGAATACTGTGGGAGAAAGCACAGCTCAACCATTACAACCGCCATCAAAGCCTGCCGCCCGACGTGCGTCCCTCGTGTCAAGCAACCTGTTACCACCCAAGAAGCCTGTACCCTCCGGCATTCTGCCATGGGACGAATCGCTATATGAAGAACTCAAGGCCGACAACGCAAAAGAGCTGGAGCAGTTTCAGAAAGAGGAAGAGGAAGCTGAAGAGAAAGCTGGAGAAACAGAAATACAAGCGGCTCGAAGCAAGCGTGCGGAGTTCTGGGCCCGGGTCGGCGACAAGGTAAGCCAGGAGATGATATCGTGAGGCTACATCCCTCTGATCAGTTACTAGGACAAAGCGATTGCAGCATACGAAAAAGTCTTTGACAAAACTGGTCCACTGGGCACCAAGATTGACATTGTCCTTGCCATCATCCGCATCGGCATCTTCTTCAACGACAAGGCTTTCACCAAGAAACAAATCGAACGTGCGAATATTCTGGTGGAGAGTGGCGGAGACTGGGACCGAAGAAATCGATTAAAAGCTTACAAGGGCCTACACCTCCTGACTGTCCGATCCTATAGCCTTGCCGCTCCTTTACTCCTGGACAGTCTCTCTACCTTCACCAGCTATGAGCTTTGCAGCTATTCTTCCCTCGTCGTATACGCTGTGCTTGCAGGGTCGCTTTCCCTCAAGCGGGTTGATTTCAAAGCCAAGGTGGTTGACGCGCCCGAGATCAAAGCGATCTTGGGGGATAGCGAGGACAAGGCCCCGGGCGCTGATGAAGAGATGAAGGATGCATCTGCTGCAACTGCCGAACGTGCCGCCGGCCTCGTCAACGTCAATACGCTAGGCGCTAGCAGTGCAATCCAGTCGCAAAACGAAGCCCCCATGGACGTTTCCTCGTTGGCTGGGTTGGTCAATAGCCTCTACAGTGGCAACTATCGCAACTTCTTCCTGGCATTGGCTGCGGTTGAAGAGAACTTCTTGACGCAAGATCGATACCTATATGAGCATCGAGCATGGTTTGTGCGAGAAATGCGGTTGCGTGGATATCAACAGCTCCTCCAATCTTACCGGGTGGTGGGCCTGGCAACCATGGCACAGGCATTTGGTGTCAGCGTGGATTTCTTAGACCGAGATCTGGCCAAGTTCATTGCTGGTGGTCGAGTGAGTTGCACAATCGACCGAGTGCAAGGGACCATCGAGACAACCCGGCCGGATGACAAGAACAAGCAGTATGCAGACGTTGTGAAACAGGGGGATGCGCTGATCACCAAGCTGCAGAAGTACGGCCAGGCTGTGAGACTGAGGGGTAGCGAGCGAGCGTGAGTGAGAACCCATGTGCATGTGTAAGAAGGCCCAGGCGTTTTAGAGTGGATGGCAGGTAGGAATCCCACCGCATGGATTGTGTCATGTACCATACCATTATCATAATGCGATGGCCAGGAGGATCTTTTGGAGGAAGAAGAAAATAACCACGCGACAGAAGACCAAGGACACGGAGCATGCCGTTGGCGATAACATTCTCAAAGGTGCTTTGATCGGACACTTTAGCTGGCGGCCTTCCACCCTGCGCATTCCGCAGATCCCAAAAACTCTTTCTCCCTCTCGTGCTTCTCTCTTCTCCAATTATTTCTTGTCGGCTCTTGAACCCCCAGTGACCCCCTGGCTGGACGCCGAGAACAGCTGCAGCAAGCTGTGGCGTCCCCCACACTGTAGTACTTCGTAACTTACTCCAGCGATAAGATAGGCGTGGATGAGCGTGGAGAAAAGCTCCCACGCGGCGCATGACGAGACGAGATTGACGCAGCCAGTGAGCCAGATGCTTGATGGCCGTTTTGCTGGTCGATCGTGTGCCCGCCCTTGTTTGCCCTTAGTTTCCTTCCGACGGCCTGCCCGCCCATGCCACCCTTCTCGAATAATACCTCAATGGCCTCACAGCTTCAAAGCCTTTTGCAAAAATTTGATATCTGAGTTCGAGCTCCCGATATCGCTTTGCCTGCTCCAAATCTGACAGTTTAGGAGTCCCCACTCCTGGTCTCCAGAGTCTGCCCTATATATGTACCAGAAGATGCCGTCACCCACATTGACCACGTCAAGAGCGTCGTCTGTGTTGCTGCGAGCTCAATATTTATCCAGTGAACTTGCCATTGCCTGTAGGGCACTGTCAATAACGAGTTCAGCACCTCTTGCCCCTCCAGCACAGCAGCCAAGCCCATCACGAGGTGAGAAGAGCGTAGTCGCAGCTGCGCCGGTTGATTTGTTTTTGGCACACCACATTGTGACTCAACCGAGCATAGTTGCTTCTGTGCACCCGATCATTTTTCTTGCCTCACTTGTTTGTACCCGGTGACCAGCTTTAAAACTGACATTTCCAATGCACAGTTCCTCATCCTTGCCTCAGACCTCATCTTCCTTCCTGCCGTCGCAACATGTCGTCGACTCGTCCGTTGCGCAGTTTGAGCATCCATAATATCAACCCCCATGTGAAGAAAGCAAAGTACGCCGTGCGAGGCGAACTTGCCATCAAGTCAGAAGAATACCGCTCCAAGTTGAAGAGAGAAGACCCTCCTACACCGTCCGAGAACCCTCTGCCCTTTGACACCATCATCTCCGCCAACATTGGCAACCCCCAGCAACTCGACCAGAAACCCATCACATTCTTCCGCCAAGTACTTGCTCTACTCGAGTACCCAGCCCTCTTGAACAACGAGGAAGCGCTCAAGTCGAATTTTGGTTACAAGCAAGATGCCATCGACCGCGCTCGCCGGCTGCTGAAGGAAATCCACTCGGTGGGGGCATATTCACAGTCTGCCGGTGCCCCTGGCATCCGTCAGTCCGTTGCCAACTTCATTGAGCGCCGGGATGGCTTCCCCTCAAACAAGGACGATATCTACCTCTCTGCAGGTGCTTCGTCTGGTGTCAACACCCTTCTTCACATCATCTGTGGCAAGCCTGAGACAGGCGTGCTCGTCCCTATACCACAATATCCACTCTACACTGCGACGCTGTCTGTCCTCAATGCCCGCTGTGTGCCCTACTATTTGGAAGAATCTCAGGCTTGGAGCACAGAACTTTCCATAATCAAGGACGCTTATGACAAGGCTATCAGTGAAGGCACTGACGTGCGTGCCATTGTTGTCATCAATCCTGGCAACCCAACCGGTGCCTCGTTGTCAGAAAAGGATGTTGAGGACACGATAAAGTTTGCTGCAGAGAAGAATCTGGTCATCATGGCTGACGAGGTTTACCAAACTAACGTCTTCGTTGGTCAATTTCACTCTTTCAAGGGCGCCTTGCGGAGGATGCAGCAAAGGGAACCGGGCCGGTATGACACAGTCGAACTTGCATCCTTGAACTCCGTCTCCAAAGGCATGGTAGGCGAGTGTGGGCACCGTGCCGGCTACTTTGAGCTTGTGGGCTTTGACCCAGAAGTCCAGGCCGAAATCTACAAGTTCATCAGTATTATGCTGTGCCCTCCTGTCATCGGTCAGTGTCTACTCGACCTCGTGGTAGACCCTCCAAAACCAGGCGATCCCAGCTTCGAGCTCTACGATGAGGAATACAACGGTGTCAGGAACGGGCTGAAAGAGCGGGCCTGGGCACTTTACGAAGCGTTCAAGCAGATGGAGGGCGTCGAGGTGGGAGAGCCACAGGTAAGTTGGCCTTTAGCCACATCAGCCATGTTAAGCCGTTTTGCTTACTCTGTCATCAATAGGGTTCCATGTATCTTTTCCCCACCATTAACGTTTCGGACAAAGCAGTCGAGGCTGCCAAAGAGGCAGACCGTACCCCCGACGAATTCTATTGCCTCCGTCTCCTCGACGCGACCGGCATTTGTGTCGTCCCGGGCTCCGGCTTCGGGCAGAAACCTGGTACATTGCATCTTCGAACCACCTTCCTCGCTCCTGGGACAGATTGGGTCGGCCGGTGGACCAAATTCCACAAAGAATTCATGGACCAATACAGATAGCCAGACAACCTCGAAAAGGAAACGACAGAGAAATTGCCGGCTTGTGCCTTGTCATTATAACTGTCCTGGAACTGTATGATATCAGAGGGCTCCTGTTCAAAATCGGCAGTAGTCGCATGTACACTGCACTTTTACCTCTTCATCCAAAAATTCATTGACAAGTCTCGCACAATGATGATGATATTCAAACATGAACCCATGGCCCGATTCTGGGTACATGTGTATATGTACGTTGGGGTTGGTTTGGCTGATCTTCTGCCACAACAGAATGCTATTCTGCTCCGGCACCAGTTTGTCCCTCTGGCCGCACAAGATCAGGACAGGACAAGTGATCTCGCCCAGTCGATCATAAGAGCCTTCATCGCGGTGGTTGAGACCATACCACCTCATCATGGCTGTGATTTGTCCATCGATATCGTTGGTCGAGACGAACGGCCACATGGAAGAGCAGCTTGTGATACGGTTCCACCATTTCTCCCCCGTTTTCTGTCTCTCTTCACTGAGTCCAAAGAAGCCGGCTAGGAATCCGGACTTGATGTCGCCATCTGTGATAGCATTTGTCAAATTCTGGAAGTACTGCATGTCACCACTTTCTACACCTGGTCCCTGACTCGGTGCGGTGCCCGCCAGAATGAGTTTTCTGATCAAGCCTGTGGGCGCTTCAAGAGCTAACATCTGCCCAATGAAGCCGCCCATGCTGAATCCCAATACATCGACCTGCTTGAAAGCTAGGCCCTTGATCAAGGCAACGATTTCCCTGGCCCAGAACTGAAAGGACAGGGCCGTTGAAGGTGACGGCGTCTGCGTGCGTCGCGGATCGGTTCTTACTGTTCTTTTGCTCCCTTTGAGGGACTGGGGATCCGCACTGCCATGGTTGTCTAGCAAAAGCAGTCTCCGGTGAGCGGCGAGGGCGTTGATCAAGGCAGGGTCCCAGAAGTCCAGACGACTGCGGAAGTGCGTTGGCAAAAGGAGAGGGACATCGTCTTGTTGTTTGTTGGTGCCGAAAAGTCTGTACGCGAAAGTACTGTTGTTGACTCTGAGGATTTGGACCGGAGCAGTTGCGTATTCTGAATATTCCATTTTGGTCAAAGCCCGGCGTCTTCCCTGCGAGAGAATGCTCTTTGCGCGTTGTTTGGAATTCTTGCCTGAGTATTGTATTGTCGAGAGTCTTGACGCCAGCTGAAAAGCAGCCCGCGCCTCGACACTTATAGATTACTTCGGCTTCTGCATACAGCTCCAATCCCGGGCCTTGAGCTGGGCCTAGGACCATTCCAACGCCGTTGCCTAGCGCCATGTTGTGCCCTTACCATGGTGGTGCGCCTTGATTATTCATGCATCCTAGCCAGTGGCTAGAATCCAAAGCATTTCGATGCGGGCTGGTGAACGACTCGCTGGATGCTGGAGTCGTTGTTCCTTGCAGGTGGTCGAGTCTAGACTCATCCAGGCAGTTACTTGTGGAGAGCAAGTAGCCCAGTCAGCCCCGAGTGCCCCTTGCAATTGGTCGACTCGAGACAGGATTCTGAGCCAGAAAAGGGCATTGGTGGATGTAGGTAGGCATGAAAACTGCGGCACAGTGTGTCTAGCATTGCAAAATTCGCGATATTCATCCTCCGTCTGGTTGGGAGACGGACCACGGTCGCAGCCAGATAGATGCGCCAAGGGCCGACACCACAGTCACCGAGACATCCACTCCGGTCCATTGCCTATTTGAAACTTTCCTTCTGGGCCAGTGTCGGCGACAAGATCACCTTCCTTTCTAGCACGCCAGCAATCTTGAAGGCCGCCGCAAGCACCAATCCCAAAGCCGCCCAGACAAACGCCATGCCCACCCAGGTGACTGCATAGAAGCCGCCTGTCATCCATGCGTGAACGTCCTTCCCGCCATCGACCTGGATCCTGCCCGCCATCTTCCCTGCCGACGCGGTGATCTTCGCAGACGAGATGGTCAACAGGATCGTCGACGCAATGCTCGCAAAGAACCCCATGCGCAAAACCACAAGCGGCATCTCTCTCTTGCCCAGCGGTCCTCCTCGCCTCTTGACGGAGTGTAGAACGCCAACGCCGTAGAGAAAACTGAGGACCGTGAGTCCCATGCTAGCGATGCCGAGCACGAGAAGGACGAAGGGAGCTTTGGTGTCCAGCGTGCTGCGGTGGTGGTCGGCAATCACAAGCTGCTGTCCAGCGTCGCCGCCGACAATCTGCGCCAGCGAGAAGGTGTACCCGGCGCTCTGGGACGTGCAGCTGATTGTGCTGTGGTTTTTGCCCAGGCTGGCCGTGTGGTTTTTCCACATACCCGAGCAGATGGAGAGGTAGTGGGCCTCGTGCCAGTCTGCAATAGCCAAGGCGCTGTCCGCGCTAGAGTTGGCCAAAGAGCTGGTGTCGACCTGTGTGGATTTCTGCCATCAGCTATCTGCACGAGCAGGATATATTTCGACGCTCCCGACACTAGTAGACGCATAATAAATCCCAAGCAGAGATGTTCGGTGGTGCAGTTTACTGTGGGTGAAGCATTAAAGAAGCAACACCTCCCATTGATCTTGGAGGTCATCCCACGCCAAAGCCACATTCACCTTCTCATGTGTCGCTCCTTGTCGACTACCTTTCGATCCACTCCTCGCGGCGTGCAGGGGAGGCAGAACATACCGTCAATATAGCCAATCCTTCCAGCGAACCGCGCGACATGCCCGCGCACAGGGCGATGACGAACAGGACCAAAGCGACGGAGGTCAAGACCTCGCAGCCGACGAGGAGTCCAACGTGAGAAGTCGAAAAGCGCGCCATGTTGTTGCCCGCCTATTGAGTAGTTCAAGGGAGCCGATATTAGCGATGCAGTCTCATCAATCTCAACGAGAGGTCGAACAAGCTTTTTTGTTTCGTGGGAAGATTATTCGCTCCCTGTGGGCTTTGGGTCCTCTATGTATATGTGCCCTGCTACAATCATGCTTTCTGAGGCAATTTCTTTCATCACCTTTACACGAATGCGCCGGTGGTGCATGGGCTTCCCCTCGTACTCGTATTCTAGCCGAGCTGTCCTTAATCAGATGATGGATCGGCCACACTTCTAGGCTAAGCAGCGACCTTCCCCTCACTTGTCCCGGGAAATAAGCTGCCGAGAATATATTTATATCTATATTGTCTGACGACACTGTATATCAGACATGTGCACTCTCACACCAAGGACACTTCGAGACGAGGCAACAGACTCTCTCCTCTTCCTTCCTTTCAAGTAGCAGATAGACACACTTGGCAACAACAACGGCACCATACAATCAACCCGGGGACCATTACGACCTTCTTCCCCTCTGGCCACAGCTAGCCGGATTAGTAGACAAAACCTCCTAGCCAGCAGGGCGTCCGACTAGCGCCCATATTCTACACCAGCAGCCCCTGTGGACAGTAATTACACACTCATTTCAAAAAGCTTCCATACCTCTTGTTCCTCACGCATATCTGAACGCTGGCCGTGCTTCTGCTGACTTTCCCCGGGGGGGTCCATGAGAGGGCGTGCAAAGGGGGCTTTGTGTGTGCTGACCAACAGGTGTCTCCGATCGGCGCCAGCAATTTATGTTTTCCATCCGATATCTTCGTGATGGTTGCTGATACGTGGATGAACGGGCGATATTAATGGAAAGTGCCATACTGACAGAGTGCCATACTGACAGAGTACCATACTGACGGAGTGCCATACTGATAGAGTGCCATACTGATAGAGTGCCACACTGACAGAGTGCCATACTGACAGAAGCTCGGCAAAGTCCCAGACTGGCAAGGAAAGTGTATAGAACCTCGACTTCTACTTGCTGACTCTGCCAGAAATGGCAGAATCACAATGCGGCACAGGACACGAATTCCCAGGAGTGCCATTGCGCGCACAATGTCTGCCTATAAAAGGACACTCCTTTACCCTGCTTTACTGGTTCTGAAAGAGCAGTGCAATATTTCCGAGAATACCCAACCTAATCAACTTTTTCGGGCTTTGCCTGGGTCCATTCATATACCGCTCCGGTTTCGCCAGTGCACCCTTTGTCTAAAATGTCCAGACCGCATCGAACCACTACTACCCACATTACCAGAGTCACCGAGACTCTCAGGGACAACATGACGTCCAAGCGCACAGAAGAGGTCATCATCACCAAGTCAACGAGCTCGACAACATCCTCCTTGATGATGAATATGTCCCAACAGAGCAACGGGTAAGCCATACAAACCCCCAAAGTTACCTTACCAAAATTCCAAGTAAACAAGGTGCTGACATGTGCGTCGGACTGAAAGAGGACTCGAACGGAAATCCAAGGCGAACACCAGCAACGATGATGTGATGCGCCGATTCCTGGAGGACCGGGACCATGTCATCGATAGATTACACAGGGACAGTGGGGATCGACGAAGCGCAGTGGGGAGTGTCGATGTCCACAATGCTGGTGTCAGGAAAAGGACCGAAGAATATGTCAAGGTGATCGAGCGGAAACCCTGTCGGATGTGAAACACACGGTGAACTGTTTAGCAATCGCGCGAGATACCCCGTTGGGTTTTCAGAGCTGGGTGTTGGGTTTATGGTTGAGGAAGGTTCAGGCACAGATAGGCGTCAGGCAGTCCCAGTGTGGCAGCATGATGGTTGTAGAAAATTCATACGGATCTCCAGTTGTGTCCCGTTTGTCCGGTTGTTAACAGCAATGTCCAAGTCTGATGACCGCGTGAATACGCTTGGTCATGCTTTTTTCTTTTTCAACGCTTTGGCGGATTTGTTTCCTCCCCTTCTTGGTCGCCATCTTCACCATGACCACATGGAAACAGCAGATCCGAGTACTCAGTTGAGGGGAATTGGCCGAGCTCAGCGGACCCGTCAAGAAATAGATCCCCCAAAAGACCCTCTGGATCCTCTGACTCGAAGGCTTCCGGTTGAGACTGAGACGTGGCCGAGGTGTGAGCTCCTCCTAGATTGGAAGCCATGTTTGAGTGAGCATAACTCGACAGCGTGGAGGCTTGTTGATCTCTGATAGTATTCCATATGTCGTACTGACCACGCGTGTTGCCATAATAGTTTTGCTCGGCTGCTGGGTTCGGTGCATACACTTGGTTCGGGAGCGGATTGAGATGTTGAGGTTGACGGCTGAAACCGCTCGTCATCGGATAGTAGCCGGTCGGAGGGCCTAAGTAGGGCATGTTGGGACCAGGATATGGTTGCAAAGGGTTATACGGCGGTGGGGCGTACCACCACTGCATAGGATACGCAGCCTGCGGCGGGGGTGGTTGGAAATGCCCAGACCACAGGGTTGGTTGCTGAGGTTGAGCAACATGAGTATATACTGAGCTGATGGGAGATGATGGCGGTGGAGGAGGGCCAATATCTGTCAAGGGATCCCGCCTATGATTACTTGATGTAGTCATTGGGGCCAGAGGGATCTGCCGAAAGTCGTATCTTGGTGTGGTTGAGTTCGACTGCGAGGCGAGTGGGTCTGGGTTCCGTTCGCGCTCACTTGCAGGTTCCATATGAGCTGCAGTTTCAGCAGATGTTTCCACCATTTCTCTGGAAGGTCGCACATTCATACCACTCGAGGGAGTTATCGACTCCGACGACTGGTCCTCTCGCTGTTGCCGCCATCTTTCGCTGAATGACCCGGGAACTTCCGAGACAGAGCTCAGGATTCTGTCCAGCCTGCCGTCCAATGTTCCATCAGTCCTGCTCAATGTTTCCCTTATTGTTCGTCTCAGCCAGGAGCTGTCTCGAATATCCCGGCGCATGAAGTTTTCGAAGCTCTCGAAGTCTTGATGCGGCCGATATGCTTCGAGTGCTCTGGGCATGTTTGGAAGCTCGTCAGCTTCATGCTGATCCTCGAAAAGGATATGGCAGATACGGCTCCAGAAGCCGTGCGGTCCTAGCGTTTTCTCGCTGCCCCTGTTCCGATCGTGAAGTTGCTTGTATTGCTGCGGGTCGTAGCCATCCTCGTAATTGCGAGTTTCTTTGAAGGGACACTGGGCTTTCTGGTGACGTTTCAGTTGCTCATCGCTGGGGAATATCTCTTTGCATGTCCGGCACATGGAGATGTAATGATGCTTCTTGAGATGTTCCAATATATGATGAAGAGTGCCCCGCTTCCACCTCCTTCTGCTGCATTTTGGGAATTTCCGCGGATTGCGAACATGGTACGGGCAGCAATAAAAGACATCATCCTCCAACTCGTCATCTGGGGGATACCCAGAGTGCCTGCGACGCTTTGAATGATCATCATTATTTTCATCTTCATCATGATGATCAGGGTCATCACGAGCTGTCCTTTTACGCCTGTTATGGGACGGAGAGCGCCGAGTCTCTGCACTCGATTGGTTTGGACAGGCTTTCTGAGAATTGCAAGACTCTGAAGGACATTCGACGAAACGGGAGCCTCCAAAGTCCCTGAATAGCAACAGCATTCGGTCGAGCCACATCCTTTCATCTTGATTATCCGTTGCATGGCTCTGGGACGCAAATTGTAGTGTTGAGGAATAGACTCTGGCGCCTTTTCCTAAGAGCCTGAAAACAACCTCATGCTGCCTTGTCGCAATAGCCATTTCAAGAGGGGTCAAGCCTGTTCGAATATCGCCATAGTCGAGGCGCGCGTTTGCGTCCAAAAGCTGAGAAACAACCGCGACGTGTTTGTAAACGATCGCCAATGACAGAGCTGTCAGTCCGCGATGATGATCCATGCCGTTCGGGTGAGCTCCAGCCTTGAGCAGAGCTGAGATCACCTGTGCATCCCCCCAGGCAGCCGCCAGTGCCAGGGGAGCCATCCCATTGGAGTTATCATTGATATCCACGTAGGCTTGGATAAGATATTCAAGCGACCGCACTTTGCCTTCACTTGTGGGTGACAGTGCAATCCAATGTAAGACCGAGTTACCGTAAACGGCGTCTTTGGCCTTGACATTTGCACCTCGGGCCAAAAGAACGTTGACCACCGACCAGTGACCCATAGAAGCAGCAATATGCAGCGGTGTTCGGCCAATACTGGTTGGCTTGTCGATTTCCGGCTCTTTCGCCTCCCCTCGCCGACCCTGTCTCAGAAATGCTCGAAGCGGTTTGTCGAGGCCGTGGTACGCGGCACAGTGCAGAAACGTGAAGCGTGCCTCTTCACTTCCTCCAAAATTCAGGCGTACGATGGAAGAAGCAAGGCCAACAAGACGCATTTCTGGGTCTGTAGGCCAGGGAAAGTAGCGGAGAAACTCTTCGTCGCTGATTGAGCCCGAATTGGCGGCTTTGGCATGTGCTGCCCAGCTGCTTGCTGCATATTCGAGAAACGGATACTGTGCCAATATTGTCGAAGGGAATTCTTCTGTCGTCTGCACTTTCGACACATTAGATCGCATATAGCTCAGGCAGGTTCGTGCCATCTCAAGGTGGACCATACACCTTCCTCTGGAAATGTCAGCCAGTGGCACATGGAGCTCTTTCATTCTACGCTGTAGAAGGAAATCCCGGACCGATTCATGCAAAAGTCGAACAACCGGGCCACGGCGGGTAGGGAAAATTCTGAGCATGCCTCCAGTCGACTCACTTAGACGTTCAGCAATGCCGAGCGGCTTTGCTATGTCCAGTGCACTGGTTACTGCTCTAGACTGAGCCACTGTCTCTTGGAAGGTGATATATCGTATCCAGGAGAGCGCTGTCTCTAGCTCGAGTAAGGATAAAGGGCGGACGGCTAGTGCGAGCCACGAAAGCATCAGAGCCGCATCGGGAATAGACCGTAACATCTCGTCGTACCTTTCGCTGAGTTCTTTGGCTAAGATATTGACGGTCTCTTCCAGCGTTGGCGGAAGACTGATGAGCTGGTCTGAGGGCTTATGGTCACGTGCAGACGTGACGTTGAGTAGTGACAGTATCAATGACAGCCAAAGAAAGTTGTACTCCGCCTTAGCTTTGAGGTCGTCAAGTCGAAGAGCGATCTCTTGCCAGCGACTTTTGATTGACACGAAGTTTGTGAGTTCGTGCTGGATAAAGGTTGAAGCACTTTTCCGGTTCTCCAAGTCCAGATCAACCGTTGCGTGTTCTTGACCAAATGGTACAGACCACGGCCGAGAACTGAAAAGCAACTTCATAGAAGAAGATTGGCCACCTTCGCCCAAGCTTTGACACAGATCGATAACATCTGCGACTTCATCGTGACTGCACTCGTCCAGCCCGTCAAGGACTAAAAACACCCGAGACCGACACTGAAGTTTGCGGCTCAAATGCTGTCGAAGGAATTCTCTGCGTGTACGGAAACCGTCTGGCCAATGCAGCTTGGGCAGACAGGTCTCCTGCAGTAAGCTTGGGGCGTAGGCATCGGCATGCTTGGCTGAAACTTGTTGAAGTAGAGAGACAAGCAAGCGTGTAGTTGCATGATCCAGATGATGTTGTGATGCGTCAAAGAAGTAATGGATGATAATTGTCGAATGCTCGTCAAGAAAAAGTTTCTCGAGATTCTGAACAAGAGATTTTGTCAACGTCGACTTTCCAGATCCAGGGCCCCCACGTATCCAGAGTTTGTTTGAATCTCCTTCGTTCAACCAAGATTTGAGTCTTGGATCCTGGCAAAGCCAGGAAACTGTGCCGGCATGGGGGGGTATAATCTTGGAGCACGAGCAGCTATCGGGTCCCGCATCATATTCGCAAGTGGAGCACACGCCGTGGAATTTGGCAGCGCAGGGTTCTTCAGACTCAAGACAAGTCTTTTCGTCGATGGGACAGGGCTTCGTATAGGTTGCAATGAGTCTCTTCAGCTGACTGACGAGGATGTTGTAACCCGGTTGCGTTGACGACCCGAATGAAGCTAAGTGCTTTGAATGGTCAGTGAGAACCCGATGTGAAAGGCACGAACACTCACTTCGTGGTCTACGTGCAGCGGAATAGGGATGAAAGGCTTCAAGATGCATTCCGTAGGGCCCACGACCTCCCTGATGTCAGTGGCGTGAGAGGGGCCCAGAATAATACTGCTTACCAGAAAGCCATTGATGGGTTTTGTCTCATAAAAAGAAACAAGTTCTAATCGAGGAAGACATCGCTTGAGGGTGTCCCGAAATTCAGTCTCTAGTCTTTCGAGCTCACGCGAGAGAGCCTTCAGGGCCGAGTTTCGAGGGTGGAGGCGATAGGCAAACGACACATTGAAAAGTTTGGTGAGAAACTCCTCTGCGGTTCGGGCATTTTCCGGATGGGGGGTCCCCAAAAACATGACGCCAGCGATGCATTGAGCCACGGAACGAGCTTTTGTAGTATTGCATGCTTTGACAAGGGCATGCTTTACCAAAAACCCTCCCAGACTGTGACCAATGAGGAGTAGCGGACGATCAGCCTATAGAGTATCAGCAACCAGTGTTGGCAGTCGTTATGGACCGATGTGCCTTTCTATTTTTCAAGAACAAGGCATGACGTACGCTTGATGTGGCTTCTCTCAGATTTCCCAATGCTTCAACGAGTTTCTCGGCGTCGCCTCTTATGGTAGGGATTCCCAAGTCTCCGGGGTTCAGATCGCATTCGTAGACAAGACATCTGGCCTGTGGTATTTGGGCTGGAAGGTGCTGAAAGAGGGTCGGTGGAACGGAGCGGCTGAGGTTGACTGCGCGGGCAGTAGGATCAGAGCAACCAATTAGAACAATGTCAACAGCTGTTGCCGAGCCATTTGTGGGCTCGTGAAGAAGACGCAACTTACGCCTGAACCCAGGATTCGGCGCCGACATGAGGGTATATGCCTTGAGAAGTATCGCGCCGAGCGGTAAAGAGACGAGACATCTCACTAACAGATATCGAGGCGAAACTTGATTTAAAAGCCCAAACACAACTCTTCGGTGTGTCTGCCATTCTGTGTCTCTGCACAAAATGGCATTGCATTAACTGCTTTCGTTCAAGGGTTGCGTTTGCCACTGTCTCTTCAGGACATTAGAGTGCATAGTGGCTGCCTCTCCTCCTGCGCGGCTCAGAGGCGAGCCAGTAACAAATGCTGTAGGGCACAGCGCCCTTAAGGTGACGTACGATGAGGCTGACTGTAGGCTGATTTCATTGTAGAGGCACCACATGCCTGCACTGAAGTGATCTGCCCTCGTGTTAACGAAGTGGTCGTTCATCATTGCTGCTTGTTGATCGACTGATGTGGCGTGGCTAGCAGCACCGAGGACTGTTATCTGTGCATCTCGTGGCTTTATTCGCAGCAATCAGGGGCCAACTTGACTGGATCTTTTTGTGCCAATCGAGTAGTCTCGCAGTGCCGTGCAGTTCGTCGAGTGAGTTCAGTTGCTGCTCGAAGCGAAGGCATCCACAGAAGGTCTTCACGGCTGGAAACAACCCCGGAAAAAATCCAGTTTCCATCAATTGACCGGTAACCGCTCAATGGCTGTGATCGAAGCCCAGGTCGAGTGTCGTCAATTTTACTTATGTTCGAAGTTGCTGAGTCCGGCGCTCAGCAGGCTCCTTCGCGGGTCAAAATTTCCGTCTCCAGAGCCCTCCACGACTCGGCCATGATAAGTGCGGTTGCTCAAGGGGTTTGACGATGAAGTTGCGTTGTGAGTTTAATCATTCATGTGAAACAACCAAAAAGTTGGGCCCAGGTCCCCAGTAAGGGGTGCCCACCAACCGAGCAGCCTACGGTACCTAAGGTATGCAGGCTCACGGCTGTGCACACTACTCGGTAAGCCGCCCAGGATTGCACAGCCACAGCTTGGAGTCGATCAATTCATGGCTTAGGAAAACCCACCTGGACTCTTGAGTCTATTAGTTAAGGCTTGTCCGATCGATAGGCCACTTCTTGTGATTGGCAAGCGCAGTGCAGCCTCTCCATTTCTAGTTCAGGCTACAAAAATGCTGCTACTGTGCACCCGACTGCCCCTTCCCACTACTTTCGCTCGTCAGAACCTCTAGCCCTAGTTGAATGTGTCGTCCGCATACGTTCAGGATGGAAAAGGAGCAAGAGAAATTCGACAAGCCCTTCTACCGCGACACCTCAACGACCTAGCCAGTTGACAGCGACTCATCTATCAGGAACATCTCTATCTGCCGCAGTCTCTCCCCTCGGCTGGGGCGCCGCTTAAACAGCCATCCTGAACTTCAACTTATCCTCGCGCACAATGTCGTCCTTCATGGCCTCCAGTTCGTCGACGTCCCAGGTCACAGCGAGGTAGCGGCCGCTCAACCACTCCCTCCTTTCGCGGGTCAACCAGGTCAGCCAGCCGCCGCACAATCCAATGTCCTCGGTCAGGCGCGTGTCCCAGGCGTCGCCCTTTTGGGTCGAGTGGTTCTGCGTCTGCGGCGTCAGGACCGCGCCCGGGTGCACCGCGAAGGCCAGCAGGCCGTCGTCCTTGTGGTCCGTGGCCATGTGCTCGATCATGCGGTTGTTGGCGAGTTTCGCGATGTTGTACGCCGTGGGCACGAAGCTGCTCTCGGTCAACTGGCACGCGAGACTCGTCAGGACGATGTAACTCCTCACCGTGCTCGGGTTTTCGGGCGCGATGAGCAGCGGCGTGAAGTACTTGGCGACATAGTAGCTGCCCAGCAGGTTGATGTCGATGACGCGAGCGAAGTCGTCGTCCTCGACGATGCCCTTGGGCAGGCGTCGGTTCGTCTTCTCCCCAGTCGCCGGGTCCGTGTCGTACAGGTACTTGGAAATGACCCCGGCGTTGGCAATGGCCACGTCCAATCTCCCGTTCCACTTCTCGCGGACCTTTTCTGCGAGGGCCTTGACGGCTTCGGGTTTCGCCGTGTCACAGACCTCCGAAAGAATCTCCACCTTTGGATTCACCTCCTTTAGCCGCTTTTCCAGCTCGTCGAGGTCACTCTGCGTTCGACTCGAGATGCAGATCCCCGTTGCCCCTGCTCGTGCGTACGCGAGTGATATCTTCCAAGGAAGTCAGACACCTCTAGGCCTCGGACGTCTGTCCAGTCTAGCCAGGACAGATTTCGAGGCAGGGGAAAACTTACATACACACCTAGACCTTTGCCAGCGCCGGTCACAACTACCACGAACGGCGAAGAGCGATTGTTTTCCGGTAATGTCGGGCCCTCGGCCTTGTGGTGGAGGGTCGGAGTGAAACGCTGCCCATAGTGGTCCGGAAACTCAAAGGCCATGATTGCTCCTGGGGGTTGATCTACAGAAAGCGTCCAAGTCTCCCACGCCGGTAGTCAGGTGAAGACTCCCAAAGCAATGGCGGCTCGATGCTGGGTTTCTGCCAGTACCGGTTTCGAAGAGATTCCGTGGGACAAAACCTGCTGATTCCACCTGCCACCTTAGCAACCTGAAGAGGAGTGAACGATACTTGGGTCTTGGGCGCGGTCGGACTCACCTCAACGCAAGCTGCTACAAAAGCACAGTGGACTCTTTACCTCGTACTCGCCTTGGACAAAGAGAATGAGGACGGGCCATTGCACGGGGCCACCAGGCCATCCTGCGCGCTGGGTGTCACGGTTTCCGAGTCAGCTACCTCCATATCTAACTACCGAACCGCCTAGGTACATATTGACTGTGGGTGACTGGGGTGGAGGACTGATATTATGCGTACAAAGGGGTTATGGGGACCCCACTAAGGTGCGGGCACGTATCACGGCGGGACGGGGTCGCGTCTCCCCTCGCCATTTCCCCAATTCCCTTTCTTCCCCCAAGCCTCGTCTCTCTGGAGGCTCTATCAATATCGATCGAACCCCACCATCTATCCAAAAAAACCCCAAAAAAATCTCTCTTATAATCCATTACTTCTCAGCCCAAAAAGAATGTAAAAACAAAAACAATCAACAGCTAGGATTCCCACCTGGTCACCCACGGTGGTACTGACTAACCGGCATCAGGCTTAAGTACGGCTGAGCAAACGGGAAGCCCTGTTCTCCTGATCCTGTGGTCGATTGCGAGGGAATACTCTTCAATTGTGTATTATATACATATTTAAAATGTGCCACCATCATGTGTTTTGGTTTGGAGAGGGGGACGAAGATCGAGGTTGAGCGGACTGTCATCCCACTGTCATTGGGATACGATACGAGATCTCTGGTGTGAGCTCGGTGAAGACCAGCGCTGTGACTGTATTTTGCTTTCACATTTTGAGAAAACTCGTATCTAGTCTTCAAAGTTGACAGCCTTCTTGGGGCCCATCTTTCGATGATCCATCGAGCCCGCCGTGGATCCTCCTGATTCAAGTATTGTGCTTTCTTCAGCCAGGGACACTACAAATTAACCCCCCTGGTGCCCATATACACGGTGGCGACTCTCACAGGAAAGCCATCTCGCGTACAAGACCTGACTTGACCCAACCCCTGGCGAAATTCCTCCCTGTCCACAACACCACGGTGATCCACCAGATCCTTCCCACGATGGGGTCGTACCACACCTGAACAGGCCAACCATTCCTCTTCCTAGCTCTACGCACAACCCTAATGACTACGCCCTCCAGCACGACTGCCACACCGTTCAAGGCGAAGAACTTGGCTTCTCCCGTTGCCATGCTCCAGTCACCGGCCAGGACGCTGCGGACAGAGAAGCTGTGGACAAACGCAGAACTCAAGAAAGCACCGATCACCTTGCCCACGTCGGCTGGTTGATCGGGGCCTTTCCCCAAGAGTTTTCGCTCCAGCCACTCCCCCGGCCATATTCCGTAGACTAGGAACAGCCTCGCAAACAGTCTGTGCCAACCGAAACTCCAGAATCTGCGTACACTCGTTACTTGCCATGGCCTAGATGTGTACAGCGGAGGGAAGAAGGCGAGCGGATTTGGTGCAAGCGGATTGAGCAGGATTGCGAAGAGGGAATGTCCAAAGGAGAAGGCTGCCATTAGGAATGCTCCTAGTGCAACCGTCAAGAGCAGTTGGAACACCATAGGTATACGATGGTCGAACAGGTCATACGCAGAGTACACATCCCAGGGCGCATCTTGCGTTGGCATCAGGTAGCGCACGTAAACTGTCCTAATAACGCCCCAGCTCACAAGGAGAACTGGCATGACGTGAACAACTATACTGTGGACGCGGTTGCGGACGGTGGGGAGCCAGGTTTTGCGAGTATGCCGCACATCTGCAGTTGTCCAGGTGAAGCCAGTGCCGCGCATGGAAAGTTCAAGCTCGAGAGCCCACGCCGCTCGGTCCAGCAGAGTCGTTGGCCAGCCAATTTCCGTGGTCGCTGTCTCCCAGACTGGGACCGGGTCCGGACCTGATATAGATTTGCGGAAGGCCGATCGAATGGCAGAGCAAGGAGGATTCGGTAGGTCTTGCCTTTGGGATGCTGAGGTAGCGTGACGATGGCCAGCAACACCTTTAGAGACATCTTCCTGTGAGTCAGCGCTATGGTGAAAAGGATCAATGACTCCGCCATTTGTCCATTCCTTGTCTTCGACTTCGACTTCGGACACTGGTCCATGGGAGTCCACCCGACGATTGTGATGATATTTGACCCTTCGCGGAATGTGTCCAAACAAGTAGGGACTTATGAAGAAGGCGTCAAAGACCCTGCATCCACCGTACAGACCGACGAGGCCCAGCTGGTAGGTCAGGCCAATGCTCTGTGAGACATGGTATGCAAGAGGGAGGCGAAAGAACAATACTCCGGCGACCAGGGCGAGACAGTTGCGGATGCTCTTCACCGCAAAGGTATCGATTGCTGGCGGCGGAGGTGGAGCGAGGAGGAGAAGAGCCAGGTAGTAGATCAGAGGCGGGAGGATGGCACTGGTGAAGGTGAGTGGCTTGGTGCCGGGAATTGGATGAAGACCAGGTCGAGGGTCCGGATCTGACATGGCCTCGTGCAGTGACCGAAGCCATTGCAGCGGTTCGAAAGCCATCACCCGTGGATATAGCGGCTTGTAAGCTGAAAGAGAAGCAAACTAGTCGACCATTCCATCTCAGTGCGAGTCACCTTTGAGCTTGTGTGCTCTTGAACGCATGTCTAGACTCTTCATCAGTGACACGGATGCGGCATCATTCCCGATGTTCAAGTAGTCTCGCTGTTGGCAGAGAGAATGAGCCTCTCGACATGAAATGGATGATGTCAGAATGCAGCGAAAGGATACCGAATGTAAAAACAACCATATAGATAGATGCCAGTGCGAGGTAAAATCACTGAAATCATGTCGGGCGCACCCTCGATCGGGACGAGGGGTGATGCCGCCCTGTGCTCACCCCTGGTTCAGGCCAGCCTGTCCAAAAGCGGCGTTGACTTCTCGCAGTTCGAGTCTAGGATGGGGAAGTGTCGCTGGGTACTCGGTATCCTTTGCCTGGTTGTCCCAAGCGCCTTTCAACATGAGCCTTCGTTTGTACACGTACGTTGCATCACATTTCATTTCCTATTTCTTCAGAAGCTACTTCATTGGCAGCATTTCAAGTGATCATCACTGGATGGCGTTCCAGTTCCCCAGCCGGGCTGCTTGACTCGTTCCCTGGCCGCCTCCCGATCCAGCTTGTGGCCGCGTCTCCAGACTGCAGAGATGTCCAATGTCTTCTTGATGTCCTCGGTCGGATCCCCATCGACCAAGACCAAGTCTGCCAATTTCCCAGCCCCGACCACACCGCGGTCCTTCCAGCCATAAGCTTCGGCTGTTCTCCCCGTAGCGGCACGCAACGCCTCGACCGGCGAGAACCCGCACTCGTCCACAAGTAGCCACATCTCGTGGTGGACCGACACGCCCTGGCAGACACAGGGGCTCATGTCTCGAAGACTGTCTGTCCCAATGAGGACAGGGACTCCTGCCTTGTGCAGCGCCCGAGCCGCGTCGAGCGCCCACTGGGGATTCTTCGAAGCGTTCTTGACATAGCCCCAATTGCTCGCATCTCGACCGAGGGTGTGAACACCCAGGTCGCATGTGTATGTCTGCACCTGAGGAAGTTTGGCAAACTCAGTTGCGTAACAGTGGTTGCTGAGCCCCGCCAGGATGCCGAATGTCGTGACCACAAAGATCCCTTTCTCCACGCAGAGCTGAACGAACTCCTCCGACGGTGGCTCGTCGAGGAAAAGATGGGCCAGGCCATCGACGCCGGCTTTGACGACGTTGATCGCCGCCTGGTGTTCGTGGATATGGCAAATGGCAAGTCGATTGTGAGAATGCGCCACTTGCACAATCTTCTCCACCATATCCATACTCATCGTAGGGATCTCCTCGTGCCACTTCCGCGTGTCGACGACCAATTTGATAATGTCCGCTTTCTCGTCCTGCACGCGCTCTCGAATGAAGGGCTGAACCTGGTCCATCGACGCCATCTGAGGAAAATCGCGGATCACGCCTTCTTTGATCAGTGGAGAGGGCCAGCCTCCTGGAACAGTCATGCTGATTGAAGACGACTTGATGTCTGATATGTCCATGCGAGTCGCAGCCTCGGCTCGAAGCGGCAGCATATCCTCCGGAAAGGACATCAAATCCATTTCCGTGGTCACGCCCCAGATGAGTGCCTGCTCGCCCCAGGGACTTCGCGTGTGTGTATGGGCGTCCAGCAGTCCAGGGAGAAGCGTCTTGCCGCTTCCATCGACGACTTCGACATCCCACCGGTCGGAGAGCTTCTCTCCTGTATGCGAGACTTCCGCGATAAGCTCGTCCTGTATCAAAACGTCGGCGGAGTGGGGCAGAACGCGCGTGCCGTCGAAGACACGCACGTTCTTGATCAGAGTTCTCTTCGGATCCATTTCATCCAGCTGAATGAATCTCGTGCGACACGTAGCTGAAGGGAACGCTACCACTGCCGACTCCTTACAATTATATGTCGAAGTACCGTGACGTCGACTGGTCATCCTTGTTCCTCAACCCCAGAACACGGTTCTGGCCAGGGCGGAAACTGCGGGATTGAGTTGCGGTAGAGTTCGCGGAGTGGACTCCGCAAAACTCTACAGCTCCAGACACTGCGGCTTACGACTCGAGCCACTCAAAGATTGGGGAGGACGTTGAACAAATGCAGCTAAGAAAAAAGTTGGCAGTAAGGCTCTTGGTCACATGGTATACTTTCATTCTCGATATGCATGTCCTCAGTCAAAGAAGGGATTCTCCTCCTCGTTCCCAAATCCTGACTTGAGTACATATTCGACAGGCATGTTCAAGCCCAATGCAGACCACGACGCTGGGCCATCCGAGGCAAAATCCATCTCGTTGAAATCGCCGACACGGCTACCATGGAGGGCGCTGAATGACGCGAGCTCGGCGTACAGGTCGGCCAACGAGTTTGTCGAAGGGGTGCTATCGGTGCAAAAGTCTCTTTCGTTGGCAACGACCAACATTGCTCGACCTTCGCTAGCTGCCCGGTCGGAAACTTCTCGGCGCTCCTGCTGTTGGCTGCTCACTGTCGCCCCCTGGTTACGAGATGACCAGGACGGAGGCGTAGGAAACCGAGGCTGGTTGTATAATGTCGCTGCACGCGTCGAGGGCATGTGGATTTCAGACACGGCCATCGACGGAGGGTTTCCCAGTTGCTGCAATAGATCTTCCGGTCGCTGCTGCGGACCTGTTCTGTTCGACTGGTCGGGCAGATGTAACGGTCGGTGATGTTTCGATCTCGCCCTGCTGCTCTCCCATCTGCCGAGAAAGCTGCGCACCACTTGTGCACATCGCTCCGCGGCCTTCAACTTGAGTTTCTCGAATATGTCGATGCTCATCTCACAGTAACACCGCAAATCCCGTTGAACATTCGAACTGTCTTCCGTCTCGTTGCCGTGCATCCACGAGAGGGTCGAACCTCGCCGTTTGCGAGCATGGCTGTTGTCGTCGACCATCTTCATCATCAGCACCAGCACAGCCTGTAGACAGTAGAAGCAATAGTAAATCCATCGGCTCAGACTCGGTGCAATGCAGAAGATCTGGTGAATGTGCAGGATCATGTCACGCGCCGCGTCGACGCATGAGATCTGGTACAATAGCTCGAGATGGTCCCCGGTTTCCGCGTCGGAGCGCGTCTCGTCTGCGGTTTGCGGGTTGAGCGAGTTTCGAAGCAGAATGATTGTGGCGAGATTGTAGTCTGCAAGGATTGAAAACGCAGCCCATCAGCTGATGAAGTAGTGGACGACGCCATTTTTCCACGGTTGGGGCTCAACTTACGGATTCGCAGGCTACTGCGCTGCCGTGCTTTCCAGGTCAAGAGTGCCTCCTTGGATATCGAGCCTGACTCGTAGCGCTTGTCGTAGAACCGCAGATGCACCGGCAGCGACGCGTGCCATGTTCGAAGGTCGTGCCTCAGTGTTTCAACCGTCTCAGGGAACAACGGAGCCACAGAGGGTGTTCCCATCAGATTCAACTGCCAGTGGCCATGGATTAGTATAATTCCGAACCAAGACCAAAAGACGCGCTTTGGGCCAGAATACATACAAAGTTCAAGATCCGGTGGATGATCTTTGCGATTTCCGCCAGAGGCTGGATGAAATCCGTGGGGAAAACTTGCAATTTGGCCACGCCGTCGTGCTCTCGCTGGTGATTGATGTTACTTTTCGGAAACTTTCTCAGACTTAGACTGTCAGAAGGGGAAACATACAGAGTCGCTGGAGAAATCTGCCACTGATTCTGAAGCATGGATTGACATCGGTCTGCCCGAGTCCAAGCTCAACTCGACCTCCTGGATGTAGATTATCCACCATGTCCTTCGGGCCTCTTCGGCGTCGAAGGCTGGCGAGCGATAGTTCGACTCGATGCTCAACCCGATTGAAAATGCCAGCCGGGTTGCGATGCCTGTGAGGTTGTATGCCACTGAATGGTTTCGTCAGTCGAATCAAGTCACCCTAGAAGGTGGGTAACTTACAGTTGGGTTTAATGGCGTGCTGCGCATAGGCCCCCTTCGGTTCTGTCAGTATTCGGGCTCCTGCTAGTAGGATGGGAATACAAGCCATAAACATTGCCGCCTGGACGAGCTCTAGAGTGACAGCATCTAGAAGACGGCCCAGCAGTTTTTGAGCTTCTGCAAAGTACCATGAACCCCACAACGGGCTATCTTCTTTGTCGTCTTCATACTGAGCGCCGAGCGCCAATACCGCGTAGAGCAGGCACAAGAACTGGTTTCCGTCCTGATCTCCACGACCCAGCGTGAACGCCTGAGTGCCGTCGAAGAGGCGTCTGAGCTCTCCGTACTTCGCACGGAACCTGCTCACGTCGAGGACCGGAAGGAAATTGTGGATGGTGCGGAAAAAGCTTTCGACGTGTTGGTCTGTGATTTGACTTCGCAGGCGATATTGTTGACGCACGGTCGTGTTGGAGGGAATGACATAGTCGGAAAAGCCGGTCAGGTCGTTCAATCCTAACCCTGATGCATCTTGAACATGATCGATCACTGGAGGAGCTCGGGGACCTATGCAGAGTCGTTTTCCTGGTGGTGGAGAGTCTGTGCCGCCTTCGAGCTGCTTGATCCTCTTCTGGAGGGCTAAAGCGACCACGAATGTCGACGTTCGGCCTTAGGATTTGTGAGAATTGGGTAGATAAGCGGCTTTCCATATACTCACCGTAGTACTCAAAGCAGCCAGTTTGCTTGTTCAATTGTGCCAGCCATTTTTGAGTTTCGTGGACTGAGGTGATGCCTTCTTGCGCTGGTTTGGATAGTCAGCAACTCCAGCTTTTTTTTTAATGATGCTTGGTGTTTAACTTACACTCGTTTAGATTTTCGACGGTCTCTGGTCTGCTTCGATTCTTGACAGTTTGCTCTAATCGGTCCATACGTGTCAAGACTAGATCGAGCTTTCTTCGGATGACAATTAGCCAGTTGGTATCGATGCAGAGGCAAAAACATACTGCGACAATGAGTTGCTGGTCGACGAGGGAGCCACTGTGAACGTGCACGACTGTGACTTTCTCGAGCACTGATCGCATGGTTGGAGTCCATCGCACTGTAAACGATACCGGTCAGCGGTTGTGGTCTCTTGGAACAAATTCTGAGCTTGTAGGCTTCATACTTTGACTCTTTTTTCTCGACATCGTTCGCAAGCGCTCGGCGTCTTCTTTCGAGGTGGTTTGATAGGCTTAATAGATCTCTCAGCACTTTGACTTGGTCCTTCTTGCAGTGGATCATCGTAATCTTCAGTAATTTCCTGAGTACCGTCGAGCTCGTTCTCTCCGAGGGTCGTCATGTCTGAATAATTCATTGAAATCTGAGAGTGCTTGTAGCAGGATCAACAAGTTTATAGGCGAGCAGGATGAACACAGCGATTTAGAAGTCATACTGTAGACCGGTCTGCTCTGCGGCAATGGTCGCCGCTGGTTAAGTGACTATTGTGGCTGCGGACCACACTGAGTTATGCTACAGGCCGTGGCCAACTCTACTTTCTAAGCATGGGCGGCACGGTAATTAGTGCCAGTTTTAGCTCATTTTCAGACCCTAACGACCAGCCCCGGGGCGCCCCAATGGTCCCTCCACAGGGCCTTAGCTGTGGAGAAGGGTTTTGCACAAATATCACAAAGTTGAAGCATTTGCATTGTATTCTGAGGGAGGCATCAAACCAAAATTTTAACACTAACCGACAATCCCACTCATGTCGGTCTTCTCGAGAGGATCCTCCAACATGATGTCCTTCAGATAATATGCACGGTCCATTTCTTTGACATCGCGCTCACTGCAGCCGTTTCCAAACCATCCAAACGAATTTCCATCATTGTACGTATATTCGAAATCTTCCCAACGCGGAGCTGCCAGTGCCCGGATCGCATGTAAACTGGAACCAGGCCAAAGACCTGTCACTTTGCCACTGCGCCCACCAGTCTTGTACCAGGAAGAACACTCTTCGCTGTAGACCGTGCGCTGGAAGTATTGCTCGCAGAAGTCGGTAAAGCCGGCGACAGATGCCTTCGAAGGCTGTATAGTTCGAATGTTTGATCGCTGTATCTTCTCGACGCATTGCGCGATATATGAGGCGAAATACTCCAAAATGATCAAAAGGCTCCCGGCACCGAGAGCAGAGTTCGGGCCCAGCGACATGAAAAAGTTGGGAAACTGGCTGGTGGAAAGAGAGAGGTAGGTGTCTGGTCTATCAGCCCATTTCTCGTTCAGAACAACACCGTTTTGGCCGATTACTGGAGATCTGCCTCTGAAAGAGGTGTCGAAGCCGGTGGCACATACAATGGCATCAACTTCTCTCAGCTCACCATCCTCGGTGATAATCCCGGTTTCGGTGACTTTGCCAATCGGTGTTGCAATAACTTCGACATTGGGCTGGGTCAGCGCCTCCAAATAGCCAGGACCGGGAGTCAGTCGTTTACACAAGGGGGAGAATCCTGGTAGGAGGTGCTGAGCAATATCAGGTTTGAGCGCAAGACGGCTTTTCATGAGCGTTGTGAACTCTTCTTTGACTTCACGCTGCAAGGCGCTCCCGCGCATGGTGATGCTGTGACCAGACTGAAGCTCGGTCTCAAGAGTCCTCCGATATTGGAGGTACAGTGCTGGGTCTGCTCGCCAGGCGTTAATTTCTTCCGTCGAAAATTTGAAGTTGCTGCCAGTGCCAGCAGTACGCTTCTCGACTTCTTTGGCAGCCATTGGTGTGGCGATCCAGGTCTTGCCTCTAACGTAATGATCCAACTTTTTCACTGCTGGTTGAATGGAAGGCACAATTTGGATGCCGCTGGAGCCGGCTCCGATCACCGCAACCTTCTTGTCCTAATAGCTGATTAGCAACATGCAGAGCTGTTCATCTGCAGCGTTACACACCTTGTGGTCAAATTCAGGTCTCCAGGCCGCACTGTGAAGTAGCTCGCCTTTGAAGTCGTGCAAACCCTCAATTTGTGGCCATCTCCATTCATTGAGCAACCCAACGGCCGAGATGAGCACATCCGACTCATCAGTAAATTCGCTCTCGCCTTCGCCGGAACGTTGAATCTTCACCTTCCATTTGGATGACTCGTCGTTCCATTGAGCTTCGACCAATTTGCTTCGAAATTTCATATATTTTGTGACATCGTGCTTGGCGGCCACCTTCTCCCAATACTTTAGGATTTCTGGCGCCGTAGCATAGAACTGGCTCCATGCCGGATTTGACTCAAAGGAGAGCTGGTAGCAGTGTGCTGGGATGTCGCATGCGCAACCGGGGTATCGGTTCTCGAACCATGTGCCACCCAGTTGCTCATTCTTATCGTAGATGACAAGGTCCAGGTCCTCGACTCGCTTCTTCAGCTCGAGCGCGCAAAGTATGCCAGAGACACCAGCGCCGATTATGATGACTTTGATCTTTCTTGGCTCGTCAATTGACCGCTCTGAGATGACATTGGCGTGGATTCCGTTGGTAATGGCAGACATTTTGGCCGTGATAGTGATCGTGAAGGCAAAGATCTCGCAAATGCTCAACTATGTAGCACAACCCGAAATATGCATCTCGGAATGCTTCAATGTATTCCCAGTAACGTAGTGCCGCACGAACTCACGCAAACACGCGTGATCACCACAGCCCTGTTGGGCCGGGTTCCCGATCCAGTCGCTTCCTCATTCGGAAGGCAGGAGCCACATCGAGCGGCGGCGCACCTCCGCTAGGCTGCGGACACTTCGCCCGCAACCGTGCTAACGCGAAATGTAATATCGAGGATGGCACGGAGTAATGCAACGAACAAGTGCTAAGGATCCCAGTGGTACCGCGGCAGTCTGGTCCAGTCCGAATCGCCAGTTGTGACGAGACCTAGAGCTCAGTAGTCATCATTGTAGACTTGCAGTCGCGCAATTCGAGCGGTTGATTTACGGGCTAGACATAAAATACATTTGCCCGGGATCGTGCACGCCCCGTCGCCTGCCATATTCTCGACCAATTTTTCTCCTTGTAATCTTCGTGAGAACACGCCAATATGGCGGTCTTGAGTGTTTTGAATGTATCCCCACTCACGCAGCTTCTTATCCTGTTTGGCATTTGGTGCGCAATCGTGGGATATGTTGTCTGGCAGGTAGTTAGTCCCATTGATAGCCGGCGGCCACCGCCAGGGAAGGAATGGAAGCTTCCACCTGGTCCTCCCGGGCGCCTACTATTTGGAAATCTCAAAGAGGTCCAAGGAGGTCGACAGAGTGTAAGGCATTGGACAGAGCCTGCTTGTTATCGGGAAACTTGACTGACTCTTTATAGTGCTTGAAGCTCGCCGATTATGGGGAGATGACAACAGTTCGCCTAGGGTCTAGGCTGTGGGTGACACTGAACACCGGTCGTGTGGTGAAGGAGATCTACAACCGCCGCAGTGCTGTTACAAACGAGCGCCCAGACCTGCCTATGGTGGGTGGCTTGATTAGTCGCGACAATCGATCAGTACTCTTGCCAATTGCGGAATGGACTGAACGGCGACGAGTTATGCACCAAGTGCTCTCTGGCACAGCCATGACAAAATACGGTGAATATCAGGAGCAAGAGAGCTCCCAGCTCCTGGCAGAATACTATTACAACCCACACAAGTGGTACAGTCATCACGCTCGCTACTCCAATTCCGTCATTCATCGAATCACTTTGGGCGATCCGGTCCACACCATGGAACAAAAGATGCTTGATCTCCTCCGGGTTCAGAAGGCCTTCATCGTAAATCTGCCTCCATGGAATATATGGGACAATTTCCCGGCGCTGGCAAAGTTACCGAAAGTGTTCCAATGGTGGCGCAAGCCATTTGAGGTCATTGGTAAGGAGACCTTTGAAGTCTACAGCGCCTACTGGAAGCCATTCAGACAAAAGATCGAGGCCGGGCATGGCGCTCCCTCTTTCGCTCGGGATGTGCTTACCGGAAAGGAGGCCAAGTACAGCGGGAGCGATGAAGACGCCATGTATCTCGCCATTCAACTGATTGAAGCTGGAAGTGATACCACTAGATTGTCGCTCAACACTTTCATCATGGCGATGATCTGCCATCCCGAGGTTGTGAAGAAGGCCAGACAGGAGATCGATCAGATTTGCGGAGCGAATGCTGAGCGTCTACCGACGTTTGCCGATGAGCAACGCATGCCTTACGTCTCTGCCATGGTTAAAGAACTGATGCGATGGCGACCAATTTTTGACTGGACGCCCGAGCATGAGTGTTCAGTGGACCTTGAATTCGAAGGGTACCTGTTCCCCAAGGGCACCAATTTTGTCATCAATCACCACGCACTCTGTCTGAACTCAAGCGAATACCCCGAACCAGAGCAGTTTAAGCCAGAGCGATGGCTCGATGGCCACGAAACAGACGTCTTGCATGGACTTTGGGCATTTGGTGGCGGAAGACGGGTGTGCGTCGGATACCGTCTGGCACAGAAGTCATTGTTCATCAATATGTCTCGACTGTTGTACTGTTATGACTTTGAAGCTGTAAGTCTTGGTCAAAGGGTTATCCGTTAATTTTTGCTGATCCACATTGTGTGCAGGCTGGACGCATTGATTCGTACGAGCTCAACCACCATCTGCAAACAGAACCGTTTCCTGTACGCCCATCTATTAGAAGTCAGAAGCATGCCGAACTTGTCCTGAGGAGTGCCGAAGAATGGGATGTCCTCAAGCACGCAAAGGTTGTAGTAAAGGCGCAATGATCTTCAATATTTATAGTTGACTTGATGACTTGAATCTGGATTATGATGTTATGCTGGACAAAAGACGTTGCTGGAATAGCTACAAAGCATTTGTGCCCATCAATCAAATTGACTTTCCCGACCATCAACTGTGTCCTTGGTGAACGAGAAACCTGCCACTATATCTTTAGCTAGCAGTGCGCCGAGTCAAGACAGTATCAACAAGTCTTTTCCGGATAGTCTACCTACCATCACATTGATCGTTTAGGATACAAGATAAAAGTAAGGGTTAACCTGTATCTTTGTAACAACAATCCTTAACCTCTATTGCATTTTCTCCCGCTTCTCTACAATCACATTTATTCCTGTCTGCTTGGTGAACCAAGTACCATGCTCAACCCACGGCTCGTCAGGTTTGGACAACCGCAGTCGGAAGGTCCTCAAGATCTGCGGAATGATTTTATGTATCTCGCAGAGAGAAATCTGTTGCGTATGGCGCAGTCAGTCGGCGAAGCATAAAGATACTGATAGTTAGGCTGGGGTGACTTACGTTCTTGCCGATGCAAGTTCTCGATCCAGAGCCGAACTGGAAGGATGTCGTCAGAATCAGAGCGACAATCGTTATGTATTCAACTTGCCTGAAACATGTAGCGGTCCATGTCCTTTGCCTCTGGTCTGAACCAACGGTCTGGGTTAAAACTTTCTGCATCATATCCGAAGACGCCTTGGTCTCTGTGGACCACAAATGCATTGACGCCAACTTTGACCTATGGAATTTCAGCCAACTAATAACCCATGGAAAAGTGCGCAGGCCAAACTTACACCCTCGGGGAAGAATTGACCACAAATGAGACGTCCACTGGCCGGGACATGTCTTGGGAGAGTCATGCCCACACTGGGAAAGACTCGCATTGCCTCCTTGCATACCGCAACAAGGTATGGCATTTGCATGGCTTCGTTGAAGGTAACTGGGTTTGACAGGCGACCTTGTTTATCAGCTTCATCTATCTCTGCTTGTAATCGGGCATAGATAGCTTCATCTTTCATGACGTGGTAGAAAGCTGAGCGCATTGCGACGGCAGTAGTGTCACTTCCAGCACCCCTATTACAATTGTTAGACCTCTAGCTCGGTTAGGTTGTTGAAATGGATATTTTACCCACAAGGCATCAAAAGAATCATTAAATATTTCTTCGATGGTGAAGTCAGGTCTTTCGGCGTTTAGTGCAAAGAGATGGTTCAGGATGTCATCTCGGCCTGACGGATTCTGTTGACGATCGTGAACACACTTGGCTGCCATTTCGTTGAACGTGACCATCTTTTTGGAATGGGCACGGTAACCCGGCCAGAGCCAAACCATCAGCGGCTGGACCTTCTGTAGTATAGGCATAACCCCAAGCTACGATCAAAAGACCGTCAGCCTACCCCCGATTCTTCCGGCAGGGGAAGTCATTACGACCGAGACATACCACTGTGAAAAATGGGATGAGACCATCCAGGGTTGCCATGTAGCCTCCAACGTCACGCCTTTCTTTTAAGAAGCCAAACATTGACCCGTAGAACAGCTCACCTATAACGTCAAAGGCGAATCTTTGCAAACACTCGCCAAAGTCAATGACAGACTGTTCCTGGGCGCTATCATTCAAAGCTTTCATGAATTCTTCGACGCATAGGTTCATGTAGCCCTCGGACTTGACGATGTTTGTCATAGAGTAGATGTGGCTGACAAGTCTGCGCCGGAGAGCATGTCGCTTTTCATCCTTGAGCGAGAACAACTCTCCCATCGGTGCTTTCCGTAGTGGTAAGTGGATGAGCTCAGTCGGCTGGCAGGAATATAAACTCACTCTCTACTCGTGGGCCAAACGGATCGTAGAACTCGGTCTACCTCACTGCATTAGTATATAATGACAGCATGTCGAAGATAGATCTTCCAGCACGCACCTTCGTGAATCCTGAATTAACACCATAGATCTCTTTGATGGCTTGCGGATCGGAGATCGAGACTTCGTCGGGAGCAATCCTGACGAATTTGCCTAATATACGTAAGCATTGCGCAAAGTGTGTAGAGATCAACTGCCTTCTCACCATATTTCCGATGTAAGAAGGGCTGGTAGGTGTGCATGTCGGCCCGTAGGGCATGATAGACGAGCCATAGTCTACTGATAGAAGCTGGGAAAGGTCCCTTGATGTGCGAAAGTGTAGAGCACTTCAGCATGTAAAACACATAAACGAGGCATACCGACGTCAGCACCAAGAGAATGCGCGCAGCAATCTCCAGCGGTGACAGAGCGTCCCAGCGAAGAGCCTGACCGAGTTGGACGAGCATATTGCCTTACGTTTTCCACCAAACTTTCAGTGCCTGGGCTGGTCAGCAGGGAGAAGAATAGGCGCAACACGAGAACCCGCTGGAAATACCGGGGACACCAATGCAGTACTTAGACAAACCAAGGTGGCCACAGCCTCGCGCATCAGCGCCCCCGTCCGTCTCCAGCCTTTTCGTGGGGACCCCAATGCGGAGGAAGGCTCCGTCAGAAAGGGGTGGAACCTCCCCCGGGTTTCCCGCAATGCCGCATTGTGGCGGCAAGCACAAAGTTTACCAATTTGGGGGTGTGACCCGGAAATCGCGAGAAGAGAGCGAAAATCCAGTTTGTCTCCAGGTTGATGCCAAAGGGGGCATTGCTGTGGCCAGCCACATTGATTCTAAATGGTTCCAACGACATAAGAAGCTCAGACCCTTGTATGCTAGACTTTTTGAAAGGAGGCAACTCTTCTGTTCCTATCGCAGCCCAATTTCTGCCAATCAACACCACAATGTCGAGCAAGGAAGTTCCAGCAACGGTGCATCAGGAAACCGAATTTGCGCCGGCCAACGAGCGCGCAAAGGCTCATGGCCAGCTTGGTGCTGCGCATCTATTCATTGGTATGTTGCTTTGATGCTGAGTATGTCAATCGAAAACTCGACCATGTTCGCTAATCAGTACGGCTTTTCTCTCCTTCAGAGGACAGCGTGGGCAATGTAACTGGCAGAGTTCTGATACCCCGGCCAACCGATGATCCCAAAGATCCTCTGGTGAGCACGCCCCAGCCTGGCACTGCAAAGACAATATGCCAACAAGCGACTTCTGCAGACATGGACCCGTACGAGGAAGGAAATCGCTTTCTGGAGCATCTCCTATTTCATATTCCTGTCCAACTATACTGTCGCCTCCATCTCGCCAGGTCTGGTAGCTATCCAGGAGCATTTTGAAGTTACAGGCTCCTATGCCTCTTACTTTATCACCATGCCCGTCTTGTTTATCGGTATCGGGGTGCGTAAACTGTCGACTCCTATAGTGGATAATCAAGAAAGATCAGCTAACATGAACCCAATCAGAACCTTTTCTGGATTCCTCTATCTCGAAAGATCGGCAAACGGCCTGTGCTCATTCTCTCATCGCTCACCTTTTTCCTCTCTTGTGAGTTCAAAATTTTCTTTTCACCAGTCATGCTTTGAATGCTAACGAGACTCCCAGGTCTCTGGAGCGCCGTGGCCAAGTCTGGCGGCTCGATGCTCGGGTCCAGAATCATTCAAGGGTTCGGTGCAAGCTGCCCTGATGCCATGGGTCCCGCAGTGGTAAGCATGAAAGACCGACTCTGTCCCGCGACGCCTAGCCAACAATTTTCCATTAGGTTGCCGATTTGTTCTTCGTCCACGAACGTGGCCAAAAACTCGGCTGGTACACGTAAGCATTCCCCCGGCCATATACAAGTCCTGAGCCTCGCACTGACATTTTCCAATGATCAGACTCGTGATTGCCTTTGGCAATTCCTTCGGCGCCATCTTTGCTGGTCTGATCACCAACGCCACCCCGAACTGGAGATGGATCTTCTGGATGGACGCCATCGTCACCGGTGTCCTGTTCCTCCTGATGGTGTTCGCCATGCCAGAGACCAACTTCGAACGACCCACAGCAACAGAAATGGGCGAGACCGAAGACTTGGCACCGGTTTTGACCCAAGAGAAGCGCTCTCACTTAAGTTATGTGCAATCGTTGAAGGTCACAAGCTTTTACGACAAAAAAACGAGCTTGCTGAAACACTTCTGGAGACCGCTTACTCTGACCGTGTACCCTGCCGTCTGGTATGCCGGGCTGACTCAAGGTGTTGGTGTCGGCTGGGTCATCCTTCAACAAACCGCAAACTCGATCTTCTATCCTGCCTTGTACAACTACAGCGGCCTCGCCGTCGGAAACATCAATGTTGCTGTAAGTATTGTGGCATCGTAAACTTTGCAGTGAAGGCGTTCCACTAATTCCTCTTGTTCCAGAACATCATTTCCGCCTGTATCGCCTGTCTTTACGGCGGCATCGGTAGTGACATGCTCGTAGCTTGGATCACCAAGCGTAGGGGCGGCTACTTCCAGCCCGAGTACCGTCTCTGGGGGGCACTCCCGATCTTCCCTTTCGTGCCCTTGAGCTTGATGCTCTGGGGCTGTGCGCTCTACTACAAGCTCGATCCCTTCGTGGGTATCGCCGGCTTTGGCATAACCTATGGCGTGCTCTGCGCCATCTCGCCCATTGCCCTTACCTACCTGGTGGACTGCTATCGACCTCTCGCTGGTGAGACGCTGACGATCGCGACGGCGATTAAGAACGTTTTCGCATTCGGCATTTGCTTCGCCGTCGTCCCTTGGATTCAAAAGGATGGTTTCATCAAGGTATGTCATCTATACGTGATTCATACGCAATTCTTCTGCGACGTTCAAGGCTGACTCCTTTTGTCACGCAGGTTTCCGGCTATAGCACCTTGATTGAGGGCCTCATTTTTGTATCCACCATTCCTCTCTATATCTACGGAGAGCGCATTCGGAACTGGACCAGCAAGCTCAGCATTTGAGCTAATATCCAAGGGGAGGCTATAGTGAACAATTTAGCTGGGCTCACGCCATTCTGTCGTATATAGCTTGACCGTCCGCGTCCGCGAACGATATAGCGTAAATACTTGAATAAGTGTTCTCTGGGACACTTTCTGCAGACACATGTGCATATACTGCAACCAACCTGATCTCGTTCTCACCATTTTCACTTAGCCGTATCGCAAAAGCACGGCTTAACCTCGCCACCCTCATGGAATTTCACAAGAAAACACTCGGAAAGCCGAGCAGCAGCCCAACATTGTGGATGGACGACATATCATTCTGTACAAATTCCTCTAGCTATCACGTTCGATGCCTATCCCACGAACACATCCGCAATTGGTCCGTCGAATTCCATCTCGAATGGCGCTGAGGTCAACCACTCGAGATCCAGCGGACTCTGCATCCAGTCCGCCACAATCTCATTCATGCCGATGCCCAAATCAGGCGACAGGTTCATAGACATGTCCATGTGTTCGGCAGACATACCTGGCACTAGATGCTGGTGCTGATTTGAAATGTTGACGGAGGTGGTTGGAATCATGTCTGGCATTGCGCCTCTTTCAACGTCCCTATTTCCTGTTGCATGATCATGTCTTCGGGTGTTGTTCGCGCCAGCGTCCGAGCCAGCATGATTCGCAGCAGATTGCCTCGCGGAGCCAGCTGCGGATTGGGAGCTTAACCCTGCTCGTCTGGTCCGGAGTCGCTGGTCGATCAACTCCAGCACCCGAAGACAGCGCTGCGCAGAGACACTGCGGACTTGATACATTTTCAAGCTTTCCAAGCACTTCTCCCAGCTTTGCCTCAGTGGCACGCTACCTAGCAGCTCAAACGCATGCATGCACAGCTGGGCTGCCAGGAGAGCGGTGGCGCAGGTGTAAATGTCTTTTTGAGTTCATCAAGTCAGCCTCCACGTGCCATGATCAACAGCACACTCTTCACGCGTGGGAACAAGGGACCTTACAGAAGACATTGTACCACCACTCTGGCAACACTTCATTGTCCAGTCCCTTGTGGTAGTATATCAGGTCCGTCAAATCATGGGCGGCGGAAATGCACATGGTGGCCGCTTGAACAACCACTACATGCTGCAATTCCGACATCCTAACTTCTTCAGTTTCGTGGCCGCGTGCCTTGGATTGACTTAAAGCGCACAGCTGGAGAAGAGCCGGCCGGAACAGCATGATGCGGGAGTGGAGATAGCTGAGCCATGGTCAGATCGTTGACAGGCACGAGCACGATGACAGAGGACTTACCGAGCTTGGAGGACGTTTGCTTGCCTTGCATATACCTTCATGATTTCGCTATTTACGGGACGAGTTGTGGCAACGTGAAGCTGTTTGTCGGGAGATGAAGCAACCCGCAGGTGATCGGGCAACTGCTCTTGCCAAGCTCTCAAGGAATCCTCCAGCTCCAACAGTGCCTGGACATCGGCAGGGGTAAGTTTCCTAGTTTGCTTGTGGCCGGCGAAGCTGTCCGCGCCGGGTTCGCCAGGTTGTTGGGAGCGGTCAAGCGGCAATGAACTGCCATCGGCCTCGCGATAGAAAGTGCTGACGATCATCTTGAGGATCTCCGCATGCTTGAGAGTCTGGAAATAGAAGGCGAGATAGTCTGCAGAGTTGCACAAATTGGCAGCATCCGTTTCAACCTGGGAAGGAGCGGGTTCATTTGACAGCGCAGAGAATGCTGCAGACCATTTGGCAGAGAGATTCGATTCAACCATTGAGGGTCGGCCGTACGTCATGGCCAATATTCTAGCTCATTACCGTCAGCGATCTCTCCTTCTTACAAAGGGCATATGCGGGAAAGATCAGGATGGCACAACACACTCTGCCGCACAAGCGTGCTTCTATCCTGGTGAAACTCACCTGTCAAAAAACACACAACCACCCCACAGACGCCTTCTCAAATTAATCTCGTTCTCCTTTTTGCGGTCGAGTGGAAGCTCAGACCGAGAAGGAAGTTGGGCATCGAGATGTAAGCCAATAGTCTGCGCAGCTCGAGTAGCCGTTGCGACGCAATTCCAACACCCTCCAGACATCTCGCTGGTCTGTATGTACTGTGACATCAACAAGAACGTCTGGACCAATTGCACACAGCCATGGGCCATGATATTGAAGTCAAGCTCCAGAAGTCGCTTTGCTCGCTGGTAGAATGCGTCACCATGGATGCCTCTCTCGGCTGGGTCAATATCAGAATGAAATTGAGAGCCGAGTGCAAACACCAGGTTGACAATGCAGTGAAAGAGGACATTCTCCGAACGCACAGCTCTTTTGAAGAGACGTATTTGTGTCTCTCTACTCTTCATGGAAGGATACTGGGCCTGATACTGCGCAAATTGATGAGCCAGGGGATCACGGGAGGACGGGGACCACAACTCTTCGTAGCGACCGTCGAAGGCTTCTCGATTTAGAAACGGGTAGAGGCAATGAACCCATTTCCAATACGATGCAACGAGATCGTTTGCGTCCTGCCGCGATGGGAGTGAAAACACGTCATACTTTGATTGCGATCGAACTCGGCGACGACTTCGAATTTGTCGGAGACCGTTTGCATGCAACACGGGTGAAGTCTGTCCTCTGTGCGAGGAGTGGGATTCTGAAGACAGGTCGAAAAGCGTGGGCGATTCGGTTATCTCACTGTCGGGTTCTTCACCAAGAGGGTTTTCCACCGACATGTCAAGGACATTTTGAACTTGATTCATGAAGCTGAGGGTCGATGATATGCCAAAGTAAACGCGGCCTTCAGGAGCGTTACCGACTACTTCATCGTTTGCGTCGCCGGAACAGGCGCCCATGGCGTCGACGCGACCATTGATAGGAAACTCATTGTTGTCCGAGTCCTCAGCATCTCCCGTGGGAGACAACGGTAAGGCAACTGGATAGTCTGATATGATGGCTGTCTGAGAATGGCTGTCTGGTATGGAGGCAGGACCGTGGATTGGGGGAGCTTGTTGGGGATGCTCATTAGGCTTCACCCAGGCCTGCTCAAGTCTTAGTCAGGAGAGCATGAAGCGTGGATATGGACAGGAGCTAAGAACAGACCTGCTCAAAGGGAGCTTGGTGTGGGTTGCCAGAGGGACGCTGGGGAAAATTGGGCTCCCCAATGGGGTTGAAATTGCTTTCCAGATGGCTTATGCGCTCGAGCAGCTGTTGGACGTATCTGCTATGCTGTCAGCCAGAGCACCGCGCGATACCCACCTCAGGCATCGTACATACCGTGAATTCGACTCATCAGTGCCCCTCCGCGAGGTATAGATGCACGGAACGGTGGCCTTCCTCTTCGCACAGGTCCCACAGATGGGCCGAGCTCCGTCGCATTTCCTCTTCCGCCTGCGGCAGTCTTCACACGCAAGCGCATCCTTGTACTGGCGGCGATGCCTGGCCTGGTCTCCGGGCAGAGGAGGTCTTTCGGCGGCGGACATAAAAGTCGCCATGCCGTCAACAGACGGGCGGAAATCAGGTCTTTCGCTGGAACCCAGCTCGCGCGGAGACGGTGTTCCCCAGCCATCAATAAGTACTCCAGCTCCGCAAGACTCCACAAGTTGCTACACTGTTCTCTGGGGCAGTCTCCACGGGGCTCGCTACCAAAGTTTGCAGGGTCATGACCCTTTCGATCCCAGGTGATTGGTCCCGGCGCCTGTCACTCTGATGGAGCTCCCCAGTAGCACGAGTCGTCGAGCTTCTAGGGCAGCCACACCCCGTCATTTTGGCGTGGGGTCGAGGAAAGTTACCTGGCAATGCCGGCGGCCTCTTCGTCCGCAGCGTGCGGTAAGATTAGCTAATATACCCCCATGCTGGTAGACTGGCTACCGGTGTCGCGTGAATGCTTTCCTGGTCGCGCTCCAAAATGGCCGAGTATCCGGAGGCGCGAAATAGTCCAAGAAATAAATACTGTCGAGGGCCAAAATAGTTGGGGGAAGTCCTTGCGGGAGTTATTTTGCGCAGCTACGCGAAAAGAAATCATTGTAATACCCAGATTTCACAAGTTCCATCCTTTTCGCTCGAATCGATCAAAGCCCACCATGGCGAATAAAGTGTTCACCGTGGACACCCACACCCATGTCGTACCAGAAATCTGGAGAGAAATGCTGATTTCTGCCGGCTACGCAACGAAGGAGGAGAACGGTACGGCCATCTACGTAGACGGCTTCCGAACCCCCGAGTTCTCAATCGAATCATACGTGAAGAATCGGGAAGAATGGGGATACGACTATTCAGTCATGAGCATCACTTGCCCCGGCGTCTCGCCTCTGAACGGCAACGCCAAAGCCAAGAAATTGGCCCGTGATTTGAACAACCAGATGGCAGAATGGATTAAGCAGCATCCCAAGACATTGGGCGCATGGGCCTGTCTTCCTTTGCCAGATGTAGAGGCAGCGGTTGAGGAGGCCAAAGTAAGTACCCACTCGAGGCCCCAGCATGCGTCTGAAGCTGTTGCTAAATCATGGTGTTTTTGTTTCCAGTACTGCCTTGACGTGCTAGGCTTCGACGGTATCGGCGTGTACTCAAACTATAACGGTCGATACATTGGCCACGAATTCCTCGATCCCCTGTTTGAAGAGCTGAACCGACGAAAAGCCACCGTCTTTGTTCATCCGACCGCACCCGCCGACGAGGTGAAGCTGCCGGGTGTGTCGTCGCCCGTGATCGAATACTGCTTTGACTCGACCAGGGCAGTCGCCAACATGCTTTGGACCAAAGGCCGCCAGCGGTTTCCCGACCTCAAAATAATCTTCTCGCACGGCGGAGGAACTCTTCCCTTCCTTGCCGGCCGTTTGGCTCTCCAGACCACCTTCCCATTCCACGGAGGTTGGGATTTCGACAAGTCAATGGAGGTTTTGAAGAGTTTTTATTACGACCTGGCTGTTGGCACATACGAGCCTCAGCTGGCCGCACTGACGTCCCTGGTGGGAACAGACAAGCTCCTCTTTGGCTCAGACTGTGAGTTCCAGAAAAACAAACCCTCTGTTTTCAGTGGCTAACTGATCGTGTAGTCCCTCACCTTCCAGCTCACAGACTGCAACAACACGAGGACGGCCTTACAGCATACAAGTTCTCCGAGGAAGACACAAAGAAGATCCGTGGTGAAAATGCCTTGGCGATCCTGCCAAAAATAAAGGCCAAGCTCAACAAGTAGAGAATAAAATGGCAGCTTTTTAAACATGAAATCGTTGTTCAGAACGTGATAGAGTGCTTCAGACGTGTGTAATGAGAGGTCGTCATGGCGCATTGGAAATGCCCTTTCGGGAGCTGTACACTATCCCTTCTTCAGACAGTAAGATCTGGAACGTAATGGCTCCAGCGAGTTTGAGAAACGAGGCCAACTCATTCTGGATCACGTTATCATTCGCTGCACAGGTGATGCTCTGCGTTCTTCCGAGTTATCCATTAGGTAGTAAAATCTCCTTGATTTCGGAACAAGGAAAAAGGGCAGGCGAGGCGTGCTGTCGGGATTCCCGCAGGTAGTGCGCGGAGGAAAGACCACGACCTCCTTCCCTCCGCTGCTTGCGTTCTGGACGTGACTGTGGGTACGGTCCCACGTTCAGGTTTCTGTGCTGGTCGGGAGGGCCCAGACGGCGCCGGGCAGCGCTGCCAAAGAGCGGCATAGATGTGTGAGCTTTGGTTGTAGTGTGACAATAGCTTGTCGGAGTCAGATTTTTGACAGACACGTATCTGATCGTTTGTCGTGAGGTAGGGTGTAACAACACCCATTTCCTGCTTGTGAAAGGTCCTCTTAGTCGCGCTGTCTCTCAACACTTCATCAACTGGCTGTAAAGCGCAATGGCCAAAAAGGTTTCGAAGATAGATGTTCTCATTGTTGGTGCAGGCCCGGCAGGGCACATGCTGTGCACTTGGATGGCACGAATGGGCATCAAGACTAGGATAGTTGATAAGCGATTCGACCGAGTCAACAGCGGACAGGCAGATGGCCTCCAAAGCAGGACCTTCGAGATTTTGGACTCTTTAGGCATTGGCCAGGATATTTGGAGGCAAGCCAACCATATGTTAGAAATTCGATTTTGGAACCCCGACGAACGGGGCGCGATTCATCGATCCGGCATGATTGTCGACACAAGTCCCGGCCTCAGTCGGTTTCAACAAGCTACCCTTCACCAGGGCATTATAGAAGACCACTTGATGGGATATGTCAAGCAACATAGTGACATTCAGGTCGAGTATGGCCTCATGCCGGAAAGTTTGAGCATCGATACCGAGCAGGCAGGCAATCCGGACGCGTACCCTGTTTCTTGTACTGTGCGACAACTCGTTAAGGAGAAGCCTTCAGATCAACCGAATGAGCATGGAGGATCCTCGGTTCCCAACGGGCTATATCGGAGCAATCTGGCCGCAGATACCACCGATCAAATGCTTCAATCGGCCAAGGAAAACGAGTCCTCGAGCACCGAAGAGATCCTGGCCAAATACGTGGTTGGCTGTGACGGGGCACACTCATGGACGCGCCGCCAAATCGGTAGCGTGATGGAGGGCGAACAAACCGATTTTATCTGGGGCGTTCTCGATATAATTCCCATCACCAATTTTCCAGACATCAGATACCGTTGCGCCATCCACTCTGCAGCCGGCAGCATGATGGTCATTCCCAGAGAAAACAAATATGTTCGCCTGTACATCCAAATTACCCAAACGGACGAGTCTGGCAAGGTCCTTGATCGCCACCAAATCAGCCCGAAGACCCTCACTCAAGCTGCACAAAAGATTCTGAGTCCGTACAAGTTCAGTTTCAAACATTGTCACTGGTGGACTGCATACCGAATCGGCCAGAGAGTGGGTTCCAAGTTTTCTGCCAACCGGAGAGTATTCCTTGCTGGGGATGCTGTACACACACATAGCCCGAAAGCGGGCCAGGGAATGAATATTAGTATGCACGACAGTGAGTAACCACTCCTTGTTCCTTATGCCCTTGCTGACCAAGGTTCGCGACATAAAGCCTTCAACTTGGGATGGAAGCTTGCATCCGTCATCCAAGGTCGTTGCTCACCATCCCTGCTTGAAACTTATGACCTTGAGCGGCGTCAAATCGCCCAGGAGCTGATCGATTTCGATCACCAGTTTTCTCGTCTGTTCTCGGGACGTCCCGCTCAGGATATTCTGGACAAAGAAGGCATCGATCTGAAAACGTTTCAGGATGTCTTCGAAAAGGGTAATCTCTTTGCCAGCGGCATTGCAGTCAACTATAGGCCAAACATGATAGTCATCAAGCCGGGAAAATCGGAAGCTGCTGAGAAGGGCAACGGGGCAGTCCAACATGTGGAGGATGCTAACGGCTCGACGTATGCCAGTGACGGCGGAAAGCGTCTCTCCAACATTGAGATCGGGTCACGTATGCCGAGCCACAAGATTTTGAATCAGTCAGATGCAAGGCCTTGGCATCTGCAAGAGCTCCTCCCGAGCAACGGAGCATGGCGGATTCTGTTTTTCGCGGGCAACATCCTGGACGAAGCACAGCTGAGCCGGGTCAAGACATTTGCTGAAGCCTTAGACGCTCCATCCTCCTTCCTGAAGAAACACACGAAGCTGGTTGAAAACTGGAGCTCGGTGTTCGAACTGATCACAATCCACTCTGCCCCACGTGTCAAGGTAGAGCTGCTTTCACTACCGGATATCCTCCATCCATGGTCGGATGAATTCGGCTGGGATTATAACAAAGTATTTGTCGACGACATGTCGTACCACGAGGGTCATGGGCAAGCATACAAAAATTACGGCATCGATGCATCCAAGGGTTGCGTCGTCATCGTGCGCCCAGATCAATATGTGAGTTGGATTGGTGAAATGGAGGACGTGGAGGAGATGAATAAGTTTTTCGGGGCGTTCATGCTGGCTTCATCATGATTTCTATCACATCGAAGGTGATGGTAGTCCACCTTAATGATTCAGCCAATGGGGTTTGGTTATATATAAGATCCCCGAACAATCGTCGCCCACGACTTTTTTACTAACTTATCACTCGCCGCTTTGCTCTCCCGCTAACGACTATTGAGTTGAATAACTCCCTCATCCGCTGTCTTCCACTCCCTTCCTCTCTTTCGTTCTCACCACCTACTCCCTTCTACTGCCTTACGGCTCTAGCCCGCTCCTACGGTGTTCCTTCGCCTCCTATGGATTTAGAGAGCCAACGCAGAGGTGCAGGGCAACTCCCACCGCTTTTGGAGGCGAATCTCCCACGACGCCAATAACGCTAATATGACCTGCTCCCATCCCATATTAGCTCCCCACCCATGTGACTTCTCAGGATCGCTCACATAGTGTAATGGGGCGGTGCGAGAGACCAGAGGGAGTCTTGACATGCTGGTCTTCGCATTAGTGCCAAGCAAGCAAATGGTCATTGGATATGCCACCATTGAGATGGCCTATATGCTTTTTCAACAACAGCAGAGAGACCTAAGCCGAAGAGACCTCTGAGCCCGAACTGTCTTCCGCAGTTTGGCATCAGGGCAAGCTCTCTGTGGCTCGCGCAGTGCTCGGGCGGGCTTCCCCGTACTCTGCCGTGACTCCCTCGACGCTCTCCCGTGCTCGGCCAGGCTCCCCCGATGCTCCGTCACGTGCGCGATTCAAGCGGCTTCGCTCCGTTTGCCGAATGAAATTGTTCATGGAAAGAAGCACAGTTCGGGGTGTATATAAAGTATATATATATATCGCGGCCTCTCCATCCGTTGCTTGCCGTTGATACTCCTCTTGACCCGCTAAAGCTTGGAAAACTTAAGCTTAAATCAATAAATACGCCGCCCATTTGCTCTAAGCGAAACCCTTCCTACACTTTGTGCGCTGCAAACCCTCGAAAGCCCAACTCGCGTCAAGACAGTCCGACCTGCGGAAGAATATAAACGATGCTGAAAACGACGACAACCCGCACAAACTCGACATAGGTGCCCCCCATCCTCCCTCGGTGCGCTTAGAAGTTCTCGTTGTGAGATGGCACACCAAATAGACAGGTAGGATAGACCCCCGGAGTATCACTCTCCAAAAATCCATCAAAGTCGACGTTGGAGAAGTCCTGACCCGCTGCAGCACATGCTTGCGCGTTGTCCGCAATGGCCGCGATGGAGAAGCCAAACCGGCCCTCGAGGTCGCCCATCGCGTTCGGATGGTCAATTGTCACGGCAGTGGGGATGGTGCCGTCGCCCTCTGGGAGCCCGAAACGGCGGCATTGCGAGCCGTCTGCCGACAGCGTGTCCTCGGGCCCGCTGTCACAGTCGGCCACGATATTGTCAACGATCTGGAGCATTTGGATCTTGTTCATGGCCTCGGCAAGGAGGAAAGTGCGTAGGTTCTGCGCCATGATGGTCGCATAGTCGGACTGACTCGGAACAGGGTTGAGCTGCACGCCACCAAGAAGGATCTGGGCACTCGAGTCGTCGGGCTGGGCGTCGACAAAAACGGCTTGCAGCTGGTCCATGATAGCGGCTTGGACGTTGGGGACGGCGTTGTCGAGTAGGGTTTGTAGGATCTGGGGCTGATCTTGCAGAGTCTGCGGGGCGTCGTCGACATCCTGCTGGGCTTTGTCCACGACCTTACCGGCTATCTTCTTGAAGGTTTTGAGCACTGTTTTGATCGCCGCGACTTCGGCACCTGCACCGGGGATAGGGATGAAGTCCAGGGACAGGTCTACCAGTTTCAGAAGGGTGGAACGCGATATCGGCAGAGGTTGGGGCGAGATGTCGTTGACCATGGCGGCGATGTAACCCTCAGAAACCAGCTGGTCGTGGGCGTCTTGTATGGCATAGTACATGTTCCTCAAGTTGTTGTACAAGTTAATCCAAGACTGGACGATGAAGCCGACTTGTGGATTGGAGAAAGTATCGCAGAAAACGTTGTCGGGAAATGGTCCAGGGATCAAGCAGGCCCCTGGGTCGTTGAAATTGGTGCAATCAAAGGGGTCATTGGTGAATTGGTTGGTATTGAACTGCGCGACGAATTGCTGAGGAAAGTTTGCAGCTGCGACTCCAATTAGACTGGTCCCTTTGTGAAGGAAATGGTGACCGCTGCTTACATTGGCCAAAGCCAGGGGTGCCGGTCACAACGGCGTCAATATCGTTGGCATTCCAGTTAGCCGGAGTCAGGTCTGCATCTCCGCAACCAGTGGTCAATGTCGGGGTACTGTCCTGTCGGCGATCGAAGCCCCTTGAGGAGACTTTGGAGGAGAGGAATGCCAGGAGAAGTGACGCTGACGCGAAGAATGATGCAGAATACATAACGAGAGTGTGTTATCGATCAAAGAAGAGTAAAAGAAGTGAAACTATTTAGGAAGTGCAAAGGAGTGGAGAGAGATTGCTTGTTGTTGAATGCTTTAGGAAGTAAACGGTCTAAACAGTAAAGATCTGGCCCTTCTTATATTTGCACGGGCATAATCTATATACACAGAAAGAACATACACAAGTACATACCTGTACTATGTAGTACGGTTGCATTGCCACTGCTGCGGTGGTGGAAGGCCGTCAACTTTTGGGAGCGCCCAATAGACCTTTCAAGGAGCTCCACTTGAGAGGAGCACTTTGGTACCGATATGTAAATAGCATCGACACAGTAAGAGAAAAGACACATTATGCTCGGCCTTAATGAGCACACAGCAATCCAGGGAGTGTGCAAGGGTAATTGGGGAGCTGAACAGGAATACGAGCCCCACCGACGAATTAGGCAACTTTCTGAAAATATACCTACCAGTCAAGTGGCAAGAGAACAGGGCAAGATTCACCATATCTGGGGGCTTTAAGGTAAGAAGAAATACAAGTGGAGCACACCGCCGAACTCAGCCTCCACCGTTGCCGTCGATATACTGCTTTCACGTTTTGTGGTTGGAGCATGTCGCGGCTGCTGCCGGCTCCTTGAGCCAGCACTGCTTGACATGCCTCTAGCAGATGACTCAGTAAGGGGCGCGAATGGCGTCGGAATGAAGAGATGATGTTTTGCTCTGTCAGCCGGCGCTTGTTGAGCATTTAGCAACGCCTCCAGGCCGTTGGTAAGGCAGAAGAAGATGCGACGTTGTGTTCCGCTGTTGTAGGGCGTGCTTCAGTGGAGCTGCATCAGTCTCCAGCAACACTGGAAAAAGCATTTTTATCCCTTGCCGCCGCGGTGGCTTTGCCTCGTAAGGCTGGAAGATGCCGGCTGTGGTAGTTTGAATGTGTAGTAGTAAGCCTCCATGGCCCATGAGTCAAGGTGCGAACTGGGATATTTGAGGCCGGATATGTTCTGACGCTTTACCGGATCGTATCATTTGGCGTCGGAAGCGTTCCCAGGTGGCTAATGCAAGGACCTGCTAAGTGGCGCAGACAGCCTCACCGCTCAGGCCACTGGCATCGCAGGTCTCAAGGGGCATTCTGGAAAGGGTAGAAGGGTCAGCAGGCATCAGTCCGAGGCAAAAATATATCAGGCCGCGTCGCAGTTGCAGTACTAGTATTGAAAGCAACATTGCCGTCGCCGAGAAATTCGTTGACACGACCAAAAAAACTCCCTCACTGCTGGGCCCCTTTCGATGTTGATTCGATATTTGACGTTTACTCAGAAGGGGCATAAACACACATAGTTGTATCCTGCTCTATTCTTGAATTTCGATTGGTAATGTCGCTGACGACACCAGACAAGTTATGGAACAAGAACTCAGAGGCATAATCAGCCATTGAATGAAGATCCCATGAATATACCCGTAGCGCGGTGGGGTTTGCGTGATGTTGAAATTTTTGAAGTAGGAGTCCTGATACTCGAGCAGCCGTTTCGACCTCGAGCATCCACACGAAAGGATCTGTGGCGCGACCTACAAGGATGGTGTCTGAAACAACCACGAAATAAGCAAGGCATATTCGCGATGGAGTAGGACCACGAACAGAGGTGACATGCCCCCAAGGGAACGTATTCCGTTGTTGCATCAAGTTGAAGCGAGCGGTGAGATTGAGGAGCTACCTAGGTATCTTAGATTGGTTGAGCAGGTTCCATCAGAGTGGACAGTCTCGAAAAGCGCGGTTAGGGTCTACAGTTTGAGACTTTATCCTCTTTCAAGCACACCGGTTGGGAGCGTCTCTGAAAAGCCAGATCTGAGAACCTTGTGACCGAGAACTTGACACGAGAGTTCGAGATCGATGATGATCGATCTATCTATCCGTGCAGGCGACACTCCCCAAAAGCCTTCAATGAGCCGCATTGGTCTTGCCAAATTTTATCAGAGTCATGCTGAAGCCCACAGCGATGACAGGTAGGACACTGACAATCTCTCCCAATCCCGCATAGGCCGGAGGGACACGGAACCTGACAAACGCGCCTGATGCCAGTAAAATAGCCAACACGTTGTACACGCCACTCCAGACGAAATTGAATGTAATGCGTATGAATGCAGCCCTGGAAACCTCAAGCAGCGTGATTATACCGTCGAGTCCACCCAGGAGAACAACGTCTGCTGCAGCTCGAGATATGTCCGAAGCGTCGCCAATTTGCAGTCCAAGGTCAGCCTGTGCGATCGCCGCGGCGTCATTTGTTCCGTCACCAACGAATAAGACTTTGCGGTTCTTATTCGAATCACCGGTGGACGCTTGGAGCGCTTTGATATATGCAAGCTTTTCTTCGGGCTTTTTCTGAGCAGCGACATTAACCTCCGGAATCTGCAGTGACTGGGCAAGAGCTTTCACAGCAGCAGCATTATCGCCAGAGACAATGTGGCATTTGATTCCCCGGGCTTGGAGGCGGCCAATTGTAAAATGGGCTTCGGGTCTGGTCGTTGCTTGCAAGCCGAATGTGCCGACAAGGTCATTATTGAGGGTGATGCAGAAAACTGTAAGGCCTTGCGATTGTATGTTGGTCACGTCCGGATGGGTGGGCACATTTAGCCAGCTCGAATTCCCAGCCCTTACAACCTGACCGTTCCAAGTCGCTGTGATTCCACAACCAGGCATTGACTCGACATTTTTCAGCTTGACATGAGAAATGTGTTTACCACGAAGGTGCGCTGCGAGAGCCCTGGGGACTGGATGCTCGTTGTCCTGAACAAGTGAGTAGGCAAGTCCCAAAACGTCAAGCCGCAGTACATGATTCGATCGGACTTCCTCATGAATCACTTGGAGGTCGCCTAAGGTTAGAGTCCCGGTCTTATCAAATATCACATCGGTAACTTTGAAACCTCTTTCGGTGGCACCAGCGGACTTGATGATGATGCCGTTCTTGGCAGCAACTCCTCCCGCAACGACTAGGACCATTGGGACGGCCAATCCCAACGCGCAGGGACAACTGATGGCAAGAACTGCAATAGCATAGGTGATAGCTGTACCAATAGTACCACCAGCATGTTCATGTCGAACTCTGACGGCAACAATAAGCCAGATAATCAAGACAACCAGAGCTATCGCGACGACGACAGGAACGAAATATCCTGCAATCATATCGGCGAGATCTTGAAGCTTGGGTTTCGTGCCAAGAGCATCTGAGACGAGGTCTGTGATATCGCTGATGCTGTTTTGTCCTGGTAAGCGTGTCGTGCGAACACGGAGCGGACCAGTGTCATTGATTGTGCCAGCAATGACGACACTCCCCTCAGTTTTAGAAACCGGAGTGGTCTCACCGGTCAGCATGGACTCGTCCACAGCGCTGGACCCCTGAATGACTAGACCGTCAGTCACAATACGTGAATGAGGTGGGATCCTAATCACATCGTCGTACTCGAGTAGTCGCGCATCGATTTCCACTGGGTCGGGATCACCCTGCTCAAGATATGCAGTCTCAGCTTGGAGCGACCGTAGCGAAACTGCGCTCACCGCTCGTAGTTTGGCAAAAGTTGAGACCAGCCGACCAAGAAGCACGAGTGTGATCAAAAGAGTGCTTGTTTCGAAGAATTCACCCTCTTCCAAGAGATAACCCGCGTGGGTCAGGCCGAAGGCGACAACAGAGTATAAGTAAGCTGCTGAGACGCTGATGACAACCAACATATCCATTTCAATTGACCTGCTAAAGATTAGAGCCTTCAATGCTGGAATATAGAACTCAGGAACCGCAACCAGCTGCACTCCAGTGGCCAGGATCAGGGAGATGATAGACTTGGTATTATACGAGACTGGCGTATTTGCCCATGCGAGCACGACGACTGGGATTGTCATGATTGCCGCTGCGATAAAGCTGAAAAGTTTGAGAAACAAAGCTTTCTGGCCGCTGGCGAGTGTTTTGTCTTTTCGTGGTGGAGCCAGTCGGCCGTTGGTGCTCGATAGAATTGTGCGGGCTCCAATGATTGCCGGATCGAAAGAGATTTCATATAGCCCTTTCCCAACGCAGTCGACGGATCTGATACCAGCAAGATTTGCCTCCTCTAATCGCTGCGCATCTTCTTTCGTCATGAGCTCATCGAGCGCTAGAATTGTGGAAAAAGTCCGGGTACATTTGAATCCTGTTTCGCGTTCGAGTTTGCTTAATGCTTGATCAGCAGCGATGACTCTCAGATCCACATCACACTCGGCCTTGCCTGCCACATAGTTGACGTTGACATTGGAGACGCCGGATACATGATTGAACACACCAATAATCTTCTTGACACAGCCCGTGCAAGTCATGCCAGTAATTGTAAAGGTGACATGCTCATGCACGGCAGGTTGTTCCTCATCAGTACCTTTGGCCTGGACTTTAACGACGCTCGATATTGCCTTGGTTGAAAACTTGGGCTGTTTCACAGTCGCCCGCGAAACAGACGCTTTATCGTAAACCTCGTGTTGAGCAGAGGGTAAATCGGTTCCAGAGATCTTCCTTTGGCAACTGAAAGTGGGTTTTCGTTTCTCATGACGCAGGTATTCATGGCTGGATATGAATACCGCAGAAGAGGTCCCCTTTGATAATTCCCCCTCTTTTCTCCGAAGTCGAGGTCCGGAAATGGCGTCACGTTTCTTTGCATTGCAGCAGATATCTTCGCGCGGCATGATACCCCTGCAGATGCAAATCCCAGCCTCAATGAAGGCGGTAAATTTGCGTATAGCAGCCTCAAGGTGTGCAGAACATGTCTCGAGCTCGTCCGTGATGTTTGAGATTCTGCTGGTGCTGCTATCGACACTCTGACATGTTTCCCTCTCGCGGCATGATACATTGACTTCCTTGACACATCCGGATTTCTTCTTTGAGTCGCTATGGCCTGCAGCAGCACGGCAACTCATATTGCCCTTGGACTTGCCACTCTCCTCCTTACAAGGTTCCTTGTGTGGTGCGAGGGTTTGGCCACAGTAAGCATCCTGGCATACATCACCTGTGATATCAGACTTTTTCCCACCACAACATCCCTGCTGACAGTCGTCTTCCTCGCTCTCGGGGTTTTTGGCTTCACCACAACATCCCCGCTGAAAGTCGTCTGCCTGAGTCTCGGTTTTGTTGGCTTCACCACAGCAAGCCTTCTGGCAGTTGTCATCTTCAACTTGAACCTTTACAGCATCATCGCAGCATTCGGTTTGACAACCACCTTTGAGCTCGGTCTGCTTGACTTCACCACAGCAACCTATCTGGCAGTCGTCTTCCCCCAACTCAGTCTCTTTAGCGTCACTGCAACAGCCCTCAACGCAATGGTCTTCTTCTGGCTCACTCTTCTCGATTTCACCGCGGGATTCCTTCCCACAGCAGCCTCCGACTTCAAGGCCTTTTTCGCCATCACCACAGCAGGTATCTGCATCAAACTTCAAGTTGTGAATCTGGGCATCGTCACTGTCGTCGGTTTGCTGAGCGCAGCAGGCTTCTTCTCCACAGTCATTATCTTTGCCCGTCTTCGCGGAATGGTCGGCAGATTGTTGTTGGCACATGAAAGCTGCCGCAATCTCGATACACAGGTCTAAATACATATACATACAGCGTCAATAATCTGGGAAACTTACGGTGTAATCGAGTCTCAAAGCTAAATGCGTACCATCACAACGCCTGCCATTTGAACAACATCCGTCTGGAGAAGGTTCGTACTTGCTGTCGCACCTGTCTTTGTGCGCCGCCACGGTTCCATCGGCTCCATCGGAACCCATGACCCTTGATTCCTTGTCTACACAATTTTCGTTGCAGTATGAGTAGCGGAGATCGATTTCAAAGACCATGAAGTTGATACCCCAGCAAGATTGATAACCGGCGTTCAGTAGTAGCCATATTTCGATGCGGGTAGATTTTCTCCGCGCTTGGCAGGATGTTCGGAAAAACCGTTCTTGATCACGTGACAATATGCCTATCACATGACTCTTGATCACGTGACTATGTATATTGTGGTGCCCGCCACATTTCAGTTGGCGCCACATTACCACTTTCAGCGAAAACGGTGGTGTATTTGAGCCAGCAAGCAACGTAATGAATAGAGATTTGTACCATAGTACTTCCACTCAACCCTCTGAAAGATTTCTCGAAGCCCGAGGTCGAACGTATGACAGGATCGCACGGCACTTTGAACACCAGCTGCCAGTGCTCATTTTGAAACATTGACTGGCATGAAATACTAGTACTACTATGTACATAGTAGTACTAGTGCTAAGGTCTCCCCCCCTTCGAGGGCGCTAGACCGGTCTCAGACCGGTCTCGGATCGATTTAAGGGCAATAGTAGTGCCAGCACTGCTGGTACTTACCAGCACTTACGTACTAGTGCTTAAGCCTCGAGCAGTACTAATAGTACCAATACCACCACTGGCAGTGCTACATAGTACTTAGTACCTCACACGATTCGACGCATTGGAATTGAAACTTCAAGCTGACCTTTAGCTTAATGTACCACTTAAGTATCGATTTGTAGGGTTAAACCGATTTATAAGGGTAAATCGATGTGTAGAGTCGAATCTATTTGTAGGGTTGAATCGGTTCGTAGAGTTGAGCCGATTTGTAGAGTTGAATCGGTTTGTAGGGTTGAACCAATCTGCGATTTGAATCGATTCCTAGCCATGTCCCATTCGCTTCCGGCGAGCGACTCGCGCTTCGACAGCCCATATACAGGTCCCTCGAAGGAGGAGAATGTCTGTCGGTTGTTGGGTCCGAAGTCCTTGTTCAGCATTTTGTGGTCTAGATCTGTTCAATCGGCACCGAGATGTGGGTGTGCTTTCTCATCGTTGTCGAAAACCTCAAAGTGTTGGCGGTAGAATTTTTGCGGTACCCACATCAGGAGATCGTAGGTCTTGGTGCCAATAACACAGAGAATTGTTGCCCAAAATTGCCAGGTGATCACCAGGAAGACTCCGATTCCCCAAGGGACAAGGAATTTAATGAACTCGGTAGTCTGATACAGGTCGTTCTGCGATTGAATATAGTACTTAACTTGGTCGCTATCACCATCGTAGGCCTCTTTGTGGAATGTGAGATGAGTGGAGCCAGATCCATGTGTCTGCTTGCGTCCAGTTGCGCCACTTTGGGACGAGTTTGGCGTGATATTGCCTCCCGTGTCGACCTTCCCGTTGTCAAGTTCAGTTGCGGTCATAGGCTCAAGCGTCTCTTGGGGTTCAGGCGGCAACGGAGTCGGGTCCGTTGTCAACTGGAGGACGGTGACGAGTTTGACTGGGGCGTTGTAGAAGGGAACCACCCAGAGCTTGAAGTTTTGGTGGATGGAGACGTAGAGGCGTAGGTGCTTTTCGTCGAATGCTGCTTCTCATCAATACATAGTACTACTATGTACTTGGCACATTCCTCGAACTGAAAATACGTACCAACTCCGTCGACAGCAACGTCAATATGAGGACTGAGGATTTTGTACCAGCGGTAAACCATAATGATGAGCCATATTGATCCTGGAAAGCTCCCTGTTCGACAAAATGGATGCGTGAAGGATGCGGTCGGCGTGAAGTAGGTCTCAATTGCTGCCCTTTGGATGGCTGGTGGAGCGGTACAAAGTGTCTCGATGATCCGAGGGATGTCCGCCACTGCATTCACGAACTTTTGGTCAGAGGTTGATCACTTTGAACACATGCAGTGCTGGTCATTGGTCAGACCACCATACCTGGATCATCCATGATAGACAGCTTCCCACGGACCGAGGAATGAGAGGACCGGAAAAGCTCTTGTGGAAGCTGAAATTCTACTGTCGTTCTGCAGGTAGGGTACCGCTACGGTGAACAGTGACAGGTGCGGGTTGGCTGGGGGGCAGAGAGGTTGTAGGCTTGAGGTGGAGTGGCTGAGGCAGATGCAAAGTTCGAGGATACTTGGCTCGATACTACGCGTTTTTCTTGCTGCATGGTGAGCATAAAAGTGCAGCTTTGAATCAAGTGGAAGGAGCTTGAGTTGAAAGTTCAGTTACGCTCGGCTGAGCTTCTAGCACCCAATGACGTCATTCCTCATAACGCGCCTCAGGTCAGCTCTCCAGAGTGAAGTATCAGTGCAGCCCGCTGGCTACACGCTCGCCTGTACCCTTCGCCGGTTGACCATCAGTTACTAGTAGCTCCAAATCTGTTCTTCTTGGTACTTCTGACAGTACATACTGGTATGCTCCGTGCACCTAAGAGAATAGAAGACCAGAAATCCAATCATTCGCTTGAACTTCTTTCGCAAGAAAGCCCTACCGAGATACTACTATGTATGTACTGTACACTCCCGAGTCCTTTTATGTATTCAGTGCGCGCATATTGACATGACCAAGTGCACCAGGGCTAATCATGGTGGTTGTTTTTGCCGTATCCCAGTTCGTTCCTCAGCTTGTCTTCTTCCTCCGCAATGCTGGCGGGCAAGTTTTCCCCAATACCAAAGAACACAAAAAGCGCCCACTTCCATCTAAACGGGTTGATCAGCGTGATAAAGCAGAACCAGTAGAGCAGTTCGGAATAGGTGAAGAAGTCGAATGCTTTGGTTGGAGCCAATGACTTTATCGTACTGGTAAAGTCGACCCATCGCTTCATCCACCAAGTGCGAGGAGTTGTCAGAGGGTCGACGAGGAACATCAGAAGCATTCGCGTGTAGATTCCGATATGATAATTGCCAACAGTTCTGGAACGACGAGTTAGTTTCCATGGTTATCACAATAGGCCTTGTTTCACTTACCCGATAGCCGATACATAAGTCGAGTTGATTGCACATATCGAAGGAGCCGCAGGCGGAAAGCATTGTATAAACCATCGTGGAGGTTGGTAGCCGTCTTCGAAGACCTCGTCAGGCAAAAAGTCAAGGCTTGGTCGTTTGTAGCCAGTCGCCATGATGATCACATCTCCCTCGACCAGCTTATGTCGTCCGGGCCCTCCCTTAGGCACACCCTTTGCCCGGTGATTGAAGTAGATGCCGTTCTCACGGACCTCCTCGATATCCCCTCGGAACCAGGCTGCTTTTCCAGCACGTATCTGCTCGAAGATCTCCGAATTGACCATGGGGGTCTCCGTGAACAGGCCCTGATCTGCCGGTGCTATATCTCTGAGGTCGCGGTAGAAGAATAAGCGCAGGAGGTTCTCCGGAATCCACGATAGCAGGGTTTCTTGACCGAATATGTTGAAGGCAAGAAGTGCGTCCACAAGCGCATTTCGGGGAATGATCCACTTGTCAGATCTAGCCAGCACCTTGATTTCTGCAGCTCCTGTATTGACAGCCCACTCCAACGCTTCAACCGCACTTGCGCCGCCGCCAACAATGAGGATCTTCTTTCCTTTCGCATCTACACCGTCCAAGGCCGAAGAGTGGAAGATGCCTCCCTTGAAGGTCTCTTGGCCAGGTAAGTGAGCCATTTTCGGAGCTCCGCATGTCCCAATCGCCGGTATGATTCCATCAAAACGGCCGTTGGAGGGGTTGTTGATGATCCATCGGCCTTGCTTGTCTTTGTAGACTTTCTCGACCTTTGTATTGAAGATCGTTCTCTGATCGAGTTCGTACCTGTGCCACAACTGCTGGACTTGATCGACGATCTGGTGTTGGTGCGGGTATCCTCCACTCCAATGAACAGAAGGATGGAATCGATACATGACACTGTGGATTTGAAGACCAGAAGTTGTGTTCACGTGTGTCCATATCCCGCCGACGTGCTTCTCATCGTCGGCTTCAAATATAGTCACCTCGAAGCCATGGCCAACGCAATGGGCTGCCGCAGAGACACCGGTAAGACCGGCACCAATCACTGCAATCTTAGGACGGCGGAGGTGCGCATTAGGAGGTGGTGGGTGTGGTGAAAATATCTTGTCGAGAACCCATTGGAGGATGGCGTAGAGCCAGAAAAAGGGACTGAAGGCCATGGTTCGTGGAAGCTGCTCACGGAATGATGCCTTGTCACAGACATGAGACGAGCACGACAGCAAAAAGCAGAAATGGGTTTCTCAAGACAGCGACAAGAATAGTCCTCTGGAAAGGTAAGAAAGATATTACAACAGCGGACGTCATTTCGCAGCTACGCTTCACAGTCGTTGCCATTTCTTTCACGGCCCGTCGGGTCGTCGGATTCTGCTCAGACCCACTGCAAGATGTCATTCCCATGTGGGTTCTGACTGGGTGGCTACTGCGAAGGACCGAAGCATGTGAAAATCATCTGCTCGATTTGCAGGCCCATCATGGCTTGGCAGTGCACAAGGCTGACATGGTGGGTTCTGCCATTGATGGACGAAATCTGAAGCAGACCTAGGTAGTGCGTAGGGAGTGGGCAGCTTGTTCGTGAAAATGGCGGGGGCAGCTCTCCAAAGGGAACAGTCAGGATTCATACCTATGCATGTATGATTGCGTATCGGGTGGGAGTGAGTGCATGGAGAGTGGCTGTGCGGTCGAGACACCACACTGTGTACCGAGTATTCCGTAGGAGATGAAAGTACGAGGTACTGTCGGCCTTGTTTGCTGGTGGAACAAGGCAAGGTGTTTCGTTAATCTGCAGAGTGTACCTAGCGAAAAGGACCCGCTGGGAGGTCACCTATGCCTCACCAGCCCCTGCAGCTTGCGTGGTTCAAGCGCAGAATTAACTTGGTCAATGGGGGAGCCGCCCGCGGCTGTACCTACCCCATAAAAATGGCTGAGGACGTCACATCAACTCCAACTCCAACTCCAACTCCAACTCGTCTCAAGTTCACCGTCCAAGTCGCATTCACTTTTACAACCACCACGAGCCTCAACCCATCTACTACTGCTTTTGAACCTCGCGATCCGAATCTCATTCCGAGACCTCTCAAATCAATCACAAGGTACATGTCCCGCTTCGCTTAACCTTCCCTAATTGACATTTACCCAGCTCAAGCATTTCGGGCGCCGCCACAATGCCTCCATCCACCTCCTCAACCTCGAGCATCAAGAAAGGCGTTAAAGGACCCACGGAACCCTGCATTCCCTGCGACTGTGGGTCATTTGAATGTGACTGCTGCATTATCCCGTGCTCGGTCATGTGATCAAAGCCTTAAAAGGGATCTCGGAGTGGTAGAAAGCGTGCAGAGTTGGGCAGGAAGCATTGGGAATGTGGAAGGGGGAATGGAGTTGAGAAAATGGCGTTGCTCGACGACGAGATTGAACAACGAATCACTGATGAGCTCTGCGTTAATTGAGCGGTCTTGTCTTGGCGGCAACAGAAGAGAAGAAAGAAAGACTACGATTGATGAATCTGAGATACACAATAACAATTTGAATTAGCTGCAGACAATAACTTGAAAATGTATTTCTTTCACAAGTACCATACTATGGTGGCTCCGCTGCTTCAACATGCTCCCTTGTCCGAGCAGGGGCGGACTCTGTCAAAAGATAAGCCTGGGCCTCATCCTCAGACTGGTCACTCAACGAAAATTCGTCGGCCAATTGTTGTTCCAAATCTCTGGGACCAGCTCTGGTTGCTCTCGCCGCTCTCGCCATAGCATAGTCTGCCCTGTTCGGATAGGGTTCGTCACATTTGGGATGTCGCAGAGGACGGAAGTATCGCCGATATGTAAAATAAGCCACTGACATGCCCAAGAGACTGCCACAAGTAACATCGTAGATGTCATGTCTGTAATCGGCTAATCGCGACATCGCGACCAGTGCAGCCCCGGTCAATGGCGCCAGGAAAACCAAAATTCTGGCCAGATCTGCATGCGGTCGAAAGACATGCAGTTTGCCTGCCAGGAACAAAGCTAGGTATCCCAGTCCTGCAAATGCCCAGCTGCTGTGGCCGCTTGGGAAACTCCGCCACCCATCGTGCAGAGTATGGTGTCTCGTCTCGGTGCACACCGCAACGGTGACAAGCTCGTGCTCCGGTGTTCCCGCCACTGGCTTACAGCGGGAAATCAGATCTGGACGTGGCCGGCCGATGGCGTTCTTGATGATATCCGTCAGCAGCGCGGTCAGAAAGAGACTGATGAGAAAGCCAAGGATCGTAACGTGGGCATGATGGATTCCTGGTCGCATAACAATGGCCCATATGACGAGAAGAACGGCTGGAGCAACTCCAGCGAGCAGGACGTTTTCTCCGGAGGACACCCGCTCGACCTGGGCATAGGGATACTGTTTGGCTGGGTTGTCGAGACGGAACATCTGATGGACTGGTTCGAGAAAGAGTTGCGCCTGGATGTCTAAGCAGAAGATATACAACTAGCAGAATGCTACTCACACAAACATATAACGTCAAAAGTACGGCAAATCCAACATAGTCAGACGCATACGACCGTTGCCAGAAGCGCCGGATAGCTGCTACCATGCCAGGCGCATCGATCTTTGCCTGCCTCATGATGGTGGAGATGAGGATTATCTGCGGATTAGCGACAGACCATGTCGATGCGAACGTGGACGAAAGTGAGATGGGGTTTAAAGAGGCACGAGGTCAAGAATTCGTGGGAAAGGAGACGATTAGCGTAGTACGCAATCCCCGCAAATGAGGCTTCCTTATTCGCCAGTCCGGAACCATGCACGGTTGATCTTCTGCCGCCGTTCTGCTTCATCACTCCTTCTTTCATCTATCATGCGCCTTCAAGATCATGGCAGAACAAGAACAACCTCAACCACTGCCCGAGGCGCCTTTCCCCGCTCCTCCGCCTTTCTGGAGGTATTTCACAGTCGCCAACGAGGAGGAATTGAGAAAGATCGAATCGTCTGCCTCCGACGACCAACCGAAGCCAAAGCTTCCCCTTCACCTGGCGTACCTGCGACCTCCACCTCCACCCCCGGCCTCAGCAGAGTACTACACGACTTTTGGCCAAAAGCAGGTCACTGATCCAACCAAACCCTCGTCCTTGCCTACAGAGCAACTTCTCTTCAATCCAGATGATCCAAATCTCAACCATGCTGTCCTTCTCAGCCGCCTCACGAAATCCCTGCTGCTGAACTTCCTCGAACTCACGAGTGTCCTGTCCCTTGACCCGACCAAGCACGAGGAAAAGATGGAAGACATACGGCAGCTGCTGTTGAACATCCACGTGGTAATTAACATTTACCGACCCCATCAAGCAAGAGAGAGCGTCAAGGAAATGCTGCAAGGGATACTGGAAGACGGACAAAGAGAGATTGACGAGTGCGACAAGCTGAAGCAGAGAATTGACGACTTCCTGGCGGATGTGGGCAATATGGGAATATCAGATGTTCCGGGCGCAGCTGAAAAGGACCATGTCACGACCGAAGCCTCTCGCGACCAGCTCATGGAAAAGCAGCGGAGGCTATGGAAAATGATACAAGAAATGACTTGACGAAATCAGTCCCACAGTCTCAGGCTGAGACTAGGCTCTGGAGTCTTCTCTTCCCAGAGAGTCTATGGCATCACGACTGGTACCCAACTCTGTCCTCGCGCATTCCGAGGCCTGTGCCGCCACGGGTCCCGTATCCCGAATCAAGCAACGACATCTTGCTACAGCTCTTTACTAACCCCCTCCCTATTGCTCACTCAGACATTGATTTCTGCGGCGCCACTGCTCAGAATCTGGTCCTTGTAAGGCTCCAAGGCCGGTTCCACTGCTTCTTCCACAAATTCATCAACCTGTTCCGCTGACCTGCCAACGAACTTTGATGGGTTGAGCAAATCCTCTGGTGTCAACTCGCCCCAGATAGGCTCGAAAAACTTCTCCTTCTTGATCCGGTCAACAAGATCGTTCGCTTGGCCCTCCAATTTCACCACCGCACCGGCTTGATGAGACAATACTCGGATATGTTCGTGCGTTTCTTGACGACTGGCGCCCTTTTCGGCCATGCGCATAATCATCGTCTCAGTGGCCATAAAGGGAAGCTCTTGTTGCAGGCGGGCGTTGATGACTTGTGGATACACGACCAGGCCTGAGGACACGTTTTCAAGCAGAATGCATAATGCGTCGGCGATCAGAAACATCTCAGGAATATCAATACGTCGGATTGCAGAGTCGTCCAACGATCTTTCGAACCACTGGTGAGCGTACGTTTGCCCGAAGCCAGAGGCGAGCGAAACCAACTTCCTAGCAAGAGAACACATGCGTTCCGAGCGCATGGGGTTGCGCTTGTATGCCATAGCGGATGAACCAATTTGATCCTTCTCAAAGGGCTCCTCGACTTCTTTCAGCATGGCCAAGTGCCGCAGGTCTGTGCCTATGTGCTCACAGGTGGTACCGAACGAGGCCAAAACGTTGGCAATGTCAAAATCAATTTTGCGATTATAGGTCTGTACCGACACGATAGAGCGTTTGCTGAACCCGGCCTTTTTGGTGACCAATTGGTCGAGCTGCTTCACCTTTGTGTGGTCGCCGTGGAATAGCTCAAGGAAGGAGGCTTGGGTTCCGGTGGTGCCTTTGACGCCTCGGAAGACGAGGTCCGCCCGAGCACGTTCGAAATTCCTCAGATCCATGAGTAGCGACTCAATCCATTGCGTAGCCCGACGACCAACAGTGATGGGTTGAGCGGGTTGACCATGGGTGAATCCCAGGCAAGGCATAGCCTTGTGTTGCAGCGCAAAATCTGAGAGCTTCTTGATACACTTGGCAATTTTCGGCAGCAGGATTGACAGTCCATCCCTCAGGAATATCAAGTCCGCATTGTCTGTCACGTAGCAAGAAGTGGCACCCAGGTGTATCTTCCCGGCGGCTGCAGGTGCCCGCTGACCAAAGGCATGAACGTGGGCCATAACGTCGTGTCGTCGGCGCTTCTCCTCCACAGCCGCGACCTGAAAGTCATCGTCCGTCATGACTTTAGCCGCCTCCATCTGTGTAATGGCCTCGTCCGGGATGTCAAGCCCCAGTTCTTTCTCTGCTTCAGCGAGCCAGATCCAGAGTTGGCGCCAGGTTGTGGCTCGAGTTCGAGGTGAGAACAAAGTGAGCATTTCTTTGCTGGCGTAGCGAGCCGCCAGGGGGCTCTGCCATGTATCGTGAGCCATTTTGCGGATGATTGTCAGAGCGAATATTCCAGGGAAGTGTGAGAAGATACTTGAGTGTAGCTCTTCGTACGGCGACAATAAAATCGAATGTTTAAAAGTCTCGTAGACTGGTTCGATGCTTCGGGCAAAATCGGTCACGCCAAGACATCGCACCGCGGGAAATTTCGGTCTGACGGTTGGTGACGCCAAAACAGTAGACAGGTGAAAATATCCCCCAATTCACGGTAAAGCATATGGAATACTGCATATAGTAGGAACTATAGACAGACAGAGAGATGCCACACTACTACCAGTGAGATTCTTCCCATATTGTGCTCTAGACGACGTTTTCCAGTGCTTCTAGAAGGTCTTTCGGTCTGCCAGAGCTGGCATTCTTCGCTGTCAGACAAAAGGAATTTTCCCATGCCAAACTTTTTTTTCGCTGCAGACTCTAATTCTCCGTCTCGTCCCAGATTTCTGCACCGGATCGGATCAGCGGAGCCCAATGTCCAAAGCAGCAAAGAGAAGAGGACCATCGGCGTCTGAGAATGTCCAGCATGGTGCGAAGAGGCGGAAAGTGTCGCAGTCGACCAAGAGCCAGGTGTACCACGGGCCGGCGATACGCGGTGACTCGTTGAAATGGAAAACAGTCCCGCTGCCGAAAAGACTGGAGGACGCCGAAGGGTTCTTTGGTCTCGAAGAGATTGAGGATGTCGACGTGGTCCGGGATGAGACCACTCACCATGTGATGTTTCGTCCCAAATCACTCGCAGCTGTGGATGACCCCGCCGGCAATCAACAGCTCGACCAAGAATGGCAGGGTTTCGATGATGAAAGGGGAGAAATTGAGGAGAAGGAAAGAGCAAAGCCAACCGCGCCAGCAGATTCTCCAAAGAACAATTTGCGATCTTCCAAAAAGGACAAAGACCTCTACAAACCGAAGCCGAAGAGCAAGCCCAAACGAGAAGACGACGTTGTCCCCAGTGTCAAGTTTGATGTTCTGCTAGACAGCCTGGGAGACCCCGGGACCGATGTGTCAGCTTGGAAGGCTCTTGACTTATCCCCAACAAGCCTTTCGCAGCTCTCCAGACTGGGCTTTGCTCGCCCTACACCCATACAAGCCGCCAGTATTCCTCCAATCATGCAAGGCCATGATGTGATTGGTAAGGCTGTAACCGGTTCTGGGAAGACTTTGGCATTTGGCATTCCAATTTTCGAATATTGGCTTTCGAGCGAGAATGCGGCACCGAAGGCCTCGGCGAAAAGCAGGGAGTCCATCCTGGCTCTCATTCTTGCACCTACGAGAGAGCTCGCATTGCAGCTCAACAGACACCTGAACGAACTGTGTATAGGTCTAGACGACCATCCCAGAATTGTCGCTGTGACCGGAGGACTTTCCATCTATAAGCAGCATCGACAGCTGGAATACGCCGATATTGTGGTCGCGACCCCAGGGCGATTGTGGGAAGTAATGAATGATGCTTCTACCGCCAGCGGTGTTGATGCATTGGTGGATCGTTTGAAGAAGATCCGATTCTTGGTGGTGGATGAAGCCGACCGATTGTTGAGCGAAGGTCACTTCAAAGAGGTTGAAGATATTCTTGATATCCTTGACCGGAAGACCATGGACGAGGAAGAGGATCAAGACACGCCGCAGGAGTTGCCGGATTCGACAAGGCAGACTCTTGTGTTCTCTGCTACGTTTCACAAGGGACTGCACCAAAAACTCACAGGCAAGCTCAAGTCAGCGAGTCGAATGAACAACAGCAATCTCCTCACCAACCAGCAGTCGATGGAGTATCTCCTGCGAAAGCTCTCGTTCCGCGAACAGAAGCCAACCTTCGTTGACGTCAATCCCAGTTCTCAGATGGCTGCTGCACTCGCAGAGTCAATCGTGGAATGTCCTGCAATGAAAAAGGATCTGTTTCTTTATACCTTGCTGATGCAAAATCCCAACAAAAAGACGCTGGTTTTCACAAACAGCATTTCCGCTGTGAAGCGAGTTACGGCACTGCTTCAAACCTTGAAGCAACCTGCAGTCGGCTTACATTCGACCATGCCACAGAAGTCACGACTACGATCTCTGGAAAGATTTGCCGGCCAAAGCAACGTCCTGGTAGCCACAGATGTTGCGGCTCGAGGACTTGACATCAAGGGAATTGAAATCATTATCCATTACCATGTACCCCATACTGCGGACATGTATGTCCACCGATCCGGAAGGACTGCTCGTGCAGAGATGTCAGGGCAATCGATCCTGCTCTGCTCACCCGACGAGGTGGCTGGCGTGAGAAGACTGATTGCTGAAGTGCACAAAAGTGGCGAGGCGCCGGAAACAATTCAATTAGAAGGCCGACTCATGCAAAGCCTGGAGCCACACGTATCACTCGCTCAGAAGATCACCGAGGCAACTCAGGCCAAGGTGAAAACAGCAAGCAAAGAAGATTGGCTGCGAACTGCTGCGGAGGAGTTGGGAGTGGACTATGATAGCGAAGAATTCGAGCATCAGGGCCAGAGAGGCAAAAGGGGTAGAGGCGGTGCAAGAACCAAGAAGGAAAAGGACCACGCTGCAATTAGCAGAGAGCAGCTCTCTCGGTGGCGAGCTGAGTTGGACGCATTGTTGAAGAAGAGGATCAACCTGGGCATCAGCGAGAGATATCTCGCTGGCGGTCGAGTTGATGTTGAGGCATTGCTCCAAGGACAGATGGATGGAGCGTTTCTGGAAGGCCGCTAAGAGACCCCTCCAGCTCTCACCAGACCTTTTACAAACCCTTTGTACCTTGTGATGTGGTTGCCAGGGGCTGAACAAGCCGGCTGATTGGCTGATGCATTTGAGGCACGTGGCTGTATTTGGGACAAAAGGGCTCAGCATACGCGAAGGGTGCTTGAGGGCTGGGGCGAGTGATAAGTCCATCAGACAGCGACATGGCCCCAAAGAAGCGAAGACGCACCTACTTCGACTGTTCGTTGGGACCTGGCACTGGTACGAGAAAGAACACCCTCTGCAACCGGAAATGGAAGCTCCCACCGACCACCAATTGCTGTCTTGTTCCATTCACCATCTTCATCCTGCAGGTGGAATGGCATCCCGAGACAATCCTGAGCAAAACCATCCTCGTTCCTGGCACATATCTCTACTCCAGTTGTCCGCCCACCCTCATCACTTGTCCAGCATTTCCTGGCCATCTTCCCGCGTGCCCAAATCCTCCACCCTTGAGCAACAGGTTGTGCACCACTGTGCACTCCTGAATAGCGCTTGGACCACAGCCCTCCCAGGCACCAACGTGTTCTCTGCGAGTGGCCAGCCTGGATTTTTCTCTTTCTAAGATCTTCAGCTCAGCTCGCCTATATAGGTTCAGTTTTCGACTTCTGGAGCCCCTGTTGGAGAGGCGGATTGCCTACACTGGTCCACGCATCAAGATCAAGTCAAAACGTTCATCAAAGTCGGCCAGCATGTTCTTCAAAGGCGATCCTTCAAAAATCCCTCCCCCAAAGTCGGGATCGACTGGGGCTTACAATATTTTGGCCTTCGACGGCGGTGGTGTGAAGGGAATATCGTCGGTGACGATTCTCAAGAGAATTGTGTGTTAGTCTTATTCTATTATTCAATACCAATTCCAAAATCTGGTCATATATCTTTGGAGCAAGGACACTGACCCTACTTGGAATTAGATGGACCGGGTCCGCGATGTGGAGAACGAGGCAAATCTCTCGAAAGGCAAACCGACTGACCCAGAGGAAAGAAAGCCTGTCGATTACTTCGACCTTGCTGCAGGGACAAGCACCGGTGGACTCATTGCCCTTATGTTATTTCGCCTTGAGATGAACTGCACCGATGTGGTCACACAGTATCAAAAGTTGGCCGAGCAGGTATTCTGCCCAATGCTTGGATCCATTCGTCTCAACAGCCTCGGGGCTTTCGGGAAATGGATCGGAGATATCTGGCTCACGCTCAAAGCCGTCGCTGGTCGCGCCCAATTTTCGCATAAGCCGCTTGACAAGGCAATTGATACAGTGGTTGGAACATTTCCGCTGGATGATGATGACCGGGCCAGAAAGGGAGATGCTGTGCTCGTCAAACCGAGCAAAGGCCTGATGTAAGTTCAGACTAGCCCGTCACGTTTTAACGCGCCTGAAACTAAGTGGAAGCAGGTTCATGTGTGCGACATTGGCCGACCTAGGAGAGAGCATCTTGCTACGCAATTACGACCCTCCATTCGCGCCGCTTCCGGTTTCCACGGGGGCTACCGACTTCAATTTCAATGCTGTTACCATCAAAGAGGCAGCCCGCGCAACTTCTGCTGCACCTACTTATCTCAACCAGGAGAGCATTCAAGGATTAGATTTCTGGGATGGCGGGCTCTTGAACAACAACCCCATTGACCAGGCGTGGAACAACCGATATGACCTTGTCATGCGCGATGCTCCGTCTCCCCGAATCAAGTGCATCGTCAGCTTAGGAACGACACATCTCGAGGATGACGACAAGGAACGACTTGGATCTGGCATTGCTAAGTTCTTCAATACCATTACGAAGACAGTGGCCTTTGCAACCAACACCGAAGCCAAGCATCTCGACTTCGAACGGAACATGCGACAGCGCAACGAGCGAGACCCAACCAGGAAAACTTATTATTACCGGTTCAATGCGTCGACGGGAAAGCACAATATCAACCTAGATGACTATCTCAAAATGCCAGAGTTGGTGGACTACACCAACGCCTACTTAGAGAGACCCGAGGTGGATAAGTGGGTGAGCGAATGTGCAGCCTTGCTCGCAAAGACAAACCAGGCCTGAGATGCTACAGAACCACTATTGATGGATTGAGGAGAAGCGGCGAATGGGTCGCTTGGTCATGCCGGCAGAGAGCCATGGTGCCTAGGTTGAGCGCTGAAGGTGCTATGTGGCTGACATCGTTCTATTTTGCCTACGCTGTGTATTGTAGCCATCGGGCGCTGTAGACAGGCTTGCGTTGACATGGGCAGTGGGTTGGGACACTTTCTTCCAATGGTGGGTTTATGGAAAGGTTGATCATTAACTCAAAATGAAGTGGCAGTACCTGTATTCATGTAACGGGATGTTTCGAGCTTGGCGGTCAAGGAACTCCGCCTTCTGCTATGTTAGAGGTGGACGAACCCAATATTGACGTCTGGACAGGCCGCTGGTGTCAGTGAAGCAGCACCAGCCCATTAGGCGAGATGATGACGTACTTTTCAATTGTCAATGATGGACTGTAGCATCTCTCGCCATTATCACACCACTGACTATCAATGCAAATCCCTACAAGTACTTGTGCTTACATGTAGAGACTGTAAATGAACCAGGATCTTCTACCAGCCAAGTGCTCGACAATATATGTAGCTCAACATCTTGATTTCAAGAAGTGACGAGGTCGCCATCAACCAGCAGAGGTCTAACAACACAATTTCTAGCCGCGCAGGGAAGACACAGTGGAGTGTGTGTGAGAGAGAGAGAGACAGTAATTCAGGTAAAGCAACGCAAAGAGAGGAAGGAAGGAAGATGGCGTCTTCATCATCCACAACCTCCGCCCCGGCACTCCCGCCAACGATGCGCGCCTGGCAATTCACCTCGACGCACGGCGGGCTGGAGAAGAACCTCTTCCTCAACAACTCTGCACCGCTGCCGGTGCCGCCTCACGACGCGGCCAAGTCCCTAGGCCCAGACAGGGTGCTCGTCCAGGTAGTCGCGGCGGCGCTGAACCCGGTGGACTACAAGATCGCCGAGTTGCCCGTGGTGGGACGTCTGGCGATCAAGACGCCCAGTTCGCCTGGGCTGGATTTCGCGGGGAGAGTCGTGGCGGTCGGGAATACTCCTCCTGGTCATACCGGGCCCCCGGTCCCTTTCCCTGCCGCCGGTCCTGTTTCTGATAGTCCTACTACTCCTGCTGGCGCCGCCAGCGCCGCCTCTGGATCGGATGTCAAGGTCGGCCAACTGGTGTTTGGTCGTCTGGACAGCCCGACCCAGTTCGGCACCCTGGCTGAGTACACTGTCGCGCGCAGGGCGGGATTGGCGGCGGTGCCTGAGGGGGTTACGTTGCAGGACGCCGCGGGTGTTGCCACCGTGGGCCTCACGGCGTATCAGGCCATTGTGCCGAATGTCCCGACGGAAGGAGGAATAGAAGGAGGAGGGGGAGGAAGCAGCAGCGGCGGCAAAAGACCCCGACCATCCAGGGTGTTCATCAACGGCGGCAGCGGCGGCGTGGGCGTCTGGGCCATCCAGATCGCAAAAGCCCTCGGGTGCTACGTCGTGGCGAGCTGCTCGGGCAGGAACGCCGAGCTGTGCAAGAGTCTCGGCGCGGATGAGGTGCTGGATTACACACAGCAGGATGTCTTGGGTGCCTTGAAGAAGATGTCTACTACTCCTGACACTACTTCTACGGGGGTGTCATCATCGTCATCCCCCTACGAGAGCAGCAACAAATTCGACCTCGTGGTCGACAACGTCGGCAACTCGGACGCCCTCTACTGGCAATGCCACCACTTCACCACCCCACGCGCAAAATACGTCCAGGTCGGCGCCGGCATCTCCGCGTCCGCGGCGCTGCAAATGGTCATGAAGATGCTGTGGCCGGGCTTCCTGGGCGGTGGGAAGCGCAAGCTCCACGTGCTGATGGTGTCGAGCGACGCGGCGCAGCTGGCGCGGATTGCCGGCTGGATGGCACAGCGGAAGGTCAAGGCCGTGGTGGATGAGGTCGTCCCGATGGAGGACGCGCCCAGGGCGTTTGAGAAGCTCAAGACGGGCCATGCGAGGGGCAAGATTGTGGTTGCTGTGAGCGAATGATTCACGGATGGGTGAGGCTCTGCGGTGAAGAAGGAGGAAAAGGAGGAGGAGGAGAAGGCTAGGCAAAATCAGGTTGTAGGCAACCTAATTCTGCCTGCTGGAAAAAGGGGGTTTTCTCTTGGAGTGAGTGGGCGTATATGCGTCGTTCTCATTAAGGATTTGTTTCGTGTTTCAAGCGATGGGTAGTAGGTAGGCCACGGGAGAAGGGAAACAGGGGAGGTCGGAATTGAAATTACGAGATGTGCTCATGGGATCTGTTTTCTTGAGAACAGCGGTGAGAAGCAGGGAAAAAAGGGGGCCACATCTGCCTAGGCGAAATTTCAGATGGTCATGTTCGAGTATGTAATGAATGAATGAACGATGGAATGGAATGGAATGGAACTCAAGCCAAAGCGTTTGCAGGAAACCATCTATCTACTCATAGCAAAATCCGGCGCGCGCCATTTCCGTCGGGCGTTGTCATTCTTTGGGGTTTGTCTTCCTTCTGTCCTACAGTTCAAGGCGCAAGTCAAACGAGAAATACGACCTTTGTGCTCGTGTTCCTTGCCTAGAGTCTTTCTGTGCCCATTTCGCCGTGTGGGCGCTGCTAGTCTGCCTCTTCAAGGAGGCAATATTTCAAAGCTGGCTCGGAAATCGGGGACTGGCGGGGAGGCACGAGGTGTTGGTATGTCTCGCTGCTGTATTATGCCAACCCGGAGAAAACGTCAGGTGACGCCTACCGCACTTTTGGTCGGGGATATCGTTAGATTGGTTGTCCTGCAGTGGATGGCTGTGGAATCTCCGGTAGGAGGCACGTCACGGGCTTCGTCGTCTCCGGTCGAGGACATTGGGGGTTTCAGCCTTGCGCGGACTCTGGATTTTCTTTCTGACGTATGAATGAATGAATGAATGAATGTACCCCAACAGAGGATGCTCGTCTGCCGCAGGCGGAGAAGGCTGTGCAGAAAGAGGGTTGTTTGTATTCTTCAGACCCATTGTTCGGTTGAGGTGGAGGCCGATGCCTCACCGGTCCCGGACACAGGTTCATCTTCGATAGAGTATTCCTGAAGATTGAACCAGGGTTGGATTGCCTCACTAATTCCGCAGTGCCTTCTGGGTTGGTCATAGCCTGCGATACCGTGCCATCTAAAGGGCAACCCACATGATCAAGTTTGCAACTCAATCAACCCGGCTTCCCACAGCGTGAGTAAGCCTGGCAGTCTGCCCGCCAGAGTTCCGCTTGAGCCGCAAAGACTCCTGGCCTAGGAGGTACGCTGATTCCCCAAGCAGATGGAAAACCCCTGTGCTGCCTAGAGGCAGAACAACATCGGAGCAGGCAGGAGATTTTTGACAGATCCAGCATAGCCATAGTCTCGCTTGCAGCTAAAGTCAATGGATTCATGAATCGCCGGATATGCAACTTTCCGAGCCTCAAAGGTGGTGACGTTCACATACCTTGTCGCAGAGGACGCCTTTCAGGAGGTCCGGTGTAGTGGCCCATGTTCAGGGGCGCTGACCTTTGGTTAGCGCCTGCGTGCAACCCCAACCTGGCGCAAACACGGTGAGAAGTATGTTGTGAGGCTTTCTTCACGAGCAAAAACTTCCAACCGGTCACAGCCAAGCGGGGTTTGGCATTGCAGATAGATTGGGGGCAAACACGAGGTATCTTGAAAGTTAGTGCCAGGACCTTGATAACGAGTGCACCTTGATCCTCGTGACGAGGATGCAATGCGAGAAGACCGATGATGCCGCTGGTAAACGACTCCATGCGTGGAGACCAAGGACATGGCGGAAGCGGAAGAGAGATTCTTGGGATCCCCGGCAGTCCACGGCCGGATGAAGTGCATCGTCATCTTGGTCAGGGAGCTGAACTGGATAGTTCGAGAATACGAGCACCATCCTCGCAACGAAAGGCGCGAGGTGGTGTTACAGCCGTTGACGGGTAGCATCGGAATGTCACTCGGCTTTTTTGTAGCTACTCGTATCGCAGAGGAAGTGAGGCTCTGAGATGAAAGGTGGGACCAGTATACCTGTGATATACTGCTTGAACAAACAAACGGGACCTGACTGGAGTGGATAGAAAGGGGGCGGTGTTGTGCAGAAAGGACGCTGCGGCGTTCATGCAGGTCGGCAGGTTAAGATTGCGTGCTAGGTGGACACCATACCTGGATACGTTCTAGAAGAAACAAAGTGCCAGAGTGAAAATGGAAAGTACAGTCACCGCACAGAAGTCGGGCGCTCGGATAACGGATGGCGGAGCCGGACAGGTAGAAGCGAGGTGAGGATGAAACTGGCGGGATGGGGTGTCACAAGGACATTTTCGAGGTTGACGCGGCTTTTGTCCAGGTAAGTTCACACCTGATGGTGACGGCACCTTGTTCAGGGAAGATACTGCCACGGAATGGTAAGCGACCGACATTGGGGGCCAGGGAGAGCAGGGAAGAGAACACGACAGCGTCCAGGTCTGAGTTCTCGTATGTAGCCATGAGGTGTGCTTGGTAATAGTTGACGGTGGCTGAGTCCGAGGTCCTGCTAAACACATGCAACGGAAATTAGCGGTTGTACTTGGACCTCCCCTGTATTGATAACCCCTCCCGAATATGAAAGGGAGCAGAGAGATGCTTGATACGCAACATCTCGTGTTCGTGCACAGACTCCTGAGGGTCGAATCTTGAGCATTATTGAGGGACCGATCGACGGGTCACTCGACTTTGGGATCCCAAGCCTATGAGTGATACACGGAGGCCAGTTTGACATCTCAGAAGTGAGGCTTGGTGTTGATCTCGACAAGTGATCGACAATCCGCCCTGCGTTGACTACCGGTACTAAGGCACAGGTACTCACAAAGAGGGTGACAGAATTGAGGAATAGGTAATTTAGCCGATGCAATGAGGGACCTCTCGAATCTTCATCATGCAGATAATACCGAGTAGTACTCTAATCCATTCATCATGCATGCAGGGCTGAGCACGAATCCGAAACTGCGGACGGGCCCGGGGGACTTTTGGAGGACTTTTACTTGGTAAGCGGAAGAGGTTTAGGAGGAGGAATAAAGTGGGTGAGAGTCAAGTGAGAGACAAGTGAGAGAGGAGCGTTGGAAAGACAGTTTAGAAAGAGGCCAACCAGATGGCTGAGGCCAAGCGCCAATGGGATCCAGCGACAATGCGGGGTTCGGGAGAGAATCGGCTGGTGCCGGCGCATTTGCTCGATCATGGCAGTGCTGAGATGCACTCGATTGTCTTTCTTTTTTATCGCCGGCCACATTCTGGCAAGGCGCACTTGGATCCCCGGCCAGCTGACCCAGAGTCTGGCGTCAATGGATGATCACCATGAGACTCAATGATGGGGTGGGTGTCGTTGAGGGTGGAATGATAATTTCCCGGCACTGTATGGGCCTGGGCCATGCATGCAAAGGCCCTTGGATTATGACTGGGCTTGAGTAATTCCTCAGCTATGACTGCAACGTACATGAGATGCTGCAGGTGCCAGGTGCCGCCGCTTGTACGCCGCTTGGTTGAGGGTCGACCGGTGTGACAAGCGGCAACCCTATAACCTCCAATAACCTCCAATAACGAGCGGGCCTCGAGACTCTCCGCCGTTGAGGCGAAGCAGGCAGCCGGCTCGCCGGCCACCACCACCACCACCAGGACCACCAGGGACTCACTAAGCGACCTCTGGCTAAGGGCACCTACCTGGGTAAGGAACACCGCCCACCGCCTCGCCCCAGGGCTGCTACAGACACCACCTACCTACGCCTGCCTCTATCAAACATGTTTGTTTCACTGTCCCTCCATCCCCAGTCCTCGCATCACGAGTACCTCGTACTACCCGCCTCTTCCATCATCATCATCATCACCACCATCACCACCATCATCATCCTACCGCGCACGCCCCCTTTGGCCCCAAAACTATGGTTCATGCCTGTTTCCCGCCCATGTCGTCTCGGGTCAACCAGGCACGCCAGGGTGTCTACCACCCGGAAACGCATTGAATTGTTGTAAAGGCCCTGGTGCCCCTCCTGGCCCTGTGGCCCCTGTGGCCTATCATGAGTCACGGCGGGGGACACTGTCCCCTCCATCTGATGCTGATGATGCCTGTCTTGGCCCTTATGGCAGCCTGGCGATTTGGTCCTCCTCCTGCTCCTCCTGCTCCACCTGTTTTCCTTTTGCGGTTTAACTCTTGACCAGGCTGCCAACCAAAGTCCCTCCGAAAGTCCATCCTTCAATATGCTTGACAATGCACGAATGTGTCCTCACCTCAATTGGCTCATGCCACCTCGAGGCTATATCTCGTCTATGCTTCCCCCCTCTTGGTCTCATTGAATTCTCTCCTTCCATCAAACACATTTCACATTGACTCGATTCACCGAAACACCCATCCACTCTCCCACAGGCGCGTTGCCCTCGACCTCGTCACAGTCGACCAGGCTGCCAATACATCTCATTCCAATCCATCCACCCGCCGTCACGCTGTCGTCTTCACGCTCAACCACCTACTACTATTACCCCAAGCGGTCCCATACTTCAGACGCACTGACTCCCGCCTACGAGTACATTACTGTTACTCGCGCCCCGAGGCCGAAGAGGGATCACGCTCATATTCAAACCACCCCGTCAACGCCTCCATTGAGTTTCTCACCGACCCCTTCGCCCATTCTCAAGTCACCTTCGACCCCAGTCGACAAGATGGCGAGAGGACCTAGCCCCCCCAACAATGTCAAGTTTGCGCACGAGTTGGAGGTCTCCTGTAGGGAGCCGCTTGACGATGAGCTCTCTGTCATGGAACACTTCGCCAAGCACGCCGAACGATGTGAACACTGTTTCGACCCCTACAAGTCCTACACCAAAGACAAACCCTTATGCAGCAGGGGCCTATCATTTGCAAAGGACGTCGCCAACTACCTTTATGCCAAAGGCGGAAAGCCTTTCTCCCGCATCGAAAAAGCTAAAGGGAAAAGGGTTCAAGTCAACGTCCCTGCCGGTTGCGAAGCCGTCGAATCCCTCATCAAGGCGTTTGACAAGGGTATGAGGCTGGACGCGCCAAGGATTGTGGTCGTCGAGAACACGAGGAGACATGAGACTGTTGACAAGTCAGCCAAGGTCGTTTCACCTTCCTCTCCTATTTCACCCTCGCGACGGAGAGAGTACCACGGTGACGACCGATACCGAGAAAGACGCTATGTCCGCGACGATTACGACTTGGTTGAAATCATCCCTCACTCCAGCCGGAGGGATAGACAGGAAAGAGTCGTCTACCATGATGACCGTGCTGAGGACCGGACGCGGTATGAACGCCGAGAGAGACCCAAGTCGGTTGCCTACACCGAGGGAAAGGGCAGTTTGTATGTCCGAGACGAGGAGGAGAGGAGACGGCGAGAACGATATGATCGCACGCCTGTTGTCATCGTCGCTGAGCCTGGCCAGCGGTTTACCACCACACGGCGGTGAAGGACTCGGGCGTTATAGGGGAGTTTTGACTTTTGGGTTATGGGACTATGGATCGAGTGGAATGTATCACCAATGACACAGACATGATGCCGCCGCTACAGCGCAGGTGGCCCTACACAGAAGGCGCCACGAGTGAGCGACAAACACCACACAACTGGATGGTCCAGCGATGAACCGATACGAAAGGGGAGCACGACTTGCAGCAGTCCAGCCGGGCTCAGGGTTCGCCAGCTGGGGTCAGTTGGTCGTCTTGTTTTGGTCTTGACCAAGACAACACTGTTGGTCTTTCTTGCACTGTTCATGGTTTGTCTCGTTTACATCATTGTGGCAAGCAACACACTGTCGACAATTCACCCCAAAAAAGAGGAGTGCGCAATATGGGTTGGGTTGAGTATTACTCATCTATTCTATTGTGGCCGTCGTCATCATCTCACTCGAGGTGATGAAATCTCTGATATGCCCCCGACAGTGAGGGGGCTGAATTGTGGCACAGATGATGGGACAATGACACGAATGGACAGGCAGCATTGTGGCATTTGTTTGTGACGAAACGGATGCGAAGATTTGCTGTTGGAGGCAAGCAAGGCTGACTTTTCGGGGGACTTTGGAAAGGGGTAGATAGGTTTATTCAGTCAATGTGAACATGAATAGTACAGTACCTTTCCCGCCTAATGTGGCGCGCCAATCCCCCAAAACGTGTTCTCTTTCCCAAAGGGCGTTGCGGCCGCCTGCGTGATGACTGACCTCATCTGCGTGAGATCGGAGTACGGAGAGCCACGTCGTCCGGAGCAAATGAGGAGAGAAAAGATGGGAAAAATGTGAAATGAGGGGGAAGAGGGATTATTGAGATTGCCGGAATTTTGGCCCCCCCGGCCTCCCTTCTCTAAGGGCCGGGCCTTATGTGGCGCGCTCTTGACCCTGAGGCTGTGCGCGAGGCTGAAAAATGGTTCCCCCAAACACACAAAAGTGTTGTCGGTGTGGTTTAATATTACAGCGAAAAGTCCCCCTTCCCCCCCCCCGGGGGGTCAGCTCGTGTCACTCGCGTCACTCGCGTCCACTCATGCTACCTTGTGGCTGGCCCAACGGCGAATCGAGGTTCCCTGGCCTGAGCACGAGGGTACATATGTTGTGGTTGGGTGTATATGTGTATGTGTGGGGGGCTGTGTTCTCCGACGGAGAGCTGAGTGCTAAGTAGAGTATCTCAAGGGGAATATTACTTTGGAATATTAAACCCCTATGGAGGGAGGGCAGAGATGAGAAATATTCATATCATTTGGTGGATCTGCGTAGAGTGTGTAGTTGCATGTATATAAGTACCCAGGTACCTAAAGTAATGTGGGTATGGTTGTATGGGGCTGTCTATGTAGCCGCTTGTAGCAGGCATGTGGAGTTATGTTTGTGTGTATCTACCTACCTAGGTAGATTTATTACAGTATGGAGGGCATGGGACTGGGCTACGACAATATCAAGACCTACTAAGGGAAATGGGGTGTGTCATCCTCTTCCAACGTTGACGTCTAAGTCACGAGTGACTGGTCTCGGTGGGGCCGGCCTTCTTGCTGGCTTAACTGTTGCCCTTACCCATGAGACCCAAATTTTGACTCCATGATCTTGGTACATGTTAATAGTATCCTTGTACCTTAAAACATGCATACAGGCATACTTCCCAAGTACTTAGCATTTTACATATGGAGGCCTGGCCCGCAAATCAATTCTCCGCCAAACTAATCCCTCCACAGCCAGCCCCATTGTGCCTTGCTTGCGTCAGTCAGACATATTACTTTATCTGACTACAAGCATACAATGCTGTCGATCGACGAAGGCCAAGGCCATTTCGAGTACGCGCAGGACTTTTCGGCCGCCACGAGAAAACAAAACCGCGGGCTTGTTTCACCTGATCGAAATCGTCCACCCCCGCGGCGGTGAATATGTATGGACTGACAAATCCTACTTGTTTCGACCTTGCCATCCGAGTAACTGTCATTGCTAAGGCTGACACGATTCAAGGGTATTTCAGCCCACGTCGAGGGAGACCACACTGCCATGGTCCGACTCGGGTAGCCCTCTTTGTTAAACCTGTTGCCTTCGCAGGATGACGTGACATGACTTGACTTGTGATCTTACAAGGTCCTCTCGACATGCCCGGGGTCCTGATGGGAGGATCCCGAATGATTTTCGCCGCTTGTCACTTATCAAATCTTGCGATTGCTGCCTGTTCGAATGACCGTGTCTTGTGTGGTCCTGGGATTTGGTATTCAAGGTAAACGAAAGGGCCGCCCTCACCCCATAAGCCTCACTTACGGTCAGATGGCCAGACGCCTGAGGCTCGAATATTGAGGCCATCCAAGCGCAGCACTCGCCCCAGAGGACCTTTGGTTGTCGATTCATCGCCAGAGGATAAACATATTCTGTCTCCATCAACTGGTTCGGGTAGTTCGATTCTGGATATTCAAAAGGCGACCACGGTCTTTCAGCTAAGTCAAGGACTCGGAACTCTCATCCTAAAAGACAACATGGCCCTTTGGCGCGTTTTACATGTTTGAACGTCGTCGTCTATCCCGCATGGAATTCCGGCCCAGGTACCAATAAGCCGTTGTCCTTCACGTAGTAGGTAGACCAGGGCTTTCTCGTGCCTCCGGCTGTCGTCCGGGAAATCGAATCCAGGATAGACTCTCCTATAGTCCCGGAGCTACAGCTGACACAACGGGCAAGACGGGGATTGTCTCGCTATTACGTCGATTGGAGGTATTGACGGCTCTGAGGAAGGAGTCACCAGGATCTGTCTACGCCGTCGAGATTATAAGCACGCCGCATGTGAAAAGCATCAGTATTATGACTGCTGGAGTTCTAGATAGTGTAGCTAAGGTCGGGTAAGTAACACGGTCAAAAGTGAATGCCCCAGCGCACTTACCGGAAGCTGGGATGGCGATGGCCGAGTAGGTCCACTCGCTCCTCACTCAGTCGATGGTTCCTTTCACCATTCTCTCGCCGTGCGTTTTCCCATCGACAATAACCCATTCCCAGAAGGGTTGTAATACTGCAGAGACCAAGCCCGCCAATAGAGATGCTATGCCCAAGGACAAATCGAGGTCTAAATTCGCTGTCAGCATTCACGCCAGCGACACTCGTGGTTATTACCTACGCGTCCTTGGATAAATACGCAAATGTGGCGATGAAGGCGGCACAGTTGGCGACGGTGACTTGAAAACCTATTCCCGTGGCCCGAACATAATGTGGTGCTAGGTTGTTGGCCAGCCAGCCCTGGACACTGCTTCACGTCAGTACTTTTTATGGTACCTGAAGGGGAGAAAGGAGGTCCTGACATCGGAGTTCCTGGATAGACGCCGGTCGCGATCAAAAACGTTCCACCGTATTTCACTGCTGGACTCTCCGCAGCCAGAAGCATGATGTACCCGGCGATGGCAAGAATACAACCACCGACAATGAACGGGCCCCGAGCCTTGACCTTATCAGACCAGGTTGAGAGAACCAAGATGGCGACAAAACCACAAATGTTTGGCGGCACTGTCATGACGTCTCAGTTTTGTACTGCAAAGCAATCTCGAGCAACTCACCGGTAAGCAGCTGTGCGTGGACCGCGGAATAGCCAAGTTCATGAATGATGGTCGGCAGGAAAAGCGCATAACTCTTGCAAAATTGGTCAGTGAAATGTTTCGTCGAGGAGCGGCACCAGGACACGTACATAGATCGAGATAAGCAAGAAAAACCATCCTAGGGAGCAAATAATGGTGTTGGGGCTTTTCAGTGCCATGCGAACCCAATGCCATTTGAAATGCTCATCGCCCGCTTCATCAGCCGCCATGGCGCCGTCCGCGTCCTCTTTCATGCGGCGAACGGCAACGTCTCGGTCTTGCGCGTTGAAGAATTTTGCCTGTGCAGGTGTATGTGGCAAGAAAAAGAGCGTAAGGATGCCGTAGGCTACTGTGATGGCCCCCTCGACGAAGAAGATCCACGGCCAACCTGCGCGCCAGGGTTAGCGAAGACTTCGAACGCACTCGCTCCCGCTCATTCTCTGGTATACCGTTGTATCCTCCACAAGATATTTTGGACAACCCCGTTGCCAATAGTCCACCGAAAGCAATTGCAAGTGGAGCGGCACTTGCGAAGAGCCCGACCCTGGTCAGCAATTGCTGTCGCCGGTAGAACAGGGCAAGATAGATTAGTATCCCGCCTATGAGTCCGCCTTCACACATGCCCAGAATTGCGCGACCGGCGATAAGACCTCCATAAGATTTGACAAATCCCATGCATGTGCAGGTAAGTCCCTGCACCAAAGCGTTAGATCGAGCTGATACTGGTGGTTACGGGGCCCAGACTGACCCAGACAATGATAAGAGCTGGGAGATAGTAGCCCGCTTGAAAATGTTTGATCACCAAGTTCGACGGTATGTCAATGACGACGTAAGGGATGTAGAAAATCAAGAGCGCCACGTTGAACTGGACATTTTCCAATTTCAAGTCCTTGGAGAGACCGGCAATACTGGCGTTGCCAATGTTCGCTCGATCTAGGGATCCGAAGAACCTGCACAACGTGTTGTTAGGTCTTGTCGGAAACTGTTTAGCCTTGGACAAGTTGGTAGAGCATACCACATGAAGAATAACCATGGAATAATGTGGAGGTCCAGTTTGCGGGTAATACGCTTTTCTGTCGTTATATCTATTGGGTGCTGACCGTCACTTGTGGTAACTGCCTCAACTTCCTGTGGGAGGCATGTCTTCGATTGAGTTGGGTAAAATGTGTGCATTTTGGTCGTTGCCATCGTTTCCTCTCCGTGCAAAGCTGCTCCGAATGAACCAAAGATGGTGTTCTGACTAGGATTCAGTCGAGCTACTACAAATCTCGAAGACTGCATGCCTTAGTCTTATTGCTGGAGCTTGGTGTGCCATGGCCTTGGACATTTGGGAGCTCCGTGGCTGGTAAAGAGGGATCATCTCACAAGGAGGCGGTACGGGTGGGACGAACAAGGCTATGTCGGGACGTGCGGACCGCACGAGGTTCGATGGGCTGTGCATCAAGACCCGCTTCTCCGGGACACCTCTTCCCATGCTCCTCAAAAGGGCACCCGGGAAACTCTGTCCGCCGCCTGGGAGTCCTCTCGACCCTTTGATATCTTGGTACTCAGATCACTCCTTATCGAAATGCCAGCCAAAGTAGCTCTCATCACAGGCTCGTCGGCCGGGCTTGGCGCTGCTATTGTCAAAGCGCTTTCTCGCGACTATCGGATTGTTGTCAACTATCATTCCGACCTGTCCAAGGCTCAGAAGGTCGTTGAGGGATGCACACGAGCACCGGAGGAAGATGGGACTAGCATATTGCCACGATCTCATATCGTGAAGGCAGATATCTCCGTCAGGTCCGACATCATCAAGTTGGTCGAGGAGGTCATGACCGTCATGGGCAGATTGGATGTCGTGGTCAGCAATGTGGGATGGACACGCATTGTCAAGTTTTCTGACCTTGAGCAAAACATGAACGACGAAGACTGGGACAGATGTTTTTCCATCAATGTGAAGTCACACTTGTGGTTATTTCACGCCACTCGACCTCACCTCCAAGCAAACTCAGATGGAGGGAGCTTTCTTGTGGTGTCTAGCCTGGCTGGAGTCATTCCATCTGGCAGCTCCATACCTTATTCGGTCTCCAAAGCAGCTGCGATACATCTATCGAAATGCCTTGCATCGGTCAGCGGACCCAAGGTTCGGTGTAACAGCTTGAGCCCAGGATTGATGATGACCGATTGGGGACAGCAGTTCCCGGAACATGTGGTAGAGTCTGTGAGAGACAAAACCATCCTGAAGAGAGTCGTTGATCTTGACGACGTGGCCAACCTCGCCAAAACCATCGTACTCAACGGGAGCTTGACAGGACAAAACTTTACCATAGACTGTGGGATTGCACTATAGTTATGGCCAGGGTTGGCCGACTCAGCCAGAAATCCCAATGCTTCCACAAGGTTGTGATGCCAAGGGAAGGCAGGTCGTCCAACAGATCCAGCTGCTGAATCTCACTGTGGTTTCTCGCAAGTAGCTGTTCTGGTCATGAGAAGGTCACTGTCCATGGGATCATTCATGATTTACACGGCTCACAGGGACCCGGTGTCCGTTAAACCTGATTCCACAAAGTTCCGTCACATCGGGGCTCATTTCCAACCCAATAGACGCTGGCATCCTTAGGGACGGTAAGCAGAGATACAGTTGACTCTCGCCTGCCAATCGAATAACCCAACGGAGAACGAGCACAATCTCATTCAACATCTTCAAGAACCTGGTTCCTTCTTTCCTCATTGACCCATCAACAGATCCGATGACATCCAATCTAAATCCTCGAAGGTGAATTGGAAATCTTCCAAGATTGGTTCCGAAGACACTCGTTCGGTCGAGAATGGCGCATCAAGTTTGGCGCTTATAGGACCTTCCCAGTTGTCTCCCAAGTTGAGGCAGTCTATTTCACTTTGCTTTTTTTGCCTCAAAGCTCCAATCAATGTGTTCAAAGTTGCGACAGCTTCTGCGCTGTCGTCTCCCGGATAGTAGCCCCGGACCAGGTTGATCGTCGTTATTACAGAATTGAGGTCAGCAAGACTATCAATGGAGTCCATGGAGATCAAGGTACAGCAGAACTGGAATAGTGTGCTGAGGATATTCCACCATGGTTTTCTCTCTTGTACAAGCCGTCTAGCGGCGTGGACAGCTTCTCTACCGACGGCAACCACTTGCTGTACTTCCTGCTTGGTGATATGCCGGTTGGTGCTCACTCTAATTCGTCTGTAAAGGATGAAACAGACGTCTGCCGCGATGAGCTTCAGGAACGGCTGGTCAATGCGTATGGATGTGATCTTTTCCAAGGATTCGGAGAAGTGGTTGTACTCGTCTTCCGAGTTCTCCGGATTCGTCTCCAGTGGTAAAAGATGAGCAACTCGGCAGAATGTGGCAATGGTACTCGTGTCGGATGCTGAGAAAGGGAATACCCTGGTGACACCCTGTAAGACAACGGGTGTTCGACCTAGTTCATGAGATGAGAGGCGGTTACCGGCTGAGATTAGCCAGAATAGGAGTGACCGAGTTTCGTCGTTCCAGCCACTCGTCGAGTATTGGTCTCTGCCTGCGCCGGGACTGTACTGCTTGTGCAGGCCAAAGGATTCAGCCATATGCATCGTCGTGCAAATGACCAGCCACGTAGCTTGAGGTGTCGCCGTTGCACGAAGGTAGAGATATCGCAACACCAGTGCTACTAGAAGCTCGATAGTCGCTTCCCCGAGGACGGCTGGATCATTCAATATTTTTTCTGCGTGCTCGATGATACAAGTCTCTTGTCTGGCGTTCAATGCGTGTCCAAGGACGGCAGCCATGCCTATGAGGCCCGAGATCACAGCTTCGAAAGTCAAACCTTGGTTGTGTCCCTGCCAGTGACTTTCACACCGAGCAAGCAGAACGTCGAGGTTCAGACAGGCTGAGGCAGGAAAGTCCAGCAAGAAAAAGGAACGGACTTGGTGCTGTGCTGCGTCTAAGGTGATCAAGGAACGGATCGCTCCTTTCACCTTGGGTGACGGCTTGGGTCTCTCATTCAAATTCCATGCAAAGGGCTGTAGTTTTGGAAGAAGTTGAGTTTGCATTTGTAACGCCAGAAACCTCGGAAATGCTTCAGCCGAGTATCGTCCCAGGTATCGAGACGAAGACATCACAAGAAGACCATTGTTACCCTCATGAACCCGTTCTGTCATGTTGGTAGAACTAGAGGCCGCGTTTGATGGGGTCCAGGTCTCCATGGCATCTCTACTCGACCTTTCCGCTCCAGTGCTGGCGGGACGACTGTACTGGAGGCGGGACGGGGGACGATGGGCACGCGTGTAGGTCTGACTGGTTCCTGGTCGATACACACATTCGTAGCCGTATCCTACACACACGTCGCAGGGAAAGTCTCCGTTGCACTTCCGCTTCCGCCTTGAGCAGGGCAAACACGCTTTTCTTGTGCGTACCCGCCTGCTGCCGTGGTTCGTGGGCTCCATTCTGCAGCTCAATGTCCTGGTTATCGGCAGATCCTTGTCTCTGGCGCGCGGTGGGCGATGTTCAGCAAGACCGACTCTTCGAACGTTTGACAACAGTGTGAGAGAAAGAAGGAGTGGCTTGTTGCGGGGTTAGACCCCGGGTTTGTTCAGTGGTCCTGACGGCCCATGCGGTTCGTGCGGCTGCTGCGGGCATGGATTGAAGTGTGCTTATCCACCCTAGCATGTCATCTCAGCTATGTACTCCCATTGATGAGCTCAATTGACCGCTTTCTCGCTGCGGACTCCACTTTGAGATTCTATCACTACCGGGACTCGGGAACTTGCACGTCGAATCCGTTTAGAATCGTAGCTATATATCGGTACCAACCGATGTATTGCACCAGCACCATTGCGCCACTATTCCCGAGCACACCGACAGCCCGTTGCCAAACATCTTCACGTAAGGGACCTGGGCGCTCCAGCAATTCGGTCGCAACATCGAAAGCGACCTTTTCGTCGTCACCCAGATCTGCTGGACAGACACCGGATTCAATTTCGTCGAGCTGTGCCTTCGAAAACCCCAGTGTCAGTGCCGCCCGTGCATGAGCGGCGTGTTCGTAGGCAGCCTTTGTGTGCGCGCCGACAACATTGATTGCCACTTCGCGGGCTCGGGCTGAGAGGCCAGGAACAGCTAGCAAGGTCTTCCCGATGCCAACAAAATGCTGTGCTATCCCAGGAAGGTGTAGTTGAACGCCGAAAGGGCCGAGTAGGCAGCCATCTTCACGTTTGATCGTGGGGCTAAACACCTTGTCAGAAATCAATCTGTCCACCACGTAGCCACCACAAAGTCGTGGAAGGACCTAGGCAGTGCAGAATATTGGAACAAGGACTTACGACTCTCCGTATCTCTGGGTGGTATACCCGTCCATGATATCGTATGCTTCCTTTTGCTCGACGCTCAGTGACGCCGGGTCAATGAGCCCTAGACGGCTGCTCATTTCGCTCACGTGTAGCTAAGCAGGTGCCAATGAATGGATTGGGTCGATATGTCTCTCTCCAAAGATTTCAAGGTTGTGCCTCAGAAGCTACGAGCAGACCCAGATGGAGACAATGCACACTTGTTTGTGGTTATACTCCTCAGAGTGCGTAACCAAGTCTGTTCGGACTGGCTCCGTTCCGCAGCTACCGTCAGTGGTCCGCAGCAACCATCCCGACAGCCTGAAATCCGACCCTAGAAGGTGCAACAGGAACCTAGTAGCCGAAGCGTGAAGTGAGGTCGAGTCGATCCTTTTCTCCCCGTACCGTGGATGAGGGAGGACAACCCACGGATGAACAGACCATAAGCGTCAAACACTCAGCCTGAGTTTGTTACACTATCTTCCACTGCAAATATTCAAACTTTGCAAAAACTGGTAGACCATGTTGCTGAAGATGAATGAAGCGCAGGTCTCTCTCGTTGCGTCCTTTCCTCCCGGTTTCTTCCTCGAGAACATTGCTGGATCTACCCAGACGGGGTTTTACATCACTTGCCTCAACCGCCAGGAGCTCTACTGGCTACCCCCTTGTCCAGAGTCTGGGCGATCAGTATCTCCTCTTCTTGTTGCAACATTCGAGGAAGGCCAGCGGCCTATGGGCATTGTGAATGCTCCTCACAACCCAAATGTGCGATACCTTGTGACGAGCGAACTCACCGGGTCGTCTGGAGGCAAATCATACCTGCGCATGCTCGACAATGCCGACTCCGCGGTTCGCCTACGGACAAGGACGATCATGGAATTTCCTCCGAGTGCCCGGGTCTTGAATGGGCTTTGTGCCTTATCAGAGTCAGTACTTCTCGCCGCCGACAGTTTTGCTTCGTGCATATGGCGTATCGACCTCGACCTGTCGGTCTTGCCTCATCCTACAGCAAAGGCCGAAGTGTGGTACTCTCACTGTACAATGGCTGGGAAGTTGAACCTGTCGGACATCCAGCCCGGCACGAATGGATTGAAATACTCGGCCAAGACGAAATATGTATACTATACAAGCACACAGCAAAAGCTTGTCTGTCGAGTGCAGGTCGACGCGTGTACCTTCAACCCAGTAGGCGAAGCGGAAGTGCTTGCAAAAGGCTGGCAGTGGGACGACTTGATTCTAGACGACCGTGACGACAAACAGGCGGTTGCATATGTGACAACCCACCGAGACAATGCAATAGTGAAAGTAAACCTGGAGTTGGAGGATGACAAGGTGACGGACCATGATATGAAGGCAGTTGTACAGGGGCCGGCTTGCTCAGATTGTATTGGTCCGACTGCTGGAATCTGGCTAGACGGCCGTGTTGGACAATCAGCTTTGTTCCTCACCGACGGTGGAATCAAGCGTCCACCTCCAGATGGGATATTGCGATGTGCAAAAGTGATCCGAGTCGACTTTTGCGACGTATGATGACAGTTGCACTCAACTGATCTTGGATCCATAGTACTGCCAATACAATATATGTCAGTCTCGTATATTGGCAACGGCCAGCCCGCCAAAGAAATGTATGTCGATACTTAAATTTGCTTCAAGAATCCCACCTCATTCACTTTGTCCATAGAATATTAAGATTGGCCATCTTGTCCTTGTGTTATCCCTGGTCACAGAAAAGCCCAAAGTAAGACCTTCCTGAAGGAATTTGTCATGGGTTTGATCTTCACAAGAGAGATTTATGTCGTCGGAGCACCAGAAAGAAGGAAAAAAATCATCCCAGGGAACCGTGGCGGTAAACGTAAGGGCAGGAAGACTATCCGCTTTCAGAGCCATGTCGTGGTAGTCCTCGGGAGCCTTGCCCAACTTCAAATGAAGTTCCATCTTCGTTCGAAGTCGTCCTCAGGATTGCTGAGAGACTCGGTTAGTCGTGGTTCTTCTGGAATCGCACCTGCCAATCTGATCACAGATTCCCTCTCTGCAGGGCTGTGGGCTGACAACTGCATTTTACATGTTGACGCTGTTCCGGTAGTGCAGTCGCTGATTACCTGGGTAGCTGTCAGAGCTTCAACGTATCCCTGCGGAGGACGACCAGTGTTTTGCAAATTTGGAGGGGGAAGACCGGTCGGGGGAATTGCTCAGTTGCACCAAGACGAGCAAGCTAAAAGGATCGAGCGCGGAGACTCTCTGAAGGATCTTCACCTCGTACAAGAGTAGATAGCAAATGAAGCATTGCACCATCTCCACTTGACACTCATGGCTGATCTGGCAGACAGGCAGCTTCTGCCCATGATCATTGGAATTCGGAAACTGTGGTTCTTTCAACAGCGGATTGCCCACCGTTCGCCATGAACACCCAGTGCTATGCGATGCTGCCTGAAATTTCCTGCCTTTTCTCTGTAACTTGTAGAAACGTACAAACCCCGACAGCACCAGTGTGGTTCCCACCCAAAAAGACAAGTCGAGGATCTGCCACTTTTTCATGGCCTGGGTTCGCGCTCACCTCCATCTAATAGGGAATGTGAATGCAGTACCAGCCGACAACTAGCCGGTTTCGGGTTCCTCTTCCTTAGCCAGACCGTGTTCTTTAAGGAGGGTCATGATTTCGTCACCGGACCAAAGATGGTGGTATATCTTGCCATCTTTGGTCTTCCCAACTGTCGCAAACTCGACTGCACAAGCACTACTCAGCAAATGTTCGTTTGCCCGGGGGATGGAATAGGACAGCGAACTCACTTTTCTCACTGCTTAATTTGGTCGAGTCCATCGTCTTGCTCAACACCTTCACCGCCATGCCACATGCCTCTTTCAAGTCACAGTCCTCCTTGTAGTCCTGCTTCAAGAGACTCTGTGCACTGGCATTGTTTGCTCCTACACTTGTAGCCTTCCATCCACCGTAGTTGCCCGAAGGATTGCTTTGATAGAGTTGAAACTGCCGTTGAGGATCCCAGCCAGCGTAGATGAAGGAAACACCGAAAGGCCGTAGACCACCATGTTGTGTGTATCCCTGCTTCAAGTCGCACAAGCGACGCACCAACTGTTCGCAGGGGATGTCTTCGTTATAGGTCAAGAGGTATCGCTGAGCGGCTTGTCGCGCGAAGTTGATGAGGATGTTGGCGTCAGCAGTCATTCCTGCCACCGCACAAATCATATTACTGCACAAATAGAACGATCAGTATGTGGCCGTGTATTCCAACCACCCCCCCAAAACAAGAGACATACTCGTTCAAGATATACAGCTTCTCCGCCGAAGTGTCTTGCTCCAGCAGTTTGCTTGTGACTTTCCGCTCCGCAGCAAGGACTATACCATCTTGTGCCAGTATCCCCAATGCAGTGCCGGCGTGCGAGATAGCTTCGAGAGCGTATTCGACCTGGTATAAGCGGCCTTCGGGGGAGAAGATGGTCGTCTGAGGAATGAGTTAGCAGCTGCGTCAATCAGACAACGAGTGTGGTATCCTTCAACGTATAAAACTTACCCTCGAGTCGTATCTGCGAGACATTCTGGGCGATGTGTGCGAGTGAGATCTGAAAAGATAGCAAATGGGAGCTCAAGAGAAGCAGGCATGAAGACGGAGAGAGAAATAGTTCTGAGGATTGAAGCAGGCACGGCTCTCACGCGTCGCCCGCCGTTCAGCCAATCATGTCCCAGCAATTTTTCTCCAAGGCTGGCACCAGACTCACCCCAGGTTTGTATTTTGTGCCCTCTTCTCTGTACAATATACCTGGAGTGAAAATATCTGCTGCGGCTTGCGAAATGAGTAGCAAGTTGAAGTCCACGTACCGTTCGGTCCCTGTAGAGCCTCCCCTACCACCAGGATGGACGGAGCACAAAGCGCCCACCGGCCACACCTACTACTACAATGCTGAGACGAAGCAATCTACCTACACCAGGCCCAGTCTTCCCTCTGATGAACCACTGCGCATAGACTATGGCGCAAGTGAGCCCGACCATGTTATGCGCGCCTCATTGCAGGCCATGGAAGAGTTCAATAAAAACAATGCCATGGCGCAGGCGGGACATTTCACGGGGGGAAGAAGCTACCAGGAACACTCTCGTCCGAGACGCAACCACGGAGACCGACCCAAGTCGAAAGCACCTATACCGAATTGCGCGCCGTGGGTGCTGGTGAAGACAAAACTAGGCAGGAGGTTTGTCCACAACACAGAGACGAAGCAAAGTTTGTGGAAATTTCCCCAGGATGTCATGATGGCGGTGATTGAGATGGACAGGCTAGAATGGGAAGCGAAGAAAAAGGCAGGGACTGAGCAGCAAGAGAGCAATGAGGATCGTGGGAAATCACAACCAAGGGTTGATACACCGAGACCAGACACCCCCACAAGAGACAGATCTCGAGCCTCTGTCGGGCCTGAAGAGTACGACAGCGACGAGTACGAGGAAGTCGAAGTGACAGATGATGAGGCGGAAGCAGATGATGAGCCATCAAAACGGCCTCGTCTCTCCCACGACGCTGAAAGTGAGAACCCACCACCTGCTGGACCGGTAGAATTCGACGAAGACGATATAGCCTGGCAATTGGCGCAGATGGAGGGCGATGACGGGTACGGTGAGGACCGAGACTACACGCGAGGCGATGGAGAAAGAGAAGAAGAAGACGAAGACGAAGATGAAGATGAAGGCCTCCCTCTCACCGCGGAGGACAACATTGCGCTCTTCCGATCCCTCCTCGACGACTCGGGCATATCACCGTACTCCACCTTTGAAAAACTGATCGAAGACACAACTCTAATAGAAGACCCACGCTACGTCGCATTACCAAACACCTCGTCACGCAAAGAGGCCTTTGTGGCATGGTCCAAGGACCGCATCGCAGAACTGCAAGCCCTCAAGGCCTCAGCGGCGGCCGCCAACACACAGAACAAGAAGGACCCCAGGGTGGAATACCTGCGGTTTCTGCAAAACCACGCCACGCCGAAACTGTACTGGCCGGAATTTCGGAGAAAATTCAAAAAATCCCCGGAGATGCTGGAGCGGTCCATGCAGGATAAAGAGAGGGAGAAGCTCTACCGCGAGCTCGTGGGCAAGTTGAAACTGGGCGACGCCGAGCGGAGGAAGGAAGTTGTGGGTCTGCTCAAGAGCGTCGACAAGACCAAATTCGACCCGGCTAGCGATTCTCCGGATGCCTTGCCGGACGCTATCCTGAGGGATGTCAGGTTCTATATCCTGGACCCCGCCAGGAGGGATGAGCTTGTGAGGACATTCTTGGAGACGCTCTAACAGCAGAACAGAACATGCGACCGTGGAACTTTGTGCACTGCATTGCATGTCTGTGGGATTGTCGAGAACCAGACCACTTGCAGTACAGGCAGGGAGAGGAATAGGAGACCACATCCTTCCTACTAGGTACCTACCTGCCTACCTAGTTATCGAACACACGATACGAGGTACTAGAGTATATATATACTCTCGACGTCGAACGCCCAGATCTCAGAGCTCTTCAAGATGCCATTGCCGAACACCATCCCCTTATCAATCAAACAATAATTGGGCACCTGCGCGCGGACTACTAACTCATACATAATGAACCATTCTTCCCCCGGCCCCTTCGAGCCCTTTTGACCCTGGCCCAGGGTCGAATCACAAGCTGTGTCACTGTGTGCCCCCTTCCACTCTTATCTAGCAATGCAGGGGAGATGCTAGCCACGTGTGTGGCATCCTGGCGCATGGCCGTGAGCGCTTGCTACGCTGATTCCGGAGCCCGAAACCGAAGCACGTAGAATTTAACGGTGCTTGTGATGATACTTCATCAGTTGCGCTGCTGGTGCATGTACAAATGCATAGCTCCTTTCCACTGCACGCCAGGGGTATCAATCGTTTCAACAGTCTCTGCTATCCCTACACCAGACGCCCAGACACACATCTGCTCTCATCTCCCTCAACCTATCCAAACTTCCCAGCTCGTCTAGCACAAACCCTCCGCGTCCTTGTCTGTGACCGGCCACCTATCTTGTGGTTCTGTCCTTATGCACCAGCCGTACCACCTCCGTCCCCTGCGCCACCTCCGCGTGACTCTTCGCTATATCGCTGCAACATCCCTGTCAAGACCCCCAAGTTGCTCTGTGCCTCGGGATTTTGCTCGAGACACCTCTTGATCACAGCAAACTCGGCTTCTCCGGCATTGGGTGCTTGGGCGCATAACTGCACGACCGATGGGGAAGAGGCTAATTGAGGACCAAGAACTCTCTGAGCGTTGGCCATGGCGGCGTTGGGTGGAGGTGACGGCTGCAGTGGTTGTTGAGAAGGCTGTTGATGAGGTTGTGGGAGTGAAGAGACAGGTGTTGGCGTGGGAAATGCTGCTGTCACGCCCAGACCATGTTGAACTTGAGGTGTTCCATTTGCTCCCTGCTGACTCGGCATCGGAGATTGATTGAATGGGAAGCTGCCCTCGTGAGGCGTGATAGGAGTTTGCGCTATGGGCCCTCCTCCGACCATTGGACTGGCAGCCGTAGCAGGTGTCCCATCAAGTAACGTCGCAGGCGTATTATGTGACAGCTCACTGTTTTTGATAACAATTGGGACCAGAAGCATTTTCTCCTGGGCAGGATCCGGAAAATCTGTCTCGAGTTTCTTGACGAAAGTAGGCATTTCTTGGCCCTTGTCCAGCGGGATCAAGTAGATGTCTTTGATCGCCGGATTTGTGTGTTGGATCCCTACTCCAAACCGGTCCTTGTTCTTGAAATACCGGAAAAACTTGTCAAATTGCTCCTGATCATGCGAGTTTGCGGGTTCGGGCATGCACACAATGACCAGGTCGGACGTGTTGCTGTACTCAAGGCCGCAAAGGTATTCGTCCGCTCGAGCGGGCTGGATCCGACCTCCTATGTCGATCTCAGCCGGGATGATCTGGTCGTAGGTCATGCGCAACGTATCTGCATCGGGGGTGGCTCCAGCTGCATATCTCGCTACAGCATGGAACCGGCCTAGGTTTCCGCCGTTTACGAGGCCTCGCCAAATAACACCATCAGCCTCAGCAGATTCCTTGGGTGAATACGGCGGTGACTCGGCTTCCTCGTCTTTCAGTAGCTCGTCGATATCTGCGTCGGCCTTGGTCCCTGGAGCGATGGGTTCTCGGACAGCGACGGTTGGCGACGTCGTTTGCGGTAGTTCACCGAATCGCTGATTGTCGCCGTCAGGGGAACCTTGGACATTCGACCAGACCTTGTCAATGTCGAAGTTGGCCGACGATTGTCGTCGGGTGGTATCAACAGATGGTCTCGCTTTGCCTCCTTTGCCGGGAGCGGCTGGGGTGGCGGAAGGGCTTCTGATACTGGGGCTCTTTGCATCAACCTCTTGTTCTGCGACACTGGGTTTCCGTACAGGAGCATTCGAAGTTGCAGACTCTGCTGCAACCTGCCTTGACTCATCCACGTACTCTTCACCCTTATGAGTTCGCCGAATTCTCGGGCCCTGCTCCTCCACGATGGTATGTTGTTTCTCCAGCTCTTTCATGACAGCGGCATCTTTTTTCTTCTGCTCATCACTTGCCATATCCTTCGGATCCATCGATGCAAGGGTGTGAGGAAGGAGATCTCCATTCAGTAGCCGTACACCTAACGTGCGGTTCTTCTTCACGTTAAAGCTTATCGCTCGCAGTTGGGACTTGTAGGCTTCGTTGGGGTCACCGCTTCCGCCGACCTGGACGTGATACAGAGCATGTTCCGTACGGAGGCCAACCTGGTTGGCGACTTCTGTCGCAGACGTGCCGGTAGGAATACTGTAGTCGCCATGCTTTACGGCTTCTTTGATTTGCTGTTCTATGAGTCTGACCAACGTAGACGCAGCTTGCTTCCTCGAAGTATTTGTAAGTTCCTTCACGTCCCCCGCAACCGCCGAGACAGGCTCTGATCTGGACACCTGCCTGGAAGGGGTCTCAGCCTTGACTGGTTTGGTGCCATTGGTGTCAGCAGCAGGTGTCCCTCGTGCCTTCTTGTTCTAAAAGGACGTTAGCAGGTGTCTACTGACTTGCGCGAGATATATCGTACCTTCACTTCCGGAACCGCTGGCGACTCTTCGAGTTTGCGCTTCTGTCCAGCCGTAGGAGTGGGCGCCGGGGTTTCGTCAACATCCTGAGAGGCGCGAGACACGGCCTCGCTTGTCCGACCAGGAGCCGATTTCCGACCTCTTCGACCACCTTTCTTCTTTCCTTTGCCTGTGTCTCGCTGCTTGATTGCTTCTTCCCACGGTTTCTCTCCCCTCGCGATGGCTGCAACCAATTCCTCGTGGTCCTCGGGGCGACATTGTTCGCAAAAGTATTGTGCAGGTTCATAGTCTTCCGCAAGACCCATGCAACCATTATGTTGCCATGCGGAGCAGGTATCGCAGCAGATCATCGCTCGAGGAACATCTTCTTCTTCTTCGTAGGTGCCGCAGACACAGCGGATGATCTCTTCACTCTCCTCCTCGTGTTCTGTCGCTTTGGCTTTGGAGCCCTTTCCTTTGCCCTTTTTCTTCGCAGGAACCTCTTCGGGGATATCGCGATCTTTGGAGTACTGGCCCTTGGTGGCGCGACCTGAACGTCGCGGCGGTTCTTCTGTAATTGCGTCAGTAAGGTTCGCCAGACCAGGCGCGCAGCGAAAGCGGCCGAGATAATGGCAATGCTTACCAGCCATGGCGGTAACAACAACGGGTCGCTAGACACTACGATGTACACGAGACACGCAGGACGTGGGTGCTTGTCATGAACCACGTCTAATATCGCGATCTACGACAAGTTTGGAGCAGTAGAGATAGTGTCCACGAGACCAGCGAAAGTGCCCTCCAAATTCGAGTAGACTAATAAACACTTCCAACGGCACCCTGCCACAGTCCGATGGCAGACAGCGCGCGATGGAATAACAAACGAGTCCCGGGGGGTTAATTGTTGTGATGATAATGTGAAGATAGGAGAGAGGAGAGAGGAGTTGGATGCCAGTTGCGGGCAACCATGAAAGTGAAAGTGGCAAGCAACTCCTCAAAGTCTGAGCTGCGACAAACCACCGCCAAGGAAGCGGAGTTACTTCTAACCGGGATTGGTTGGATCAGCCGGCGGAAGAGGTGCACCGTTCGAATACTAGTACGGGTACCGAGTTCTAAAGCAGCGGCATAATACCTGCCACCTGGTTATGCAGCCTACTGAGTACCTAGGTACCTAGGTACCTACCTAGTAGTACTAGGTAGTAATACTGAGCCTTGACGTAACCAGACTAGGCATCCCGAGATCCACCAGTTCCTGTGGATTGATTGCCCTTGGTAACAATTGGAGAGCCTTCACAAGTCTTTTCTTCCCCGAGCCACGCAGGTCGTCTCCTTCACCAGCAGTATTTCTCGTCGAAACCCGAACAGAAAGCCAGGGATGAAACCATGGCCGACGTCCGAGCCCTCCTCGCCGCAGAGCGGCAGGCTCGTCGAATCTCTCACCCTCACCTCTCCTACACGAAATCCGGTATGCTTGTCTGTACTGTGTGCAACCTGAACGTCAAGTCCGAGGCCCTCTGGGAAGGGCACCTCAAGAGCGCGAACCACAGAAGAAACACCGTTCAGGCTGCTTCACAAGAGAACGCCGGTGGTGCAAACATCGGGGCAAACGCAGGCAACAAGGGAGTCAAGCGGAAGATTGAAGATGTCGACGACGACGAAGCACCACTCGAACGCGATGAAGCGGAAATCGATGCGCGGAAGAAACCCAAGTCACGGCCGGAGAGTATTGCGGTGGTGGAAGATGAGGGAGAAGACCGCAGGCAGGCGGGAGTGCTGCCTCCTCAACTGGAAGAACATGCAGGCCGAGAGGCAAAACAATCGACACCACTTGCGCCAGCGGCAGACGATGCACCTCCTCCACCGAATGGCTCTGCACAACCACCCACGCTCGATGAGGATGAGTGGGCCGCCTTTGAGCGTGAGGTTGCACCACTGGCCGCCGCAGCGCAGCCAGACTACACTTCGGCAACAATCACAGCAGCCCCAGTCACGTCAGCCCAGCTCAAAGCCCAGGAAGAGGAAGACAGACGGCGGAAATTGGAGACTGAAGCAGATGACGAAAAGGAAGATGAAGAGAGAAGGATTGAAGAGGAATTCGACGTTATGGAGGAAATGGAGGAAAGAGTCCGAAAACTTCGAGAAAAGCGCGATGCACTCAGAAGTGGTGTCAAAGCTGGAACGGACATGGGGCAGGAGAACAATTCGATATCTGCTGACACTGCTGGACAGGATGCAGCGGAAAGTCGTGCTGAAACATTAGAAGACGACGGCGAAGAAGAGGATGAGGAGGAAGAAGAAGATGAGTGGTATTCATAATACTCATAATGTTGCCAAATCAGGCATATTCAGCATCGAAATTCAATGGTCACTCGCTGGCCGCCCTTGTGCAAAAGCTCTATAATGTTTGATCATAATGTCCCTCGGATAAAAAATCAAGCAAAGTCTTCGCCCATGACATCCTCTATCTCCACAACACCTGTCACCTCGTTATGGTCCACAATCCCGAGTAGAGTGCCTCGCTTGAGAAATTCTCTGCCGCGACCCGATCCCTCGTCACGCATCTGGTGAATCCACCTTTTGCACTCTTCAACCGTGGTTGAACTGAGGACAGATATCCAGTCGGTCTTCTCAACCTCCATTCTGCCATGCTCGTCCTCCGCGGCTGAGACAGGTGCAGAGGGATCTCGTAGATTCTGAATTCTTCGTGGACCTATCACATGATTCTGAGAGGTTCGGACGAAACCACGGGGTGACCTCACTGCGGCCACGAGCACATCCAAGCACAAGAGCGGATGGTCCGGCTGTGGCATCGCAATTGGGACTTGGCTCACTGCAGTCGCCAGTTCAGACATTCTGGGTATGTTTGGAGTGGACGTCTTGAAGGCTGCGCCAATTGCGCCGCCAGGATGATTCGCCGCAAAAATGGCCGGCGTCTGAAGTCCGGCAGCAGCATGGAGTTCATCCGCGACTGCAAGTGCCAGGCTATCACCCAGAGCCAGAGTGATCGTCGTCGAAGTCGTTGGGGCCGACACCCCAAACGATGAGATCTCGGATTCGTGGATGGTAGTGGGTAGAAGGATATTCGTCGAGGCATGCCTTGCTGGATGGGACAGCAGAGGACAAGTGGTCGGGGTCAGGTGTGCCGTCATAATGATTAGTGGTACACAGGTATCTATATGTGGAAGAAGGGTCAAGAGTTCAGGAGTCCTTCCGGAAAACGTAATCATAATAACCGTATCAGAGGGTCGAACAATTCCCAGGTCACCATGGAGGGCCTCAACCGGGTGAAGAAATATGGCATGAATGCCCAGCGACACGAAAGTGGCAACAAGCTTTTTTGCAATGTGGCCAGACTTGCCAACACCGGTGAAGATGGTCTTTCCATGCCGAGTCTCTGAAAGAATGATGTGACGGATGGCTCGAAGAAGAGAATCCTGGACCTCTGCAGAATTGGTGTACAATTCCTCGAGATGGGAGAGCGCCTGCCGTTCAGTGGCGAGCACATGCAAGGCTTTCTTTATCGTTCCGCTGTCTGGTTTGAACGTCTTCTCATCAAAGCCCGCCGGTATGTCTGGCGGTGTAATTGGCAAGGCTTCAATTTGTTCAGGTAGCGGGCCATATAGTGGCATAGAAGGCGTGAGTGGCGTCGGGAGAGAAGCTTGGAGAGTATAAGCCATCTTGAGGAAACAGGGTTCAGTCTCTCGTGGCGTAGCAACACGAAGAGAAGCGCTGAAAGTCAAGCCTGTCACAACCCAGGCTCAACAGAAATAGGGACAATGGCCTCTATAATATGACAGGTGCTTCCAGGCTGTACTCTGTTGTGATGATCGGACTGGAATGTGAGTATCGAATCTGACCACCAGGGTTGTGAATCAGCGATCGATGAAGCGCAAATCAGACGGCCTCTCCGGATTGCGAACAGAGTATGTTGATATCATGACGCCATAGACTTTGCGAAATAGGCAACGGAAACGGGGAGGCGCGTACGAGGTGGATGGACTTGTAGTCTGGGTAGGAAGACAACGAAAAAGTGACAAAGAAAAGGATATCAATGTGTCTTCCCCGATCGACTTATCGCTCGCATTGCGGCGCCATGGAGGAGGAGTTCCGGCAAGGGAGTGGCGGACCAGGGTACGAAGGGGCCCAGACTTTTACCACTGCTCTGGTGCCTGTTTCGTGCCTATCAGAGGACGAGGTCGATGGACTGGAAGCCCTGGACGAGCATGGGCGAGAAGAGAAGTGGGTTTGGCGGCGAGAGTCGATTTGTCTAGCTCCCACAAAAGAAGAAAAAGAAACGGTCCAAGTCAGATAAGGTTCTGTGGTGGGATTGAGGGATTGAGAGGCAGAGACGAGAGAGATTGGTCAGTTGTCGAAGACAGGCCGCTAGATAAGTCAGTAACACGCGGCGAGATCCAGTAGTTGGCCGGCGACAGGAGAGAAAAGAGGATCTCCCACCGTGAGTGCCGGGGTTGATGATGGGATGATTACCTGCTCTGGGGCTTGATGGTCAGGGTTGACTGGGGATGGGTCGATGGCGCAATTGAAGAGGAGGAGGGCGCAAGAAGAAAAAGGGTTTCAATTAGACGACATGGTTTACGGAGCCGGAGGAGGTACGAGTAACTGTGCACTGCTGCGAGCAGTCACATTTACTCGTAGCGAGGGCTGTTTGCGTCCGCAGGAACATCTCCTCCGTGTGTCCTTTGGCAAGCTGTACAGGCAGAGGAAGGAGACAAATGCAGTCTGTCAGGCACTGGGAAGGCTGCATAGGTACCTACCTCGCTACCTACCTAGGTAGGTACCTCAGCGACCTATGTAATAATTCAACCCTTGCGTCCAAAATTAGTTGACTCGCTCCCTGCGAGTGCTCGCAGGCGTGGGTGCATTGGGCCTGGTGCTCCGTATTATTTCCGCGCGGGACCCTTCAAGTTCCAGGTGGATGGAGGTTGTTTCCCGAGGAATCATGATCCCATTCTCCACTCAACTCCCCCCCAATTCACTGGGCACTTTAGCAACTTCCACCTGCGCGTCCCTCGCCAATACCTGCGCAGGACTTTGATCCAGCATTCCTCATCAACCCTTGCTTTTGCTTCTGCTCTTGCTCTACAAGTGCCCGGTCTGGCACACGACGACACCCCACGGCCATGCCATGCCATGCACTCGCAAGCATCTGTCTACCACCTCATCCAGCAACCTTGCAGTGACACCGACAGATAAGTCTCGAACCCAATCACCTCGGTTACTCACAGCATGTGCTTGGGATGCCAGTACCAGACCTTGGGTGCATGCTGAGCTAGGCGCTGATGACAAACCCCTCCTGCAGCTTCTCCCAAATACGGGTATCCGCGGTAGGTGCGCACGCAACACTCTGACCGCCTGGATAGATAGACTTGGAAGCGGACGGAAAGCAACGCAGTCTGGAAAAAGGGGCTAGCCACAGCTTGCAGTTGAGGTTCAGAACCCCTGGTCAACGATGCATTCGCTTAACCAGATGGTATATCTGCGGTACCTGATCTGCGCTTTGTGCAACAACGCTAAGATGCTGAGCTGGCGCTGTCGGATGTATAGCGCGAAGCATATGAGTCCGATTCTCGGCCGTTGTTATCATTGATAACCTGTGCTAACCTTTCGGCTGTCAGTTTGGCCGATGTCCAAACTTGACCGGGGCGTCAAATCACGGTGCATGGCATGCGCCTGCTGTGCTCGCGATGATATGCACAACTGGCGCAGTGGTTTCTGACAAGACACATACTGATGATCGGATGGAGTCCTCCATCATGAACCAGGCTGGGGTGCGCACTACGATGTCATTACAAAAAATTCCTTGATATCACACGTATCAACGGTCACTGCAGGCTGCCATTATCACAGAGCCTGGTGACTCTTGACTAACTAGGCCTCATATATGTCTCCATTTTGGCTACGAACATCCAAGATGGATCTCTGCCCCATATGACATGGCCTCGGAGACCTTCAGCTTGGGAGAAGACCGTTGGAGGGCAGCATTTGAGATCCAGAGAATGCATTCGCATTGGCAGTAACCTCATGCAATCGAATTGATTCGATAGCCCTTCAACTGAAGTTGTTGCAAGGCTAGACCTGTCGCTGAAGGCATGCCCCTGTTTCGTCGACAAATGTGCATCTTTGTGCACAAGACTCCCCTAGCCCACTCTGTCTTTCTTCACCCTGTGGCTTTTCAAGTCGGCGTTCCTCTCTCAATTGATGGGTTCCTCTTTGAATATCCACGCAAAAGACATCGTATAGCCCGACAACACGCAGTCCGCCCCTTGACCGGCTATTGCTCTGAACGCTGCTCCTCGCCAAGGTATATCGACTTCTCTTTCTCTCAATAGAAAAGTCCCCCTGCGACTCGAACCTCGAAGGATCACCTTAGAGGCCCAGTCCCTGATTTCTCGACCAATAATTCCGGTGATGGCTCCAGCATTTGCTGATGTGAAAAGTCCATCTATCCAATCCCGAAACCACATGTCAATTGGCAATGTTAAATACCCGGCCAATTCCATTTTTAAATGCCTCATTTTGGCTGCTCACGGTCATGGAAAGTCTTCCAAAATCAAGGCCCCCTTATGCGGAACCGCTTTCATATGCTCGAGCGCCTTTACCTCTCTTCGCTTTGCAAAGTCCAGAATCGGCTCGAAGTTTCGACATTTGTGTTCCCGGAAGAAATCGGGGAATTGTTTGGGAGGGTTACCATTGTTACTAACCCAGACGAAAGGAAGGAGGCCAGTGTCAGAGCTACACATGAGAGCCTGGCGAAGGGTGTCGAGGCAGTGCCCTAATGCAAGCGCACAAAGGTCAGTCGGGCTTCTCCTTGGTCTGAATGAACAAAAGAAAAGGGAATTCATCGAAGTGCAAAGAGGAACCGCTCCGGCCTACCAATATGGAGTTTGACTATGCTTTCGCCGTCAGCAAATTCGGCTATGCTGTTGGACATGTAGTAGTCGTAGTTCCACCACAGGCCTCGACGTAGAAGGTTCTAAACCCAGGTCAGCAACGGTGCCAGCACTGGTGTTGCTGTGAGAGGCTCGCGCAAACGTCGGATTCCTTACCAGGCAATGGATCTGATGAGTTACTTCCACGAATGCCACATATCCGGGGCCTCCATAGTCCTCGCCCACCATGACACGATCCAACTCTAATCCAGAGCGTTTGGCCTCATCGACCGATAGGACAATGCCTTTGACTAGAGACCGTGCAGGAGTGTTAGAAACCCATAGTCCCCATATGCCATCTCTGTGGTTGCACCGAGTTTGGAAGTAACAACCCGGGAGTGCGATGTCGAGGTGCGAGGCTGTAACTCACGTTCGGTGCCCAGTTCCTCCCACGCCGCGTCCACTTCAGGACTCGCGGGTTGTCGATAAATGGACTCATTATAGAAAGACGCGTTGAAGCGCCTGCTGTTGTAATGAATTTCTACATCTTGCTCAACAGGGCCTGGGTAGTCACTCTGGGTTAGTACACAACAGATTTCGGGAACGTATAGGGAGGATCCAGAAGCTCACTCCAACTCTGTGAGGTGTGAGCAGTGCACACCTTGTCTAACTGACTATGGCGGTAGACTCGAGCACCATAAAAGGTGAATGCATTTGACACAACGAGGACCAGGGTATAAAACGTCCACCACACAAGCTTCTTGGAGTTCGAGGCCGGCTTTTCACGGTTCAGGGCTCTGCTTTCGAACGAGTCGTCCTTGAGATCTTGCAAAAAGGGCACGTTGGATTCTTCGTATGAATGCATGATTTGTTCTCGTCGAAGAGGCGCTGCCCGATCTGCAAGATGAGGCGCAACCGATACTTTACAGTTAGAACTGAGTCTTTGTGGTCAACTTCGACAATGAAGGTCTCCAGGAGGGATAAATTCCAGGAGATAACCCAGACCCTAGGTCCAGGGGAGCTGGTCGGCTTCCTCCCGGTTGATGATGATACATGGCGTGTGTTTGATCTTTTTTTGGAACCGGCGAATGGCCACTCGATCATAAGAGGATGAGACTCTCCCTGTAAAGTGTGGCGGTTTGACCTAGTCGTGATCCTGGAGAATGGCCGGCCTCCCCCACAATATATTGTTTATGGGTTAGAGTGAAGGGCCACTGCGGTTGGATGTACACGTGGTGATATGTACGTATCGCTTTGCATTCCTGAAATCGGATTTGATCTGTATTAAGACCATCAAGGATTAATATTTCAGAAGCGCAGTTGCCGAACATGGCCGCTACCACGGATCTGCTCAAGACAATACAGGAACTTTGTCACAACCGAGGAGGAGTGAGGTCGTAGATTATTGTGTAGAAGGTCCAGACGCGTGGCGAACGCATGAGAGCATCGTGTAAATTGGTGCAAAGGGCGGATTGCTCTGCTGCAAAGGGCTTTCACAATACTCGAGTATGTGACAATACCTTTTCATTTTCATCATGGGTCTAGCCGAGACTCGGCCATTTTGATAATGTCCAGAAGACTCGAGAGCATGCAGAGATGTTCACATTCTAGATCCTTTGTTACGTCTCCATTGCACCGGGCGTGCTCGAAGGGATGTGCCTCGTAGGATTTGCGGCTTCTTCAGGTGATGGACTAGTTAGATGCAGCAGTGACTTCTCGACATTGCCTGTTGTGACATCCTACCCAGAGAATTAACAGGGCCGGAACACGAAGACCAGAGAATAATAAAGAGAACCCTGAGGTAACATGTTCTCTCCTGTTGGTGAACCGCTGCACGAGCGGGTGCATACAGGCAGCGGAGCTCGCGCCAAAAGCGGGCAACCCGCAAAAGTCCAGAAGCAGCATCGGCAACCCGCCAACGTCTTTTTGAACCGATCAACGATCTCAAACTGCGCTCGTGTCCTGCTGAACAATTACCTCATAGCAGCGTTCCTTTCAACACACCCATTAGCAGACAATAATCTTACCCGGTACCAAGAGCTTTGACCGCCGTCCGCATCTCCTGATCGATGGGCTTAACACAATGCCTTCGGCTTCCCCCTCTCCCATCAAACGGCCCTCGCTAAACGAACGCACCTCTTCTACCCATTCCCTGAGTTCCTCGGGCAGACAGACCACCACCGCCCACAAAGTCCACCGGCCTCACGTCGTCAGTCGCCATTCAAGGAATGTCTCTCATGGCAAAGGGCTTAGTAAATTGGGCAAGGTCCAGTCCACGGCCAGCATTACTTCAGACTACCAAACTCATCAGCGGAAAAAGTCAGGAGACACCTTGCCTCCCCACAGTCCGAAGACGCCTCTGGTAAAACGCAACAGCTCCCATGTTGCCTTGGTCAAGAATACCTCCTTCGGCAACCTGCGCAAAAACCAATCCGCTAACGCGCTGCCACGAAACGCCTCTCACGGAGCTCTGAAAAAGGTTGGACTGACGCCGGCAGTAAGAAAAAAGAGCAAGGAGGAGAAAGACGGCGTGTTCCAGCTTGGGGATCGATCTTCAGACGATGAAGAAGAGGGTGAATGGGAGGATTCAACCACGCAGTCTCCCGAACTCACGCGCAATAACTCGAAGAATAACTCGAAGACATCTACGCCTCCGCGACCACATACGCCGAACGAAGATGCAGCTCCTCGACACCCTTCAGAAGCGGACGTCAGCCGTCCCGAAAAGAGCTCCTCGCCTCCCCAAGCATCCTTAAAGACCAAGAACCGGTCTGCGCCTAATCTCAAGAATGAGCCGGTTATGTCGCAGGTGCAGAACATGCCTGACCCTGCGCTTCTACAACAATATCCTCGTTCTTCTCGGGCCCCTCCGGCAATGTCAACGGTTTCTGCGCATGTTGGACCGAGCCAGCTGGTGCGCAATGACTCATCCAGGTCCTTCACCCACATCTCTCACGCCGACGTCACTTCGTCAACGGCCAACACCGGTCACACCGGCCTTACTCCTGCGTCTTCGAAGCTCACGCCTGCCTCATCCGGCGCCGTGTCTGGTCCCATTCTGGTGTCCTCGTCTGTAGAAGGGGGTGTTTCGCATTTCCTGCCGACAGACACTCCAGCCGGCTCTGTCCACCAAATTGCAGACGACTCCGATGAAGACTCGCCGTCGAATTTCCTCTCCAACTACAAGCCACAAGTGTCGGAATCTCCGGAGAAGACCAAGACCCTTCACAGAGCCAGGATATCCCAGAATCCGTCCAGGACGCAGCAGAAGCTAGAGCTTCAGAGAAGGGAGATCATGAGAGCAGGGGCTGCGACACCCACAACCCCTCCCCCAGCTGGAATGGGAATGCCTCTAGGTTCTGGGACGACGTTACACGGCCGCGCGGGGTCCAGAAACAGGAATCGATCTCTAGCCGGGGAGATGAAAGCCGCGAAGCAGGATTATGAAAGTGCCGTCAAACAGTTGATGGTGGTTAGGAGGTTCCGGAGTCCACTAATCGAAAGCATCAACCGGCTCAAAGAGCAAAATTCGCTGCCACAAGACATTGGTTCCGTCACCTCGAGCGGCGCATTCGCCAAGAGCAGACCACAAAGTCGGCGTGGACCCAGTACCACTAGTGTGAATGGGCAGGCGAGGAGTGGTATCAGCCGGAGCTTCGAAGACCCCAAGCCGTCACCATTGTTGTCACGCTCCAATAGCAGCCGCCACCCGGGTAGAGTCCATTTCCAGCGGCAGAGGAGCCATGACGATATCGAGGTGACGCCGTCGCAAGGTAATCTCGATGGTGCTCAGGACGACGAGCACTTTGGGCTTTCACCAGAAGAGGCGCTGATACGGCGCATTTGGGACAGCCGGGAAGTTTATGATGCTGGGGAACCTGGATCATCGTGAGGGTTCATGATTGGGTACTCTGGACCTGGAGAACGGGGTCGTCGGTCGCTTCTCCATTTGGCGTTTCCCTGTTGCTTGTTGCTTGTTGCTTTTCTTCTGCGTTGAAGCGCATTATGAGTCCTTGGTAGTTCCCGGTTCTGTAATCCATAGTCTGAGCCTTGTAAAGGCGTGCGCTGGAACGAAAGCCAGAGTCTGGGGTCGTGTTTGGCACTTGAATTTGTTGTTACAAATGACCAATTAACTCTACCCCGTACAGGTACCTCCTGACAGGTCCCTAGGTACCTAGATTACTCGAGAAGGGAAAACCTAATTGCCATTCGCAATTTGATCCTAGAGGGTGAGCGGAGGCCGCTTTACGATGAGAGTCTATAACCATCGTCATCACCTCGCCCCTTATCAAAAGCAAGTTATTGAGGTAAGGTATGGAACTCAGAAAATCAAATCGGCTCGAAACCGCATGTTTTTATACACTGCTCCCAGGTCCACTGACCTAAAAGGTAGTGGCCGGGTGCAGGTCTGGGTTTACTATTGTTTGAGCACATGATTCATCATAGTCTCTAGAAAAGATCAGGGTGTTGCCTGACACTCTTACTACATCTTTTGCTTGGAGAGAGGAATGGGTTGAGGAGGGATGAAAAGCTCTGCATAAATACCAGTAGTTGCTAGCTCCTGAGGACCTGAGGGGCATCCCGCCATGTGCCTGGGTACCTGGGTACCTAGGTACCTAGCGAGGCTAGGTACCCAACTGTGTGGCTGTCGAGTGGCTGTTGCTGCCAACCTACCTAGGTACCTCGTACCTAGAGATGGGCCCAGGTTCCAAGTCGCCAAGTGTCCCTCCGCTTCCCTCAAATGGTCTAGACCTGAACAAACACGCGTCGGGCTTGCCGTCTCGCAATGTACTTTTGCTCGCGTCTTCCCGAGTTCTTCCTCCTTTGATTCGCCCATCTCGCCAAAACCCATTCATGCAATGTCGGCTTCACCCTGTCTCCCTGAGACCGTTGTCCTGCTTGCCCCCTCTCTTTCGGAATTCGAGACATGATTGGAACATTTGTGCCCATGGGCCCCATACCGCAATGAACCGCTATGCAACGCTCTCAGCACTTGGACGCCTTCTTGCCACGGTCATGGCCAGGGCTGGGCCGCTTCGCCACTGTAAGGTCGCTTTGACGTCTCCTGCTGTTCTCTCTCTTCTCTACTGTTCTCCATCGTGCAGGGACATGGTCCACATCCATGTCGATCAGAAGCTCATGCATGGGCATTCTGGTGGGTTGGAGTTATACGAGGCTCTGACGGTACTTTTCAAACATTGGCCATTGCAGGGTTCCTGGTAAGGTCCTGTTGGTATTAAAGGCAGCCGCTCAGCCTCCCTCCAAATGCCTCGAGAACCACCACGAGCTTCAACAAGAAGAGAAAGTTCACGTCCAAGCTGTTCTCGTAAGATCGTTTGTTGTGCAGCAGCTATAATCATCCACCCTTTCACACTCTGTGCAGGTCTAGTCCAGACTCCGGCCCCCAACCGCACCATGGCAGCTCCTACGTCAACTTCATATGGCTCCCACTCGTCCTCTGATTCAAGTCACCACAACGGCGTCGGTTCGCCCAATCTGCCCTACGATCCTCCTCTCACTTTCTCCACCGTCATCGACCACGACCACAACACCATCAACAAGTATGCCGGTCGCCTCCTCCGAGCCAAGGCGCCTCAAGACCGCGCCCGTCTCCTGCGCGAAGTCACCTGGCGTCTCGTCCGCCACGACGTCTCGGAGGACATCGTCATGCGGCCCGCTTTCATCGAGCACTTGGGGGATGAGGGCGTGCACATGGCCGAACACGACCGCACGGACCACGAGAGAGCCCGCACCGAACTCCTCGCACTGTTCCACATCCCGCTCGAAGGGGACGAGTTCCTCGGTAGCCTACGCGCACTGTTCGCGGAGCTGCTGGAGCACATGAGGATCGAGTCCGGGCAGCAGATCCCGCATCTGGAACACATGCTCGACCCTGAGGAGAGCCAGCGCCTGGGCAGGGAGTATCTAAAGACCCAGCGCCTTACGCCCGACCTGGAGATTGTTGTTGACAAGTCTACGGGCGCCAGAAGGCGCGTGTGGAGGGATGTCGAGGAGTTCGCGCGCACGGATCTTCAAAGATTTAAGGAGATCTGGGAGGAGCTGAAGCTCAGTGAGGAACCGGTCGATACGGAAGAAGCTGAAGCATTCCACAAGAAGCTCGATCGAGGAAAATTATGAAAAAAAAATCAAGGCCTTGTTCGGTTTTGCGGTTTCTCAATAGACGCAGCACATTGTTTGCGTGGCGTTTCTGACCCTGTTGGGTGATTATCGAAGTTGGGTCAAAATTCGGGGGACCATTGCGGTTCGGCCGGGGTCAGGGGGAGAGATTTGCTATATCATTACGAGGTGCTACATCCTATACCCATTTTCGCAAGTCAAAATGAGACAAACGACTGAATGAACGCCTTTTTCTCTTCACCTTTCCAACCACGTCGGAGCCCCTCCATTAACTCTGGATCCTCTGAGATTGATTTCCTATCACATCCATTACCAATCCGGAATCAACTCGTTGCTCTGCGAGCTATCCTCGTCCAGAACTTTCCTCGCGGCTTCCCTTCCCCAAACAGGCAGGCGTTCGACCTCTTCCTCGCGGCCTTCCTCGGCAGTCTTGAACGTTTTCGGAATGTACTTTGGGTCAAGCAGACCCACCTGGACGAGCACGGTGGCCTGGTCCCAATGGATGTGTTCGTGGAACAGCTTGCCGCCACGGAGGCACACGACGCTGACCAGCACGACCTCGACTTTTTTGTTCGTGGGCGGCACGCCGGGCAGCATCCAGGGGATCTCGGTGGTGTGGGTGAAGGAGACGAACATTTCGTCGACCACCCTGTCCACGCCGACGGTGCGGCTCAGGAGCCGGATCCGCATGTCAGCCGGGTTGTTGGGGATGAAGAACTCGGCGTAGAAGCGGCGGAGCTGGTCGTGGCCGATGCCACCTGTCATGGTGGGCACGTGGTTCACGTACGGTTGAGGCACCATGGTCGCCATGGTCTTGTCGGCGTCCTTTTCCGCAAACTCGAGTCGCGTGTGCGCTTCCCAGATGGCCTCGATGTCCGGACCTTCAATGTCGAAACCCAAGCGAAGTAGGCCGAGAGTCCGTGACCAGGCCAACGAGGCGCCAATCTTGTCGAATTCGTCGAGGTCGTGCTCGGCGAATCCTGGCACGGTGTTCTCGTATCGGTACGACGGAAATCGTGTGCCCCATCTCTGTGAGGCGGCTAGGTGGATCAGCACGTTCAGGGTCGGAGGGAAATCGGTGGTGGATTTCGGGACGTGGTCTGGGTAGTATGCGACAACGGCAACGAGCTTGGGCATGGGCTTCATACAGGCTTCCAGAACCAGGCTTGCGGCGTCGCCGTACGCTGGAAAAAGAAAATAATCATTCGTCAGATCCTTGAAAATTGAAATGGCGTTGGAGAGTTTCAGGGTTCGGGGTCGTGGTCGACAGCGGCTCGGACACAGAATAGGGTTTCAATGGCTGCTGCTGCCTCGAGCGTAAGGTATAGGTCCTGTACAACTCACTTACCTACGATGGCGTAGCGCTCCCCTAACTCTAAGGGATCTTGCAAATGTTGCAGCTGTGCCATATAACCCGCCTTGTCTCCCGCATACTGGAGATAGCTCAGCTGGAATCCTTCTTCCTGGAAATGAGAGATGATGGTCGGATCAAAGTCCTCGGTGTCACTGGTCAGGACGAGTCGCGGCGTCGTCGTCGTCCAGCTCAGATGCACGGACCGGCCTCCTCCTCGCATCCTACGCCGGATTTGCTGCTTGAGCCGCCCGACATCTCCGGGGCGGGTGTCAACATCAATAATAGGCCTGCCGCCGATTTCTACGCGGACCATGTTGCAGGTACTTGAGAGCACAGGCGTGTGTGTGTGACGGGACTTACGAGAGAGGGGAGAGACTGGAGAGAAGGATATCGAAAGATCGAGTTGAAAATCCGGTGACCTGATCCTTGTTTAAACTTGGCCTGTTCTCCCAGTCTCTCCGACTGAGATGTCGAAATATGACGTAGAGGCATTCGGCAAATTCCGTTCAGCCTTGTGCTCGCTATCGAGCCAATCACAGCAGATCAGGCTGAATGGCTGTTGCGTGCGGGACTTGACCGCGAATTTCTTCGTCGATCAGTTCCCAAGCCGTTGAAAGTGGTCGTGTCCGAGTAATGGCTTTGTGCAGGAGATCGCTGCTCCTCAGCTCTTCGTATCGACAATTCCTGCGGCTCGGCTACCAAACACGCAAGAACTCTTCTGGTCGAGACAGATTCTTTCGTATTTCGGAGGAAGTCCAGGATGCCCTTGCAACTGGCAAGCCGGTCGTTGCGCTGGAGACTACAATATACACACATGGTATTACAGCTTACAGCCTCAATACAGGTCAGGTCGTTCCAAGGCTCACAGCTCACCAGGGTTCCCTTACCCTGAAAACGTCGCTCTATCCTCCCACCTGGAATCCCTAGTCCGCGTCAATGGCGGCGTGCCTGCGACCATCGGCATCCTCGAAGGCAAGGCCTGTGTTGGCATGGCCACTGAAGAGCTGTTACAACTTGTTTCCACGGCTGGTAGCGAGGACACGTGGAAAATTTCAAGACGAGACCTCGGTTTCATCGGAGGACTAGGTCTTCGGGGTCAAAAGCTCAATGGCGGGACAACCATTGCTGGGACCATGATCCTTGCCCATCTGGCGGGCATCAGGGTCTTTGCAACGGGTGGTCTTGGTGGTGTCCATCGTGGAGGGGAGAACTCTATGGACATCTCGGCAGATCTGACGGAGCTTGGGCGAACACCTGTCGCGGTCATCTCAAGCGGCTGTAAGAGCTTCTTGGATATCCCCCGGACGTTGGAATTTCTGGAGACGCAGGGCGTGGGCGTGGGCACTTTTGCGGATGGCAGACAAGGGCATGTCGACTTCCCTGCGTTTTTCTCCCGGGACAGCGGTGTCAAAAGTCCAAAGACAATCACAGATGAAGCGGATGCCGCAGCCATTATCTACGCACAACACGGGTTCCCCCTGCAGTCCGGGTTACTTTTCGCCAACCCGGTTCCAGAACAGTCAGCGATGGCAAAGGAAGAGATTGATTCAATAATCGCCGCAGCAGTTGCCGAGGCGGAAGAGAAAGGCATTGGCGGAAGTGCCAACACTCCTTACATCTTGAAGCGCATTCGAGAACTGAGCAAGGGCGCGAGCGTACGGGCAAATGAAGCTTTGATTGAGGCGAACGTCGTTCGTGGAACCAAAGTCGCCGTCGAACTGGCGAAGCTTGAGAGACGGGGTGGAGCTGCGCCTCAGCGGTGAGCCATGTTAGACTTTTGATAGCACAGACGAGGCGCTTGCTGACACGATCTAGAGAGAATGCCAGCAGGGTCATCGGCGGTGGGAAATTTCCCCAATCCATAAAGAGCTCTGAAAAAGCTGCGGGTGACCAAGCAGATCCCGTACACAGGACGGTGGAACAGTCATCCCGGCCCGTGGAAGTACTCGTTGCTGGATCGCTTGCAAGTGATACAATATGTGACCATCAACCACTGAAAATCACACCAGATTCAACTACCCCAGCGCTTCATACATCGAATCCGTCTATCATCTCTCAGTCGCCGGGCGGAGTCGGGCGTAACGTTGCCATGGCTGCTCATCTAGCAGGTGCAAAAGTCACATTGGCGAGCGTCGTGGCAGACGACCTTGCTGGAGCATCTCTTCTCGATCACGTAGGGAAGAGCGGTCTTGAGACGACGGCAATCCGGCGACTTTCCACCAAAAACGGGGCACGAACAGCACAATATGTCGCCGTCAACGACACAAGCAAAGATCTCGTGCTTGCAATGGCAGACATGTCGATATTCGCTCGCCCAGAACTCGAATCGGCAGACTACTGGATGGCAAAGATGGACGAAAACAAGCCAAAATGGGTGGTCGTCGACGCAAACTGGTCTCCTGCCATTCTCTCATCCATATTGTCGGCTGCGAAAGCGCATCACGCCTTTGTGGCATTCGAGCCTGTCTCGGTTGCAAAGGCCGCTCGCCTTTTCCACAAGGACAACTCTGCCATTATCAGCGCTAACGTAGTGCCAAATCATGTTATTAGCCTTGCATCCCCCAACAGACTCGAATTGACTGCAATCTATAACGCGGCCAGAGACGCGATGATGTTCGACTCGGAGCAGTGGTGGAACGCAATCGACAGCCTCGGCCTCTCAGGCTCGGGGTCTCGGGATCGATTGATTTCTGTTGCAGGACACGAGTTAGTCGAACACGGGATCCCGCAACAGTGCATCCAGCTTTTGCCATTCATTCCGAATCTGGTGACAAAGCTTGGGTCTAGGGGATGTCTCCTGGCTTGCCTGCTGCGGCCTGGCGATCCTAGACTCACACGGCCAGAAAACGCCCCATACGTACTGTCGAGGAACTTGTCTCGAGACTCTGAGATCGGTGGCTTGTATATGCGATTGATTCCACCATTCGTCGAGGTCGAACAGGACGAAATAGTTTCTGTCAACGGCATTGGTGACACAATGCTGGGCGTTATCATTGCAGGCCTTGCGAAAGGCCGGACGCTTGAGGAGGTGCTGCCCATTGCGCAAGAGGCAGCGGTGCTCACGTTAAAGTCTGCAGAGGCGGTGTCTCCCCATGTTCGGCACATCCAGGCAAGGCTCAGGTGAGGTGTAAGGCTTTACGAGGTCACCCTGGTCATGAGCGCAGGCCCGTTCAAGGCTGAGAGTTTGACGAACCAATCCCGTCGCCTGCGTGGCACGAAGCGAGCCTCGATGCCTTAGTCAGCAGCCGCGCTCCGATGCACTCTCCCAGCCATCGACTTCAAGACTATTTCCCTCGTCCGCCCATCCCGGTCCGTTGAAATACAAGGTCAAAGCCATTCTAGACTGCGCGTCATCGCCAAAGGCATCGCCCCGGCGTCGCAATGATTGGATTCCTCTCTGCATTCCAGATAACACTTCTCTTATTGCCGTGGGCGGTTTGGACAAACCCCATTGTCCACAGCTTTGACGGACATCCGGCGGATTCCGCAGCTGCAATTCAGCATCTCAACATCTCCGAGTCGATATCTCAGATAAACATCCTCAGCACACGAGACGACACAGGCCTCATCGCTGCACGACAAGCCTCCTGTCCCAACCCATCCACAAATTCACTCTGCCCTGCAAATTTCTGCTTCCTCCAGCAACAGACCGGCACCAACTCGGGATGGGCAACGTGTTGTCCCGCTGGCTGGGTGCTTAGATTGGATGCGACGGACTGGAAAACGCAGAAATGTCAATTCAATGGTGTGTCGGAACCACCACTGCGACCGCTAAGCTGCGGCGGCAGTGGAGGCATTTTCTCTGGATGGGCATGCGTCTACGGGAATCAAGTTGTCAGCGGAGGTGGGAGGACGACGAAATGGTCGACGATTCTCGTTACGGCAGTCGCTCTTTCCTGGCTCGGACTGGGTTGGTATTCGTAACCTGAGCGTGCACACAGTCGCCGTTCAGGCTCACAAGCACGGCGTTCAGGGCGGCGCAGCAGAGGACAACCACGACAGGGGCTGCAGACATTGCTATGGCTGTCTGGGGAAGTGATCACCAAAGGACATGACAGCACACAGCACACTGGCAAGTCGATATCTACTCCAAAAAGATGGACGGAGCGACGTGGAGATCTGCAATGTTCTGGGCGCATCTGATTGCCTGTTTACGATACCCACGATGACTCCATGACTCCACGAATCGAGCTCTAATGCACCAACTCGGCTATGTAGAAGTATGTCTCCAGACTAATGTTTCCCATTTTCACATTTTCCCCTGGCGACCTTTTTCTGTTTTTCTGATGGTCGCAAAATGCGTCCTAGGAGTTTGCGCATTGATGACCCACCACGACCGCCCACCACCCACCCCTCGGCGACCACCTCGGGGTCTACACCTTTAGGATTTCCAATCCTGTTGCCGGTTCCCTTTAAGTGGGGTTCTAACTATGTAGACCTTGTGATCCAAGACTCGGAGTCCTCAGGCAGGGCCAAGAGTAGTTGTTTCCAGAGACGAAAACGGAGGGGCGCGATGGTGTGACGTGACCAATCAGCCTCGCGGGCCTCTCCTTCGTGTCGAGTATCGGGATCCCAAAATCCCAAAATCCCAAGGGGGGAGGAGATCTGCCCTTTTCCTAATGCAAGGGGACGGAAGGGGATCACAACTCGAGGGGACCAAGGGTAAGAGAAAGGGGAGCAAGCACTGCCCTTTTCTTAATAATGTATGTTGAATGGATGTACATAGTATTTGCTCTTGCGGCCGATAACCCTCCCCCGCCTGGCCCCTCCCCTTTCACTTGGGAAGCAGTTCCCCGATGGATTAGAAAAGAACGAGTCCCGAGAAATAAAACAACGACAAGACGGGGCGAAAATAGGCGAAAGGCAAAAGGCAAAAACACTTTCGTCGTCATGTTCATGGGGACTACTAGGAATGGATCGTAATTGGATCAGTTTGCTTGCTCTCTTTGGCTTGGTGAACTGAGCAATGTCCCGCATATACCTCGTACGTAGGGAGCAAAAAGGAAACTGGGCATTGGGATATACGGCTGCCATTCCTAAGGTACATATATATATATATATATATATCATCTATTACTTTCCGTGTGAGATCAGGGTTTCCAAGATCAACATCCCCATCCCACTCAGAAAAAGCCAAAGCAACACTTTGAAAGCACACACGAAGCCACAAGACATCAACAGGAAGAGCAGCACCAGCAGACACAAAGAGGAACCACTCAAGGGAAAGCGAACGGTCGACCACGAAGAAGGAGAGACATCTGATCTGCGAAGATGTGCATGAAGAGAACGTGTCCTACTTGTCGTAAGTTGCTTCCCCCCCTTTTCCCTTTTCCTTTCCTCCTTCCTTAGGGCTCTTTCTTTCTCTCTTTGATCCTCCTTTCGAGAGCGCAGCGGTGGACACTTTCCCATCTCTTCCTCTCCCTCTCTCTCTTCCATTCCCTGGTGATATCCCTCGCGAGCCTGCCAGCAGCCTTCGCATTTGACTTCCTTTGCCCCCCCAACACCCTCTTGAATTTCCGGCCGGACAAAATCTCCCTTCCCCACTGCGCTCTTTTGACCTCGATTCCTTCTCGAAAAACATTCGCTAAACATCGTCGCGTGTGAAAACAGAGAAGACGACGTGGTGGGGTTGCGGCAGACACATCGCCAGCGTCATGGACTCGATACCAAAGGACGCCTGGTGCACCTGCAAACCCACGGTCGAGGTCGATGGGCAGGTGTACCCGCCTAAGCAAGGCACGGGGCATCCTGAGTAGGATGTAGGATGTGAGATGCTTGCATGCATGCATGACGATGGATGATAGAAAGGGAAGGGAAAGGGAACAGGAAGGACGGGGGAAAATTGTTTTCTAATTTCTTCCTTTTATTCTTTTTTGGGGTAGGGGGAAAACAGGCAAGGCGGGATGGGATAGGTGAGCGAATGATGTTGGGAAACAGGTCGCTGAAGGAGTTCGGATCCATCTTTTCATCTCGCTGCCTTTGAATCTCTTTCTCGGATTTTGGGAAAACGCCACAATGGGGAGCGCAAGTCCATACAAAGGTACCAAACAATACCGCATGTTCTTCACGCCAGGCTGGCATCGTTCCGTTCCGCTCGACTTCAAGTGAAAACGATACCGCCGTCAATAACCATAGTCTGACCTGTGACAAACTCTGCATCTTTGGAGCACATGAACCCGCCAACAACATTGCCGACGTCCTCTGGCACACTCACGCGTCCCAACGCAGTCAGATCCGAGCTGTACTTCTTGACCGACTCGCCCTTCTGCCTGCCCTCGAGCTCGCCCAGCTTCTCATCGATGAGATCCCACATGGCGGTGCCGACGATCCCCGGCGCGTAGGCATTGACGTTAATCTTGTGCTTGGCCATCTCCATCGCAAACACCTGCGTGAGTCCTCTGACCGCCCATTTCGACGCGCTGTAGTGCGACAGGAGCGGGAATGGCTTGAAGGCAACGATACTCGCCGCACCCAGGATCTTATACCCGCTGCTTCCTTCGGGCACCGGTCCCTGGGAGATCATCTGTCTCGCCGCATGCGTATAACACAGCCACACGCCCATGAAGTTCACATTAAACATTCGCTGGACGTCCGCGTCGGAAATGTCCAACGCCGGCGCGACCTGCGCGATACCAGCGTTCGCGACCATCACTGTCAGGGGCCCAAGTTTCTCTACCGACTCTTTTATCATGGATTGCACTTCTTCCGAAGAGGTGACGTCGGCCACCACCCCGATCGCGGCACCGGAGCCATGTTTGGAGTTGAGTTCGGAGACGAGTTTGTCGATGCCGGATTTATTGGCCGAGACGTCGTTGACGCAGACCGCGTAGCCTTCTGCCGCGAGTCGTCGAACGATAGCTTCGCCACTGTGGAGGGTAAAGGGATGGTCAGTGGGTGAGGCTGCTTGATGCTGCGGCGGCTCGGGGGCACACTTACATCCCACGGGAGGAGCCTGTCACGATTGCTGTCCGTTTAGCCATTTGTCCTGTACGAGTCTCGTTGCTTCAACAGGTGGAAAGGTGAGGTTCTAGTTGATATCGTAGGCGAGGCGACGCTTGGAAGGCTTCAAGGTCGGTTGCTGGGCCTCTTGCGATACAAGATATATGTCCACATTCGTGGCCAATCTCGCTGTGGTCATCCCGAGGTCTTCTCCTCTCCGGACACGCGGAGCGTCCTGATAAAAAAAAACTACCCGCGTGAGTGATCCATTGATTTCCCTCGAACCACTCGAATGTGGAGTAACGACACTTGCGTGAGCAACAGTAAGGCGAGGAGAAGATCTGGAGGGAGAGAATGTGCGGGGCAATAAGCAACGAAACGCAGCTCGGGCGGGATTCTTCCGAAATCTCTACGGAACGCCTCACCGGATGACTTTCTCGCTGATCGAGTGGCACGCTCCTGGTTGGTCTTCAGGAGCTGTCGTGGAGGGTCATCATAGGAACATCATCGGCGGGGTTGGTACAAAGATATGGCCATGAAGCCCCCTTGTGCTGTGTCCTCGCTTCCCGGCACTGCTTCTTCCACCGGCTCGGGGCAATGGCACCGAATTGTTAGCTTCCACGAAGGCCATGATCTCTTCTCGTTTGCGAACAAGAGACTTCGAGGCGTCCCAAGGTCACGTTCCCTCTACCCATTCCGGTCGTCGAGTGAGTCCCGCTGACACTCGACAGTATCGCACTGGCGAGAAAGCATTGGAGCAATATTGCCCTAACGAAAGGAGAGTGCCCGAGACACACACTTTTGTGGTAGACAAGCAGAAATGAATCATAAGTTGGCCGTTGTTTCGAGTCGAAGGTGCCTGAGTCCGGAACACGAAGAACAAGATCTGTCTCGCTCACCAATCAATCCATAAATTTGCAAATTGGTAGTCGGTAGCGGTCGATGTTCCAGTATTTTCGGCGAACGCCCTCCCACTCCCGCGAGAGATTGGGGAGCTCAACGGTCTCCCACTCCACGTCGAAGTCGGATTCATACAAATCAAACTCGACAACCTTCTGGTACACGTCGTAGCTAATCTGTCTATCGGCACCCATCCCATTGAAAAAAGACCACCGCCCGTGCTGATTCAGAAGGCCGATCACCTGCTCCGAGAAGAAGTCGCGAAAGGCGCTATATGACTCGGCGAAGGTGTCGAAGTAGATGGCGTCGAAGGTCTCGCCTTCTGTGATGAGCTGCGGAAGAATGTTCTGCCATTTTCCTCTGTGCACGACCACATTGGGCTTCTCCATCCATCCATTCCTCTCCATGCTACCGAGGACATCTGGGTGAGCTTCCACAATATGGTGACTGGCCAGGCGGTTGACATGTGCTTGGATGTGGTTGTCGATGATGCCCATTCCAAAACCGATGTTCAAGATCTTCAGTCCTGGCTCTGCTAGCAGGGCGTTGGCTGACTGAAGCATAATGTCGCTTTCCCAGGCCATCATGACACCGTTTTGTTGTTCATCCAAGAGTCTATTGTCGCCGAGTGATAGCGCTGAAGAGAGGTAGACAGAGCTAGTGACATGTTCCTGCGAAGCGTTCGCCTCCGAGCTGTCCTGACCCTGCGACTCTTCGGCTCCGTCAATTTCTTCGCCGTCTTCGTCGTCACGCAATCTCTCGTACCCTTCCAGGCGGTTGAGAACCATCTCGGCACGGACTCCTGCATCAACCATGATTTGGTAGAGATCGTGCAAGCCCAAACGGTAGGCAACGCAGCCTGGAGTCTCATCGTTCTTGTCTAGCTGGTTCCAGATCGCGCCGTTCTCGAGCAAGAACTTGAGAAATCGAGTTCCGCTCTCTTCACTGTGAGAGGAAGGGCTAGATCCTCCATTGACATATGTAGCGCAGGTGGATATCGCGGCATGTAGAGGTGAGAACCCGGTGAGCGGATCTTGGACGTCGACAACTTTGCAGTCCGGAAAGGAATATTGGTCGATATACCTTTGTAGTGCCCGTATGTCGTGGTTGGCCGAGGCGTGGATGATTTCCTGGATGTTGTCTTCCGGGCTGCTACCGGTGTCCCCAGTTACTCGGGGTGTAGCCATGTCGATTGAGACCAATTCAACTCTTTGATTCGCACCGTTCAACAGGTATCAAATGGCACTGTGCTAGAATTCTAGTATTGGTCGCCTCGTAAAATTGGTCCTGCCATGCGGAAGATTAGAAAGTCCGGGCCCGGGCCAAGACCAGCTAAACTCCGGGTGCAGAAATCGCCATCGACTTGCCCTTGCAAACCAACTTCAAACTAACCTCAGCTTGGTTTGTCCTGCTTTCTAAGACTCTTGCTGCCTCAATCCCATCGCGAAATGGCCATCTTGTCCATTTGGTGCCCTTTCGAGATCTAATAGGATAGTGGCCTTGCTGTCGCGGCTATCCTTGGTTCTGGTTCAGGGGTCTGATTTACTCACCCAGTCTTGACTGTAAGACGCCTTTCGACAAAGCCACGCGACCGCAATACGAACACTGCAAAATTCCAGGACTGGAGGCTGCAGTCTACTTTTCCTGGAAACATGAGGGCGCCTCCAACCAGGTCATGTTTTGCCGTGTCAACAAATCGTGATGCAGAGTTCCTTGATGTGGTGAAGGCCTTCTCTAAGCCTTTAGCCGGTTGGGGTTGCAGCCGTCGAGAGTTTTCGCACAGAATATCCACCATCAAGGCTGTCAACATCATTGTACGGTGAACAGCGATCGCCTTGTGATAGTAAACCCGTGCTGGTTTTTTTGGACGACATCCCGTTGCCGACACCAACCATCATATTTGAGGCAGAAGCTCTGCCCCACCTAGAAACGAAGAAAGTCCGGCCAGCCCGACATTCAACCATCCCACCCAGCATCAGACCGCTTAGCTTCTCAGCGGCCGATAACCCTTCCATCCACTCTCGTCGCAAGGAGGATGGGCAAACCGAAAGGTAAAGGCCTCAAATCGGCGACGACTGACTCTCCCCAAGACTTATATTCCGAATCGATCTCTGTTCCTAGGCCGGCGAGCCCTTTGAGAGCGGCCGACGGCCACAATGTGGACGGCTGGGCGGACGAGGACATCCGAACTTACAACGAATTGCTCAACGAAAGGGCGAAGCTCGAAAAGGAAAAGAACGAGCTGGAGCAGAAATCCTCCAGACATCAGACGCAGAGAGCTCTCCTAGATGAAAACGCCACGGCTCTGGACAAGCTCTTCAAATCCCAGTTAGGAGGCGATTTCAAGTTCACGGGCCCGGGGACCTGTTGCTTGGACCTCGACGCCAAAGGTGTCGAAAGGGCCGAGGGCAGCTCCTGTAAACACGAAATTTGCCTGCGGGCAAAGTCGAAAGGTATCTCTTGGATGGAGATGGACACGATAAAATACTACCACGCAAGAATCATGGCCGAGAAATCGCAAAGAATGCAAAACGCACTGCGCAAGCAGAGAGACGTGGAATTAGTGCGTGTCAAGAAAGATGACGAGGAGGAAGCCGCCCTAAGAGCCCGCAGAAATGCAATCCTGGACAAAGCCACTCGCAGCAGTCTCCCGCCCGCATCAACAACTAAGGACGACAAAGGCAGCAGCACATTAGAGACCTCAGCGCTAGATCTGCTCCCTATGGCATCCAAAGATTTTCTCCTTGATCCCAAAAACAGCGCCATTCTGGAGGCCGCCAAGGAGAACGAGCACATTGTGCGCAGAATACGCGGACGGCTGGATAAGATCCGGCACGATGTGAATGCAGGAAGAGTCTCGCCCGCGGACGCCCGCGTAAAGCTGGACCAAGCGAATTCTGAGATGGCGGAAGCCGAGAGGAAGAACAATGAGTTCCGGCAGATGATTCTCGATGCCGAACCCGCGCTTTCACAACTTCACCAGCACCCTACAGCTGCAGGGACCCGCACAAACACCAGCACTCCGGCAAGCTTGACGACAGTGCTTCAAAACACTTTAGCATCATCCAATGCCGACGCGTTTTCTCAAGCCCTTAGCGTGATGAAGGGTTTCTTCAGTGCCTCAGATCCGCACGACGTCCAAACCGCCATTACAGACTTGCGCAGCGTGCTCGAACTTAACGGCCCTATGTCTCCGGTCTTACAAAAATCCTTCAAAGCTCTCGAAGAGATGCTGGCGAAACCCAATGCCAAAGGCTTCACAGTCGATGTCACGACTGGCGACGGAAAGACGAGAACCTGCAACAACGTGGTCGAAGTCATGATGAACCTCCGATTGAAGATGCAAGCCTCTGAGAATCCCTCCGCCGCTGCCGAACCTGATTTGAACCTGGACGAAGACACGATCAAAGCTAACCTGGAGTGCATCAAGGTCGAAGATGCCGCCAAAAAGGACATGCAAAAAATGGTGGAGAAGATGGTCGGGGACACCGCACTTAATGTTACTACAGCGCTCAAGAAGATCAAGGCAAAAGCTATCTTGAAATCGCCTATTCCACCGCTCTCCGATATCGTTCTTGAAGATGTGATCAACGACATCCTCTTTCAACGATCGGTCAATGCTCTGGTCGCTGAGGCAACCAAGGGCGCAAGCCTTGCACAACTCTCTGGAAAGGTGACCTCACTTGTCATTTCGACTTCCCGAAACCGCCCGGGGAAATACTTAGCGTCGCTAAGCATGACGAAAGATGCTATTATCAAGGGGAAGAAGGTCCCGCCTGATGTGCTTCTTGAGGCAATCTCAAAGGTCGAAGCCTCCATGACACAGTTTGTCAAAGCCTACGGTGAGAAGATCAAACAGATCGACGCCGAGGAAAAAGCCAACCCTAACCCCCCTCCCAAGCCCGATCTCCCGACTAAACATCTCCTGGAGGGTACTCACGTCGACAAGAAGGCTTTCGAACTCTTCAAGAAGTTCTTCCGCACTCCATCGGCAAATGACACCGCAGCATTGCGCGCCCGTTTCTGCGAATATCATCACTTGCATATTGAGGAGGGTATGTGGGACATGCTCCACATCGTGCTAAATCATCAAACTTCGGGCAAATTCTGGTGGGCAAATTGGGAGGCCGAAAAGAAATATTGCATCGAGAACATGCAAGTCGCTGCCGCAACACCGACACCAAAGGTTGCTGATACTGTCTTGCAGCTGCAAGAGCTCGGCATTTGCCCTGCGAGGGCTGTTATCATCCTTACACAGCGCATCGCGTTACAGATGAGGCAGGACTCCGAAGCTGCCAAAATCAACGTCATGGCACTTAGAGATATATATGCGGACTGTGAATCTCTCAAGCACAAAGAATGGGCCCGATCTTTCAACTTCATCGGTCAAACCACGGCAGACACCTTTGCAATGCTGATGTTTGAGCTGGTCGGGCAGGTCAACTTCGAGATCGCAATCATGGCTGCGGACTTTCTCGCTTTCATATGCACTTTCGTGCTCGGATCCATGGACGCCATAAGGGCTGAACTGAACCTACGTTATCTCGAGCAGTTCATCCTCAGCACCTTGATGGAAAGCCGCACTCCCATCAACAAATGCCGGGAAATGTTCTCTCACTACGTCCACATGTGCCAAGATTCTTCGAGGTACAGGTGCTCTCCAGATCATAGATGTCAAGCGACGTTTTCCCGGTTTGTCACTGAGAAGTTCGCCTCACTCGTCCCCGCCCCACTAAAAGTGAACAAGAAAGCAAAAGAGAATCCAGAAAAGGCTGCGTCGTCTTCTACTAAAGCTGGCGCCGGCCCTCCGAGACATGTCCACATCCGAGTGACTGTCAATGCCTATTGGGATGTCGCAAAAAGTCTCACGCCGCACTTGAAATGCATCGAGGGGAACAAGAAGAAAAAGAAGAAGTGTTCCTGCAGTCGAGCTGATCAGGAGTTTGCCGAGAATATTCAAGTCCTCAAGCACGCTCTCGACATCAACCTGGCTGAACTTGAGACAATGATTAAGAAAGGCTTGAAACCTCCCCAGGAGTTGTGGGACGTGCTGGAGGAAAACGCCATGGCCCTACATGAGCGTCCCGTAACTTATGAGGGAAACCAAAGAAGAATAGCAGAGTTGCGGGCAAAAGTAGGGACTGGTCGATTTGCAGAGATTCCTCCTGCTCCTCCCAGTGAACCAGTGACCAAGGACTCAACAGGCACGCAACGACAGCTCAGTCTCAAGTCAGTCCCGGTCAGTGTTCCCAGCATCCAAAACAGCCTGTCAAGCAACGCTTCCGAGAAGGGGAACCTGGAGAAGGATGCTACAGAGGGCTATCCAGGACATCACAATGAGACATCGTTTTCAAGCGAACCAGGTGCAGTATTAGCTGAGACTAAGTCCACTTCCACAGCCGATCAGGACGACGAATCGGACTGGCACATGACGGATCGAGAACTCGAAATCAGGGACCAGCTGCTCACATTCTCTGACAGTGTAGACATGATGCACTCATTCGCATCAGTCATGCATCATGGGGTGAACGATCTCGCTCTTGATGGAGTGGCGTGGCAAATCGAAGACATGCTCATCGGCCACGTGGAAATGGCGTGGATCATTGCCAAAGCGCAGGGATACAATGGACTGCAAACTTGGATGGAGTACTATTACGCACAAACCATGCCTACTCCTCTGGGGGAGAATTTCAAGGTTAATGGCAGTGGCGACTACGGGAATGATGCAAGCCTCGCCGACGCCAACGCAAGGAAGAAGACTATAGCCTTCGACATTATCAGCAAGATGGGCGGTGCAAAAGGGAAACCGCAGGCTCAAATCACCGGGAATACACTGGCAGAACCAGCGAACTCTGCGGCCGCCAATGCAGCAACGCCAGCTCCTTCTGCTGTGCAACAAGCCGAACAAGCAGTGGCTGACATGGAGCGACTCGGGCGCAATTTCCTCTCGCAGATGCAGGTTGTTTCGAATCGTCGCAAGCGCATGCCAAAGCGCAAGTGGTAGGGCAAAATCTGGGCCTCCCTGTTTTCCTGTTAATGGCATAATTCCGCTGGCCGAGGGATACGCTCCGACACTAATTCATAACTGCTTTTCAGCCAATATTTGAAGGCGTCAGGCGTTACGGGATGAGGAGGCAGAGGGAAACAGCATGAGAAGATCTCATTGACATCCTGAAGGAACGCGTTATGCGATGATTGAATTTCACAAAGGGTAACGGAAATGAATTCGAGCAATGTGCAAACAATGCAATGGCTATGCTGCGGAACGCCAACTCAAAATGGGGATAAAAGAAGAAAAGTAAGACACAAAAAAAGGGTCGCAGATTACACTTTTGACATTGGCTCCAATGCTCGATACGAATGTTCGGCCTTGTGTTTTTGGAGCTCTGAGCATGCTGGACAACATGGATGCATGGATGAAAGGGCGTCTCGCTTCGGTCCACGAGGACTTGTTTTCGGTGTTGATCATGTACGCATGTGTTGGAGCGGGAACTGGGGATTTTGTCCTGTTTACCTTGATCGCATCTCGGAACACATGCCTTGCCATTGTACGACGCAGGAAGCGGCCGGATTGAAAGGTGACGGAGAGCTGGGGATGTGGAGCTGGTGGCACAGCAGTATAGCGAGACTGAGTGTCAAACAGAGGAGGAGAGACGTGTTATAAGAGATAGGTACAGTTATAACTGCGTCCGGAATGGCAAGACATATGTGCTCTTTTGACGCGGTTTTCATTTTCGGGGTTCTTTGTATCGCTTCGATTCCCGGCCCTTTCTGCACAATACGAGGCCAGAAGAGGAATCTCTTCTTACTCAATGCCTCCAATGTTCTTGGTATTTGTTCACGACAATTATCCCGTCCCACATCTAGGACCTCGAGCGCACCACCCGTAGATCCATTGCAAGCCCATGATATGCCGACTCTAGAACGCCAATTGTCATTTCCGCACGTTCCTTGACGGGGTGTCGAAGTCCTCAGCCGAGATATGTCGACAGCATCCTCAAAAGCTTTTGGATTCGCGGAGATCCCACCAGGAAACAGAGTGTCAATCATGGCTTTAGCGCGCCCATGGTCAAGAATCATGGGGGGCCACGAACCAATATTTCTTTCTCTCCTTCCCATCTCTTTCCAGCCGCCGTAGTCATCACCTATCCGTCTGGGTCTTCACACCCCCGCTGCGCCGGGCGCGTCCTTGTCCGCTTTCAGACTCAACAACAACTCGCGCATTCTCTTCTTGGAGCTCCCATCACCACCGCTCGCCTGGCCTTTCCCGCTCAGGTCGACCAACTTGGCGATCCTCTCCCAGGCCGTGCCGCCCGCGGTTGTGTCTTCTCTCTTTGCCAAAAACTCCTCTGCCTCCTTTGCAGTCTGCGCCTTTTGCTTGTCGACTTTCCGGTTGTAGGATTCGTAGAAGGAATCGATGTCCTTTTGCGCAGTGGAGACGGTCTCTTCCTTCTTGCGTTGGCTGGCTTCATCGCGACGGGCGATTTCGGCGTCCCGCTTGGCTCGCCATTCGCGGATGGGCTCCGTGTCTTCCTCCTGTGCCGGAGCAGTGTAGTTTGTGTAGCCGCCGAAGGAGGTGGAATCGGTGATGGTGCCGCCGGGTGCAACGCTCTGTTTTCATTTTGCCGTGTGTGTCAGTTCTGAAGATTATCGCTCTTTCTCCGAAAGTGGGCGTTGAAGGCTTTGCATACCTCGTTGCGGGTGTCAATGGCAGGAAAGGAGCTTTCAAAGTCGTCAAGGTCTTGTTGCCCGTCACCACCTGATGGCTGTGCCGGAGCAGCAGATGTGAACTCGCCATCACCGCCTAATAGATCGTCATCGCCGTCTTCGACCGTAGCAGCACCGGGTTTGTCGTTCGCATTGAAGAGTTCGGCGTCCTCCCCAAGCAAAGCCCGTTCGCGGTCAAGAAAGCTACCTTGGGCGGTCGGATCAGGGCGGACATCTGTTTCTCCTGTTCTCGATTGTTAGAAATCCAGAGCAAAACGCAAAGTTTGAGGATGTTGTGCGGATTAGATCTGAGCCTTACCTGCATCAATGTCTTCAAGTGAAGGGAACCGGTCTGCCATGGTGAAAGAAGACTTAGGGACGGGGGTGTTCCGGCAGCGGAAGGAAGACTACCAGCAAGCAGGATACACGATAAAGAGTCACTGAGTGTGAGAGAGCGGTTACAGAGGCAATGACCTGTATAATGGCAGTGCACCGGACAATGGATCAAACTGGCACTTTTTGTGAGATGGTTGTTTGCGATGGGAGATGCAGGAGAACAATTGGCCCCGTGGAAAACTGGCGGGTCTGACGAAAGGGATATCGCGGATATTGAGCAAGTGACTCCGAAGTGAGAAGGGGCTTTAAGTTGTCTGACAGAATATTTTCTGGAATACCTAGGTATGGAAAGGGCCAGTAAACTGAGTCAGGCCAACAACCAACTGTCGTACGCCGGAATATCGCCCTTTCGAAATGGAGATCCTCGTCTGGTGGTGGCCTTGATAGCTCCCTCGTCTGGAGTCCTGTGTCGTCCCTCCGTCTCCTTACAAGTTGAGGACGACCTCAAGGCGGCCATGTCTTTGAGCGCGTCGCTGAATTGGTGCCTCGTAGTCCACATGTCGAGCTTGTACGTTTTTGCGACATGGGCATTGATCGTCTGCTTGCTGCTAAGATGACTGTCATCAGGACCTGTTTATGATACCTTTCCGTTCCTCAGTATTGAGCAACACTGCCACAGAAACAGCCCTCTGGCATTTTGACGCAAGTCAGCCTGAGGCACCAATCGCCCGGTTCGACATCCCTGCTTCACCCAGGTACGGCTTCGGCCCCCAGTTCTCGGTTTGTTGTGAGTTTCATATAATTATCGGCCATTGGTCGGGTTTCTTCTATACTCGATTTCAGGGTCGTCTGGCAACTTCATCAGGATTTATGTATGACAAAGTCGAATGGAAGAAAGTTTGCATGTCTACATTTGCTGTTGTCATGGACGACGCCAGGCGACCTCGCCCGCTCGAGGGAGTTATACTAGCAGCAACATCTTCCACGGGCTGATAATGTTCAACCTTGTGCAGACATCACTATACGAAAACTACAGCCTCGCTGATTGCGTGTGTAACAGCACGATTTCATACGACGCCCTACCAGCCTCTCCATAAGTCATGTTTGTCACCTATACCCATCCTTCCCAATTGAAGGACCCTGGCAAGCAGCAACAAGTCTCCTCCTTTGCAGCACGTAAACAGCAGACAAAGTCCGAGAGAAAAAGGTCCGAGGGAAAGACGCGGGCCTCGAAAACCCGTTCGTTCGAGCCCGTGGTTTTCCGGGCTGTCAATTCTACGCAGCGGCGTAAAGCCAAATTTGACCACAGGAGACCTCAAACACGCACACCTCCTGGGCCGGACGCTAATGACCTGGTTGCCCCCTTATCCAACACTCTTGGAGGAGTGCGTGAGGATCCATTCAAATCGTACCCCATCGAAGCCACGTATTTGGTGAAATGGGCAGTGGATCAATGTACGTCGATACTACCATAAAGGAGCTGCACCAAGCAAGCCGCGAAGTATTAAGGCTTGGTTTTCAAGGAAAAGGCTGATTTTCACAGATGTACAAGACGTTGCCGTCAAGAGCAGGGAACTCTTCACTGACTCAAATGGCGACAATTGGCTGATGACATATCGGTTTTCTACGTCTCTCCAATCCGAGATCCTGTTTGAGTGTCTCATACTGTATACTCTCGCCCAGTTACCCCCTTCTTACACGCCATTTCCTGGACTTCGCCAGATGTGTCTCCAGTATCGAGCCAATATCTTGAAGAAGCTTCGTCAACGGATATCCGATCCTCGGCTCTGGGCCGATGATACCACCTTACATGCTATTGTCTCTCTGCTCGGCTCCGATGTAAGTCCTCTCCATACACATATGTCCCAAAGCTGAGCTTGCCCTTACAGTTCCACATGGCCGAGGATGACTACGTGGAAATGCATCGAGCTGGTCTCAGGCAAGTGGTAGCTATGCGTGGTGGGCTGGAAAGCGGGAATTTTGACGCAATGACAAAATTGGTGGTATCATCGTAAGGCTGATCCCAGGCGAGGGCATGGGATTTCGCTAACACAAGCAATTGAAGAACCGAGTATATGTGCGATATGGCCGTAAAAAGACGACGAAAGACCCAAGAGAAGCCCATCACTCCCGAATTGATTCTCCAATATCCCAAACATCCTTTCCCTCCCGAGATATCTGACCATGTGACCAAACTCCCAGCTGGCTTTCGTGAACTGGCACTTAGTTGCAAGATTTCTAATCAGACCATTGGACTCCTATACCAACTCGCATCAAGGGTGTCCGGGGAGCGCCCTGAAGCGCTTCCACACGTCTGGGGCCGGAGCGAGCAGTTTGGGCTCATGCGCGTCGTGGCTACGGAAGCCGTGCCGAAACTAGAGCGGCATATTTGTCTTCTTGCCCTCGTGTTTGAACGGTCCTGGATTGCAACGACTTCCGACTCCGCCGGGTTTCGAAGGATGTACGGGCGAATGGGCCAAGTATTTCGGGACCGGTTACAAGAACTGACCAAGAATATGATTGAGCTTGGGACAGACGTGGACAGCGACTTTCAGGTATGGACGACGATGATCATTGTGACGGCAACGGATGAATGCAAATTGAGCGAGGATGAGGGAAAAGAGCTCATGGCGCTCGCGTTCATGCTATGTCCGCAGATGAAGAGTTGGGACACTACAATGAAGGCTCTGAAAAGATATTACTGGAACGAACTCTTGATGGCTCGGTGGCACTCGGAGTGGTTATTTGCGAGATCTTATAGTCTATAGCAGGACTGGATGGACTACCGTCAGGGATGTTATGCAACGCAACACTGTACTCTGTACCTGTAGCCCTGGAAATGCTATGTACTCTAGTACTTACTCGCCTTCTCAAATTGCTCGTCGCTATTAATGACCGTGTCACGTGCCTTAGGCTGTCATTTGAAACCTCAAATGTCCAAAAAACATTGAACCACTTCATCGACTTGGATCTCAACTTTCTCCTCACAATCCATCTAAACTCATCACCAGCAACAGATAACTCTGCAATTCGTGTCTTGGAAGGCTTTTCGAGGAGGGCGGCTCAGAAAATCAGGCAGCAACGACCAGACTTATACCGCTCCGTTGCCGAGCTCCCTTTCTTCAGTCCCAGCTCAGTGGGCTGTCATAGCTTGTAGCATAGCCCATCCGGTCGTGAATCTCCTATTCACCTCTACCTGCGCCTAACTTCAATCGCGCGTATAAGAGACACAGGGCTCAAAGAGAACGGCCACACGCGCTCCATCCTTCGGCCACGGTTGGTGCATGGTGTAGACAGGGGCATCACACACCCACCATGTCGTACACCGATGAGGCCCTCAAGGCCAAGCTCTCGACCCTCAACGAGACACAAGATAGTATCGTCTCGGTCTCACAATGGATCATGTTTCATAAGTACGTCCCCTTCCGGTTGCCATAGACCCCCAATGGAAAGCCATTCTGGGGACTTGAACTCCTGCTGACACTTGTTGTCCAGGAGACATGCAGACCGCATCGCAAACTACTGGCTCACCCGTCTTCGCGACTCACCGCCAGCGAAACGCCTCAACTTCATCTACTTGGTCAACGATATTGTTCAAAACGCGCGAGCACGAAAGCGCGCTGAATTTCCCGACGCGTTTTCCCCTTTGATGGCCGAGGCCATTCAGACCGCCTACCGCTCCTCACCCCCCGAGATCCAGGGCAAGATCCGACGAGTTGTCGAGGTATGGCGCACGCGCAATGTCTTTGAGGTTCCAATTCTGGATGCTATCGATGCGCGAGTCGACGAAGTCGACAAATCAAAGGGATCCGGTGGGAAGAAGACCCTCATGGGGAACTCTCTCTTCGGCTCCACCTCTTCCTCGGGCGCCATGCCAAAAGAACTAGAGAGTCTGGCGCCGTTACAGATCACTGTGACCAAAGAGACCATCTCCGCCAGGCCTGCCATCGATAACGCACAGAACGAGTATACGAAACTTAACGATCCGGAGGCGGTGCTACCCAGCCCGCCCGTCCATGCTGCGCGACTGTCTAGCCTCATCAAGTCCCTTGCCGCGGCTGAGTCATCCGTTTCGGCCAGCATCAAGGCTCGAAAGGCTCTGATCGCGGACCTTGAGCGAATCTTGGAGATAAACAAGGTAGCGTTGGCGAAGGATGAGGAGACGTATCTGACGCTAGAGAGTCGGAAGACTAGCACTGAAGCAAAGAAGAGAGAGGTCGAAGACGCCATTATTCGCGGACTATCTTCCGCTGAGGCAGCATCATCGTCTGAACATTTCGGTGCCACCAATACGGGCGGTGCTTCAAGCAGCACCGACGCTGCGGTCAACGAAATTGGTGGAAACAACATCAGCGGCGAAAATCCAGCTAACCATTTTCTCTCCGAACGTCCCGAGATCGAAGAGCTTACCGATGACGAAGGCGACTTTGTGGCCGGTGGTATGTTCGATCAACCTCCACCCAATAACGCACAGTGGGAGCAGCCAGCTCCAGCTCCCGCGGCCCCTGACTCCCCCGGCCTGGCAAACTTTCGACCCAACAACCCGGCCGTTGCAGCTGCTCTGGCTGATTTCTCCGGCATTGGTGCGACGCCGACACCGGACTATACAGCTTTCCTACCCAGCAGCGCCTCCGGCGACACGAGTAGCCAGCCAAATGCGCCGGTAACGCCGCGCGTCCGTTCTGCAAGTGGTGGACACGGAGTCAATGGTTTGTCAGCCAAGAGACGCAAGATATCTCACGGTGGGGACGAGCAGGTTCCTGACCTGGGCGAGATGGGTATGGAAGGGTTTGGTCAAGCACCACAAAGTCAAGATCAAGGCGCAGCAGGTGCTTTCGGTGGGACGACCGGCCTCGAAATTGGAGGACAACAGCAGACAAATGCTCGAGGCGATGATCTTTTGAGGAATCTGGACGAGGACGTGGATGAACTGCTCAGGCAAGAAGCTGCTCGAGGCGAGAACGGAGTGCCAGGGATCTAGAAGCCCCAGTGCGAGCAACGAGGCGCAGAGCGAGAACTCCGCGACCGAATTGTGATGCTGTGATGTCCTGGCTCACGGTGCGGTCGTCGGAATGGACACTGACTGCCAGACTATCGATATCGACGGGGAGGCAGATGGCGAATGAGGAGAGGGGCTGCGAATGAGTCAAGGGTAGAGCTACGAAGGGCAACAAATTCTCATGCTTGTTTTTACCATGTCTTGTCTTGAAAGAGAACCGGATGGCATGTTGTGAAATATCGGCAAGGGGAGAGACGGGGGAAGCTTTCCATCCACGGGCTAGGCCAGCTTCTATCTCTTTGTTGCTGGGGGAGGTGCAGAAAAAAAGGGGGACACGATGTATCAGTACTAGGAGGCACTGTTTCTGTCATGTTCACGGAAGTTTGCAATGGAATGGCAGGAAATGCAGAGAGAGAGAGAGAGTACGTCCCATGGAGATAGGCGAGAGGGAGATGTGGCTGGTCAACTAATGTGTTTTGATTCCTTTTCCTATCCGTGGCTGTGTATGTATGTGTGTATGTGTGGCAGCGAGTCTCGAGACCAATGTCTTCCTGTTTATACAACCCAAGAAACGAGACCAGGAGAAAGTGACTTCCGGTGGGGTACATGTTTTGCTCCCGTGGTGCTCTTCGTCATGCAGAAGATGAAATGCATCCTCCGATCCCCTAAAAGGTGGTGGAAAGATACCGTGTGAGTCAGAAGCCTGTGGGAATACACTATCTGGATCCAGATAGTGATAGCAGGTGTGATCTGTCGGTAGAAGAAACTTGTCTCTGCAAGTGGTCTGGTCTAGTCTGATCCGACCTGCTGCTTCCCACACACTTGTCGATTGCACGTCCCTTCCGGCTTTGAGGCCAGGCTGCCCTGGGAAAGAAAAGGACGCGGATCAGAGTCGACTACCTAAGTGATTAATCAGAGCCTAAAGTATATGTGGCATTTGGTTGGTTTCAAGTAGCGTCGTTGGAGAGTGGCCTTCTATCCGATGCTGTAGCGTCGGTTTGTCGCATGATACCGGTCAGGTGCTTGATTTCATCAAGTAGAATGTAAGATGATCCAAAGTACTGCATCTGGCTGCTGGTCTTGTTCCGACCAATTCAGAGCTTGACTGTGGGCTGCGGAGGCAGTGCTGAGACTAAATGATATTGTCGTACTGGCCGAGAGCAGCGTGCGTTGCAAAAACGTCGAACTGGCCCGATACAGAGAGGACTTTTCCGCTTTACTTCGAGCGGGACGGGACCGGTGCTCAGGCTTCAGGTCTGTGCAGTCGACCACGAGTCGGGACGAGGCATCAATCTTGGAGCTATCCAAGAGTTATCACGTAGTCGGCCGCTTCAAGGGGTGCGCCTCCGTATTGAGGACCCATTCATCCAAGTCCACCAATGTCGGCTCACTAAACACCAAGTAAAAGTACTTGAGCGTCTCGGCGAGCCAGAAGCTCTCCATGCGATCACTTTTCCCGGGCTCTGCGTGCCTCACATCGTGGATGGCCGCGTGCGCAATGGGCGTTCTCGTCGCCTTGTCGATGGCCTGGAACATCTTCCAGGCAATATCTTGGTATCTTTGGTCGCCTGTGATGCGGTACATGATGAAGACGGACTCGATGGCCTCCGGGCGGAGGATGTATCTGTTGTCGCCGTGGTCGGTGAAGCCCGGGAACAGACGACGTTGTTGGACGAGTCGTTTGCCGCGCTCAACGGCGCTCATCGTTGTGTCGCTTTCCTGGCTCGAGGTGTGTTTTCTAGACACGCCTTCATACCACTTGTCATCCGTCCAGTCACATTTTCCAGGCGATGGATCGATCGTGCCAATTTGACAGGCTATCATGTGGAACGTTTCGGGCATCAAGCCGGACGGCATCGCATTGTAAGCCCAGACACAGCCATCAATCAGTCGACGAGCGACGTCCAATTCGTCGGGTCGAGAAAAGATTTTGGCGCCGATGCCAACCATGCCACTGACAAAGCAGGCCAGGTGTTGACCCTGCGGCTCAATGTTGGCGATGGGGATCGTCTCGAGAGAAGTCAAGGCCGCGTTGCCGCTGAAAAGGATATTGTCACCCCCTGGCACCAGTGGGCGGAAGAAGAGATGCCTCTTTGCAGTGTCAATGGCCTCTTCGTACATGTGCTTGTACTTCTCGTCCCGGCCTCCCAGCATCAGGTACTGCTTCGGCAGATATTCATAGGTCGAATCGGCCATGCCACCCATTGTAAAATGGTTATAGTCCCACGAGATGTCCTTTGCGTTGACAATGGTTGGCCACAGCCCGGGGATGCGGGTGGTGTTCTGGGCCCACTCCATCTCCTCTGCGATGCGTTGGACGGCGTCGAAGTATTTCAGGTCGCCGGTCAGCTGGCTCAACCGCGTGAACTCGACCGTCAAGCTCCCGATTTCCGCCAGCAGCGTGTTGGTACCAGGCTCGATCTCGCCGCCGAGGGCTGTTTTTTTCCAGTTCCACCGCGTCATGGGCATATGGGTCGGGGTGTCAAAGGCCGAGTAGAGAATCTCGCCCAATTCGCGTGACTTGTCGAGCAGAATCCCGTACTTTCCGTCGGTGAGGTCATACGCGGCGAGGAGGCCACCGAGGTAGCGGATCGTAGTTTCAAAGACATTCAGCGTGTCGACATCGTTGGTGGTGAAGTCGATGCGTTTGACTTGCTCGACGCAGAGGTCAAAGTCATCCTTCATGCCCATCAGGAGGAGCGTGTCCATTGTGTCGACGAGAGTAGCCCCCCAGCCGCCGAAACTGGAGCGATATGCGCCGCTGACCGGAGCAACTTCATCCTGACCCCAGGCATATTTCTTATATCCATTCCAGGCATGAACGAATGCTTCTTTGACCGCAGCTCTTCTTGTTTCTCGGGTCGTCCTCGCAGCCGCAGTTTCGGGGTGCGCGTCGAAGTCAAACTGGATCTTGGGGATTTTCTCGAGAGGGCCCGTAGGAAACTCTCGATAACCTGCAAGAGGATATCGCTCGGGCCGTTTGGTCCAGTGTAGATTGGTCTTGTGGCTCGATGGTGGGAAGGGGACTGCGGTAGGATCGCTGGGCCAGAGGTACATGTAATAGATAATACCAGCCAGGAAGAACGCTGGCAACAGCCAGAGTCGCCGTATCAGAATCATCTTGGTGCAAATGTTGAACAGGAAGTGATGAGGTCCATCTGGTCGTTTGTAGTCTGACGTGAAGGGGGAGAGAAATTAAGATCCGCAAATAGTAACATTCCCCCAAATCTGGAGTTTCAAGGGGGGCGCCTTTGGGTTCCTGGAGTCGAACAGGAAACGGCTCGACGGCCCCCACGAGATTTTAAGATGCCGTTAAGATTTAAGCTTAAACTCTGCCACTAAGGACCTAAGGTACCTAGTGTCTATGCCTAGACTCGGATCTCGCACTCTACTACTCGGTAGTGTGTCACCCAACAATCAACTGCCCGTTTTGGGGCTCATAAAAGACCTCGGGATCCTCCCGTACATACTCACCCAGGTATATACGCATATATACTACATCAACAGCACAAAGCACTCTCCGACCTCAACATGGCATTGACAGGAGTCTTCATCCTGCCCATCGCTCCAGGACAGTCGTCGCCATCTTCAGCCCTGATCTCTCACATCTCGCGCTCCTTTCCTGCCGAACCTCTGCCGTCTTTCCACCTCGACTACCGCCTATTCGTCGACACCTCCTCGCTGCTCCCCGGCTCCGACACATCTCAGCGTAAGTCGGCCAGTATCCTGACTCTGTCGCACACGCCTTTCAAGACCTATGTCGCCACAAGTCCACCAAAGGACAAATCTCAGCCGACGGATCAGCCGACAACATTTACCGTAGTGACAGTCCCCTCGAGCTCCGCCGACCCATTCACCCAACTCATCGGGACGAAATTCCAACCACAATGGGCCCACCGACAGTCCATGATTGTCGATAGCGGCACGGCCCTGTCCCTGGAAAATGGCCAGTGGGTGATCCGCATCGGAGATTTAAAGACCCCTTCTCGCCAGACCCAAACGGGTTCCAACCTCAGAGGCATGGTCGTCGAGGTCTCTTTCATTGAGCAGCCCCAGCTTGACGCCACACGCAGTGCCAGTCAAGGTCTTCTCGATGATGCTGCTGCCCTGAAAGACGTCACTGCAAAAGGTGTGAGCAAAGAAGACGAGACCCTGTTACGTGGGTTTCTCGACTCGGTCACCGATGGCAGCGGAGTGCCCTCGATCTACAGCGTTGAAAATGCTCGGTCCCTGATTCGACGCACGAAACTTTATGGAAAAGATAAAGACACGAGCGATGCCTCGCCGGACTGGGATCTGGCAAACTTGTACCTAGACGTCCTCCGAGGACCAAGAGGCTAAAGAGAAACCAAACACACCCACCCACTCTTGACAAAACACAACCAAAACAAACCTCAAATTCCCCCCCCTCCCAGCGGATCTGCCACCGCATGGGCGCCGAGGAGCGCTTCCATTTCCACAGCACCACAGCATGGCGCCAGGACCAACCAGCCAACTCTTCCATCTGCCCAAAACTTTTCTGAGCACGACGGCAACATTTGCCATCCTCCAAGAAGCAGCTCTCAGCCTCCGCACTCCAATGCCACAGCATCCGATTCGGCTCTTTGCGCCGACTCAACAGCGCCTACCCCCGATGAGACAACACGCCCTCAAAAGCCTCGCAGACCCGACGACCATCCATGTTGCGGCGAAGCATGCCCTCGCGGCCAAATGGAATCGCATCTTCTTGCAGCTGAAGAAGTCGGTCGCCAACTGACTGGAGCTCCAGCGAGTGCGGACGAAACCAAAGCTGGAAAATTTCAAACCGTTCGTTCTATAAGTCAACGACACAGCATATGTATAACAAGCCTCAGAATGGGGGGGAAGGAAATAGAGAGGAAAGTCATGGGTTAGGGGTACAGGTGCCACGGGTTCTGTTTCGTCAATCAAGGAGTCTATACACGGTATAGGGCGGAAACGTCCAACAGTATACATGTATGAATTGACATTTATAGATTCTCTCCTGCCACATATATGATATCCTTAACGCCACTGATTACGGCTTCCCAGCTTGCACCGCGTAATAGCACCATCATGAATTGAGCATCCACCAAAAATAAATACCTAGGTATGCTTGCCATCATGCTCGCCGGGTGGGATTGTCCCCATTCGGACACCAATCCAACTCAATCGCCGTTGACCTCGGGGTCAAAAGCCCTGACACCCTTCTCCTGGGCATTCTCCTCGTCCGTAAGCCCGCGCGTCTTCTCCAAGTAATCCTCAAACTCCTGCGATATATCCATGACCTGCTCAATGTGGCTGTACCCCAGCGGCTCGTTCCTGTACTTGGCCACCTGGGTCGCCGTCCAGAGACAGTTGCGAATCTGCCGGCCATTGAAGCGGCGGCGGGCCATGACGAGAGCCTTGCGCCGGAGCTCCTCGTACAGCATGGACACTTTCTTCTCCTTCAGAGCCTCGATGAAGTTGCACCAGATCTCGTAGCGGTCCTCGCTGTTCAGCGCCGGGTAGTGGATGGCGAGTTGGACGCGGGATTTGAACGCTTCGTCGAATGTGCCCACGCGGTTGGTGGTCAGGATCAAGATGCCGTCGTAGTACTACAGTACACTGGTCAGGGCGTCCGTATATACTAGAAAGGGTTGGGAAAATGTTTTAGACCTTACCTCCAAGACACGCAGGAATACCGATACCAGAGCGTTCCGTGCAAGATCCGTGACTTGCCTCTCCTCGAGAAACACATCCGCCTCGTCGAGCAGCACAACGCATTCCCAGATACTACCCAAGAGCAGGACAGACTCGAGGTATTTTTCCACCGTTTCGGCGGACGTACCAACGTCGCCACAAGTTACTCGGTACAAGGGCTTCTTCGCAACTTCAGCCACAGACTCCGCTGTCAAGGTCTTGCCGGTACCGGGCGATCCGTGGAGGAGCATGATCAAGCCGTTTCCCTTGTTTTCCACGAAGTCGACGTTCTTCACGGTGGTCAAGTGAATGCTCACAAGGGCTTTGATGGTGTCCTTTTTGTTCGACTTCAAGACGAGCCGACTGAAGGCCTCTTCGTTCCAACGTACCTCTTCGATATGCTCAACGTAGAGGCTTCTCCATTTCTTGTCATGGAAGGCGTAGCCAACAATTGTGTCAGGCAAGAGAAGGGAAAAGTCGTCGTTGGGAGGCTCTTCTGCATCCATCGTCACACCCCGCTCTAACATTTCCCTCTCGCTTGCTAAAGGGACTTCAAATTGGGAAGGATGAATCTCTCGGTAGGTCTTGTAGTCGACCATATACTTTGGGTTTGTGACTTGCAGCTCGAAGATGGTCGGGAATGGTGCGTTGTAGCTCACGAGCCTTCTGTTCCGACAACTCCAGAATTTCCGACCGCGTTGCACCAGCCTCTCCCGAAGACCTGTCTTGTCCAGTCGCAGCGGGAAGGTGGAGAGGCTGCTTATTTGCACCTCTTCCGGGTTCGTCACTGGCCACGGGACAGTTATGGTAGAGTCATGCTTCTTGAAACTGCCGTCGAAGATCCAAGTCCAGCAGTCGAGGGTGATAGTGCGCTTGGTTATCGTGATAGTCTCTGCAATATAAGCCCGCGAGTGATCTTCCTCAATGTTCACAATGAGCTCGTTGGGGGCGAAGAGCTTGCTGAAAGTATCTCGATGGACCTTGCCGCAGGCGAAATCCCGGTCGATTTCGTCGAATTTGGAGCCTTGAATCTTGTCAATGCAGTTGAGAAGTAGAAGTAGCTGTCCTCTTTCAGGCTGTGGTAAGCTAGGAGCACATCGATCGCGCAGCTCGTGGCGGAAATGGTAAAAATAGTCATACGGTGCATAGACATCTCGATGAGGGTCCCAATGACCCATGGGTGGTTTACACTCTTTTGTGTATTCCCTCAGCGCAGTCGACAATCCCATTGAAATGGTTATCTGCTCCGAGGTCGCCTCCGCGCAGGATGCGGTTTCCGCGAGGACACAGGCATAGGGTCTGACTCTGCTCGAGATACGAGACTCGAGACTCGAAGGAACGTCGCCGAAAGACCCTCTAATCGTTTTGTGATAGGCGGTACAGTCATAGCCTCTGACTACCAAGACGGGGTTTCTTGCATCCGGCTGCTGTCCTTGCGGAAGCTGGTGCCGACCGCGTAAGGCTGAAGCTCGATGATCGTTTTTATAAAGTCGAGGCGAGTCCAGGAAGTCTGCAGAATCTGGGTGCTCACTGTGGTCCTCGCCATCAACGTTGGGGTGCGTGCAGTAGACACGGTGGATGATAGGGCATTCCCGATCGAGAGATGAATCTTCGCAGGCATCTTTTTGGTTCTGGGACTTGTCACCAATCTCATCGGGTGGTTTGCGGCTCTCCGATGTCTCTTGAGAGCGCGACATGCCTTTTCGACAGGGTAGTGAGATAGTGCGCCGCTCAAGCGTAGTACTATAAAGCCCTTTCGCCCCCGTTCTGGAAATCGCCGAGGAACAATGTATTGCAATGAACTCGAGTGAAGTAAGGCTGACGCTTGCTTCAAGGTTGCGATAGGACGATGACCACGCACCAATTGCCAAATTCCAGAGTTCCGGAACTTGGATCAGTTGGTACTAGTGTAAGACGAACTATAAGGCGACTTTGCAGAATTCCTGAGTGTGAGGGCGTGATGTGATTCTGAACGAGGCAGAGGTTTCCAGGTGCACAAGTTGTCGCATGAGCCACAGATTGATCAGTCGTCGCTAACACTCCTGAAGGATCGCAATAGACGATGATTCGCCATTTTGGCGCACAGCAGTTGTTGGTCATGCACACGGCGCCAAACTAGCCAGTTGTAGAGGCCAGAGTCGACCGGAAGTGTTTGTGACGGCGCCTCATTGCCGTCACAATCAGATTTCAACCTCAGCTTCGTAAATTATGGCCATTCCACCAATTCTTGAGAATCATTGTGGGAGGCAGGGCCTGAGACTTGGTAAAGAACTAATTTCAATGCGGCGCAGCAGCTTCCCCCTTCGATAGATCCATCATTTACCGCCTTTTCGCCTCCGACTCGAGCTAGGTTATCTATGATCCGCTTCAACTATGAGGTAGGTTCGCTCGAATAGCTCCCTTCGCACCCTCGAATTGCAGTGGATCGTTGGAAAATCTCAATGAGCTCTTGAATGGACAAAGGTCTGTCGACAATGGTTGTCATAGAGTTCTGGAAGGTCTTCAGAACAAGATACTGGGGGAGATGATCTGACAAGAAGAACGTACCTGCTGCCGCCATGAAATACCTAGATCTACCAAAGCTTGGTGGTGTATAGCTTTCGAGGGGATTTCTGTCTTCGCGCTGGCAAATGAGTGAATAGATGGCCAGGCTTGGTGTGTTTCCACGGCCATCTCGGCTGCTTCGTTGGAGTCCGTCAAACCAGTGTATATCTTTGACAAGGCCACTATTTCTTCAATATGGCATAGTGAGAAGCATCGTGGCACCTCCACTCTTCCCTGTAAACCTCCTGGTTAGTGAGCATTCGTAAGGAATTTGTCGAGGGTCTCACATCTCGAAGCTTCCGGTGTGGATATCCTAGTTGCTCTAAAGCTTTTTCACACACTAAAGATTCCGGAAAACTGGTCCACCCTTCAGTAATTGGCTTTGTGTATACAACCCTTGCAAATCTGCCTTCAAAATAGAAATTTTCCTCATATTCACAGTCAAAGTAGTTGAAATTCGTCGTTCGCAGCATTCCACGCATTGCACGTGCAACGTCATGACCGACGCCTACAATCTGCACAAGTCTTGCACCTCGCTGGCTTTGCAACGCTGAAAGAAGCTGTCGCATGACTGAACCTGAATCACCCGATCGATCTTCTGAGATCGTGTAGGTGAGATGACCGAATTTAGTGGGAGACGATGGGAATGGCTTCAGCATCGCGCCTCTGATGTCGAAATTTTCGGTAACAAAAAAAAGTTCATCTTGGGATTTTTTCTCGTGATAAAAAGGGTTTCTTCGTATCAGGACGGAGTTTGAGTCATTGGGATCGTCCCAAATCTCGGTCCGCATTGACAACGTATAGTCGTATAGAGGTGACTGGTCGTGGTGCATAATATAGTCACTATGAGGGCGGTGGCTAGGCACTTGTGGGCAGTTCATGGCAGCAGGTCGACTTTTCCCACTGCTCCTGACCCGTACGGTCCGCACGCTCTCCTTCTTGCCGTTATAGTCATCACTGCTCGAGTCATCCCATTGCCAATCTCGAATATCCGATCGTTGGTTTTCTGGGAAATGAGCATCGTCCTCCTCTGCCTGGCTCACTTGCAACAAATTATGCGGGAGAGAGGACGTATCCACAAGAGGCTGAACGACCGAACGGCTGACCCTAGGATCAAGCGCTTCAAGGCGCTGTGCAGGGGAGCCGAGCCGAGAAAGCTCTGGTTGCAGATTTTGAAGAGGCGACTGTAAATGGGCGAGCTCGGGCCTAATATTTCGCCGCATGTGTAAATCTTCGAATGCTGTCAGCGGACGGTTCCCGAGATGTTGAGCAGCAAGTCCGAGGAGTGGATTGGTTCTGGTCGATGAGATTCTTGGGTCCATGATACCTAGACGCAACGCCAGAAACCAGCAATGTATGTGCAGCGCGTATTTATTTTCCTTGAGAACGGACTCAAGACAATACAGGGCTGTTCAACAAAATAGGGAGGGAGATAGCCAGTCCCGCCAGTCGGCCCAGTCCGGGAAAAGTGCACTTATCTTGCGCCGTGCAGGCTCGTTAAGTCGTATATACCTAGGTAGTTTGAAAGACTATCAGTAGCGTCCTAGAGAAAATGATTAAGCCTTCGTGGAATGACGGCTGGTAGAAAAGATGTTGTTGGAAGGCTCGAGGGAGGTGGGTGGGCAAGCTTGAGCAGGCACCAGTGAGCACAGCCGCCTTGAGATGCACATCCGAATGGGAAAGGTCGGTATAATGTGCCAGCTCCTCAGCGCATCGGTTGCCAGCTTTGAGCTCGCCATTTCCACTACTTTGTTGAAACCTTGCAGTAGTTCAAATACACCATTCGACAAACTCCTGCCTTGTATGCATTTCTGACGGTAGGGCTCAGGCAAAGAGCGATTCCAAGACCAGCTCTCAAACCAATTGAATTAAGCAGGGTACCTCTTTCCATTTCAAACCCAAATGGCCCTTCCGCAACAATCATCTCGCTGTACATGGTTTACAAAGAATAGACCTGAAAACTCTTCCCCCAGCGCGTCATTGTGGAAGTCCAAGGGAAGGGATCAACTTTCCATTTGTGGCAGCGACATCCGACTTGCAGCGAGTGAATATATAGATTACCCTGCTGTCAGCCTTGGTTACCTGGATCGGACAATAGATCTTGCACGTCCCAGAGCAGTGTTATGTGCTCGGGAAACTGGTAATCGCCTAGCGGCAGGCACAGGGGCACTCATAGTCACCACGATTTGACCATAGTTCCGGGACTGGGAAGTCGCGGCTGTGGAGCTGCTGGAAGTGACTATTAGAAGCTTCATTATACAACCATTTCGCGACGCGCCTTCGAACACTTCGGTCAATGTTGCCTGAAGCTGATCCAGTACCTCCGAACTGTATCCTCCCCGCCGGTACAAATTTTCAACTGCGACGAGAACAAAACATCGCGGTATGTTGGAGAGAACGGATGTTGCCATACTGGCCCATTCGTCCAGACTGTGCGGGCGCTGGTAGGAGGAAATATCGCATAGCTGCGCATCTCGTGAAGGAATTGATGGATCTTGCCGGAGAGCTTGAAAAATCAAGCTGCGGAGGACATCACTGACGGCTGTTGTCCCTTTGCGCTCACTTGGATTAGAGATACACCAGAATGTAGGATATGACGTCGATTGAAGCAGCGTCGTCATCTGTACAACCATATCCAGTGTACGTTGTAATGCCCGTGCCCCGCTTTTGACGGTAAAAATGGACGATGTCGGAAGCCGGGTCCATTCCTTTAGACGACTGATCATCACCGTCGTGGCTCGGTCGTTCTGCTGCCAAGAGGCTCGCCGTCTTGAGAAAGATTGACAAGTGCGGAGGATATCTTCAGGCAGTTTAGCTGGGCGCAGGACTTGGATGATTTGAGCAGTTTGCATGCCACCGAGTATCGCTGTGGAGTTACCCACGTCAAGTTTGATGGATTTCAGGAGATCGTGGCTGTTCATGGTATGCTGGATGAGCTGTTGCAAGCTCTGCTCATGCTGCTGAGTGGAAATGGACACTTTTTCCAGCTGGGCCTGCATGCGCAACAGGTGTTGCTGGATCTGTCGTTGACGCATGGTTTGTTGCTCCAAGGCGAACGACTGGCCCCGGATCTCGGCGCGGCCCGCAGTGTTGGCAATCATTTTCACATTCTCAGCACAGAGTTCCATGTCTGCAACGATTTCCTGGATAGGGAGCCGCGAGGGTCGGAGGACAGTCTTCAAGATGCGTCTGGTGCGGTTCGAGGTGTACCACGTCACGGCTCTCTGGAGGAACAGCAGGACATGTGCATACAACTGAGCGACGGCCTCTATCATGTGAGGCGTGCTGTAGAGTGCCAGTTCCACACGAATGCGCGGCAGAACGTCGCCAATCCGGGCGAGGGCCTTTGCAAACTCTGCTGCATGCTGCGAATATTGCGACACTCCCTGGAATACATCAATATAGTCTCTTTCGTCCGTGCATGGAGGCGTACCGCAAAAACAAATTTGATAGCTCCCCAAGCAAGCCCAGCATGTAGAGGGTCAGCACTGGCAAGTGTATCCAGCACGGTCCCATAACGAGCAATATTCCCTACAAAGGCATCAATCCACCTCTTAGCTCTGGCATGGTGCTCCGATCGATCCTGATAGGCATCCCGGGCCTGCTCAACTGTCATCTTGACATCCTCAAGCGACGTCTGCCCGCGAATCCATGCTCTTTCGCTCTGTGTCTCGGCCAGCTCTCTTTCGAAGTATTCGACGGCTCTTGCATATGCGTCCGCAGCTATCCTGGCGGAACTACAAGCGTTCTGTAAGACAACACGGCCGGCAACATGGCAGAACAGTCCTCACCTTGAATTGTTGCCAGAGTACCACCAGGCAGTTATCTCATCCTGCGGCCGGGCGACGGTGAGCATCTCGTCTCACAATCCGCGTTGGCGAGCTCGACGAACTCCTGCACGCCGAGTGAGGCATCTCGCAGACTGGAAACAATTGCAGCCTGGCCGTCAGGCTGGGACATGGACAGACAGCTCGGCGCAGCCTGAAGGTACCCGGCCGCATCATCACGCTCAGCCGCAGTCGGCTGCAGAGAATAACCGAGCGTTACAGGCCGGCGAATCGCTGATGCCTCGCCTTTATCACCTGCATGGAGGCTTGGCGGCGCAAGCAATGGCTCAACTGCTCAGGCCTTGTGGCGCTCTTATCCTGACCGCGCCGTTTCTAAATCCTGCTCGTGAATCAATCCATCTCGTCTCACCTGTGCTCACAAAAGTCCTCGTAATAATTGTTCTGAAGAAGTCCGCGTGATATTTTACCAGATTGACTGTTGCATAGGGGGTGCAACACACGACAAATATGTAACATGCCAGTGAGCGAGTCGTTCAAAAGCCGAAGACGCCAAGAAAACGTGCAGAGGGCAACGAGAATGGACAAAGCGATTAGGAGGACAACAAACATTGCCACAAAATTTCACGTCAACACTCATTTCGTACCACTTTTGACTCCAAAAAACAATGCCACTCTCTCCCGAAGATATTGTCAGGGAGTACATTGACGATGGCAGTTCCGTGGAGCGGGTGAACCACCGCAAGTCGAAACTCAAGATGTCCATCGTCGAGCCCAACGCGGCGTGGCCGCAACGGTTTCTCGACACCAAGGCCCGGATCGAGGCCGCGCTGGGCGCGGGCGCGACAAGTCCGACCGCGGTGCCAGTGGTGGTCGCCGTGCATCACGCCGGATCCACCAGCGTCCCCGGCCTGCCGGCCAAGGACGTGATTGACGTGGACCTGGTGGTGCGGGACATCGAGGACGAAGGCGCGTACGTCGAGCCGCTCGAGCGCGCGGGCTTTGTGTTCCTCTTCCGCGAACCGGCGTGGCATCAGCATCGGTTTTTCGTCGACGAAGGGGACCGTCCGGGGAGCTATCCCATCAACCTCCACGTGTTCGGGCCCGATTGCCCGGAGGTCGAGAGGCACCGCATCTTCCGCGAGTGGCTGGTCAAGACCCCCGAGGACCTGCAACGCTACGCGACGGTCAAGCGTGAGTGTGCCGCAATGTCCGAGGCAGCGGGCGAGTCGATGCAGGAATACACCGTGCGCAAGGATAAGATAGTCCGAGAGATCCTGGACAGGGCATTTCGCGATCTGGGCTATATCAAGTAAAATAAATACATACGACGACGCCGCTCCTTTCTGGCCCGTCACAAATGCTGGTCCTCAATGACCAACCACACCATGAGGACAGGTATATTCGCGATACTGAGGGAGAAGGAAAATTAGAATGACTCTGCGGAACATCAGCTAGATGTAGCAAAAGCGGTTTTAGATTCGTGACGACTACACGATCAAGTATTCTCGTCTTCCTCGTCTTCATATTTCATATTTCGTATTTACAGTCCATCATATATCTAAGTGTATGAGCATTCCGCGAAAGCAAGTGTAATGCAGCCATAATCACACCGAGTGCAAGATGTATATCCAAGAACAGAAACTTCATCATCACGCCCTGTGTTGATGTTTGAACAGAACACAAGTCAACAGGGTCCGCCCAAGAGATAATGCAGTATTTGCAGATAACACAGTGGTGAGAACACCACCCTGGGCCTAACGCAATGGTTCCCGTCTTTTTGCGGAGCGTCGTCCAACTCAAACATCAATGTCTTCATGTCCAGAAACAGTTCACCGTTTTGCGTGTCCCTTTTTCTCGCTGTGACCCAAAAACACCACTCGCTATGCGCCACGGTTCATGTCAAGTCAAATGAAAATCCATAACAGTCCGGCCAGCCCAGTCATTTCTGTGTTTTTTGTAAATAACCCGCCAAAAGACCCCGGGGGTCAGATGTCTTTCGGGTTTCCGATACTGTTGTCTCGTACTTTACTTCCGAGGGCGGCATGTCTCCAAGGTGGGAGTTCATTTCGAAACGTTCCCCCTGATTTCGCTCACCAAGTCTCCGCGATATACTGGCCCGAGCTCTTCTTCTCATCCCAAAAGCTCTGTGCCTCATCGCGGTTCAACTTGCCCTTGGCCATCGCCACATCTATCAGCGCGGCCTCCACACCTTCACCCATGCCCTTGGAACTGCCACAGACAAAAATCCTTCCGTCCACGGCGTTGATGATAAACCAGACCAGGTCTGCCTGGGCGCGGACTTCTTCTTGGACGTAACGCCCCTGCCCTCGTCGGGATTGAACCACTTTCTTGACTTTGTCTTCATGCACGCCCCAGTCACCAGAGTAAAGCTCGTCCAAAAGACTGTCCCGCACTCCCTGGAGCACCCAGACTTTATTTGCGCAATTGGCTGACTTCAATCGACGGTGGACAAATCCTCGGAACGGAGCGATGCCGACCCCAGCTCCAATCAGAAGCATAGGTCCATCGGTGACAAATTCACGGGCCAGAGGGTTGGCCATAAGGCCCCGGAACATGGGGACTCGCAAATCCAAATCACGAGGGTTTTTCCCCTCCTGCTCAGCCTGGATGACCTGCTTGGCCAGTCTCTCCAAAAATCCCGATCCGACGCCCGTTCGCTTGCCAGTAGCGTAGTCATCCGCTTCGTGGACCGTCACCGCAATTTCGATCAAACGCCGACATTGGGTACCGTCCCGCTGGCAAGATATGGTTGGATCCTGAGACAAGGAGTAGAATCGAGGCATGAGCTGGTTGAGGACAGACAGGATATGATCGAGGGGAGGTCTGGAGGAGGGGAAAGAGCTGAGAAGTTGTGGAAGAGTGATGTAAGGGCCTGTCCGGAGGTCGCAAAACGCTGCCTGGCCTTGAGCTGAAGACAAGTACATCAGAATGATCTTTTCGTTTTCGTCTTCTGCGTGCTCGGCTAAGAGCCGGAAGAGCCCTTTGGTGGGAGGATAGCTCTGAATGTCTGAACACCATGTTAGAAGCTCTCTTCGGGTGGTGACCAATTCTCGGGCCTCCTCTTCTCCCCAGATCGTGGGCCACCGTCCCGTGGTCGTCTTCAGTAGTATCGGCTTGTCGCGCACAAAACTTGGGACGCCCAGCAGATCAAAGATCTGGTCAACCATATCTGGCGGGTTGGGGGCGCACACGCCGATGGCACCTCCTACGACGAAATCAACATCTCCACTTTCCTTGGGATAATCAGTCACGTCAATGTCGAAGTGGTATGTCCTTTTCTCCGCACCAGGCTTCGTCAACTCGCGGGCGTGAAAGAGAGGTGCTGAAAATACCTCATAAGGCGGGTGCGGAGTGACGAAATTGGGAGGATGCTTCAGAACTTCTGGCTTTTGCTGTCTTTGGGGCTCTGCATAGGTCCGGGAGGGCGAACTCGACAAGGACTCGAACGACACTGTTTTGGGAGGTACCTCGACGATGCCCGAGAGTTCGCTGTCCAAGCTCAGATGGCCCAGGTTGATCTTCAAGCTCTGGTAGGCTGGGTTTTGAGGGATCTTGAGAGGGGTCTGACCTGGGCGGGGTCTCTTTGTTCTCAGCTCTTGCAGCATGCAGCAACCTCCGCCACAGCATGCCTTCTGAATCATGGCGGTAGAAGCACCCCTCTCACCCAGAAACAGCCGCGCATCTTCAGAATCTTGAGAGACCAATAGCGTTGAAGCCCGTCTCTTCTTGCCCTGCGGATTTTGACTGGGTTGGCCGTTCAAATCATCGAAGGGCACATCTGAAAGGTTCTCGGTGGTGGGCGTTGTGGGTTCTGTGTCTACGCTCGAGGCACTGTCGGAGTAGGAACTGGAGGGAACGGTTGAAAGCTGCGATGCGGAGATTGAGAGTTTTCTCGAAGTCATAGGTTCTTCGGGAACAGGATTATCAGGGTGTGAATGGGCCGTGAGAGGCAATGGGTGCCCCGAGGCCATGGTGGCTGACATCTTGGGACGGATAGGAATGGTGTGAAAAGCACCTAGAGACAGCGACAGGTCAGTATTTTGAAGACTTTCGTGGCGTGAAGGGGCATTCAGCTGTTGTATAATAATACAGCAGTCATGGACGGCAGTCAACTAAGGGATTTGACAGCATTATGGCATTGCTGAGTACGGCTGAAAGCGGGTTGTGTGGGCTGGTGGGCTGAGAACTCACGGGCAGCTGAGTGGATGATGTAAGGTGCGGAATCAGTCCTCGGGACAGCGGCGAAGGCCAGGAACAGCCCTCGACTAACAACGCGTCCAGACAGCTTGACTCGAAGGCTTTGTCGGAAGCAGTGGCGGCAGGACAGATTAGCGGGAGGGGCTGTTGAACATTTCAACAATAACGACTCGGGGAGCAATGGCTTGAATTCGAGGAAACGAGAGACGAGCACAAAAGTAGGATGATGATGTGGAAGAAGCTGAAGGGAAAAAAGGTGGTGGATGGAAATTGGGGGAACGGATGGGGAGTGGGAGATCTTTTGATGGGAATGAGAAGGGAAGGGTGTCTGTTGGCTGCTGGCTTCTGGCTTCCGGTTTCTGGTCCCTGGCGAGGGTTAAATCGGCACGTTGCAAAGGATGTACGAAAATGCTCACTAATTAAGTGGTTCCAGGTTCCTTATTGCAAGTAGAGTTGATTCGGCTCACTTGGCCTTTTCCGCGTGGGCACCGGTTTCTTTCTTTTCTTCTGCTTGGACCGAGTAAGACGATCAATAATGAGACAAAGTCACTCCACGACCAATTCAACTTTCCCCTTTCTACGCACTCCATACTCGATACCGGGAATCCGTTGGGATCTATGATTGCCACATTGGTACTCCTTCGTACGTTGCCAGGGACTTGTCCGATGAGTTGTCATGCCACGACTGCGCATTCCCGCGGCAGGCAAAAAAGGGTGGAAAAAGCCGATCTTTCGAACGTCAACCGTGCCCCGCGCCGATTCCCGGCTTGTCGACGACGGGTCAATCCTTTTCCACTAAACAGGCAATTGGGAACGGCTATCCCTTCGCAGTCAAGACCCTCTCCCGCCGTACTTCGTACCGACTAGTCGTTGCTTGCGACTTCGGGACTGGACGAACTTGCTGAACTTGTTATTACTGGATATCCGTCCGTGCTTTCTAGAGACTTCAAGTTGTCCCACATGCCATCCACAATCTGACAGGAGATTGATACGATAAGATATGATTAATTTCCATGAGTCTGATTATCGGGCTCCCTCGGCTGTCAACCGAGTCTGGGCATTGCCCTTGTACTCGGTACAGACTCTCTTTCTCCTGTCTGCAATCCACGAATGTGGAGTTCGTGGTGGTGCTGATGCGACCACAGGACAGGATGAAGGTCCCTATCGGCTCCGATCACGGCGACACCATGACCCAAATTCTGGTACCATCGACACTACAATGGCGTTCCCTTGTTCCCCGCCGCAGTGCGCGAAATGTGCCAGGTGGTCTCTGCCTAGCAGTACCTACCAGTACCAGTCTTCCAATTCATACTCTCCGCGTCATCTAATCTTATCTTCCCATCTCTTTGCGAACTATTGATCAGATAATTCGCGCAGGTGTTTACTACTGGCTTGGTCATCCTCCACTGACAATCCACCAAGAGGTACTATGCATGTGGACACTTGGATATAGTACAGCCTCGTGTGTCAGGATCTTTGTCATAAACGTCAGTCAATCAATCAGTCAACAATCTGTTACGGAGGACTCGGAAAAGGAGGATTCGCAAGTGCATACAGCATGGCTGAGTCAATTCCGACCGTTCCCCGATCCTTTTCAGAGGTTCAAGCACGTGGGCTAGGAGAGCTTGGTCTGCAGGGGAACGCGAGACGATGAGGGATCTTTTGTCTGCCGGACGTACCGAGTACACCATGCAGCATCCATACATATATGAATCGTAAGCTCCCTTCAGCATTTCTCACAGGTAAAGCTCGAAAAGCCGCCACACCGCTTTCGCCGCGACTTCCCTCATCAGAATGGTGCAGTAGGTGTCTATCAGGGCCTGCGCATATGCTCTGTAGCAACCCCATTGGACAACTCTTGGCCGTTCGAATTGTCTGACATACAAATATACCTCCAAAGCTAAAGGGCGGTGGGAAATGTCCGCAATGTGAAAGCAGCTGCAGGGAGTATATTGCACTGTAAAAAAGAATCTGACACTTGATGGCGGTGACTCGAGATCTGCAAATGCCCCTGTTGTCAGGTTATTTGAGAGGTGCAAGATGACATGCATGTCTTGTACCTACTGTATAAGCTGCTGGGGTTCTTGGTCAAAAACCGACCTCATGGGATCCATGGCCCAATGAACAGCTCCCTATACATCCTCCTGTGTATCGTAGTTGCAACCTCGAGACAGTTTTCCAAGATAAACAGTGCCTTACGGAAATGAGGAACAGCATAGTATCGATTCCGGGTGAAAAAGGTCCATTTCATACAATCAGTCAGTCAATTTGTGCCATTAGGACCGCCTGCCACCGGTTACCTGCATGAAATACCGACTCACTCCTCGCATGGACTAGGTACCTATTCGTTTGACGTAGGAAAATGATATTCCCCACCACAAACGGCCAATGCTTTCTCAACGAGTTATCCAACAATGCCAAAAAGGAGTGGACCGGCTGATGTTGAGTGCCCGAGATGCAGGAAAAGACAAATCCGTACTTTTCAGAGCCAGAGCTCTCCGCTGGCAAATCATTCTGCTGACCATCCCCAAAGCCACCCACTTTTCACCTTTCCACCTGCAAAAGTCCGCACGAGACTCATGGCTGGCTGCATCAGTCATTGGGTCCTAACGCCGCGCCTGGTCTGATTCATATTCAGCTGCCGATGCTTGTGACGCTCGCTCCCGGACCTGATGACGCAGCGCGGGGAGATGGCGTCTTCTGGCATTAATGAACCAGTTGCTGATCTAAACAAAAACGAAGGTCAGTCCCTGCTTCTCCACACATGGAGGAAAATAGTACCTGAGCAATAGTCAGACCCGTCGTTTGAGCAAACTGTTGCTTGTCCTCTTCCGTCGGATACGGATGTTCCAGGTGGGCCAGAAACCATTGTCGCAAATAGTCTGTAATAGGCTTTGGCAAGTTGCCCCTCCGCCTCCTGCCCGGAAGTCCACATCCTTCATTTGACACTGTTGGCGAGACAGGATGATGGGACCCTGTCGGCGAGGGAAGATAATCACCGGCATAAGGCGAGGGATATGTGACACCGCCACGATACTCATAAAGTGAGGGCGGATACCTTGAATACTCCATCTGCGGAGCATTGGGTCTGTTCGTCTGTGGATAACTCTGTCCATATCGGTGAGGTGGGTCATAATAAGAGGACGTTTCCGTCTTGAAATGGTAGCCCTCGTGACTCGGGGGAGGCCCTCCGGAGCCACCATATCCATATGAGCCTGTTGTTGAAAAGGAAGGGCTGTATGCATTCAACCGGTCGAAATCTCTAATTGACGGTAAACAGGGGCTCACCCTGGAAGGTGGGAATTGGGTCTGGATGGTGCACGGAGGACGCTCTTGGGTGCCATACGGACTGACGAGCTCAGTATATTGGGAAGGCGGATTCCAGGACGAGTTCTGCCTGTGGTGACGGGGAGCATTGTACGCCGAGTCGCTGCTTTGAGCAGACATATTGTCGAAAGACTCGACGCCGTTTCCATTCTGCGATCGTTCGGGCGATGGCGGCTCGATTTTTAACGGCCTGGATGATGGTTGGAAGGTTCTTCTTGTCATATTCTCCGCTTGAGCGACTGATCTAGATTCACTCGCTGTTATAGGGTCGACGGAGGGTTGTACGTTGGATCCCAGGAGCTGATAGGCGTTAGCAAAAGCTTGTCGAAGGGTGTTTCATCGGACCAACCTCTCGAAACGGCGGCAACTGTTGCTGCTGTTGTGAAAGAAGGAGTTTAGACTCGTCGATCGGAGGATTCGAGCGCTGTATTCTGGTTGCCCCAAAGTTAGAAGGACAGACATAAGAAGCGTAGGGATCCATGAGAGCAATCGAAGGAGAAATAAAATTTCATCGACACACGAGCGACCCTTGTGTTGAAGAATGAGGATATGTGGCAGTCGACAATGTCAGGCCAGGATATCCTGCTCTACATCCACGGGCTCATGTGCTACCAGAAGGCCATCAGAGGAGGACAACGAATGGACAGAGGTGGTGCATTACCGAAATGCCAACGCTGCAGACCTCAGAAGACCAGTGTCAAATGTATCCATGACAGCGATGACAGGGCCTTGTTGCGAAGCCTGAGTGGCATTGCTGCACAACGTAGGGAAATGACCTTCAAGACAATGTGGACATTGAGAACATACTGACCAGACAAGTAGGTTCAAGAGGATAGGGCAAGAAGCGAAACGACAGTAGCCCTCTTGTCGATGCGAAAGAAGATTAGCCTGAAGGCTGCCCACACTGCATGGAAGCCTTGGAGGAGTTGCAATCCGCGAGTGGAATGAAATGAGAATCGAGGTCGAGGGTTGAAAAGTGCTGGACCCTCTTCGAAATATAGCAGCAGCGTTTCTGTCCTGGGGACACCTGGGGCCTCTTGAGTGATCGGGTGTAGTGGCGGCGTGGTGGAGCAGAGATAACCGCTCTGAGAAAGGTGGTCTAGAGGCCGACCATGTGAATGGGTGTACAGTTCCCAGGTAGTGTCCATGGTGGAACAGTTAAGAGGGCAGCACGGACTGACCAGGGTCATGGAGCGTGGAAGTCTCCATTATGGATGTTCCCAATCCTGGTCCCAGCAAGATCGTTGTCGATCTGGCAGATGGAAAAGACGCACCGGGGTTTGATTGAGATGCAGACGGACTGGCTGCGGACGGTGTGATTTGCACATGGCGCACAAAGGACGAATCAAATTTCCGCACTCACCAAGAAGCAAAGGGTAAGTGATATCTGGTGGTGGCCTCGGAAGAGTCCACTTTGCCATATTCGACCAGAATGGTTCAATGGCCAGGACACTGTGGGAAGAGAGATAGGGCTGGCTGGCCCTGTGGACGGGAGTATGTGACGCACAGGAGGAGAAACGGCGCCGCAAGGGGGCTGAAGCGGGCGAAGGACGCACATGGTAGGGTGTGGTGGATTGAGAAGAGCATCTTGTTCGGGAGTATTGAGCTGAACAGGGGAAACCAAGCTGACCTTATTGGCCATATTCCTCCATGAGGTAAGGGAGGAGCAGTATCAGAGAGCAAAAGTGGGCGGGGCAGCAGTTGGGTGACAGGAGAGGCTGCTCAGGTTAGATGGTACTTGCTTGCTCCGTGTTGAGCGAAGGGTGAGCAGGGGGGAGGCATTGCAGCTGCCTGGTCGAGGAGAGGCGGGAGGCACTTTGAGACTCGGCCTACCAGCCTGATTGCGGTGTGTTCCCTTGCTCTTTTGTGAGGCTCAATCGTGGTGGACATGGTTTCCCTCTCTCTCGCTCTCTCTCGCTCTCTCTCGCTCTCTCTCGCTCTCTCTCGCTCTCTCAAGCAAGGGTGGTTGGATTGTCGACCATAGTAGGAGTGGTCTTTTCACACAATCTCGAGGTGCGTCTGCGGCTGGACATCGAAGGTCTCTTCCAGACATAGAGCTGTTGTTGCATTCACTCACCGATAGTGCAAGCAGTGTTCCTACCCAAGGCAAAGCCGTACAAGGCCAAGCACACGAGGCAAGGAAAGGGCGTGTAGGTGCGTGGTGAGGTCAGAAGTTGGACAGGGTTCCAGGATCTGAGAATTGGCGACTGGGTAACTGCTATTACTGGGTGCTTTTGGGTGGCTACCTACTGGGTGCCTACAGTACATAGGCGAAGTACCCTAATCCCATTTCATCCCCTCACCACCATGATTCCCAGTCGCCAGGTTCCCAGGTTCCCAGGTTCCCATGGTCGGCCATGATTCCATGAAGCGCCCTCAGTTTACACCTTTCGCTTATGAGCTAGTACTTCTCCTCCCCCACTCAAATATCTAGCTAGTGACTCCGTGCTGATACGAGCCTGGGGTTATTGCCATTACGTACCAACCAAGATCTGGTCCCCTTGTCCCCATATTCTTGCGTCCGTCTGCGTCCTCCGAAAGGACTCGATGACCAAAATAACATGCATCCTCATGGCTGCCGCGCTCTTGTCTCCTGTCGGTCCACCGGCAACCTCGCAGCTTGCAGCCCTCAGCTGTCCAGTGTCGGCTGTTTCGCCCTTCACCTTGCTTCCAGGCAACCATGTGGCAGCAACCCCAAGTTGAGGCGTCTTCCACCTTCCTCGCTCTGTTGCTCCCTCATGACCAAATCTCCCTGTTGTCCAAGCTCCTTCAATCGCTGACGGGTTGCATGCAGTTCCCAGTCGCGGGAAATGTCCATGTCGCCTCCCGTTTCTGACCACATTCCCGGGTCTCTCCCATCACTTTACCAGGGTCGCTATTGTCTTCCACCTCTCAGGAACAGCAGTTTTCCCGCCCGCGGGTGTTACGTTTCGCCGCCTCTGTGTCACGCTGCCGCTCTTTTGCCTAAGATTTCAATCAAGGATACCGCGCGATCTGCACCGAGATTTGGGACCATGCTTGGTGGTACATGCTCACGGCTGTGCGACTCGTTCATCTGCGCTTTGGGCCTCCCCCAGCTCGCTCGGAGCCTTCAACTCGGGAAGTCCGCTCAATGTCAAGCCATTTGAGCATCTGGGGGGGTGGGGCTGCCGTGTTCTCTCTAACAGAATATGACTCGTCAACCGTTTGAGCCTGGATCTATCTGACCGCTTCCCTCGTCTCCCCACTGCGAGCTGTCTCGCTCGAATCATGCACACGGCCTAACGGAACCACTTTCCACGCATGATACACGTCAAAAATGCAATCGCCAATAGCGTCGCAGCTATGGGCCTCTATTTTGGCCTGCTTCTCCCTCATGGAGCTGGGACTATGGGAATCGAGTGTGACCATGCCCGGTAGATCACTGGGGATAACTTGCCCCAGCTTGTTAAAGTATGTTCGAAATAGGCTCCTCGGGAACTTCAGTAGAGATGGGCTAAGATCTGGACCTCGCAGTGGCTGCCATACCGGGTGAAAGTGAATGTCGAACACGTGGCGTCGGTCAAACATGCATAGTTCACTCGGAGGGCATCGATGTCCCACGTCGACACCTTAAATGGCTGGCGTGCTGTCCAAGTTCCTAGGTCAGTTACCTCGCCCCGAGTTCCTCAAAACCGTTTGGAGATGCTTTGAGACCGTTGTCGGCTCCGGCCTTAAACTCAAGAGCGCAGACCAAAGAAGGGCCATGGTGTCGAGTAATTGGACAAAAGCTCTTTGCCTGCGTCTTGACAGCACCCCAGGAAAGTCTATTAGAGAGGAGCTGACTAGTAGGGTTCTTAATATGCCATGCTGATTTGCCCATTTTCCATTGCCACATTTCCTACCGCCCCCTCCCGGGCTAGGCCTCGGATTCCTTGCAGTACAATACGAACCTTCCGATACTGGAGCAACGCAAGGATCTCTGAGTCGGATTGATCGGTGAGCCTGCACCCTCCAGATATGATAATGATGCCCGGGACGCCCTTCCGAAGGTATAGCTGCTACTGGTGGGCAAGTGGTCTACTGTGCGGGCTACCATGTGCCGCTCATGCTTTTCATGGATTTATCGACGGCGGAAGATGACTATTCTAGCTAGGCCTTGCATGCTTCTACATTCATGAACTAGCAAAGTTTTGCTTGGTTGGCTCACGGTCAGTGCGTTTGAGGGCCACGGACTCAGTCATCTTGCGATTCCATGGCTGGTGACGGCGATCGACTGCATGCCGCAAAGTGAGGCTTTGCACTTGGCGATCTCGTTGACATGCAGCGAACGTGTCATTTTTCGGTCCCGCCAATAGCAAGAGATGCCGTGCGACACACAGCGCGCCACAGACCAATGTCAACAGGCGGACTCCAGGATCACGGCTCATAGCCCGCGCCAGGATGGATGTTTGAACTTCGTGTTAAGGCGCAACAGAGGTATCCACACCCGAGGGAGGTGTTATGATCCGCAACCAGCCGCCTGTTCAGTGGAATCCAAAAAAATAGACATGGCTGGCATGTTAGCAGACCCTGTCTCTCGAGGTAGGTGGATGCAAGTAATGCAACATTGCACTATGTCCTGTTGCCTGCCTTGGTCAAGCTAACTTGCAAAGATGGAGAACGGCCAACTTTGTTGAAAAGCAACGGATCGTTGTGTAGCTCTCTCACAGGCTCACGGCGCTGACCATGCGCTTGTCCACCTCCCGTACCACGCGAGTTTGACTGAATGCTTCTGCATGTTGCTTTGGAACTTGTCAGTCAATCATGCTGTTGATGCACGATTTAGGGACCTTGCCGCTCCCATTGTCGTGTTGCTTCGGATGACAGGTGATTGATATCTCCGCTACCTTTTGAACTCTTGGAATTTTCGGGGGTTTCGCAGAACTTCCGAGACATGAGAGGACCGCTTGCAGGGGGCCAGCTAGCTCTGTCCCCTCGTTTGCTCAGGGAAGAATTGTCGTCGGTTAGAGGATCGGGTCAAAGCTTTTGTGTTCTTTCCTCTTTCCAACCTCCCATCCGCGGCTGGTTTTGGGTTTTCGAACGAACGGGTGGACCAGCTGGTGTAATCAATCACGGAGACACTCACTAGGTACGCATGCGTCTACCTTCCTAGACAGGTACTAGGCATGTACAGGTACATTTGTTCCGTTGGTCAGGGCCTGTGACTCCAGCCGCTGGCATGACTTGTATCCTCGTACCATGTACCGAGTACGGGGTACTCCTTCCACCCTTCCGTCGACAAAACATCGACATAGGTAAGGACATACATAGGCACAAAGCAAGAGATACATGTTTACTAAGACATTACGAGGTCAGTAATAGCGACACTCGCTTCCTCTCTGCATGTCGGAACACACAGTCCCGTCCCTTCATCGAAAGAGACGACAACCACAAGACGGGAACGGGCAAAGCCACCCCGGTGAAGAAGGACTGCGTTTGAACGCATCTGTGCATATTCTCATATGTGCATATATACAAATCATCCGGGTTTGGCGCATTTGTCTCTTCTCGGGCCGTTCCCATAAGCTCCAGAATGAATAGTCCTTGTTTACCGGGCCTACCTCAGCCTCGATACATTCGATTCGTTATCTTGAGGGCTTCTCTTTCCCTGCGCTGTAATACTTCCTGGTCCTGCTGACCCTCCTCACTGTCTACCATTGATGACTCGTCGTGGTGAGGATTGGCCCTCCGCTGTGCCCTGGGCTTCGGCGTCCAAACCGGCATGTCTGGCGGCTCAGATTTGATGAACATGATTTTCTTCAACAGGTCTGGGTTTGGGTCTGGGTCTGGGTCTGCTGGTTGCTCGACACCCGGAAAGTGATTGTCTCCTTCACCATCATCATGTATAGCCATAGCTTCTAATTCGGCAGTCAATCGCTTTTCCGCATCTTCATCAACCTTGGCCCAAGACGTGACCTGCTCTTGCCGCGCCTGACGAAAGGTCTCTTTCCACAGCAATTGCTTTGCAACATCCTCGCCTTCTACGTGTTCGACTTGCGACACGATCCACTTCAAGAGTGTCGCCGGCGTACCTTTGTCACCGTGTCGTGCGACGCCGACGTGCCACAAGGCTCGAGTGACCGCTGGTGGGACGGGTGCTCCGTAGTATCGTAGAAATCGATAGCACCAGTAGACTCTGCGGAGTGCAGCTCGCGGAGTAGCGACCGGCGAGGTTGCGAATGAGAGGGCAAGATAGCCGATCAAGTCGATGACTTCGTCCCTGCTGGGTAAGCTCGCCTTGCTCCTCGACAAACGTTCCGGTCCTGACGATGTGACTGTCTCAACCTCCGTCGGAGCGCCGGGATTCGCAAACATGGCGGTGGGGTTTTGCCTCGCGCTTTTTTGAGCAGGCGCTGCTGGCCTTGGAGAGAAAAGGTGGGGTGTCCTTAGAGCCAACTTGAAATGTGGGCTGGTCTCCAAGAGATGGCAGATAAAACCAAACGAAGCGGTGCTTTTCTGGATCATCCGCCGTGACAAAATCTTGAAGGCCGAAAGATCATAGTTTGAACTCTTGATCAGCTTCGCCAAGGCCTCGTTGCCTTCCAAGTGAGCATGTTGAGTGTGCTTGTCGAACAAGCTGGGAGATATGCCGGGCTTCAGTGTCGACTGCGGATCAGATTTGGCGTCCAATGCAGCAAGCAGCGCCTCCGCTCTAGTCGACAATCTCATTAGATTTCGAAGGAGGATATATTTGTTCGGTAGATTCGTATAATCAAGATCGATGACAGCGCGATCCAGGAAATCCTCAGAAAATTCCGGTATTGACCGAAGCAGTTCTTCGAAGCGACGAAGAAACTGCAGTCGCTCTTCCACGTTCATGGATTTCCGAGAGCCTTGAGAGAGATACATCGCAGTCCAGGCAAATGCCAACAGACGTTGGTCTTGTCGTAGACAGCTTTCCGTGGATTGCGCAGAAATCCATCCGTTCTGTGTCAGGGAAACATCGAAACCTGGAGATCCGAGAACGGCCAACGTGCCGCACCAGTGGTGCCATAGGTACCTGTACAGCCTTCTTCCGGACAACATCGATATATCCAGCAACTTCTCCGTTATATCGGTTAAAGCGAGCTGTAAAACCTCTGGGTTGACCACTGAAAGCCTTTCTGCAAGCATTCGCCCAACCTCCTCCGGAGAATTGTTTGAACAGGAATCTTCGAGCTGTTTCAAAGTGATTCGACGAATAACGTGAACGTGAGACTTCAGTGCCCATGGGAGGAGACGCCACAACAGCTTTTGGCACCAACCACGGTACCACTTCAGTGTGGCAAACTTCGAGAAGAGTCCGGCCAGGAAGGGCGATCCAAGGTCGGCAATCTGCATAACTGTGGAGCGATCGAGAGACTCCAGCATTCCAGAGACCAGGTACATTTGTGCATTGGCCTTAACCCTCTTTTTCTGACCGCGGGCGTCGGTCAGCTGAACTTCGGTCAGGCCGACCAATTCGGCAATGACTTCCTTCAGGTCGTTAACGCTGAGAAGCCCGAGTTCAGTGGCAGAGCAAAGCGCATCATGCAAGGTTCCCCATGAGGTTGCGTCCCAAGTACGACCGAGTAAACCGCGGACTAATTGCAGGATGGATGACGTCCCCGATGGATGAAATATCGGGTCGCCTATGTACGATGCGATCTCATGTATCGGGAAGTCCATCTGCAGGATATGTCTTGGTATTGCAGCTCGAACATGAGCATTTTCACGTAGGTCGACTCCTTCATCCTGAATCCAGCCCTTCACTTCGATTAGAGTTTTGCACTGTGACAACCGCAGCGTCTCACTTTCAAGCGCTGATCTCGGTTCTAGCGATGCTCTTTCTGTCTCGATTGCGACGGAGGTGGGCTTGGCTTGGGCGACCGAACTTTCAAAGGGGAAAATCCATGATGGCAGGACTCGAGGAGAAGCTAAGATTCCGACAGTAAGCACGGGTTACTTGAGCACTTTTCTTTGTGCGGCGCATACCTGAGTCTGCTGCTTCTGCGCGCTGGAAAGACTGCCACCAAGCTAGCTTGTTGGCAGAGCTCCCCAGGACAATTGAAGGATCAGCCGAGATGCCTCCAGAGCTGGTATACGCCAGACTTGTATTCTTGCGTCTCGCGGCGCGCCGTTGTGCCTCCAGCGGCCCTGGCACGCTGCTGCCATACCGCTTGTGGTGACAGAACCGATTGAAGGTGTCTGTCACGAGGACGTCGGAGATCCACACGAATCTTGGAGTTTGGGACGAAATGCAGCTGGCTGCGGAGAGACCTCTAGTCATAACATTAGGGCGATGAGGAAGGTAGTGCAGCGCGCAGCTGAAGAGGTGAAGCGTCAGCGGCAACGGCGGTGGTGATTGAGAGACTATGTCAATTATTGAACATTGATCAAAGCTGCGACAAGGTCAATGAGGCTTGTCGACCCGACTAGGAAAAGAGTTACTACTACGAAGCGTACTATGCTGCGCCGTAGGGTAAAGCTCCGCGAATGTCCCACTCTCAAGATTTGCGGCCAGTACGGTAAGGAGTAGCTTAGGACTCTCCAAGGCACAGGGCATATGGAAATGGATAACACTTTGCATTTGCTGCTGACAATACTTGATTGCTCATAACCACCCATTCTGAACACCATTTTCCCAATCCATCCAGCCACCAGATAGTCCATCTCCCTGATAACCCCCCAGTCATACTCCAGAAATGTGCTTGTCTAATATCAATAGTTCTATCCCCTGGGTATCTCTGTGTTTTGCGGTAGTCCCGTATTCCTGGTCAATCTATGCTGGTGGTGATCCGTCCCTACATGTCAGTAGACTCGTTTCTCTGTCATTAATTAGTGCGATAATGTCCATGCAATACTTCCCTGGCCTCAAAATTCACTCTATTTTCTCTGTCAAGAACACTTCACGTCCCCGAATCCTGAAAGGTGTTGCAGCTGGCGCAGACGTTGTAAGCACCACAGTCGAGTTATCGGCGACTGATTGTGTCGCTGTCACGAATGCGCTCGGAACGTTCGTTGTTGTGGCATCCACGGTTGAGGAGGTGGCTGCTGGTGGCTGACACCCCTCAATCGTAAAATCTGCGTAAAGAGAACAAGGAAATCCGTAAGCCACGGCCACAGTTGTCGAGATAGCGATACTCCCACTACCGCTAGTATTGGTAGCAGCGGGGGTAACCACTGTCGTGAAAGTGGTGTTGGGATAGGGTACGAATTCCGAAAACGCTGGGGATGTATTGGTAGGAAATGGGGTGCCCGGTATCGTCAACGTGGTGTTTGCAGATACAAATTGCGAGAATGCGGAGGGTGTGTGGGTGGGAGAGGGAGTGTAAATTGCCGTCAAAGTGGTGTTTGGTGAGGTTATGAATTGTGAAAACGCTGAAGGTGTATTGGTAGGAGTGGGAATGCCGATTGTCATGGAAGTGGTGTCTGAGGAGGATACGAATTGCGAGAACGCTGGGGGTGTATTTGTAGGAGCCACAGTCGCATACAAGGTAATGGTGGTCATACCCTCTGTGGTCGGGCTTGTGTCTTGCTTGGGGGAGGAATCGGTGTATATAATTGATTCGCTAGACGCCACTGCCTCCATGCTTGAGTCTGTGGCCGTAGGCGTTGATGCGACACCAGACGTGCTGCTCACAGCGACGAAATTTGCCGGAATATCGTTAGGTCCTGTCACTGTAATAGTAACCCACTCGGTGACGGTGGTAGTCACTAGCCCGCTTCCTGATTCCATAGTTGAAGTGAACTGATCGAAGGATGTTACCGTAGCTGGCATCGGAGGTAGGTCAGAGGATGACAGTTCAATAGAGGAGGAAACGCTTGAAGCTACTGCGTCGATTGGAGTTGGGCTCGGGGTAGTAAACGTATCCGTCGTGACTGGCACGGTGGATTCAGTTTCGGTGCTCGTTGCCGCGGCATCCAAAGAAGAGGCAATTGCAGAAGATGTAGCATTGGAGAACGCAGTAGATGTAGCGTTGAAGACCGCAGTAGATGTGGCGTTTAAGATTGATGTTTGGTTCGCCGCGTCGAGTGTGTGGGAGTCAAGAGGACAGACGACTGAATCAGCCATGGCGGGACCAGACGTGATCGGGTTGCAGCCAGGCAAAGCAGAAAGCATGCCGTGAACAGGCTCATCGAATACGGATGGCTGTTCAAGACAGTCGCGTGGAAAGTTGGTATCGTCGCTTGGAGAGAGGTGAGAGCATGCGCTCACCACCCCGCCATTATCTGTGTAGAGACAATCCTGAACAGCAGCAGTCTGTATGTCCATATCCCAACCGTTCAGGAAATCGCCGTGGAAACCGTAGCCAGTGGTATCGCCGTTGGAGAAGACAAACTGGCCACCAGCTGATTGGTCGACCGAGTTTGTCATGTAAAGAACCCTGGTTGAGGTAAGCTTGGGGCGGTTCCAGCTAAAGTATAGTACTCACTCGAAGAACAGGCCAGGAATAGGAACCGGATGAGAAGGAGGGCAGACGCCGTAGTCAATGCCTGACAAGTAATCGACGTGGGCATTGTTGTCGAGATAAAGATTCACTCCATCCCAGCAGGACTGAAAGTTGACCTGAGCTCGCATGCCATTGACACAGTCGGTACGGAACATGTAGTGTTGTTCTGGAATATCGTTAGCCTCGTCTATGCAGTGAAAACTTACCCTGTTAAGAAGTTAGCAGCTGAATCTTTGGGGTCATGGAGGGAAATGCATACCTATCGGCCACAGGCCTGGTATTCAAGTATGTCAAGGTTGTATTGTCGTAAGATCGTTGTCGAGTGTCGCCCGTGATCATCTTGAATCCAGCCGGAAATGGTACCGTGTTAGAAGAATTTCCTCCGCGGCCTCATTGAACAGTCAGTAATTGTATAAGGCAGATACGTCCATCACATACCAACGTAATACACCGTCATTCCGTAGTTGGGTACCTCTTCGAACGAGCCGTTTGCGTGAGCGTAGTAAAGTTGTGGGGTCCAGTAGGCTGATTTGTCCTGCTGGACTTCGCATGTCGAACAGTTCGAAGTTTGTAGCGAGTTGAAATCGGAATATTGGTTGACATCTAAGAGATCAGCGCAATGGTCGAACCCTGGTGCTCTTTGCACTGACTGCTGCCGCCTGCGAACTTGTGCACATGTCCAGACACCTCGCCTGGGTTAAGTATGAGGTCCACCCGAGCTGTCTGAGAAACGCTGCAGGCCATGCGCCAGTAGGCATGTGAGAGGCTCGGAAGCAACGCGAGCGACCATAGAGACTGAGATAAATCCAAAGACTTCATAGTGAGGGGAGAGCGATGAGATGAGCGGGGATTTAGACGTTGAGTCAAACGGGCAGAGGATTGGGGGGTTTGTCAACGCAGCAGAGGCAGCAGCGTCCATATACAATGAGAGAAGAGCTTCTGATATCTCCGTAAACAAGCAATGACGACGACGTCTGCCAGCACGCTTCACGCCGTAGGCATCGAGACCAGCAACAGACCTTACCCAGTGGGGAAACAGCCCCAGGACATTCACGAGGGCCCTCGCCCTCGAACTCTAATTCCAAAACAACCTAACCGACACAAGCAAATGCAGCAGCGGTTGTACGTAGATACAGCCTGGATTCTTCATTTGTCGTTGACAGGCTTGTTCTTTTGGGGTATGGTTGCGCGGTAAGCAGTAATAATCCCCGGCATCTCCAAAAGTTTGAGTTCTGTACCCGTAATGACGTTGACGACAATACCAGAGCTTTTTTGAAGCATACAAGAGATCATGAACAGAGTGGGCGCGAAGGATCGACGCGTCAGGATGGAGTGCTCGTGCCCATCTTTCAAGTGTTTCTTTCACATAAATTGACAGACCTCGATTTGGCCGTTCGAGCCAGTGAGACATTCTGGTTTGGAGCTGCTGCCGGTAACAGGTTTTCGACAAAGGCCAGAGGCCATATGTGTACACAGAATCTTGTTTGAGCAATGGAAGCAACCAAGGATGGGCAGCTAGCGCTGCCTATGGATCGGGCCCTTTTCTCCTCGTGCTCGCGTGCAGCTTGCGATGTGGAGTGCGGATATCGATGCTGAAGGAGGACTAGTCGCAGGAATTGCTCAGTCGCTGGGGCAACAGTCGTCAAGTTTCGTCTTCTCTGGAAGACAAGCAAGATTTTGTTGACGGCGTCGAAGAAAACACTTGAAGTGGCGTTGGACTAAGGCCGGCGGCCATCAGATGAACCATCGTGAAGTTTAAACCTTGATGCAATATCCGCTCCATGATTGGCTACAAGCAGCTCAACCAATTTCCCCAGATCTTGGCTAAAGGGGGCCAGAAGGGGGTTGTCTCAAAGCCCGCGTGATTTTGGCGAACTGTCGCCATTGCGATCGACTTGTGGGAAGCGAAAGGGTCCAATCTTCGGCAATCAGGTGAACTGTTACTAGGGTCGGGGGCTGGAGATGTTGTAACGACGTCAAGGTAAATAACCCTTGGCCGGAGGTATAAATAGTATTATTGGAACCCATTCTCTATCATCCAGACCTGCGCAGACTGACGTGGAAGGCGTCTGCTTCTCCCAGGAAGAGCTGGTCTTAAGGTCGGCTCCATCGCCTCGATAAGTGCAGGATTACCAGGGCTGTCCTTCGAACATTCAGGGGCCTCCTTTGCCGGCAGCCAAAGATGCCAGAGGAACCTAAGTGCCTGATCTGCAGGAGCGTTGTCGCATGGAAGCGTTTGCAGGACTGGTGTGGACATCAGTCCACATCCAGGGGTATGGTAGCGCACAATTCTCACCCCAACCGCGTGCACGCATGTCCGCTGCAGGGAGTCTTAGTCGTGAAGAGTTTTTCAAGGTTGAGAACCGAATCGTCTAACGCCGGTTTCTGCTCTTCGCTTGCTTCTTCTGCTAACCCGAATTATTTCACCGCAGTGACCGATGCTCGACAGGCACTCGCTAAGTTGGAGATAGGACTTACGTGCGCTGTTCACTCTTCTAGTCCTTCTTGGGGCTATGGAGTAGTAAGGTCTTCACTGACAGCAGGTGGTCCATCCTCGAAGGTCATCAGGTTGACTAAATTTATAGCCATAGCGTCGAAATGCTCGCTGTCAACCAGGTCTTTGTAATGTTTAATGGCCCAAGTTTGTCAGAGGACTAGCGACTTGGGCGCAGGCTGCGGCCCAATTGCATAGAATCGTAGACTTGATTTTCACCGTGCCTTGCTGACAATCACGATGAGGATACTTGGATGTTCGTGCTGGGTGTCCCCGTTCAAGATCTGACCAATGGTAGCGCCGTGAGAAACATACCTACTCCATAGCCACGAATAAACCCTTTCCGTTGATTCACCGTGTCAAAAACCTTCTGGAGAAACCGGGCAGGCAGGCAGCCAGGTTCTTTGAGGTGTTGTCCAAACATGAGAGCTAGAATTGCGCGGTTTTCGTTGCGGTTGTCTGTCCAAGGGCTGTGTCGATGGATACTCGACCTTAGGTCTAAGAAACACGACCTTTTTCAGAGCGGTAAGACGAACAAGGACGTCTGTAACCTATTGTTTCCCGAAGCACGCCGAAGCTGACTAAAGGTTTTGTTGAGGGTACATGTGCGAATATACGTGTATTATCAAGTGGAGGGCGAAAGAACATCTAAAGCGGCCGGTTTGCATTGGCCCTGCTCACCGTGTGTTAGCATGTCTTAGGGAAGACTTGTGGGACTCCTAGGGCTAAGCGACCGATATCCTAAATACGAAAAGCAGCTCTGCGAAAAGTAAAAGTGAGCTCCGGGCCGTCGAGGATGATATGGACGTGATACTGCAACAGCACCCTAGCCACAGGCTCCCTGCTCAGACAACCCTTCCAGTCCTCGTCAAACCCCAGACTTACACGCTGCAGCATTGGGCCCAAGTCCATTGCGCTCATCAACGCGTCTTTCGATCATTCTGTGGACTTGGTGTTTCTCGGCAAAGTCTTCACCGCCGCGGTGATTCGTTTCCTGGTCCTGGTCGTTGCTAGCCTGTCAAAGTCGCTGAGTCAGCCCTCCCTAAACCTTGAGCGGCGTTCGGTGCCCACAACACAACAGCACAGCCAAACAGTCAATGGCCGAGATAGTGGCGAGTCAGCATTGCCGCTTATACGACGCTTGAAGTTGGGGTGAAGCGAGAACTAGTTCGACGGGTCAGAGGGAATAATGCGCAGGATGTCGCCAATGAGTCGCGAAAGGAGGCCAGTTCCGCTGTGCTGAGGCCAAGGCAGATGCACGTGCCACCCGTGCCACTCAGATCCCTCGGCGCCACTAACGTCGGGACCTCCTCGTATCGACCTCATCGACTTCTCCCGACATCTTACCTCTACATCTGAAAACTGTCTCAACTCCCATCGCCTGACACCTGTCTCTCGTAGGGTGAGTCCTTCTATCGACGTCGCGGATTATTCGAGTCCCAGCGACTTGTAACCGAGCACGAGATCAAACGCGCTTTGCATTGGCCATCTTCCCGTCTTACCCCGCCGATACCTGGGCAGATCTCGAGGTGTCAAGGCGGTTTATATCACGTTGCGGCCGAAATTTACCGTTTTCGTTCATACCGTCGACCATAACGCTGCGCGACATGGACATCCCACTTTCTTCCGAGGGCCGCGGCGCTGCTGATGAGAAGCAAAAATCCGCCAGTCAAAATAGGGTGCGCCGACGAAATCGGATGATCACGTCGTGTCTGGAATGTCGCCGGAGAAAGCTCAAATGTGATAAGCTGCATCCTTGTACTAACTGCAGCAAGTTCTCGCGCGACTGTCTCTTCCTAGCGCCGGCTCTAGATTCGGTCTCCCAGCAACGCCTCAATGAGATCAAGGAAAAGATGGGATCACTGGAACGAGTGCTTGAGCAGGACGTCGCGCGTAAGGAGGGAAGGACTGCCACAGCCTCGCCTCAAAAATCCCAACGAAGAACTTCAGCCGACCTGCCTGGAGGCGAGGACAGCAGTTCTGACAACGAAGCCACCGTCCCTGAAGACGAAAAAGGGCTTGAACCGACCCCGCTGGCAGTCATCGATGCTGCGTACGAGGACGATGCTAATGATGATGTCCTGGACCTGGGGATTGCAATTGGGAAAATGCGGTAAGTTTCCCTCTGCAACCTAACCATCGAGGCATCGGAAAAACTGACCAACGTCAAGATTAACGGAGCGACTGGGTGGCTTCTTCCGACCCAGACTCCATGAAGAGGTAGGTGCAACACTAGCGTGCACATTTCCCTGAGATTGACGTGCGCTTCAGATGGACATCACTCTCTCAGAACCCACCAATGATCGTCGCACACCAGACGAGAAGCTCTCCGCCATGCCTCAACTCCCAGATCATGTTACTGACTTCCTAGCACCCGGACCTTCGTACATTGCCCCAGGATCCGGATTCTTGTTTGGGGATGTCGGCAGTAAGAGGTCCCTTATCAATTTCTTGCCGGCAAAAGGTGCGGCCGACATTTTGGTGCGCAACTATTTTGATAACGTGCATTTCATTGCTCGTGTTGTCCACTGGCCCAGCTTCCAGCTGCATTATGACAATTTCTGGACTGCAGTGCTTGCCGGTCTCGAACCACCTCCGTGGCAACAATCTATTGTCCTCTCGGTTCTGTTCTCGGCTGTGGCAAGCATGCCAGAGTCAGACGTCACGGCTATTTTCGCTAGGCCCAAGGCCACCATACTCGGTAACTTCCAGACTGGCACTGAGGTGGCCTTGAGTAAAGCGCAAGTCCTGAGGGCGACAAAGATTGAGACATTACAGTCTCTTGTGATCTACCTTATCCCCATGTGTCGAGACCAACTTTCTCGAGCCCACTCGGTAATAGTTGGCATGGCGGTTCGCCTTGCGGAATGCATGGGGCTACATCGTGACCCGGAGACAGTCTATGGCCTATCCCCCGTGGAGTGCCATGTCCGCCGCATTGTCTGGTTCCAACTTTGCTTCCTGGATTTCCGCACATGCGAGTCTCAAGGGCCGCGACCGGGCATTAAGCGAGAGGACTACGACACGAAGTTTCCACTCAACATCAACGATGCTGAGCTCCTCTTGGCGAGGCCACAAGAGGAGAAGGACAAGTGGACAGACATGACCATGTCACGAATACACTTTGAATGTACAGAAATGCAACGAGTTATATGGTACGATCGTATTCGCATCGAAAAGAAACGGGCGTCATTGACCCACGTCTTGAGCAAAGTGGAATCATTCCGCAAAGCCATGGCGGCTAAGTACAATCCAATCTTGGATATTGAAGTGCCTATTCAGAAATACGCACAATTGTTGATGAACCTTATGGTTCAGCGGATGTATGTCATGGTGCTGCATCGGTACTTGAACAATGCAAGCAACAAAGTGCCTGAGAGGCTTGCAAATCTCACTATACAGAGCGGTCTGCTCGCTATGGAGAATGCGGTCGCAATGGAACGAATACCAGAGCTTAGGAGATGGAAATGGTACAACGGAGCCTACCAGCAATGGCACATCGCCTTCTTGCTACTGTCGGTGATTTATCAACAGCCGACACTTCGAGATGCCGAACGTATATGGAATGTGATCGACTTTGTTTTTGAGCCAGATCTCTCACTGTCTCGGACTCAACGAGCCAGGACAATTATTGCAGCAGTTAGGGATCGAACGGCCGTATATCGAGACTTACGCAGGATTCGCATTCCAGTGAGCATGAAGGACGGCCTGGACAGACCCCGTCAGAGCTCTGAACCATCGACGAAGGACAATGGTCAAACCGAGACGTCCAACTCGTCGCATCTATCGGCTATCACGGCAACGTCAGCTCCGAATGCAGGGAGCTTCTCGGCCGACCAGTCCTGGAGTTTTGATACTCCGGCAACAATGTATGTTGACGCGAAATACCTGCCGCCCGCAGCTGCTGGCCATCTCACACAGTTCGCGTCCTCACAGTTTTCACCACCACCTTCTGCAAGACAACAATCGCCTCTGATATCGCAAGCACAGCCAAAGTCACAAGCGCAGTCGCAGCAAACACCACCTCGGACAGACGCAAATCAGGCTTCGCCAGGTCAGCAGATTGACTTTAACAGTCCCAGCGACTCGGGCACAAATGATTCCTGGCCCCCCCTGATCACGACGGATCAAGTCAGCTGGCGGACAGTCTTGGGGCCAGGTCCACAGGCATCGCCGCCCGCGCAAGCCATCCAATCTCTTCCTGGAATACCAAGGCAACCGTCCTCCGGGGGTGGCAGTCCCTTTGGGATCAACTCGGGCTTTCCAAGTGATCAGATCAACATCCCACAGTTCCAGAATAGCAACCGACATGATTCTGTCATGCTTGACATTGACTGGGTAAGTGCGCCTGCCTTCCATCTGCAGATTGATACCTGTAAGTGCAGTGCTGACAAGGACGTTTTCTCTACAGGCCGAATGGGATCAACTCTTCCCACCGGACAGCAATAATGCCGTTCTTGGGCCAGCACATCATTTTGGAATGGGAATGTCCTCGTAGTCGTGGATGTGGTTAAAGGGCTCCTGGGACTTAGTTAGGTACTACTTGATTTATATATGGACACAGACCGACAGACGCGGCAAAAGGTGTGGTCGTCGAGGTCGTGTCTATCCTCAAAGAGGAATATTGTTTCGGCTGCTGGTTGGCTGAGTCACTGATTGAGATAGTGTGGCACTGGATGAATAAGCATCCGCTAGCCGCGGTCAAGCTTTTGGTGTTCATGATGTCACTGGCCCACGCCCGGCATTCCCGGCTCTCACGAACCTGATTCGGAATAGTTTCGCCTGGTCGTCGGGGCCGCAAATAGGCGGTGATGATGTATGCCCCGTTCCTTCACATGCCTGACTCGCCCAGTCGCATCAAATGCACTGCTGGAGTCCCTGGCATCTCGCAGTCGTCGACATCCGGATCTGCGCAGTGAGCACAAGCTCTTACGGCTTTTGCGGCAGGTGCGGCTACCCATGAGCCATATTGAGAGAGCTTGCTTCCCTTATTTACTTCTGTCCCTTTCCTGAGCTTCCCCGAGCTCTCGTTTTCCTTGCTGGCAGCTTGATTCCTTACTCACAACTCGCAGCAACTAGTCAAGTGACGAATCTTGAACCTCCTCTCCTCGTCCATTTCTCTTGTGTTGAGCTTTCTAATTTGCTGTCAAAGTGTCGCTTTGTCTTCATCGTTGACTTGGGTGCACGTGCTCTGTGGTAAAACCAGGACCTCCGGCCGCCTGAAGAAGATCGTTGCTTAGTGTCTAAGGACTGTCATCCTTCCCCTCTCTCTCTCTTCTCACGTACGAAACCCGCTTTGATTGTCCGCAATGGCGACGCAAACAACCCTGAAGCCGCCCTCTGCGGAGGTGCTCAAGAGCTATCCACTGGGAAAGATCGAGCCGTATTCGGTATGTATTTTCTTCCTCGAGTAACCTTTGTGAGACGCCTATTCGCAGCATCAGACACCAGTCGAAGTCAAGTGGTATAGCATGCAGTCTCCGAGTCTGACATCTGAGACGTCTGCCAATTCCATATCTATGTTGCCTTTGCCTACTTTGCGATAGAAGAAACTAACGGGTCCCTTACCAGACAAAATATTTTGCTGCGTGCATGCTAGGCGGTGTTGTAGCATGCGGACCTACACACACACTTGTCACACCTCTCGATTTAGTCAAGACCCGCCGTCAAGTCGATCCGAAGATCTATAAATCAAACCTGCAGGGATGGAGTTCGATTTACGCAAAAGAAGGCATTCGTGGGGTTTTCTTTGGCTGGACGCCGACTTTCGTCGGCTACTCCTTCCAGGGTCTTGGGAAATACGGCTTCTACGAAATCTTCAAGCACCTGTACGGAGACAACATGTTCCCCAACAGCAATCGCACGCTAGTTTACCTAGGTGCCAGCGCCTCAGCAGAATTCATTGCAGACATCTTCTTGTGTCCATTCGAAGCCATCAAAGTCCGAATGCAGACCACACTGCCTCCATACGCAAGCAACTTGCGGGAGGGGTGGACCAAAATCGTCGACAAGGAGGGCATTGCAGGGCTGTACAAGGGTCTTTACCCCCTCTGGGCCCGTCAAATCCCGTACACTATGTGCAAGTTTGCAACCTTTGAAGAGACGGTGAAGCTCATCTACCGACAACTCGGCAAGCCCAAGGAGAGCTACAACAGTCTACAGCAGACAGGCGTGAGCTTCCTGGGTGGTTATATTGCCGGTATTGCCTGCGCCATTGTCAGTCACCCTGCCGACGTCATGGTCAGCAAGTTGAACTCGGATCGTCAAGGTATGTCCTGCCAGCTCCCTGTCTCCCTGTGAAAATGTACTCACACATTCTAGCTGGCGAATCTGCCGGTAAAGCCATCAGCCGGATCTATGGCAATATCGGATTCTCGGGTCTCTGGAACGGTCTACCAGTCAGAATCGTCATGATTGGAACGTTGACTGGATTCCAATGGCTGATGTACGTTTCCTCCAAGTTTCCAGGATGATCCTACACCGACCCCGTTGAGGACTATAAAAAATGGTTGGTCAAGAAAGAGACATGCTAACTTCTCTACAGCTACGATTCCTTCAAGGTCTGGCTCGGTCTCCCAACCACTGGCGGTCACTAGATCATCAAATATGGGGTCTTTCGAGGACGACATTGCATACCCTAATCAGTGATGCAAGAACGATGTTAGTATATTCGGTTCCGCAACCGTAAGCGGGACGCCTCCGAGCAATGTTCACCAACAAACAGCGACCAGAATACTCCTCGACGAAACGATATTATGACGATGCGCATACGTTTCTAGCCTCGAGCACATATCTACCTTTCTTGAGAAGCCTTTTCCGAACAACCCTATATATAATGTGCAGGAATAACTCAGGGGTCCATGAGAGATTGAGAAAACAATTTTCTCTCGAGCTAGACCGAGACGAACCCCCTCAGGCAAAGTCCCAACTCCCTCTCGACAAGGCTGTCCTGGGATACCACTTCCCACGTCTTTCCGAGTTTACATTCTAAATTTTCTCGACGGTGAGAAGCCCGAGGTCTCAAATGCATTTGTGCCCGGGGAGGGAGGATATGGTGCTCTGATACGGGATATTGCGGCACAACAAAGACTCTACACGGCACGCAGACCACGACATGACCATTTGCTTTCTGGTTTCGTGATTTCTGTGAGGGAAAAGTCAGCCTACATTAGATCCACTGTACAATTTCGGGGTAGTTCTCGTTGTCGTGTCTGGCTCGAAGCAGGGATTGGGGCACATTTGCGGATCAGGTTGGCTCCTGTTATATTCTTCCATCGGAGGGAATTGGTTGACTGCCTAGGTAGATAGACACGTATGGAAAACAGAGATAGATCTGGTAATTCGCACTGGCACATTTTACGTAGGACCACGTACCAAGTGTGTCTACCGAGTGCGTCTACCGAGCGTGTGTACAGCACCTGCGATTGTACTACTCTATACCGAGTACGTGTGAACGTTCCGATAGTATCATAGTGCGAGCAATCACGGACCACCGTACCAATTCAACAGGAGGGACGGAAGGAAGTACAGACGATCCTCTACCTTATATGAGAGACGGATCCTCGTTGAACAAGCAACCCCCAAACCCCCTATATTAATACATTGATGACGCCATCCTATTATGATGATACTCAGTGCCAACGTTTTCGGGAGTCGTATGCGCTGGGTTGAGTGAGTGAGCGAGCGAGTAAGTCAGTGACTTGACTGCGGCGCCTGCCGTGCCCATGCTCCCTAGCTATCCATCCGTCCGTCACCCAGATTGACTGTCCTTGGAGGTTCAGAGTGATTAGCAGCTTAGGCGGTCACCCGTCTATATAGAGGCACCGGAAAGAAAGCAAGAAAGGAAGGAAGGAAAAAAAGTGTGGAGAGAAGACGGACATGCTAAATCCATTATCAATGAATATTCTCATAGCATATGTAATATGAATCAATGTATATCATTTCAACTTTGCCGTTCAATGCGATGGGGGCAGCTCGAGACCCTGCCTCTTGGGGGAAAAGCCTTTCTTCCTTTTTAAGCATACCGGCGTACCAATGCACTTCTCGTTCAACATCAATATGAGTAATATCCATAAAGATAGATTCATGCCGGCCATAACTCAAGCTTCCTTGCACCAGTCGCTATGCTCTGGAAGAAAAAAAAAGACCTTTCAGGAGAATCTCCATGCTGCCATGTCGATACGCAAATACCAGGGTCCAAAACCACGATTTCCATAGAGTGTCGTCACCATCGATTCTTCAAACAACCCTTCTCCTCTCCGCGCCTTGCTTTGGAGATCCCAAATTTGAGACAGGCACACACGACAGAATATTTATAAGTCTGCTGCTGTCGTTGTTTCTTCCGTGCACAGGACATCAGTTGAGCTTGCCTTTTCGTCAACCACATAATCTTCTATTACCCAGCACCATTCGTCTGGTGGTGCGTTCTGAACGCGTCGGCGCGTTCGACGTGGCATTGCGTCTCCGATCGGCGACGAATCCCTATATGTCGCTCATGGTCGCGTCGCCATCACCGAGTTCTGGGTGGAACTGAGTCGGTTCTTCCTCCTCATCGGCTGGAGGGACGTGTTCCGGCATGCTCAGAGGACTCTCCGACCGTCGATCAACTTCGTCTGGCGGTGAAAAGGACCACACCTGCGAAAGAAGATTAGTAGCTCGAATGACCAGCAAGCACAAGAAAGCCGTACCTCCATGACAGTCCGATTTGACCGGCTCGCCATGATGACGGCCTTTTCCTCCTCAAAAGCCACTCTCCACACAGCTTCGGCAGGTTGACTGAGCTCACGGACAAGTTGACCAGTCTCTACACTCCAAACTTTCACACGTCCGTCACTGCCGCCGCTCAAAATTCGGTTGTCATCAAACTGCAAACTCGTAACACTATTATCATGTGCAGCCAGACGATGAATAGGCGAGTTGGTTTTCAACGACCAAACACGAACGGATCCGTCGGAGCCACCTGTAGGGTATGCCAATTTAGTAATCTGGTCTCAGCAAAACTAACAGGTGGGGAATCGACGAGCTTACCTGTAACAAGAGTATCACCACGAAGCTGCAGTTGCCCAACCAGGGACGTGTGCCCCTGCAAGATAGCGGTGCACATGCCGGTCTTTGGATCCCATATCCTAACACTTGTATCAAGCGAGCCGGTGGCGCAGCGGTTACCGTCGAAGGCAATGGCGTAGATCTGGCTGAAGTGTCCAGTGAGCGTCCGAAGACAGCGGCCTTCAGATATGCTCCAAACTCGGGCCGTGGTATCGTAAGATCCAGAAATGACAAGGTCGCCATGAATGGCCAAGCACCGGACACTGGCTTGGTGGCCGACCAGCACATTCTTGCAGACCCCAGACTGCAGATCCCAGATCCGCAGCGTCGTGTCTCTGGATCCGGAAATGGCCGTATTCGCATCCGACATTTTTAGACACCTGACCGTCGACGTGTGGCCCCTTAAGACGTGAATGCTTCTACCTGTCTTCATGTCCCATACTCTCACATCACGGTCGCAGCCCCCAGATACCAGAATATCGTCCCAAGGCACCATCGCCCAGACACCCATGACATGGCCTTTGAGTGTTTTTTGATGCTCACCCACTGTATTGAAGACATGAATTTTGGCATTGTCCATAGCCACCACGATATATTTGTCCGTCAGATGCAGGCTGGTAACCACTCCTTGATCCGGGGTGATGTGTTTGATGATGCTTTCACCGCCTTTCCTCCAAGCAGCTTCAATCATGTATTTGTGACGGAAATGAGAATAGTGCGACTGTGACACTCGCTTCCTAGCACGAGGGCTGGTTGAAAGAGCATCTTGCCTCGGTAACGTTAGGTTCGGTGCGCTGCTTGAGGGACCAACCATCGAGCCATCGATGGCCCGCTTGGGAGACCGGCTGTTGAATGTGTAGGGACCTGGGCTCGCTTGAGAGGGCGATGGCGAGTCCAGGTCGTCACTTGGGCCCACGGAGGACGTTCTTCGCCAAGCATGCTTGTCGCACATGATCTTCCAGAGCATATCATCATTCAGGAGTTTATGCCATCGATGCGAAACTTGAGAGGCCCGAGCCAGGCTGAGAGGATCGTCGATATATGATAATACCTGTTTCTGTGTCAGTCGATGCAGCTTCCACGAACGGACTAGACACATACCCTTAAGCAGAGCTCATCTGGCAGATGCTCAAAAGGATCTTTCTTGAGTCTGGGTGATACAAAGTGGTGAACAAAGGAAAGTAAGTGGCTGTCACACATGTTGAGCAACTCGGCCAGATATCTCTCTCTTTCTGCAACGTTCAGATTGGAAAAATGGCCCCTGGCATCCCGGAGAAAGGAATCCTCGTTTTCGCCCGCAGAAGTCCAACTAGGAGCACGTTGATAAGGCGTCGGCGAAGGCGCCGGAGTAGGAGGAGAGGCGGGAGCCGACGGTAATATGCTCAGGGGCATGCCTGACTTATTCGAGGTGGACAGTCGCTTTGGACGCGGATGTGACACAGTGTGTCGTGGAGGTCTCGACGAGCGAAGGGGGTCTATCTGGGGGTTGTGGCCCTGGGGGGCCGCGAAAGCGAAGTCATGTTCTTGTTCCAGAGACTCTGATCTCGAATTACTGTATGCTCCGTTTGCGAGTTGATTCGGGTCTATCGTGACAGATCTAGAGGGTCTCGGTGATAGAGGTCTGTCCATAGACATAGAGCGATGGTCATCATCCAGATCCATCTCTTTCAACACCAGGCAGGCCGGTGGGGAGGAAGGGTGACGTTTCGCGACAGTACCGGCACCTGCACCTTTTGGCCACCTAAGTCGGGGGTCTGAGGCAAGGACACAAAGAAGGAAACAGCGGAAGAGCTTTCAGATGGGCGCCGAGAGGACTCCTGTTCGAAGCTATATTATAAATCTCCCCCCTGATCATGCCATGTCAGCGTCAGGGTAGAGGGCAACGGAGTAGGACGACTCGAGCTGCAGGTGCAATTATCGCTGGCAGAAAAGCGCTTATGACATGCGAGGCAGAGCCTAGCCCAGGAGAGGAATGAGCCGGACAATATGGAGATCCGAGGGAAAGGGAGGGAGGTGGGCGGCGAGATCGAGAGAAGGCGTGGGAGGCTGGGTCTTTGGTTTTGTAAGCAAGGGCACCGTAGTCCTTGGAGCTTGGAGGAAGCGAAGCTCGTATGAGGTGTTGATATCGAAAGGTATGTCTGGATGGTTGGGTTGGTTTGATGGCTCGGGGGCAGGAGGGGAATTCGGGAATCCGTGGATCATACAGGACAGGTCACAGGTCAGATTCGCCAGCACGGCCAGGTACGCTGAGAACTTGAAGACCCGAAGGGGGGAGGGGAGAGGCTGAAAGGTTGGCAGGAGGAGCAACTCGCAGCAAGGAAACAAGGAGTGCAGAAGTAGCCCACACGCCTATGACTAGCCTGTCGTTCACCGGGAGTAATTGGCTTCTTTGGCCTCCCGGGGCGGGGTCCGTGCAGGAGGTGGTGCCTGAACAATGCACCGTTGTCCAAAAGTGCATGCCTAACATGCCCATGGGTGCCCAGCGCGCCTCGACTTTGGCCACTGACCGCCCTCTACCCATGCTCCATCTGTTCGTCAAATGATCGTCGAGTCTAGATTCTGTCCAGAGGCTACCTAGGTACGCTTAAACTGCTAGGCTCGCACGCCATGCTGCATATCAAATCATCTACCTCGTAGACTCCTTAAACAGGCATTGTACCACTTGAGCCTGAAAGGCGGCTTTTCTGATATCGAACGCATGGTTGAGTTGACAATCACCAGTCAGTTGTTTTTTCATACCAACAACAATGCCCGATCAGAGCACAATCGACACATATGACAAGCGTGACAAGTATTAACACACTATGAAGGTCAAAGATCTGATGCTTGTGGCGGATACCACTTCCAGGGAGATGCACCTCACAGACTGACCATGCTTTGACAGCCACACTCGAAATCGTAAGACCAGCTTGACTCCCAGTCCTGTTGTCGCAAGGTCCGAGGTTGAAGGGGTTGTAATACCTCTTCCCGTGACCTTAGTCCAGTAGAGTAACTCAAAGAATTGCATTTCGGTGACACGACCGATACAGTCCAATGTGTTGCTGAGGTCCTCCCCACCCGGAGGCGAGGTGTTTGTGGCCTTCAACCCAACAGCGCCCTGATCACTCGCCATGCTCTTGAAGTTGATCCCAGCCTATATCAAGGATGCCAGTCACGGACCATCAGAAATCCGGTCCACGGTCAATGAGCATGCCCAACCTGTAAAAACAATGGCAAAATCATTCCGAAGCAAGCGGCTCCTAGATCCTTCCAAGACGGCTTGGGCTCACTTTGCGTGCTTTCGCGCCCGTCAACGTAGCCATTGGCGTGGCCATTCATCCCTTCGTGGGGCGAACCAGAGCTCTCTTGCATCGCGTGCATAGCCACGTAGAGGAAAGTCCCTGCCGAGAACAGCAACAGCATTCCCGTCCACCACCTGGTAGTCTGCGCACTTTGATTCCGACCACCGCCAAGAAGGTGAGCAAGCAACCACGTAAAAATAGCTCCCGTAGGCGCAGCCAGACTAAAGAGGATCAAATGCCCTCTAGCTGCTCTCTTGGAGAGCCCTTGCTTGACAAGCACAGATGTCAGCCCAAATGCCGCTGGTGCTTTGTGGATCATGATTGCAAAGAATATAACAAAGCTCAGTCCAGACGTTGTCGCAGTCGAAGAAGCCCCCAGTGCTATCCCATCAGCAGCCGCATGAATAACCAGACCTATGGTGGTTGCGAAGCTCCGTTGGTGAACGTGTCGGCCTTCGGTCGAGTCGATGAAGGAGTCTGCTTCATCATCGCGATCCAAAGATGTAGTGAAGTTGAATCTGCGGCCCAAGTTGTTCAATGCAATATGATGCGTCCTCGCCTTTTGTTTTGCTGGCTGACTATATTGCGGCACCTTGTCGATCAAGTACATGAGCATGAAGCCGGCCAACAAGGCCACTCCAATCCACGCATGGTGTGATTCTTTGTGGACCTCTTCTTCATCCTCCTCTTGACTGCCATGCTCTGTCTCCGCCTGCGTATCACCCTTGCCTTCAACATCCATTACACCAACCACACCAGGCTTGGTAGGAGTCCGTGGTGGCGCTTCCAGATCGGATGGTATGACGGGCCCGGGAACATCAAAGGGGCTCAAATCGGCAGGTTCTCGTGCTCCGATCTCGTAAACCGGTTCAGCGACGAAGGAATGACCCCACTGGATGTCTATCTCGCGCGCAGATACATGTCTTTTGAGCCGTGAATGCGCATGTCCGACTTCAGAGGCGCTGTAGAGAGTCTCCACCCCTTCAGGGATAATGACAACCAGGGACGTACCCACTAGGACACCCATCCCTATTGTTGATATGAACCGTAATTGTGGCTGTGAAAGTGTCAACGACAGTGGCAGAATGCCTGCGAGGAAAGAAGCCACGGCCATCACAATGCTCAGACTGAGCAGGGTGAACAATCCGTCCATTGTCGTAGGCGGCGGAGACGAAGATCAAGCCTAGCGTTGTGGTTTTGTGCCTAGCTTAACAGAAAGCACACTCCAAAGAGGCCGAGGTGAGCATGTTGCTAGATTTCGAGGTCGGTCTCAGAGCTGCAATTTCGACCCAGAAGGGAGTTGGCGTTGTGGTTGTTGTAGGGACATTGACCTCCTGAGGGCGCAGGCACGAAGTCTAGAGTGACTAGTATCCCTTTTTGCGACATTCCGATAAGAGGAATAAGCCGCCTTATCGCCACGTGCCAGGGACATCAGGCTCGCAGGCTTCAAGTTGCTTTATGGACGCAAGGGGCACTTGGTATATAGCTGAACCCACTCCAGGCACATGGTTTGGTTTTTGGGGATTCACAAGATAGATCCAACCACCCGCCCAGCTCCTGGAGCAGATGACATGAAACTGATGCTCAAGATTAGAAAAAATATTCTGGGGATGCCAAAGCTTCCACCTTGGCATGTCATTCCATTCCAGGTTCCGATTGCACCTTTGATGAAAACGACTACCTGAGCAGTCGTTGAAGATAAAAGTTCACGTCCAGAAAGAATCTGCTGGACCTATGTCAAACTGGACACCGGGCATGGTCCCAACGGTCCCATGATTCAATGACAACAATATGTCTATCACAATTCGCATTAATATTCTTTTGCACTGTTCATTCATCTCTTATACCACCTTCACCCTAGATACTTGGCACTGCTTCTGCGCAGGTTCTCCAGCGCTCTCTACTTCTTCCTTCTTCTGCTCCTCCTTCTTCTCTCGAGGATTGCTGGTCCGAAAGTCTGTTACTGTGCTGGACGGTGATCGAGTGTCGAACTCCTTGCGTTCGTTGATCTGAGATGAGTTCTGGTGATTCTAGATTGGCAAAGGCTTGAGGACGCACGCTCCGCTTGACGTCCTTTGATGCTCCTCCATCTCAGAACAAGACTCCTCTTATCTGTATGAGCAGATAGGGAGCCCCAGAGAAGTTTAATATTTCAGGCAAACTTCTGCTCCTTCTCCTACTTTTCGGCCAGCGCGCCAATCTTCCAGACAAGTCGGGATCCGACATACCTAACCGTCTTTTGCCATCTTCGCGCCAACGTTCGACACCTATTCCACATCCCCTTTCTTTCTTCTTATCTTGGGCTTCGGTCCTACCACATCTGACTTGTGGAAACGAGACCTGAGCCTGCAGGTCCTCCAGCTGCTTCATCGCGTTTTACTTGTCGATATTTGCCGGGCTCGTTGCGTATTAGCGCTTGCAGATTCCATCGACTTAAGCTGTTCAGGCAAACGTTCTCCTTGCAGTATTCCGAGAGAGTCGGGGTTTTCCGGCCAGCGGTGCATGGGAAATCTCTTCAGATTGTCCGTTTGCTGAAGGCTCGATAGAATTGCGCGGTCCTTGGGATACCTCAATCCAGTAATTGCCGACATCCACCAAAAAAGGATCATGGAATCAAGCGCGACCACTTCTTCTCTGAGGCGTTCGACGAACTGTTTTCCTGCATCGCAATCGGAACATTGGCGTTAGGATTGCTTTCATTTGTGATTTGAAGCTGCAGCCATACTTCAGGTCGACTGCCCCGTCTCTGCGTTTGGTGCGATCTACGCCTCCTGATTATTCTGACACAGCCATAAATCGTTGGGACGTTGGCTACGAGGCAGGAACCAGCGATCTGGACAGAGGCGAAGAAGCTGCGTACTGGTTGATACGACTCCTCGGCGTAGATATAAGCAATGCGAACCAGAGTTATGACGATGCAGAAGACTCCCAGACAGCACAGCGTCCCAACTCTGACCTGCTCAGAAAGGCTTCGATGGCGCACCGCAGCAAGAAGTGGGTAAGAAATTGCCAACAAGAGCAGATCCAAGACAATGTTTGAAATTCCTTGGAGAAGCAATTGGATATACGCTTTGATGCATGCTCCCGGGTTGGGCTTAATCTGCCAATATAGATGAAATGGTTGACACTCGAGAAACGTCGCCAGCACCACACCGATGTAGGTGACGGGGATCGCGATCCAGCAAATTCGAATGAGTCTGGTGGTCCATTTTGCCCTGATCTCGAAAATTCGAGAATAGAACAGCAATAACAGACAACTCTGAAGCCAGCAAATCGAGGTGATCAAAAGTCGCGCGATTAGGGACAAGATGCTTCCAATCTTGAGATCTTCGTGGTCCTTGGAGTCGAAATATGTCGATTTGCTATTCAGCGCGTCGTTTGAGGTTCCATACGTAAGGACGTACTGATTCACGATAAGGCGAACGACGATGGCGACGAGTGAGGCGACACAGATAGCGGTGCTGACATCGTACGATCCATAGTGTATCCTCGCCGCAATAATCCGAACAATCAATATCGCCACTGATACACCTGCGCACACCCAGCCTCCAACTTTGGCTTCTTCGGAAGAAATAAGCATGGTACCGACTGACAAACGCCCCGGAACATTCAGAGGTTGCTTCTACCCGTTGTTTGGAGGATAATCTTAGGCGGCTGCAGAACATGCATCATCTTGAAATCGCAATTCGAAGTATTGCTGCTGCATTGTCGAGGATGTGCCCTGTCTCCTCAAGTGAACTGCAAACCGCTTTTGTGAGTGTGTCAGGGAAATAGTAGGTGGAATGATTTAAAGGGAAATCGAGCTGGATGGAGTTTTTGAAACGGGTACCCCAGTCCGATGAAGGGAGAGGCGGGTCAAACGGGAGACCCAGAAAAACCACAGTGCTGACCACCAGGCCCGGGGCGCTGGATAGGTGGGTTTTCGAGGGGGAACCGACTCGCCTGGCCTCCCACATACGGGGTCTCGAGTCAAAACTGCTCAAAACACCATCCCAAATGATCCTTTCTGGCCTTAGGGCAGGAGGGTGGCAGGCTAGCCCCAGACTAGGGGGTCTTGATCTCTGATGCCCTGGGCACGGGCCACCCAACTCGACGACTAGTGAGATACCCCTTCTTCCAATTGCCAACAAGGCCCATGAATATTACCTTTCGGAGAGTCCTTGGCTAGGCGCTTTCTGCGTCGGTTGGAAGTCGCGACATCACGCTGTTCTTCCTGAGGTCCTCTTCGATGAGGGGTGGTCTAACTTACTAGTCGCTTGCTAGAAGCAGAGAGCTTGTATGATGATGCGAATTGATCAGGATGGCAGCTTCTTGTGCCAGATGTCGAACAGCCAGAAAGTTCAAGTTTTAGTCAGGACATTTGGGAAACAAGTTCGCACTCGTAGGGTTCGGAGTGGTTCTGAATGACCAGCAGGTGACCAGTGGCAGTGGGCAAAGCTCACATAATCGCCAGGCTGCACATAAGATCTCCCGTAACCACCATCTCGCTAGAGCGCCATCCCTTCCGATGCGGTCCCTGAAAACTCCGTAGTGTGTAGAAGCGAGAAGCTTGAGGTCTGCACGGACCAGCCGGTATGCGCTCCATTAATACCTTTATCCTTTCTAGGTGGAAAACTAGAGAACTCAGTATATCAGAGCGTCGGATATAGCAGCAGGATACAGCATTGTTCACGGAAACCTGGGGTGAATGTCGAAATGGAAATGAAGGGAGGTCGAGGAGGTACCTCGTACATGGTACAGAAGCGCGGGTCGCGCAAGCGCACGAAGTGTCTCCTGCATGTTGGAGGCCATAATTCGCAGACAAACGTCGCACCATTGCAATGCAATACGAGGGCGGCTTCCTTTGCTCGTGTTCCGGCTTATCTTTCGGATCGATATGTCGGGAAATGGAGGCGTGCATAACCACGGCGGGAAGTTTAAAGGAGTCTCTGATGCGATCTTCCGATCATTGATCACCGCATGCCGTTGCGATCATGGTCTTGGGATGGCCTCATGGGCAATGACAGGCTAGACACGTACGAGAGCTAGAAGCCAATACCTGTCGACGACAGTTGAATGCAGTAATGGTGGTGGTGGTTCAATGGTGACGAACAGCCACACGTCGACCCGAGGTTATTGCGAAGTCCCTGTCAGTGTGATTGTCTGACAGCTCTCATTTTTCACGACGCGTTGCTCGAGAGCGTGTCCGCAGACTAATGAGCCTCACTAGCCCCGACCGCAGACAGAGATAGTGACTGAAGATTCATTCCATCATCACATCTCCTTTTCGTTCCCGTTGTCATTTGTGTTCGTACCTCAGCACAGACCTGGCTAGGCTCATCGCTGCTTGAATATTGCTCCCTTGCAACTCCGCGCCTGACATGAATTGAAGTTGAACCACTGTTGTCGAACATCCCCAGCATGGCTGCGCCATCCGAGGAATGTAAGTGTGGCGCTTCGCACGGGAAAGATCTCTGCTGATTACCAAACAGTCTCGGTGAACGCGAATGAAGCTGTTCGTATCTCTCTCGTCCAGCCCGGCCCGAACAACAAACTCATCACCCGACATGAATTTCATCCCAAATTCACCTATCCCATCGTTGGAGAGGCAGAGCAGATCTTCGGCTACAGAGGCCTAGACGTCGAGATCCAGTTTGCAGCTCACAGTCTGCAACCACATATCAATATCTCATACCAAAAGAAATTCAGCACCATCGGTACTACAAGCGCGCTCGATCTCAACAAGACCTTCAGCAACTTCCTACCCCCAACAGCGTTTCAACAAGGGTTCGAGTCAGAATTGCTGAACGACTCGAGAGCGGCAAAATGGACACCTCCAGGCGTGTGTGTGAAGGAGTATACAAGAGGCGGAGAGAATTATGAAGTGTGGGCTGGCTCGTTACTAGACATGCCAATGAGAACCCTGATTGACAATATTCAAATATTCATTGTCTTCTTCATCGAAGGCGGACAGTTCATCAACTTGGAGGATGTCGACTGGACCTTGGACAGATGGAGGGTCTATCTTACATACCACAAGGCATCAAAACCTCCGGCACCCAACGCATCTCCATACTCATTTGTTGGCTATGCAACAACCTATCGCTTCTACAAGTTCCAGAAACCTCCGAAAGACCATACTCTCTTTTCATTTCCGCCGTCAGAGACTATTACGCCCAACACCCTCCCGTCGCGACTTCGAATATCGCAATTCCTGATCACCCCGCCTTACCAAAGCTCGGGCCATGGCTCTGCTCTTTATCAGGCCATATACGATGAGGTCATGGCCGATCCGACGGTTTTGGAACTAACAGTGGAGGATCCGAGCGAGGAATTCGACAAATTACGCGACATGAATGACTTTGACGTTCTGGAACCGCAGTTCAAAGCTGTCAACTTGAAGATAGATACGTCGCCCTTTGCTAGTCTGGAACGAGGACGTTTGAAGCGCATACCGACTGCCAAATTGCTCCCTCTCGACGAGCTCCAAGCCATTCGATGCAAGAATAAGATTGCAGGGCGCCAGTTCGCCAGGATGGTCGAGATGTATCTTTTGGCGCAGATCCCATATTCGCATCGTGCGGCTGGTGGAGCGTCCCTCACCAGCCTTATGGTCAGGGGTGCCAAAGCTCCCAATCCAGACGACCGAACCTACTATTGGTGGCGGCTGTTACTGAAACAGCGCATTATCAAGAAGAACAAGGATTTGCTCCAGCAGATCCCATTCGAAGAGCGACTGCCTCAAATTGAGGACAGTGCTCGTGCGCAGGAGGATGAATTTGAAGGCCTCATCCTTTCGTATGCACTCCGAAAAGAGAAAGAAGCAGATCAGCATGGAAACGGAGAGTCATCGACCGTCGTTCGCAAGAGAAGGGTTGTTGAGGATGACGAGGATGACGAGTCGTTGAACGGCGAAGCCTCCAGGTCTAAGAGGCCCAAAGTTTAAGACCATTCTCTCGCCATTGTTTGCGCTTGTCGACTGCGAGCATTCGAGCATTTTGCTCGGTTCATGGTCGCCGCTTCAAGGTGCGGCATCTGAGCCCAGGATCTTTAGGCTGGAGATGGAGGATGAGGATAACCAGGACATGGTATCACAGGGCCACCTTGTCCGTGCAGCTGGATTTTCAGGTAGCGAGAGCTCGATGATAACAGACAAATTGATGACGTTCTTCAGCCTCTTCGTCGGCGATGACATGTTCGTCTTCACCCAGCAGGGCACCCTCCTCCCACATTTTGTCCAACTCCTGATCGTCGTCGCCCGTGACAGCCCAGACACTTTCGCGTAGTCGTTTGTTCCGCTCTCTGTCCTCTTCTATTCTCTGCTCGATCGCCCGCTTGTCCATTTTCGAGACACCGTTGGGCTTGCCTGGACGCTCTGCTCCTGAGGTCCGCGGCGTGGGTTTCTGAGCACCGCCGTCCCCTGCTGCGCCACCCTCCGCAGCGGTGGTTAGATCCATGGCATTGTTGCGGTCAGCTCCAGAAACTTCTGCCGTCTCGACATCCTCCTCGTCCACTCCGAGCAATTTGCCCAATTTCTCCTCTTTATCCTTCAACCCGCTCTCGATCGTCGCGATGACTTCGGCCGTAAGCACGCCTTTCTCACCCAGGCCCGTAACCACCCGCCTCACGACTTTGACATTCGCACCGCTCTGCGCCACGGCATCCACGATCCTCACAATATCCCTCTTGACCATCTCCACGTATGCCTCGTGCCCGCCTTCCTTCATGTTGATGTCCGCGTGGTGCTCCAAAAAGTACATGATGTTGGCGCGGTTGTTCATGTTTGTGTTGCCCCGCTCGAGGTTTTCCAGAATGCAACTGTGCAGGTCTTCATCCATGTCCCGGTGTTTGAGGGCGTAGTGTGCAGTCTTTATCGAGGCCGTGGCGGAGGCGGAGAGGTGCGTGAGGAGATTGGTGAAGCGCATGCGCACTTCGAATGGGTCGGCCATGGTGATGATGGACGATATAGACACCCGGGAGAGCGATCACTAGCGGGGAGCGTGGGATGTAGTGGCAGAAAGGGTTATGGAAAGAGGACGAAGTGTCTGTGTGTTCACATGTTCTTGCTCCTTGGTTTCGGGGAAGAGCAAACAATACGAGACACTGCGCATGGATCTCGTCCACTGTTCGCCAATTGGGTCGACGGCTTATCCTTCTCGGAAACCCCTACTTGTTGAATGCACGAAATAGCAATGATAGTCTGTGCAGAATACTGACTACAGAGGATGGCAAAGGTCTCTTGTATTAGAAGCAGGACAACTCAGAATCTGCTGCCTATTGGTGTGCCTTGCAGACGGATTTGGCCGATGGTGATCGAGGACCTCCCGCTTCCGCCCTTCCAAAATAATATTTCCAATTCTTTTTTCCCCGCATTTTCTCTCTTCAGCAACGAGGCTGTAAAACAATTTTCTGGGGATAGCACGACGACGACGGCACCAGGTGCAGACTTTCTTTCTGTGGATAATCTTTTCGAATCGTCCGACTGAAGAACTCGTGCTGCGATATGGCGGCCATGCTGCGTGTGCCCAACGGCATCAACGGCACCGAATCCCCCAATAATGGCATGACACTGACAATTCTCGGCTGTGGTGAGTTGTCTCTTTTTTTACAAGCACATTCTCTCTCATGCTAGATCCCTCTGTTGACTGAAGGGTCGTATAAGGAACACTCGGCATCGCCATCCTCAGCGGCATCCTCTCCTCCCTCTCGGAATCCTCTGCCTCGCACGCTCCCTCCCCCGCCTATCCCGACTCCGGCACCGCCACACCCACTACTGAGTCACCTCCCCATCCACAGCGAACACCGACAAACTTCATCGCCTGCGTGCGCCGTCCCGAGTCCGCCAAACGGATCAGGGTGGCCGTCCAACCCTACCGGCCCAATGTGACGATCCTGCAGAACGAAAACGTCAAGGGCACGCACAACGCCGACGTCGTGATCCTGGGATGTAAACCGTACATGGTCGCCGAGCTGCTGCGCGAAGAGGGGATGAAAGAAGCTCTTGCAGGGAAACTTTTGATATCCATCTGCGCGGGTGTCCCCGTCGAGCAGATCGGGACGGTTCTCTACGGCGAGTCGTACCCGGTGGGAATTCCTGAGAACGCTTGCCAGATAGTGAGAGTCATGCCCAACACAGCCGCGATTGTGCGCGAGTCCATGACCGTCATCGCCACCAACACACCTCCATTACCTCCATTACCCGCCGAACTCTCCTCAATAGTCGAATGGATATTCACTCGGATCGGCCGGGTCGTGCACCTCCCGCCGTCGATGATGGACGTATCGACGGCCTTGTGCGGCTCCGGGCCTGCGTTCCTGGCCCTGATGCTTGAATCTCTTGCCGACGGGGCTGTTGCGATGGGTTTGCCTCGTGCAGAGGCTCAGCTTATGGCGGCACAGACGATGCGAGGCACGGCGGGCATGGTTCTCTCCGGGGAACATCCCGCGCTGGTGAGGGAGAAGGTCTCGACTCCCGGAGGGTGCACCATTGGCGGGTTGTTGGTGTTGGAGGAGGGCAGGGTGAGAGGAACGGTGGCGAGGAGTGTAAGAGAGGCTACGGTTGTTGCAGCACAGTTGGGCAAGGGCGTTAGTGGCGTCAATGGAACGAGATTTTGAGAGGCAATAGGAGAGGTTCAAGGGTGGGCATGTTGGACCCTTTGGGATATGAATTCGAGGTACTAACGAAGAAATCACCATCGCTCTGCGAAGGAAAATGGCGGGCTTTACGGATAACGACATCGCAAGTTGGCTACTCTTTGCAATGTGTACTCGGTATATCCTGCACGTTTGGGGTTCGAAAAGTTTGGCACATGTTTGTGGAGATTCTGAGCGTATTCCCGTTTCCAGCAAAGTCGCTGCAATCTGTTCGTGCAGCAAACGCGATGATCTGTCTTCTGGAGCGGTAGTTGAATCTTGAATTGTACAGTTCTTTTCGGATCTTGTCCAAGTCTCCCTAAATGCTCAGGATATAGTTACAACAGTCCCCCGGTCAAAGATGAATCCACGGAGACAACGAACTCGGTGTAGAAGAACGCATGGCCGACTCCTGCAATGCCACCGAGTGAGCATCTTCGCCGCCAGTTCCCATACAACACCTCGAGGCATCTGACGTGTGTTTCGAGGAACCATTCTTAACTCTGAAAATGGGCCCCAAACAGCACAGACACCAAACGGATGCGAAGTGTGATCCTGAGGACCGTCTCTTCACCTGCTTTGCTTCACCTATTCATCCTTATGACATGGAAACCACAGCTCCCAATGCCTTCATGGCCGCGACAATCTTCTCCGCGTCCTCCTTGGGCACGCCCTCCTTCATGACCTTTGGCGCGCTCTCCACAAACTTTTTGGAATCCACCAAACTCAGACCCAGTAGTCCCTTCACTTCCTTGATGACCTTGGGTTTGGCGGCCGCGTCGAAGGAATCGAGTTTCAGTGTGAACATGGTCTTTTCCGCGGGTGCAGGCGCGGCTTCTTCTGCTGCTTCTGCTTCGGCTGCTGGAGTGGCAGCCGCAGCACCACCAGCAGGGCCAGCGACTGGAGCAGCGAAAGCCATGTCGGGGATGTTAAGCCGGGACTATAGTTGTAAAGATTAGCCAGAAGTTCAAGAAGTGGTACCACAATGTCCGTCCCCACTGCAGAAAAATGATGCTCAAGCATACCTTTAAGCTCGCAACCAAGTCTGCCGTCTCCAGCAAGGTTAATTGTGATATTTGATCCACGATCCCAGCTATCTTAGGATTCGTAGGCGACGCAGCTGCTGCATCCGTCGACTGCCACCTCCGTGAACACTTTGAGGATGCTAAGCCGTTCCTTCGTCTGTGCTGGTTTGCGGAGCTTGTGGAGGAAAGCCGGAGGCATTGGGAGGATAGGCTGCGTTTTTGCGTCCGAGCTGCAAGGTGGCAGCAACGATACGTTACTGATGGGAGTTTCGACGACATCTTGTATCGATGGAGAATAGAAGGGGGAAAAGAAGAAACCTGTTGAAAGCGTAGTGGACACAGAAACGTCTGTACTCAATGTCTAAGAAATTAGGAACTCGCGACCATTGCGCATTGAAAGCGAAATCGTGCCAAGCGGCACGTGATCATTTCGCGACTTCGAAGGAACCTCGACGTCAAGATCAGGCATCATTTCTACCTTTCTTCCCAGTGACAACAGCTGGACACAACTTGGTGTTGCAGGCACTGTTTTCGGGGCGTAGTTGGATATATTCTGGGTCTGTCCTAGCGTCGCCATCCATTCCACGGCCAGAGTATCCGCCTCTCGAGCGGTTCGCCACCGAATTCGATACTTATTCCACTGACCATTATCTTCCTTTTCTTCACTATCAATCATGGAAGAAGTTCCAATCTTCAGAGCTACGAAGCGTAGGAAATTTGCACGACCTCATCAAGAATCATCTGCAGAATCTCCCGATGCAGCTGCTTTGAAGACGGATGATGTGGTGTCAAGCGGTGGGCACGAGACTCGAGATGATGATGAAGACGAAGGTGGAATTTCGAGTCTGATACGTGCACGAAAGCACGTTCGAAAGGCTGTGTCTGGTGTCCAATTTTCAAATACCAAGGTTACGCAACGAGCGGATAAAGCCACTGAGATGGAGGTCATCAAACCAGATCAGGATGCCGACAAGCCCATAGACATCACCAACCGGTTTGTCGGAAGCACCGGGCAGGTTGTGAATGTCGATCAGCATATGTTCGTGGCTCCCCTAGAAACCCCCAAGTCCTGGAGACATAGTTGGCTGACAAGATAAGGGTTGCATTCATAGACTCCGAAATGGCTAGGAGACGGGCCCACCTCGTCACTCCTGCAAACTTTCCTCAGAGGAATTCGGAAGAAGACACATATCGAGATGCTCCATCATCCGACGAGTCAGGATCGCCAATCCAGAAAACATCCGGAACCAATCCCACCTCCACCCGCCAACTGGCCGAAGTCGACCTGGGAAATTCTGTACATGATACTAACCTAGCCCGCACGATGGCTGCACTCGAACGCGTCAAGGCTGGTCGAGCTCCGGTCGAAGAAGTGGACAAACCACCGAAGCCTCGAAAACCACGTCTAGGAAGGGACGGTAAACCCTTCAGGCCACGACCCAGGAAGCGAAGGAACAGCGAAGACATTGCGCGGGACGCCCTTGTGGAGCAATTTCTCCATGAGAATAAAATTGACCTGTATGATACGAACACTCCAGGATTAACGAGTGCCCCGGGGGCGGCAGCTGGCGAAGCCGCCGAAGACGAGGGTGACACGGACGATCGCTTTGCTGAACAATTTCGGCAACAGTTCATGGACGCGATGGCCGAGAGGAGGAACAGGCATAAACAGCCCAATCAGCCAAAGGGCAATCTGCCAAAGGGCGGCGCAGCTGTCACGGAATCACGAGGTCCAAAGCTCGGAGGGAGTCGAAGCGCAAGAGCAAAGATGATGCAGTGGCAACAGCAACAAAAGCAAGAAGGGCAAGCGGGAACGAAGAAGTGAGAATGAACTGGCTAGCGTGGTGGAGTATGTTTACGATGATGACAAGCCATGAGATCCTTGAGTTTCTCCCTGACACGTCGAGAGTCGCGCAATTGGGACTGTGGTCCATGTCTTGCAAGTAGTTTCCTGACACTAGTTGAGCCCATCTACTTTCGTTGCTTCGCCGCTCTGCAAGTCAGGCCCAGGGTCACCCGTGACCTGGGGCCTGAACACAGACAGCAAGGCTCTATGTACACCAGCTTACTCTTTGTCTCGCGTCAGCGTGGTGTGTTTGTGTTGGAATCTTCTTCTCCGTTCCTTGGCACAAGGCACAAGTCGAAAAAACGATGAAAAAGAGAGAGAGAGGCCGTCCAAAGCACAAGCCATGAAAAAGGTTCCAAAAATTGAAAACAGTGTCTAGAATGTTTCTGTTGGAAAACGAGTCCCAAAAGGGACAAGTTTTTCAGAGTGTGGTACAAAAGATTTTGAGAATCTGTGAGTCCAGGAGTGCAAGAGGACAAGATCTGTTTTGTTTGAAAACTGCCAAAAAAGAAACAACCAGCTTGCGATTGCGAGATGCTCACGCAGCGGTTGGTTTTTGGGAAGTTTTTGGTTTGTTGGTGAGGAGAGGTGGTTTGTGAGGAGAGGTGGATGAGAGAGGTGAGAAACTCCAAGGAGCAACAACCAGCTAGGGCGCGGTTGTTACTTTTGAAAATGTCTCAAGAGAAGAGGTGGTTGAGAGAAGAGGTGGGAAGAGGTGGTGGGCAGAGGTGAGAAACTCCAAGGAGCAACAACCAGCTTGGGCGCGGTTGTTACTTTTGAAAATTTCTCAAGAGAAGAGGTGGTGAGGTGAAGTGGTGGAGAAGAGGTGGAAAGAACAACCAGCTTGTAATTGCGCGAGCTCTTACAGCGGTTGCTTTCTTGAAGAGAAGAGGTGGAGGAGAGAAGAGAGTGATGTGAAGAGCCTCAGAAGAGGTGGTTTGAGAAGAAGGGTTTCCAAGAATTTGAGAGCGACTTCAAACCTCACATACAACCAGCTGGAGCGATCTGTGCGATCGAGCTTCAACACAGCACGGGTTGATGTCCTTGGCTTGAAGTCTTGTCGAGAAACGAAAGAAAGAAACAAAGATTCTGCTGTGCTGGTAATATCAGTGCATTACTCGGAGGCAATGAGTGGCGGCAGTGTAAGGCCAGACACCTCAACCAAGGGCCAGTCTTTACCAAGGACAACAGAAGATTTGATCTTTGCTTGGGTCTCTGGAGAGAGGAAAGAAGAAAGAAGAAGAGAAGAAAAGGTGAGAAAGATGAAGAGGGCGCAGATATTTATACCCTGTCACCAGAGGTACACGCTTGGCGGGACTTCCTTTATCGATCCAGCGTGCCAACAGGGATCAAAACAATGGGACTTGGCGTTGACAAGTGAATACTACCTAGGTAGGTACATACTGGTACTAGTAGGAGCAGAGCAGAAGAGGACTTGGCGTTGGGAAGTGAATGGCAGGGCAGAATGCTGGTGGGATTTGGAAATGGGGTCCGGCAGGAAGTCATTGTGTGATGCTGTGACGAGGCTGTGAGTGACTTGCACTCTGTATGTGGCTCGTGGGGCGGAAGAGGAGGAGAGAGCGCTCGAGAATTGGAGTTTGACTAATATCGTTGCCCTCTCGTCGGGTCAATGATCGAGCTTCTTTGTGAGTACCAGCACGACAGGGGCAGTTTGTAGCCAACGGTTATGGACATCTCTGATCATCTACATAGGGTACTATGTGGAGGCGGGAGCAATACAACACTTCAACCATTTGAGAACGTTTCGGATTTTTCATTGCTTCGTTGCTTAACTGTAGAAGACGACGTGATAGTTACACAACTCTTTCGTTACATATCAAATTCTCCAGCCTGAAGAAGCTGAAAGTTCGATGACGGTCAGAAAACACCAACTCGTCTCCAGTGTTTTCTCCCAGTATCAGCTTCAAGGCGAGCTTCTCTCAAGGCAAGCCTAGTAGAAACGACGTTATCGACCACCAATCTGCTTCTTCGACACTGGCGGAATCCAGGAAACCGCCAAGTTGATGGCAATGATGATGACGCCGATGATCCAAAATGACTTCCCATAATCGGTTTTCATGTAGCGGAAGATGATGGAGAAGATAATGCCTCCGAGATTCCCACAACCGCCAGTCATTCCTGACACCACACCATTTGCATGGGGATTGACATGTGGAACTAGAGCGAAGTTTGCTCCGTTACACGCTTCCAAAAAGAAAGCCATACCGGCAATGAGGCCGAACATCGTGCTGGTGTGATGGGGGTCAAGCTTGCCGATGACAATGAGGAAGGCACCGGTAATGATACCCAAAGTATGGATCCAGACCTTCTTCACCCACACGTTGTGAAAGCGTTTGAAGAGGATGTCTGCGAAAATGCCTCCACAGGGACGGCAGACGACATTGAGCAAGCCGAACATGGCAGCCCATTGTCCGGAGGTGGTCTGGCCGAGCTGCTTGAAGTTCTTCTGATAATATGTTCCGAGAGTAGAGTTGATTGATAGTTCGGCGCCGAAAGAGCAGAAGTAGCAGAAGGCGAGGACGAGGGTTTGAGGAGCAAACATGGCTTTGACGACTTCCATGGGCGTAGGCTTCACAACAATCTCGCCACGAGCAGTGTCGAGCATTTGTTGCTCGGTCATTTGAGCCTCATGATCAGCATACGCGGACATTTTGCGGTCGGCGCTGGCATCATAATGCATCTTCTCACCCGCTGGGGGGCTGCCTGAGCCTGAAGATACCGAGTGATCCTTGTCTGCAATGCTGATACTGGGCCTATCAACAAGGGTAGCTTGAACACCATGAGCCGCGAGGTGAAACTCAGCAGCACTATGGCGTTCACTCCACTTGCCGGTGGGTGTATCCTGGCAAAGTAATAGAAGACCCGAAGCAACAACGACGATGACAATGCCCGGGACAACAAAAGCCACACGCCAGGCTGTGTGAGGAGTCAAGCCATTGCTGAGGAGAGAGTCATAGATGGATGGCATCAAGAAATAAGTCACACCACCTCCCGCATTACCAAACCCAGCCGTGAAGGCGTTGGCAGTGCCGACTACATTTTTGTCAACTGCAATATGTGTTAGCCTGTATTCCTATCTGCAGGAAAATCAACCGATGGGTGTTTGCAGGGAACAAGGAAATATGACGGTCATCGAAAGGAAGTGAGTACTTACAGAAGCCAGTGCTCCATACTTGACACGGAACGAAGCTGCCACCCAGAATGCCCACGAAGAAACGAACAGCAAAGAGCTGGCTCTTGGTATACGCAGTTCCAGCCAAGAATGTGGGAATGGCACCAATAAACAGGCAACCGGCGAATGTCCAGCGAGGCCCGAAACGATCACAGCATGGACCCGCGATGAGTCGGACAAGCAAAGTTGCACACAATGCGACGATGTTGGAATTGGCCACATCGATTTTGGTCAAGTGGAGGTCTTTTTGGATAGTGTCGTGCAACTATCTTCCGTCAGCTAATGTCACTGGGAGGTACAGGATACGTGAGGGCGGCTTACCAGTGGAGGGAACGCGTACCAACTCCAGAATGCCACAAAAAAGCCGAACCAACTGAAAAAGAATACTCTTCCGTACATGTTAAGAGGGTTCAGGAAGGGAATGGCACGAGCCTTGTAGGTGATCGGGTTAACCTCAGGGGCCTGGAAGGGTAAGCCCAAGTTGACAGCCATCGTGCTTGATGATCGTGGCGAATCCTCGTGATAGTGCTGCTGTCGTTGGATTGTCTTCACTGCCCTTTCTTTTGGGAGGAATGCTCGATGTGTGAATACAACGTCTGGCAAGAGCGACGTGACGGTACTATATAGACTGCGGGAAAGGGGCGGTAGGACAGGGACCTCTCGTGCACCTACAGATTCGACATGACGTCTTGTTGTACTTCTCCGGGGACCAGGTATAGATACCCTTCGAGACCACACTTTCTCTGAAACAGTATATCCGCGGCAGATCTTTCGCAGAGATCGAATTAATCTGGACAAATCAGAGTTGTCGTAAAAACAAGCCACCTCTGAATCAGGCCAGTCACTTGCTGATAACGGAATAGAATGGGTCTCTTCCTCGTTAGAACCGACCCCAGTCGATCAGTGACGAGCTCCGAGGCGCTGTCCATGTTCAAAATGTATTCAAATAATAAATGAACGTACACACACGGTCGACCCACCTTGTCAACCTGCCTCGGAAGTCCTTATGATTTCCACCACAATGTATTCCAGCCTCCAACGCACTTTGGAGTTCTAGGCCTTACCACTTTGTGAGTTCAGCAGAGTCCGCTTCAGCACTGGTGAGGAGAGTTCCATGACCGCATCGATCCAAGAATTGAAGTAACAGAACAATCCTCGCCAGTGCTTGGACTCGATTGTCGATCCCACCTCCAGGATCGATGGACGAGATAAGTTGCCCTTCGTCGATCCTTCTGCGGCATTGATGTCGCTTGCGACAAAGGCGTGTCCTGTTTGGCCCGGAACGAAAGTGATGCCTTCCCTTGCGGTACTTGAACGGTAGATATCATGGGGGAAGGTTAGATGTATTCTGACTTCAGGCAAGATAGGCATGAGTCTGTTGACCTGAGGTTCCAAACTGAAGACGTGAGGTTTTGGTTGGACGAGGCTTATCTGAGGCATGTGCGCATCGGACCAACCTAGTGGATCCTGCTTATCAGAGCACCAGCTGCGGTCGCATATCTAGCGTCTTCACCGCTGACTTTTCCCTGGTTGCTCGCAGGGTATTTTGATAAGAGTCCGATACTGTCTGAACGTCTTTAAAAGACTGCCTCGTCTCCGCGGGGATAGCATGTCAGATAACCGACCTCCAAAGTCAAGATCCTGCGACGCCAGAGGCTCCCAGAACCTACTTGAAGGCGAGTTAGAAGCAAATATCGCTTCCTACCTCCCTCTCCAGGGCCACTCGGTTGTTTTCAGCCCCTTCAATTCGTCAGGCGGCTGGAATACTTTGCAGGCTCATCACCAGGCAGGCGAGGTGCTGGCGTTGGCAGCAATTGAGCCTCAAGGGAAAGAAGGATGTGGTCGAGACAACGCCCATGAGGGCCCCTTATCGAGTTGACGATGAGCCAATGAGACACAGGAACGCGACGCTAGTCCATTTTTGCCTGTACATTCTTGGCATCTGCCATCAAAGAGTCCCTGTTCCACGGCCAGGACCACCGGCCCGTCGAAGGTTTGTGATTGAGGCTGCATGTTATTGAGGTGCACTGCCCACCGCAGGAGTCCAGTGCATGGATGACTGATCTTGGAGGAAAAGTCGTCATATTCCCACTTCGCCCAACCTTCTAGCCACAACGCAGATAACGACAACAGAGTCTACTCTCCCTCCTGATTTGCTCAAGCACTCTTTTCAGTACACCATCTCTACGAATGGTTTCTTTATCTTTTAGTACTCTCGAGCGATATCTCGGCATCGTGAGCGTGTGTGACCGCCAGATTTTAGCAGGGCTGATCCAGCGTACAATTATTGGAGCAGGACTTCCGTATGGCTCTAGCCATATCGACCAAGGCGGCCGCGCAGATTGTAATGCACTCTTCCTGCTTCCTCTGCCGGCTGCGTGCATGGCGCCAAGTACCCATGGCTCAGTCCATGCCACAATTTCTGGCGTATCTCTGACGTGTTCCTCCAACTCCTACCTCCGCAGGACATGGACTACTAACGATATCAGAAGTCAAGTGCATAGCAGGGCTCTCTGCTTGAGCACGGTACAATCCTGTTCTACATGCACAGTCGTGCAGCAAGTAGAGCTGCTGATGCTCAGAGATTAGCGCGCAGAAGACTTTCTCCAGCGCAGGGAAACTTGTCCAGCAAATCTCGCGCGATCAGCGAAAGGTGAGCTGGTGAGTTGGACAAGATCGTGGAATATCTTAGCAAATGAACTCATCACGATACAGAACCACAGACAAGGTACGCTTCTCTGGGGCTGTCCCAAACGCATGTCGACTCACTCCATGGTGGCAGTCCCGGCCCCGCCTTAAACGCTGAGGACTGCGATCCTGCACCCTGCCTGCGTTGGTGCCGTCTGGGCATTCGTCCGAGAATACTGGATTGTACGAATGAAGAGCAGCCCAAATTACAGCTCATATCGAGGGATTTGTGCATCTTAGCACAACACTGTCACCATTGGACGGTATAGCGAAGCATATATGCACAGAGCTGCTGCACCGAGGCCTTCGCTGCGAAGTGGTGTATATCGACAGAATACCTTTTCTTCTCCATCAATGAAAGGATCCAGTGTGTGATTTTCCAACTGCTTCGAGATTATATATCTCCTACCTCGGCGTGTTGTGAGTCCTGTTCAACCCCCCCAGAAATGGAAGCAGCGCAGGACTTAGGCCCCGTTCTGTGTTGTACCGAACAAGACGTCCAATTTCACTAGCCCTTTTCTTTGCGTTACATGACCTATGTATGAGTACAATGATAAAGAAGCCCTATCATTGAGTCGCTTTCCGCACGAGTGAGCCGCCAGCCGTCCGCCTCGCATTGACCAAGACAACCAGGAGAAGCTCATAATAGTGACAGGAAAAGAAAACGATCACGACGCCGGTGCAAACTTCTTTTTCCTCGCCTCGGCAGCTGCACGGTCCGCGTCTGTAGAGAACGCACCCGATTGCTTGGTGACGCCAGAAGGCTTCTCTCCTGTTCTCCGCCGCGAGTTATCCCGGCCGCCTCTTCCACGGAATCTTCCACCATGGCCTCGCCCTCCCCGACTCCCAAAGCTCTTCCTCAGACCAGGATCATCCATAGCACTGGTCTCTTCGGTTCTGCCCCGTTTCCTTGAACCGCGCTCACGCTCTTCTGGTAGGGCTTCGTCCAGCTTTCCCATGGCTGTCTGACCGGTTCCAAAGCGTCTCGCGCGCTCTAGAGCTTTCTGTGCATCGCCATCTGTGCTACTTGTTCCTGTTTCGCCATTTGTAGTAGCTGCGCTGGTGCCAAATCTCTCAGCGCGAGCCTTGCGCTTGGCCATCTCGGAGTCCACCTCTGATTGTGGTAAGTTCAGGGCGTACGAGGTGGAGTTCGCAAGTGCGGTGTCGGTATCTGCGGAAGGGGAGTCTTTCTCGTCGACAGCTGCAGGTGCTGCTGTGGGTTCCGCAGTTACAGGTTCCTCCGGTGTAGGTTCTGCTGCCGTTGTTGCTGGGGGTTCTGGCGCTTGTGCGGGTTGCGCCGTGGTAGACTCTGCTGGAGGTGCCTTCTCGGTTTCTGCGCACAAGTTAACCAAGACGCTCCTACAGCGCATTATATCCTTGAGCCTAGGGGAGGGCAGAATGGCACCAGGAGAGAATTGTAGCGCCCTTGCGTCTAGAACGATGTATACGTACCATTTTCTTCGGCTACTTTGTCTGCGTCATTCAACCTCGCAACAAGTTCTGCCTTCTTCCCTGAGTGTGGTAGGCTCCGCGATTTCAGGATCTCTACCAGCTCAACTACCGTCTTCTTAGAGTAGTCGACCATGCTCGCGGTCTGGTCACGGATCTGATGAGCAGGAGACGCGCCACTGACGCCGAACAGGATGCAAAGTTTGAATCACGAAGCCTGGGAATATGTGGATGAATAAGATCAAAAACGTAGTAGAGCCTCAAGCGATTAATGTAAAAGGCATCAATTCCAAATGATACCTCAAGAATTCTAACAGTGTTTGGCCGGGTTCAGCGCGTTCACAGGGCGACGCACTTGGGACACTCACATTGAGGAATTTGGGTACGGGGACATCCGGCCGCTTTAATGCTGGGTTAGCCAACGTCATTTTGCGCTCCTTTCAACTTCCCCCTGCTGGATCTCGGCGCTCGCGGTTGACAACATTGACCAGACCAAATCTGCTGGCAGCTTCATGCCATTCCTACACAAACTCTCTGGAAACCCCTTTTGCCCTCCCGCAGTATCTGTCGCTGTAGAGCACCAGCTGATATTTCCTGTCTGACACGGAGCTCTGGCCTCGAAAAAATAGCTGGACCGTAGCTGCCAGGCCATTCGATGATGACCAGCAATATGCTACAATCTCAGAGCGTTGAGCGATCCCTTCGGATTCCATCTTCAATTGACACTTGACATGCCCGTCAGGTTTGATACTTAAAGCGCGCTGGGGCGGGCTATTCCTTATGAGAGGAGTGGCGGACCAAAATGCCGTATGACCCGCGGCCGTTCCCTTCTACCATGTAGACCAGCCATACTGAACACCTCTCCAGCTGCTCAGCTGCTCACCAAATTCTTCGTCCAAGCTCGTATCCAGAACCTCGGAGCTCTCAAATGAGGCGGCGTACAAATTCTTGCCTGCATGGCCCGCGACCCATATCCTCGAATCTCATACCAGGGCCATTGAAAGGGCCAACCGCATGAGCTTTCCCTTGTGGAAGGACAGAGGGCCACATTTGCTGGCGGTTAAGAAGAGCTGTACTAACGTGTGGCAACATGGTCATAATTACCTCTCAATATGGTGCTATCTCGCCTCTACCGCGCCTCTGAGCCCAGTCATGGCCGGTGACCTGATCAGACATATTGGCCTTGCCACCCATCTTCCATCTGGCAGCGTCCTCCGGTTGGAATGTGTCTTCCGGGCTTTAGCTCAGGGAAGAGCTTCGAAACACTACCAGGATGGTCAAAGTTCAATGCTCTTCTTGCGCCAAGGGTAAGCTCGATCGCATCGCTGACTTGGGCATGCGTAACGCGTTTTGTATCGGCTGCGCATTGCTCGCTTATGCTCCGGTACTTCAGTCCGTGCTTGTATTACTGGCTCTCCGATTCCCTGTTGTTCTGCCAAAACTGAGGGATCAAATCGGTGGGCTGCTGAGCAAGTCTGGCAATTGGACAACATTGCCAACAGACTGTGTGTCTAAGTGCTCGCCGTCCATCAACAGCCAGTTGGATCAAAAACATCGTCCGAGTTTTCCCGCAAGGTGTCCTTAGGATGATGTCTAAACGGTCCTGTCCTGACTTCAATGCGGTGACTGATCTCTGCAAGCATGGCGGTCGAGACTAACAGCGAGCTTTCCCCTTTCCTGAGCTGAAAGTCTTGAGTTCGGTGTAGTATGAAAGCCAAGTTTCGAGGACCACAGTACTCGGGAGGGTCTGGGAGGCTGCGCCAGCCTCGTCTGTTGCCAAGAAAGCCTCCTCTGGCGAGAATCTGACTTGTTTCCTGGCCCCCTTCGGCTGAAGCTGGTCGAATGATTATTGTCGGACCTTAGCTTCTTTCAGCCTCAGCTTCAGCTGGGATGGTGCAACGATCCCAAGGCTGAAGGCCCCTAAAGGCTCGCTATGCCGAATCGGGACAGAGTGTTCGGCGAGTCGTTGGACCAGAGCGCGCACAATACGATGAGCGTTGCCAACGCATCAACCTACCTAGGTATTTTCCTGACAGCCTACTCTTCAGGAGGGTGCTTGACAAACATTGGACTTGGCTCTGACGCTGTGGCCGAGGCCGTCGGATCCAATGTACGCAGTACTTGGGCCGTTGTTTGCTTCGTTGAAGCGCATATTGACATAATCCGCAGCACTGCCAAGTGAGGCATATTTTTTTCTCTTTTCGGCATCTGTTCTAAGCTGACGGAACTTACACGGCGCACACATCAAATACGGATGTGTATCAGAAGTCAACGCTAGCAGCTCCTTCAAACTCTGCAACAGCCAGCCACCGAATTTGGCACATCCGTCTCTGAAAGGAGGGGGGCTTTGAAAGGAGACCCCATCAATGGTGACGATTGAAAAATCCTATTGGGCAGTGTCGTCGTGTGCCTCGATGGCCCGATACCTTTCGAGACTTTCCTTGGACCACACGTCTTCCTCGTTATAATCCATGCGTTCGTATACGGGGACCTTGTCCGAGAGGATGATCCAAGGTTGCTTCTCAGAAGCCCAGATGTGGGCATTCGGAGGGAGTAGGTCTGGATTGTCCAGGGTCCCCACCCGAACAATGCGAATGTGTGCCTTTACATTGGCTGGGTTATCGAGGTAAACACTCCAAACAGCAACCTTGCATCTTGGACAGCGTGCGATGCTTTGCCCGGCGCCACTTTCGCTCGGCACGGTGATGTATTCCGGTTCATTTTTCAGAAGTTTCAGCCTCTCAGTTTCAATCATGGCGTTGAGCGCAAAGGAAGCTCCAGTCTCCCTCTGACACCATCGGCAGCTGTGCCGTTTCAGCAGACCAAATTCTTATGGCGTGATTGAGTGTGTAACTCACTGACAACAGTGAACAATCATCGGCTCGGTCATCATAGAGTACCGCACTTCTCCACAGTCACAACCCCCTTCGATGGGGAACTCAACTCCCTGCGGCGCCATGGTGCCAGGTTTCCGGAGATTCTGAGTGAAGAGTGCTGAGCGTGACCAGTTATGGTTGGTTCAGCAGAGCTTGGTCACACACCCTCTTCACTGGGGAAGCTCAAGAATTGGGAGGCGAAGTTTTCTGGGACACCAAAACCTTATTGCGGTTTGCTGGTCTCCAAATCCAAACTCATCCCGCGTATCAGGTGATCGGATAGAGCTGCTCACAGTTGACGGCGCAGGGATGCCGAGTCGAAAGGCGAAATCGGAGATTTTGCGCCAACAAAACCACGAGAACCTCCACAAGGAACGTGGTGGGCACGCGGGCGGGATTCGCCAGACATCCTTCTGGAGCCACATCCTATCAAACGTCCTGGGTATCAAGATCAGCCACAAACAGAGATATTTGGCCATCTCTGGATGCTAATTGGTGGCAAGGTCCAGAAAATGGCGGACGCACGAGGGAGAATCGGGTAAAAAGAAGTCTGGAAAATTCGAGTTCGGAGGATTTTTACAAGCCACCGCTTGACGAGGGGGCGTGCAGATGCGCAGGGCTGGTAGAGCGTCCTAGGGCATGCAGAGCGCTAAAGGAGTTGCTTGCTGCATTGTTGACTTGCAGGAGCACGTTAGAGAGCTGTGACTTCCTGCAGGAGTTGCAGTGATGAGCGTGCTCTCAAACCATTGCCGAATCAGCCACCATGGGCGGATGTGTTTCATGTGGTGATGACAGATAACAGCATTGTCGTAGAAACCAGGCATGTTGTCGTCGTCTTCCGTGGTGGTGACATTTTGTTTACCACTTGCCACGTCCCCCAGTACCTACGGAGTTCTTGGACGAAGAGGGTGATCGTAATGGGGCGCAAGCTGCCTAGGTAGGTACCTCCTCCGTACGAGGACATGTACTATTCGTATCACTAGTAGCTCGCTCGACCCGTGTGGATGAGGCTTTTTGGTAAACAGTTTGCCTCAATCAGATACCTGTTCTGGCATGGGAAACCCGGTTCAGCGAAGCCATCACAGATTCACAGTGCCGAATGGAAAAAAATGAAAAAGACGGTGCGTTCCCCAGAACGGACGGAGCACTGGCAGTGGCCCGAACCTCGGTACAGTGGGGGGATCGAGCACCTATCCAAGGCGCTGCGAGAGACATGACTTTAGGGCTAATGGGCCATTTAGTAGGCTAGCTGGCACCTACGCAGTAGGCACCCAGTAGGTACCCAGTAGGTAGCTCATTCAGCCCGGAGTGTCGCCACCACCCGTAGGAAGCCCCCCAATAACTCGGCACCATCGGCGTGGTCCTTGCTTCTCAACTCCTCTCAAGCCCCCACTTTTGCGGCCACTCCTCTATTCCAAACCGCGTCACTGGTTCTCATCCTCTTCGCAACTTTTGCCCACCGCCCTCTTTGCTGGGCTAAGCAAAGGTCTCCTCCCTGCTGAATCAGACTCTGCTCCATTGTGACGATACGAGGGCGCCAGTCAGTTGAGAGCTGCCTCCAAGCGTCAGTTTCACCCGGGCGCCGATCCAAGCGTCGCCACATGATGGACCTCGAGGCCTTCCTCTTCTCCGTGACCTTGTTGACAGCCTGGCGTCGGCCTCGCCTCCGGATACCCTGAATTCTGCCTATGATGCGGCTACCCTCGCGCATGCCACCCACATTGGTCGTCATACCACGGCACATGACCTCGTCAAAGCACGATTCCCGCGCACGATATCTAGCGAGTTAGGCTCGCGGATGCCTGTCTGGGTGCCTGTCGCTCCATTTGATCGGTACGTACACAGTCCTGAATCGTGTGTCTGGGTTTGACTACTGGGACAGTCTCCCCACGAGGCCCAGACTGCCGTTGATCGTATTTGTCCAGGCATGTCAGCCGCAACCCTGGTCCGACTTCTCCAAGCTGTGCACGGGAGGACCCATAATGGAGCCCGTCCCATATGCAAGACCTATCAGCAAGAAAAGATGCCCTGGACTTGGACCGCCCCAAGGTGTCTTGACGCCTTGCAGTAGAGGACAGTTGACTCCAGGTGATGAATACGAGTTACCCGCGGCCCAGTTAGCGGCCCCCCCGCCCCGTTGAAAGGTTGGAAGCCCATGCATGGTGGAAAATCCCTCTGGTCATGAAGCAAGCCATCAGCATCAGCCATTTGAAGGGAACGGGGGTTACCTTTAACGCTGAGCCAGCATCCTGTCGTCTTGTGCCCCAGCTAACCCAATTCGCCTGTGCCGCTCTCTCAGTTGTTACAAGATGCCTGCAAGTTCCGCTCAGTGTCATGCAACCATTTCCCTCTCGGGCTTTTATCACTCCAGAAAAGGACTTCGCCTCCCACCTCGATTTCCTTTCTCTTACTCTTCTCGTTGTACACGCGTCCTTCTGTCTGGAGCGCCAGCATCAGGATTATCGTCTGCCGTGTCACGTGCCAGATTCGTGGCTACTATTTTTTACCTCGGGGTGGCCGACCAGGCTATACAGGCTGGTGTGGCGCATTCTGCATTCTGTCGATCAAAATTCCCACCTTTATACCATCCCCGCGTGGCCGCCCGACAAGACACTGTGCATTTACCACACTGTCTCGGGTATGAATGACTTGTGCGACATACGGTCCGAGTCACTTTGAAAAAGAATTATTGCCAAATCACAACTTTGAGGCCGTCCACCTTGGTCTGCAAGCATTCAACAAGAATCCCCGATTTACTGCTGCGCCTGAACGCCACTTCAAGGCATGCGCCAGTTCGATGTCTGGTCTTGATCGCTGAGGAGAACGGAATGAGTCAAACGTGTTTGAAATCATTGCGCGCATTTAGGGAGGCCGGCAAGGAGGATCCCAACCGACACATGATATGTCGCACAGAAATCCGACGTATGACACCCAACCTGGTGTTTCCAGAAACAGAGATGCTACCGTGCCACGAAACACCAGAACACCAGGTTCTCGTCATGGAGCCCGTCAATTCGACTCGACACGACCGGCCGCAAGCACACGTCCGGCTTCGCGCTCACCACCCCCTATGAGGGAGGCTCCTCCGAGTCCCGGTGAAAAGCCTGGTCAAAGACCAACAGCCATCCCAAGACCAGCAATGAGAAATCCTTCCCAGCGGCCTATCGCAACTGCGAAGAGCACTACTGCCTCTGTCCGAACAACCAAGCCAACTGTACGTTCAGATCCAATTTCGCAAGAAGTCCCTTTAGTCATGGACTCGTACCCGGGACCAAGACGGAGAGACGAACCCTCTAGTAATAGGAGACTGGTCTACCCTCTGGATCCCTCAAATGACGCACAATCTTCCTTGGATGTTGATAAAGATGCGATCTTCGGCATAGTGATGCCCAGAGCACATCCGTCCGTTCGCACTGGCGAACTCCCGCCTCGATTGATTCCAGAGTTGCAAGCTCTTGCGGCTTCGTCAACACGACAACCACAAACACTTAATAAATCTGCAAGCTCGATCAGCAGTCCATCAACTCGGCTCTCCAGTTCCCCGAGTCCATGGAGTCTATCCACCACAACGACAACTCCGACATCCTGGTCTTCGGCATCACCTGGTATCGTGCAGCAAGTCCCGGTGACAGGTTCCGCAAAGCGGTCGCAAACAGTCCCGCTTCCCGTGGGCAAGCGAGAAAAACATCCTAAGATGCCGGCTCTCCCAGAGTCTGTCCCTCGACCCGTCGCCAGTGAATGGCCGGCAAGCTCGAAAGAGTCTGTGAAGTCAATTGGCAGGAGGAGGACACCCTTGAATACACCAGCCCCTACCCCACCCCCAAGGTCTTCGTCTGCGAAGCATTCCTTGAGTAGGAGCAGTAGCAAAAGCGACAGGCAACGCGTGAGGCCGGAGCAGGAGCCTACGCCGTCCTCATCCGACCTGGAACGCAGTCCCTCGGCAGCTCGAGGCTACCCAGATCTGGTAAATGTCGGAGAATCACCACAGCACCGCACGCTTGTACGTGCTCATGCCAATCTCCAGCAATCCTTACGTGAGAAACCGCCCAGCGCAAACAATCAAGCCGCAGGTATCTTCAACGACCAAAGGGCTGGCGTACTCCACAGTCAACGCTCAGGTTCAACTCGTCGGCACCCGGATGTATCGCGTCGGGATCTCGAGACTCAACCCCAGCCTACTGAAGTCCCGAGGATACAAGAGAGGGCGGTGCCCTTGGAAGTCCGTCCGAAGACCCCTAAGGACCCAGAAGTTGCAACACAAAGCTCCCCGGGCCGCACAGGGAAATTCTCTCGCTTCGGATTGTTCAGTCGCAGAACGAAGTCCCCAGCCGCCGAAGTCGAAAGGTCCCCTCGGAAGCTGCAGCGCCGTGGGCCAGCGGCTGGGACAGGTCATGAAGCGTATGGAAAATATGGAAGAAGAGGCCGCAAGACGTCCGAAGAGAGCGCTTCAGCTAGAGGAAGCGAGAGCGAAAGGTCTGTGAGCAGCACCAGACGGGTACCGCTTTTCTCCTCAAAAGGCAAGGAGAGCCGCAGTAGCAGCCGCCACAACCGAAGCAGCCAATCCGATCTTGACGAGTTCGCAGCGAGTCGAATGAGGCCTGTTCCTATCATCGGTGGCTCTGGCAGTAGCATGAAGAGCAATTCTGCGACTCAATTTGAGACATATGACAGCGCTTCCGTTCCACCCGCTCCCGTGGTCGAGACATGGGGATTGCCTTCGCAGTCACAGACGTCTATTGGTCAACAGTCGGTCCAAGACAGCCCGCAGATCGCTCGAGACCGTGCATCGAGTCAGGATAGTGTCCCTACGCTGGCAATACGGCGATCGCAACGCTTTGGCAACGACGTAGAGAATTTCAATCTCCCGACTCCAATTCGGACCGAAGGACTTTCAGCGCCATTGTATATCAACAGCCAAGACGACAGCCGTTCTTCAGCCTTTCCGACCTCTACGCCCAGCACAACGACTGATCCCAGCCGCGGCGATGCTGCTCTCCAGAAACCGAAGGATAAGAAGACTAGGAAGCTCAGGTGGAATATTTTTCGGAGGAAAGGACCTGAACCAGAACCCGAAACGCCCATCGGCGCAACTTCATCTTCGCCCGAGGAGATGCCAGTCAGCATATCCTCAATTCCTGTCTCTCGACCTATGCCGTACTACGCCGTGATGGATTCCGAGAGTGAAGTCAATCCACCCGAGTATGTCGGCGACTACCTCGCGCAAGGTGTCTATTCGCCAGCGGACAGCCCATTGATCGGTGGATACGAGGCAGATTTTGCAGAGGCTGAGCTGCAGCCGTCTACGCATGAGGATAACGTCTTTCTCCCAACCGCGCCAATATCACCCCCGCAGTCTTTTGCGAGGTCGCCGCCAGCAGTGCCGGTGCAAAGCCAGACTGAGCACGTTTCGATGCAAGTAGAGGAAATGCCACAGAAACAGCCGCGCCTGATTCGAGTTGGGAGGATTCCGCCCGTCGTGCCGAGGAGTGAGAGACAGCATAAGCCAAGCCGGGCGTCGTTTTCTCAACCGTTCGTCAGGAATCTTACTTCTGAGAATCCGTACGCCGGGCCGGACCCCTTTGAATCCCTGCCGTATATGCCACTTCAAATCAGCACGGATGTGCTACCGAGCAGACCGTTTGCTACTGTGGACAGCGCCAAACCCGCCAGTGCCCCGGTATTGGGGGAGACAGAGTTCTTGCGATTCCCGTCGAGGCAACCGTCGGAAGTCTCCGCATCTAGCAGCTCAGAAGGAGTTTTAAGTATACTTGGACCACCTTTGATTCCAAGTTTGCCCGATATTGGCGTCTCTGGACGACCTAATCTGACGCAAGATATCTACTTAACAGGTAGTCCTAGCCTTGACGAGGTCTGGAATGAGTACGACGATTTTATTGACCATGTCATGTCGCCTTCTCGAAGCAGGAAAAGTGTCAAGGCCCTGGCACGGCAAGGCAAACAAGTAGCGCTGCCTCAAGAGCCTCCTCCACAATTCGCGAGGTCGAATCAACACCCAGAGGAAGAGCATCCGGACTCCATCTTGTCAGAATTTCCTGTGCCTGGCATGAAAAGACCGCTATTCGCACAGGCCCCAGCGACTTCAGCCACCCCTCCAGTTGTATTCCCTCCACCTACGATGCCTGAGCGCATCGTAGGGGAGGACATTCGACTGCGTCGATCGAGAATCGTCTCGGCGCTGCATCCTGGAAGTGACCCTGCGTCGCCCTTCTCGATTCGCGACATACTCAGCGAGTACGAAAGTCATCCACGACACAGTACTAAAGTGTCTGAGCGTCTGAGCACATCCACAGCGGATCGCTCCCTCGAGCGCCTGACTACGACAAGCAGTGCGCCTGAGATGCCTCCGGAATCGTCTCACCAAGAGAACATTGCGCTTCTTGATGTTGTGGAACGAGGCAAAGACCCTGTCGCTCAGTCAGAGCTGCACTATGCCTCGCTCATGGTGTCGAAGTGGTTATCATTCGGACGAGTTCTATTCTCGCCTGCCCATGATGATATCGAAAAATTCCCGGAGCGCCACATCCTTGTCATTGACGGATTAGGGAACGAAGATTGGTCAATCTATTGTGCAGTGACGTACGAGGCGCAAAAAGCGTATGTCCACGATCTCAAGGAGAAGGCCACATCAAAGGGAATGAAGACATCGAAACCGTCCCAACATGCTCCCGGCAATCATCGACGAGCAGAAGTTTCGAGTTTCTATGACAAGTTCCCATTCCCACAGGATTTCTTTTCCGTGGTTGTCCTTCGCTTTCCTCCCGCAATGGCTGAAGCAAAGATGAAGAACATTGTTTCTGAGTGTCGGCGTGTATTAGCACCAGGTGGCTACCTGGAACTGATGCTGCTCGATCTTGATATCGTCAACATGGGCGTGCAGACTCGGAGGGCTGTCCGAGAGCTCAAGTACAGAATGACCACGGCAGACAAGCAGATCAGCCTCCGGCCAATTATCGACAATGTCCAGAGCGTGTTGGGCTCGCGGGGGTTCACCAACATCAGCCGCTGCGTGGTCGGAGTGCCCGTCGCAGGGCGCCCGACAGGATCTCCCGATTCGTCGTCATCTTCGCGCTCGAGTCGAGGATCGGACGGTTTCCCAAAGCGAGGGTCCGGTGACACGCGGCCGGGAGATGCGTCTCCACGAATGACATTTGGTCAAGGTCATAGAGGAGCCAACCTATCTTTGAACGACCTTCTTTCCGACCGCTCAGATAATGCGGATCTCCGCATCGGAAAGATCGTTTCAAGGACGGCGCGAACGTGGTGGCAACATTGCTTCGAAGCCAGCGTTATTAGCGATGGGAATCTCGCCAGAAGCATTTTCGCCGACAGAAATGTTCTGGGAGAATGTAAAGGGCGAGGATCGAGTTTCAAGATGCTTATCGCATACGCTCAACGACCAATCGTCGAATCATCACGTCGGCGAACAATGAGTGAGCCAGTGGTCCCAACATTGGCTACAGCAGGGGGAAGGATGCAGCATCAGTCATCACCCAGCAATCCACGCACAGCTTGATTTGACCAAGCTAAGACACCGCATTGATTTATTCCACTATAGTTGCCCTGGCGGCGTTATGGACGAAGTACATGAGACGACTTGCCACGACATGACACTGAAAAGAAAGTTGCATTTGAATGATTTGTTTCGAAGATACCCCTCTCCCACATACCGCCGGCAACTTTACGACTGCTTGTTGTTTTGGAGCGACTTCGCATCTGATTAAAAGCGGAGGCCTGATATATCGTTGTACCAAAAAGTTCAGCGTGCAAGAGACGACAACGGCTACAGTGCCGACCAAAGAGTCCGGATTGGCGCAAGCCAGCTGGGATAGATGGATGACGGACATCTGTGGCAAGGCTGCAGGTCGGCATTGCTCAGACAGAGTCGTAATATAGACATAATAACTATGTTCTAATTCTAAACAAACCAGCATCAGCATATTGCTCTTTACTTGCATTTTAGCCAGGTGAGCTGTAGCCTGTCCAGGGTTGAAGGGTGTATGAGGCTGAAGCAGGGCGGCTATTTGAATGTCTATTCATAGTAAAGCACAAGCGCCGAGGTAATAATTTAATTATTCGCGATGCCCGTGCGGCGTGCGGCGTGCGCAGGTTTAGCCAGCCACCGGATCCAAGCAAAAGAATGGGTTTTGGATCCGACCATCCTGACCAGTTGCAAAGGCTGGACTGAAGGAGCAACAGGCGAATGGCGGGGCAAGACAGGCGCCCGGTCCTTGCAGGGTCTTGAGACCAGAAGAGGTTTTTGTTTCGTTTGCTATAGACCAGTTGTCACCGATGTGTAACCCATAGCCAGGCACCGATCTCCCTGGCATGTTCTTTCTAGCCGCCTGTGGCAAATGATTCGCGTTTTACTGGAGTTTGGCCTGATGCGTAGAGGCGATTCAGGCGAGACTGAGGATCGTCGCCGGCGAGAACCAATACTAGTAAAATCCTAAAGGCGCTGCCTCTCGATTTCTGGGCCTGGCTTCCCCGTCTCCCTTGTCATGTCTTCTCGTTCCACATCTATTCCGCATCGAACTTCAGTCTCTTCGACAACATCGACACAGCACTCACAGACCCAGTCACTGGCTCCCACTCAGCAGAGATCTCGCCCACAACCTCAGAGAATTACTGCGCAACAACTTGCTGAACGGGTCATCTCTCCAGCCTCACTTCTATTCCCTGGCGGTACCCCGCCTTTCAGACGAGAACACCAACAAGAGCGACCACTGCGCACAGACATGGATCGGAGGCACCCCAGTTCGTTCCAACAGCTGGAAAAGGTATGTTGGCCATTGTCAATCCTCGCAGTCAGGAGCCATCCTTACTAACTCCTTAACCCCAGCTAGGTGAGGGGACGTACGCCACCGTCTACAAGGGACGAAACCGACAGACGGGTGAACTCGTCGCCCTAAAAGAAATCCACCTCGACTCCGAAGAAGGCACGCCATCGACGGCAATCCGAGAAATCAGTCTGATGAAGGAGCTCAAACATGAAAACATTGTCACCCTGCACGATGTCATACACACAGAGAACAAGCTCATGCTGGTCTTCGAATACATGGACAAAGACTTGAAAAAGTACATGGACGCGCGGGGGGATAGGGGCCAACTCGACCATGTCACCATCAAGAGATTTATGCAAGATCTACTCCGGGGGACTGCATTCTGTCACGAGAACCGAGTCCTCCACCGCGACCTGAAGCCCCAGAATCTGTTGATCAACACGAAAGGGCAGCTGAAGCTGGCCGATTTTGGCCTGGCAAGAGCCTTCGGGATTCCAGTCAATACTTTTTCCAACGAAGTGGTCACGCTATGGTACAGAGCCCCAGACGTGCTTCTGGGGTCGAGGACATACAACACGAGCATCGACATCTGGTCTGCGGGCTGCATCATGGCGGAGATGTACACTGGCAGGCCGTTGTTTCCAGGGACGACGAACGAGGACCAACTACAGAAGATTTTCAGACTGATGGGTACCCCATCGGAGCGGACATGGCCTGGCATTTCTCAGCTCCCCGAGTACAAGAGCAACTTCCCCTCTTACGCTACGCAGTCATTGGCAATTCTGTTGCCGCAGATTGATCAGTTGGGCCTCGATCTGCTGGGCAAGTTGCTCCAGCTCAGACCGGAAAACAGAATCAGCGCACAAGACGCTCTGCGGCATCCGTGGTTCTCGGATCTGCCAAACTATGCTGGACACGGGAGGGCTCATGTCAGCTCGACGATGCAGCAACCTGGACAGCTGGGACACCAGGGTGGAGTTGGGGGAGGATACGGTGCTCAGCCTGGATTGGTAGGCCCTGGGGGCGCGTATTGATCCGTTCGGTGACGTGAGACATATTCTTTGGCTGCATGAGCTTGTTGAGAAGCAATGTACCGGTCTCCATGAACCCCTAGGCTCGAGAGTTGATTGATGTTGGCATGGGAGTGGGAGTGGAAATGGTTTGAGACACCAAGGTTTGCTAAATTGTGATACCCTCGTCTCTTTGAGGAAGCATCCTACATACAAATACGGCATTCAGGTTCGAGGCATCGGGACAGGTGCAGCACAGGCAGGCATTTCATCCTTGGGACGCAGTAATCGATTATACGAGTTGATGACTCCTGAATCTTATTGTGTATACCGAGTATTTTGTGTTGACCGTCGGATGAATGAATGATTAAAGCAGCAGCACCGGAAGTTTGGTGTCGGCGACGGATTCCCCATTTTTGGCCTTGTTGGCTTTTTTTGAGCTCCGCTGGAGGAGACTAGCACTCCTTTCGGCCTCCCAACATATGAACACCCAGCTTAACGCTTAACGCACTCCCATCCACTTCTGTCCGTCGGCGTCCCCCATTGAATCTGTTGCATCTCTTCTCTTTCCCTTTTCCCATTCAGAGATGCTGTCTAGAGCCTGTCTAAGGGGCTTCGGCCTGCAATCGCTGCCGAAGAGACAAGCGTACCAGCTTGCTCGACGGTCCGTCACCACTGATGCCGCGAGCTCCCACGCAGAAAAGGACGACGTCCCGGAGGCAAGGCGCACCTTCTTCTTTCTTCTTTCTTGTTTGCACTCGAGGAGAAACTGACAATGGCCCTGCAGGAAGATGACAAGCCCTTCCCAGTCAAGCTCTCCGACGAGAGTTTCGAAACCTACAACCTCGATCCTCCCCCATACACCCTTGATACCACGAAAAAGGAGCTGAAACAGATGTACTATGACATGGTAGCAATACGGTGAGCAAGACGTTATAAGGGACAAAATGCGAAGATTGTTTCTGACATTCGCAACAGTCGCATGGAGATGGCCGCCGATCGATTGTACAAGGAGAAGAAGATCCGAGGATTCTGCCATTTGTCCACCGGTCAGGAAGCCGTCGCTGTGGGTATTGAACACGCAATTACCAGGGACGACGCTATCATCACTGCCTACCGATGCCACGGCTTCGCGCTCATGCGTGGTGGCACCGTCAAATCCATCATTGGCGAACTGCTTGGGCGACGAGAGGGCATTGCCTATGGAAAAGGAGGCTCGATGCACATGTTCGCTCCCAATTTCTACGGTGGTAATGGCATCGTTGGAGCCCAAGTGCCTGTCGGCGCTGGTATTGCCTTTGCGCACCAGTACACTGGCAGTAAGACGGCGACGGTCACCTTGTACGGAGATGGCGCTTCCAACCAGGGCCAGGTATTTGAGGCCTTCAACATGGCCAAGCTGTGGAACCTCCCGGTTTTGTTCGGCTGCGAGAACAACAAATACGGCATGGGTACTTCAGCGGCTCGATCGTCGGCTTTGACCGAGTACTACAAGCGAGGACAATACATCCCGGGTCTGAAGATCAATGCAATGGACGTGCTCGCCGTCAAGGCCGCTGTTCAGTACGGCAAGGAATACACGGCCAGTGACAAGGGACCCTTGGTATTTGAGTACGTCACGTACCGATATGGTGGTCATTCCATGTCAGACCCAGGTACAACCTATCGAACCAGAGAAGAAATTCAACGGATGCGCTCGACCAACGATCCCATTGCTGGGCTCAAACAGAAGATCCTGGACTGGGGAGTGTGCTCAGAAGATGAGCTCAAGTCGATTGACAAGAAGGCACGAGAGGACGTGGATGGAGAGGTGGCCGAGGCAGAAAAGATGCCTGTGCCCGACCCGACGGAGAAGATCCTCTTCGAGGATATCTACGTCCGTGGGAGTGAGCCAGCTTACATTCGTGGGCGTACACCCGACGAGACATATTACTACTGATTGGCCCTTGACGGACCTGTTCGACATCATTTTGGAGGGAACGGCTGGGGGTAAAAAGCGGGTTTCTGAAGCAGCTGTGTATATTTAGCCAGGTCGTAGTTTACCCTTGGAGATCTTTAGCAATAAGTGGCCGGTGGTGGACTACCGTCTGCTTCGGATCAATGAACCTTTTGCTACGTTACTGCTGCCGATGGCTGGCTACCCTACCAAGCCTACCAGAGACCTACCTCGCTACCTAGTTAAATCGGTAGTGCCTACCTAATGTCCTTTTGCACGTGCAGGGACATGTCAGTAGAACCAACCGAGCAACTTAATAAGCAAGCCCCAAGTGGAGCCGATGGGGAGCTCACAAAGTTGCCAGTCGGAGTTGCAGCAGGGGACGATGATGCAAATCCAAGTGCCAGAAGGTTGGGCTGGTTAGGTTCGTTTGTGAGCACACACCACCGCTACTGCTGGCTTCTTAGCTTCGTCCATTCGTCTCCTTCTCCGCAGTCTCTGAAGCATCACGAACCTCTTGTAATCTGTTTCAGTCCCTCTCTCTGTGTCACCAGCTTCGCTGTCAAGAGTCGGAATCATGGCGACCACAGTGAGCGAGTCGTCTCCCTTACTGCCACAGCATGCCTCGCCCAGCGAGTCACCATCCCGTCCCTCTCTACGCACTCAACGCACTGTCACTTTCAATCCTCTGACATCCGTGAGTACGCAGTCTGGAGCCACCTCCTCCGCAGCTCTCAGACCCGTACAGAGTCCGTCAGCGGCCCTGACCGGTTCCACTCAGGCCATTCGAGATCAACCGCCTATGCTGAGTGCATTCAACTCGAAACTGCGCAGAAGAAATAGTCACGGCGCCCCGCTGCCAACCACGCAGCCCTTTACTCCAGCTCCGAGAGCAGGCGCCCAGAGGACTACCAAAACCACGGAGAAATTAAAAATATTACCGAACCCGGATATCGGTGACGAAGAACGAGATGAGGAAAGTGGCAGAGACGTATATTCCCAGTTCACCCGGATAAAGGACCCTACAGCCAGGAGGGATGCTGCGAGATTGGGGAAGGCGGATCGGGATCGTTTGCCTCGAGTCACGGCATACTGCATGGCACAGGGCTATCGGCTTGACGGGATTATGAAATTCATGAAGTCGAGAGCAAGGACAAGAGGTGCCAACCCCAAGCTATTCGACGAGTGTCTCTATAGCCCCTATGACTACGACTATGTGAAGAAGAACAAAGGAGGGGACAGAAGTTCAAGTCCGGTCGAGGAAAGGATCGCAAGAGTCATGGCTTCGCCGAGAATTAGCCCCAGGGAGAGACGCTTCTCGGACAGTGCCGTGGAGGTGGAAGACAACAAAAAAACCAGAAGAGATCAACTCATCGACCTGCAAGACGAGCTGGATACGTCGACAGGCATTGCTGCAACGACAGAAAATACAACTACAGACCTGACTGCCATTGCCAGCCGTTCTTCCACCGACATCCCAACCGAAAGCGATGCCATGCGCCCCCGAGCGGACTCGGAATTCTCCACGACAGTCCACATACCCGAAATCTTCATCTTCGACTACGGCACTGTTGTCATCTGGGGCATGACAGTTCAACAAGAGCAGAGATTTCTCAATGACATGTCCAAGTTCAGCGATGCGTCTTTACCTACCGAATCTGTCCAAACCGAGAACTTCAATTTCTACTACACAAAGGAATACCAAGCGCGCATTTACAACGACTTCATTTCCCTGCGGGAACCACGAAACCACATGACCAAGCTGGCCATTTCACACGCCCTGTCCCAATCCGTCAAGACGAGTCTGTTTGAGGACCTGGTCAGCGAGACCATTGAAACAACCGCACCACTACCGGCACTCATCGCCCAGACTGGCAGCGTCAACTTGACCAGACGTCAATTGAACATGCAAATTGGGGAGCTTTTTATCTTGCGGATCAATATTCACTTGCAAGGCTCCGTTCTGGATTCCCCTGAGTTGATGTGGTCCGAACCGCATTTGGAACCCGTGTATGCCGCTGTCAGGAGTTACCTGGAAATTGAGCAGCGGGTTGGATTGTTGACAGAGCGGCTGGATGTTATTGCTGGTGAGTCTTCCCTGTACAGTGATCCGCGGTGTTATCTCTATGTATGGATTTCTGATATAAGACAGACCTTCTTGCTGTGCTGAGAGAACAAGGCAGTAGACGACATGGTGAAGTGCTGGAATGGATTGGTGAGTGTCGCCTGACGCGGTGGATGTTGCCCAGCTGACGAGCTACAGTTATCATTCTCATTGCTGCGGAAATCTTGGTTGCGTAAGTTGCCTTGAACGATATTCACGAGAATCCGACAGCTAACTTTTCTCCTTGCAGCGCCATCAATATCGTCGTCGACCTCTACGCTGGTATCGACTGAAGCGTCCTACTCAACACACGTCCTTTCTATCTCCTTTTGTCGGCCCCGGCTTTCGAGTGTGTAAAGTCTAATCTCCAAATCGCCTTCTGCTATCGACAAGAGACCTGTGAACCTGTTATGGATGTCTCCGTCAACTACCCGTTCGAATGGGGTGGTGACAAGCAGCTTTCAGCAGTCTTCCCAAGAGCCGCCATAACACAGATTCACCTTTGAAATCATCCCAAAAAGCAAAAATCATTCTCAGCGAGGCGTTGGAGGAGTTGAAAGTCCTCCGTCCACACATGTGTTCTCAGACTACCCTGTCCCCGCAGTTACATGGTGTGCTATGATCCTCTGTATATGTTTTCTTGTTGTTGCTTAATCTGTACGGGGCACAGTGTGTGTGTAGAGGGATTCTCCAACCGGCGGATGGGAAATGGGTGAGATAGGAGATAACTTCATGGAAGGAGCAAGACTCTGAGGGACTACAGGTGCTTGTGTTCCCTTCTTATAGATCATTGAACGATGAGCTCTTTCGAAGTCCGCACATTGCATCGGCCTCAATGCCTACCTACCTAGGTAGGTAGTAGTGGCGAAGAACAATAATTACGAGATCTGTATAGTTACATGAAAAGAACAAACCATAGTGTGTTGACGTGTCCAGTTCTCAAAGCTATATCGCGCGTCCACGAAAAGCTGAGAGCACGCCCATGCTTGCTATCTATCTCCTCTCTCGAGCTTGCCCTGCGCCCCCTTTTTGTGATTGATTGACGGGGGCTTTGAAGTTTTGGGGCTCATGCTCCGTGCTCATGCTCATGCTCACCAATCTGGCACTATTATCAGACCAGACGCTGGAGAGTCCTCTCTCCCACTGCAGGTGCTGCTTTTTTGACCTTTGGCTTTTTTGAGCATGGTGATGATACCCAGCCCACCATTCCCGCCATGCCCTGCCAGCCTTGCTATCTATCCCCATCGCCAGTTTCAGATGATATCGAGCCATGACTTCCACAAGACTTCCACACTGAGACTTCCACACTGAGACTTCCACACTGAGACTGACCCAGTCCATCTGACCTGCCCTGCTCTGAGCTCCGCTCACAATCAATACTCCCGTCCATACAATCCCTGGCTCAAGTTGTTGACGCCCCCTTGAGCCTTGCCTTCCGCCACTCAATAGACCTCTGACACCCAAGTCCCAACTGCACTCCATCTTCCACATCCATGCCCACATCCACAGACAACACCATATCCAGCAACCATGCCCACGGCCATATCCATATCCTCCAGGCAAATGCGCTTTCCCATTCCATATGACTCTGCCCGCGCAATGCTCCTTTTTTTTCATTGGGAGGGAGATTCTGTGACACCCATCTCCCCCCCTTTGTCCTTGTCCTCCAGGCAAAGAGCTTTCCCATACCGTGACAAGCCCGCTCAATGCTCCTTTTTTTTGTGACCCATCCAATCTTGAACCCAAAGTCATGCTCCTCGCTATTCTCGCGGTTGTTGACGTATGCCGCGAGAATGTGTGTTGTCTGTTGTCTGTTGTGTGTTGTGCGGGAGGAGAGCTGGAGCTGAGATGATGATGAATGCTCCCCAACAAGCCGGCTTTGATGATGCTGCCGGCTGTGTTGTTGACTTGGATTCTGGATGTTGCTGAAATCCTCCTGCCACTCGAGCTTTCCCATACCAGATGATCCCGCTCGGTGATCTTCTTTTGCAGACGATGCTGCCCCTGTTCCTCCACTGGCCGCCCATGCCCTCTCTCTCTCCACCGTCCAAGCTTGACACCATTCCAAGCTTTCCACCATACCAACACACCACCACTCCAGCATCCACCGCTCCAACCCGCTGCGAGATCAGGACGTCTCCTTCATCCACAGCACCTCTAGGGGCTACCAGTGACTTGCCCCCTTGTCCACCCAATGCTGCCAACAAATGTTTCCTTCCTTCAAGACTTTGCACCCTTCCTTCAAGACTTTGCACCCTTCCT